AACAATTCGGTTTACGAACTCCGCAAAACCGGAAGTAGTGTTCTGGTTTGCGAACTTTTCCTCGGTCTACGAACGGAAGCCGAACGGTGGAAGGGCACCAGTGGCAGGAACCCTCATTAGGGAAAGAGCACCTCGGTTTAAGAACAGTTTTGTTTTAAGAACGGACTTCCAGAACAGATTAAGTTTGTAAACCAAGGTACCACTGTACATTGGAACATTTGATTTAGCACTGAGCATGTGCAACATACAAATTGATCTTACCTAAACAGTTGAGTGAAATAGGTATTTTACAAACCTAACATTTTTATTACTATACAATGGATTCCTCCCCCCCCCCAAAAAAACCCAGGAAGATAAAGACTGCAATTTATTTCATGTTTTGAGAGGCTCTGAAGCAGCAAAACGGAAGGTCTGTTATGGGTGCTAACAGAATATTTAAATTGCTTTCGGCCATTTCATCACATTTATTGTATTTATTTATTATTTAACAAACAAACAAACATTTGGCTATTTAATACCATTCACATTTCCTGCCAGATTTCAGACAGCTGGGAATTCCGTCTTCATTTTACAGAGATTAGACATGTTCAGCCATTATGACGGCAGAATACCATTGGACACTTCTGCCCTCAAGCACTCCTGGACCTGTGTAATTTACTTGTGAGTAAAACCCACCGAGGGACGCGGGTGGCTCTGTGGGTTAAACCACAGAGCCTAGGACTTGCTGATCAGAAGGTCGGCGGTTCGAATCCCCGCGACGGAGTGAGCTCCCGTTGCTCAGTCCCTGCTCCTGCCAACCTAGCAGTTCAAAAGCACGTCAAAGTGCAAGTAGATAAATAGGTACCGCTCCGGCGGGAAGGTAAACAGCGTTTCCGTGAGCTGCTCTGGTTCGCCAGAAGCGGCTTAGTCATGCTGGCCACATGGCCCGGAAGCTGTACGCCAGCTCCCTCGGCCAATAAAGCGAGATGAGTGCCGCAACCCCAGAGTCGGTCATGACTGGAACTAATGGTCAGGGGTCCCTTTACCTTTTACTAAAACCCACCACAAAATGTCACAAAATGTTTATGTCACAAAATACACAGGGGTAGAAGGGAAGGAGGGGAAATTTCACAGCGGGTGATAGAGCACAGAGTCGAAGAACAGAAAAATCAACTTAGGGAAAGCATCAGAAGAGGAAACACAAATCTTTTGTTTTACATTCAATATTTTTTAAATGTAAGCCACTGTGCATATTAAAAGCATTCAACTGAAACAAATGGCCCACAGGGAGCTCCTAAGGTGTGGTTTCCTGGCAGGCTTTGAGCCCCAGCACCTCCTCATTTTGTAAATTAAACACTGCAGAGAGGGCAAGGATTGATTCGTTCTGCGCTGTCTCCTGTTGCCAGGCTAGAGTTTGTTGGAAGCTCCCTGACCCCTTGCTGAGCATCCTGCTTCCCTTTCACAGTATGCTTCCTGGCTCTGTTTCCCATCATCAAGTTCCCCACAATGGGAGACAGTGTGAAAAAGCGGGTGGTCCCACCCTCATCATCCTGCACATGACCCTAGCTACACCTGAAAGGTCAGCTGGGAAAGTTTTTGCAGGCCCACTATTGCGTCATCGCCATACCTTGCTGTTGATGTCTGTCACTGGGAAAATATCGCCCTTACAACCTGTGGCCGTGAATTGCATAGGTTAACTATGCCCAGAGTAAACAAGTGCCCCTTTTATCATCTCTTTCACCTGCTGCCAATTTACATCACTGAGTAATCCCATGGGTTTACCAGTGATTAGATGGTTTGGTCTTTCCTCCTCTTTTTTTTTTTTTTTTTAGGATAACAGACACATATTTTATCTTAAAACCTGAACCTACAACTAACAATATCCCCTTCTAAGTTGCTCTCAAAGTTTCCCACTTCCCTTAGCATCATCATCATCATCATTTTATTTATTTTATTTAAATTATTATTTAATTTAATTTATTATTTGTTTAATAAATTATTATTAAATTTTATTTATACCCTGCCCTCCCCGGTCAGAGCCGGGCTCAGGGCAGCTAACACCAGTAAAATTACAATAAAAACATAATGGGGGGGGGGGGAACCAATTTAAAATACAGGTTAAAATGCAATTTAAATTGCAGCCTCATTTTAAAAGTAGCCCATAGATCAAAACCATAAGGGGAGGGAAACATAAGGGTCAGACTGAGTCCAAACCAAAGGCCAGGCAGAACAGCTCTGTCTTGCAGGCCCTGCGGAAAGATGTCAAGGCCCACAGGGCCCTGGTCTTTTGTGACAGAGCGTTCCACCAAGTCGGGGCCAGTACTGAAAAGGCCCTGGCCCTCGTTGAGACCAATCTAACCACCTTGCGACTTGGGACCTCCAAAGTGTTGTCATTTGTGGACCTTAAGGTCCTCCGCGGGGCATACCAGGAGACGCGGTCCCTTAGGTACGTGGGTCCTAGGCCGCATAGAAAGAGACAAACACATTTGGTAAGTTAAACATGGTTTACTTACTAACTCTTCAAAGGTCAAATTCATGTGCTACCTGAAATGTTTAACTGGAGATACCGGAATTGAAGCAGGGTCAATTTACCTTTAACATGTGTTCTGTATCAATGAATTTGATGGGCATTGAACTCAAAATGTTAACTGGTGAGGCAGCGGTAAGTAAAATTTCACCTTTTGAATTCTACCTGTTGCACCCAGTGCTATTGTTCTAGAATAGGAAGTGCTGGAACTCACAATGAACACCTCCCTTGTTCTCTTAGAATGGCAACAGTGCCCACCTGAGATGTGTCAGAACTGAATTTTGGCGAGTTCCGGCTGGAAAAAAGAAGCCCTGGTCGTACCTATCATGAGACATCCATGTTATGGATTTTGACGGTCATGTTTAAAAGGCTTTCTTTCATTTACAAATTCTCCAGAGAACCACAGATCAGTTGCAAAAGATTTATGCTAACTCATGGATCACTTAGTGAGAAAGTGTTTTACAGATGGATATTGTTACGAGTTGTGTTGAGGGGGCCTTCTGGGAAATAACAACAACAACAACAACAATAGGAAAGTGGGGGTAACCCTTGCTTTGACACATCATCAACCCTCCCCACAAACAAATCAGAATGAATGCTCAGTAAATAGTCAATGTTGTCCGGTTTCCCTTCAGATGTATCGGGATGAATGCTGAATAATCAGGTTGTCTAGATTATTGTGTCCCATACACACAAAACAGTTAATTTTATTGCAGACCTGAAGGACCCAGGATAAGCACTGAAGAAAGCAATCAACAAACATAAGTTTATTTTCTTCGGGATTGCAGGACCTTGTTTTACTTTTTTGCTGTGCTGCTGAGGCCAGCCCTTTACTCCTCCACTGTTTCCAGGACACTCGGATGATTAGGGTCCCCTTTGTTCTCAAAGAGGTGTCTAATTCCCTGCAGTTTTGTGCTGAGCGAGCGAGGAACGCAGGATCCGAAGGCTGCAGATGTCAGGAGTTCTTACGCTTATTTGCCACATTGGCTTAGGGTGCAAGCGCTGTCGGGGAGGGAATGAGAAGGCAGGAAGCAAGGACCCCGGGACATCTGTCACCATTGCTGGAGTCAAAGGGAGGGGAACTGGGGTTGTGCCTCTAACAAGGGACAAGGGCTATTGCACTGTGAAGGATCCATTTGTTCCCGCTAATTACCCACCCAAGGTGACACAATGCCATGGCTGCCTGCCCATGAGAAACTGCCCCGTAAGGCCTCTTAACAGGGAGACTTGGACGCTAAATTTAACAGGGAACGACTGTTATGTGGCTTTGCACCCCCGTGGCTGCCAGCATTCATTTTAATCCCCCTTCTAAGACAGAACTGCCGTCCTTGCGGCCGACTTGCTCATAACTTTCAAGAACTGCCAGCCTTAACCTTGCTGCCTGCGAACCAACGGTGGGTAGGTTTGCCACGGGATTCAGCCAACGTTGCGATGGCTCGTGCGGTCCACACACATGCCTGTGGGTTGTCCTGACTGGACATGCCTTGGCCAAGCATGGGAACCAGGGTGTAATGCACTCTAGTAGCGAGAACCCAGGCCACGCCGCCTCCCGCTGCCCCGGAAATGTTGAGGTCATCGCAAAAACCCAAGCCATCACGGCTTCTCACTTTGCCATGCCCGAATTCCCATCTTTGTTGATGTACGCCAGCCAGAAATGGCTGAACATTGGCAGAAGCAGGGGGAAGAGAGAATTGCAGACAGGGGCTGTCTCCTCCTCCTCCTCTTCCTCAGCTCCTGGGAGTTGAAGAAGGCGGGAATGGGGGGAAGAGGGAAGAGTTTTGTGGTGGGTACGAGGGAAGGAGGCAGGCCGGCTGGACAGTGAAGTAGCAACAACAACAACAACATCTTAAAAAGCAGAGACATCACCTTGCCAACAAAGGTCCATACAGTTAAAGTTATGGTTTTCCCAGTAGTGATGTATGGAAGTGAGAGCTGGACCATAAAGAAGGCTGATCACCGAAGAATTGATCCTATTGAATTATGGTGCTGGAGGAGACTTTTGAGAGTCCCATGGACTGCAAGAAGATCAAACCTATCCATTCTTAAGGAAATCAGCCCTGAGTGCTCACTGGAAGGACAGATCCTGAAGCTGAGGCTCCAATACTTTGGCCACCTCATGAGAAGAGAAGACTCCCTGGGAAAGACCCTGATGTTGGGAAAGATGGAGGGCACAGGGAGAAGGTGACGACAGAGGACGAGATGGTTGGATAGTGTTCTCGAAGCTACCAGCATGAGTTTGACCAAACTACGGGAGGCAGTGGAAGACAGGAGTGCCTGGCGTGCTCTGGTCCATGGGGTCACGAAGAGTCGGACACGACTAAACGACTAAACAACAACAACAAATAATAATAATAATAAATTTTATTTATACCCTGCCCTCTCTGGCCAGAGCCAGGCTCAGGGCGGCTAACAACAGTAAAATTACAGTAAAAACATGATAGGGCAAAAAACCCAACCAATTTAAAATACAGGTTAAAATGCAATTTAAAATGCAGCCTCATCAAAACCATAAGGGGAGGGAAACATAAGGGTCAGACTGAGTCCAAACCAAAGGCCAGGTGGAACAGCTCTGTCTTGCAGGTCCTGCGGAAAGATGTCAAGTCCCGCAGGGCCCTAGTCTCTTGAGACAGTGTGTTCCACCAAGTCGGGGCCAGTACTGAAAAGGCCCTGGCCCTAGTTGCAGCCAATCTAACCACCTTGTGACCTGGGACCTCCAAAATGTTGTAATTTGTGGACCTTAAGGTCCTCCGCGGGGCATACCAGGAAAGGTGGTCCCATATGGTTCTAGGGCCACATAGGGCTTTAAAGGTCAAAACCAGCACCTTACTCTGTACTCCAGAGTAAGAGTACCCTGTACTCCACCGGGAGCCAGTGCAGTTGGTAAAGCAATGGATGAATGTGATCCCACAGCAAGGACCCCGTAAGGAGCCTCGCCGTAGCATTCTGCACCCCCTGGAGTTTCTGGGTCAGCTTCAAGGGCAGCCCCGCGTAAAGCCAGTTACAATAATCAAGTAGTGGGAAGTTTCTGATGTTTGATATGTTGCTATGTTTTATATCTGTTGTAAGCTGCCCAGAATGGCTGGGGAAACCCAGCCAAATGGGCAGGGTATAAATAATAACATTATTGTTATTATTATAGGAAGTTGGAATGAGGCAACGGGGCTGCCATCGCCCCACCGTGTGAGGCTACGACTCTCTGGCTTAGTGGGCCCCCAGCCACCCCTCCAGCTGGCCATGCCAAATAAAAACAAGAAGGAGAAAGGGACCCTGTTCAGTCCTGAATAGATGGGGGCTTGGAGGAGACTCTGGGCAGGAGCAGGCCCTGCAGGGGGGTGTGGGGCTGTTGAGGTGCAAGCAGGCCTGCAAGGTACCGTATTTTTCGCTCTATAAGGCGCACCCGACCATAAGACGCACCTAGTTTTTAGAGGAGGAAAACAAGAAAGCAACGTAAAGTCTCTTGAATAAAGAGGGAGGAGCGCTCCTGCTGCGCTCAAGAGGCTTTGCGTTGCTTTCGCTGAAGCCTGTATTCACTCCATAAGACGCACACACATTTCCCCTTACTTTTTAGGAGGGGGAAGTGTGTCTTATAGAGCGAATAATACAGTAACTGGGGAGCAGGGATGTTATGGGGCTTCGAGGGGAGGCGAGGGAGTTAGCTGGGCTTGGGGGGGGTTGTCCGTATCATGAAAAACTTAAACAAATGTGCAAAGAAAAAGAACTTGAAAATTTATCCAACAAAGAAGCATAAATCAATGAACAAGAACTTAATAGCTCTCTCCCTGCAGGACTCAGTTGGCACACATGCTCCATGAACCCTCCATAACCTGTGTATTGTGCCTGGTGGTGTTGGCAAGGGGTGGCCTGGCACATTGGTTCTGTTGACCTTCCACACCCCGTTGCCTGGCGCGCCCCAGACGCCAAAAAAGGATGCAACGTCACCATGCTGTTTCTTCTCTCTTCCCTCCTCCCAGTTGACGTTGCCACCCTTCAGGTCATGTTCGCAGACATCTTTGTAGCACAGAGTTGGTCTGCCAACCGTCCTGGTGCCTGAAGCCTGTGGAGCACATCCTTGGAGGTCTGCCAACTTCTGTGGACACGGCGACCAAAATGTTTGAACAGGGGGGAGAGATAGGGCTAAAAATATAGACCAATAGGAAAGCCGGAGGCGGAGCCTACCTGTGTATAAAAGGGCTTAGCCCGAGGTTTTGTTGGGTGTTGTTGGTGGGTGGTTGGTTGGTTTTAGTGGGTTGGCTGGTTGGGAAAGGCAGTTGGAGAAGCAGTTGGTAGGCAGTTGGTAATAGAGAGACAGTTAGGGCAGTGGGTTCTTGAGTGAGGGGAGGTAGAAGAGATGTTGTTGTTGTTGTTGTTGTTGTTGTTGTTGTTGTTGTTTAGTCGTTTAGTCATGTCCGACTCTTCGTGACCCCATGGACCAGAGCACGCCAGGCACTTCTGTCTTCTACTGCCTCCCGCAGTTTGGTCAAACTCATGCTGGTAGCTTCGAGAACACTATCCAACCATCTCGTCCTCTGTCGCCCCCTTCTCCTTGTGCCCGCCATCTTTCCCAGCATCAGGGTCTTTTCCAGGGAGTCTTCTCTTCTCATGAGGTGGCCAAAGTATTGGAGCCTCAGCTTCAGGATCCGTCCTTCCAGTGAGCACTCAGGGCTGATTTCCTTCAGAATGGAGAGGTTTGATCTTCTTGCAGTCCATGGGACTCTCAAGAGTCTCCTCCAGCACCAGAATTCAAAAGCATCCATTCTTCGGCGATCAGCCTTCTTTATGGTCCAGCTCTCACTTCCATACATCACTACTGGGAAAACCATAGCTTTTACTATACAGACCTTTGTTGGCAAGATGATGTCTCTGCTTTTTAAGATGCTGTCTAGGTTTGTCATTGCTTTTCTCCCAAGAAGCAGGCGTCTTTTAATTTCGTGGCTGCTGTCACCATCAGCAGTGATCATGGAGCCCAAGATAGTAAAATCTCTCACTTCTTCTGGTAGAAGAGATAGAGAGAGGAAAATAAGACTAAGAAAATAAAGAGCAACAACGTTTGGAATGCCGTAAAAGTTTGTGTCTGAAATAAAATACACTCTTCTTTATTAATTGAGAACCTGATTGAGGCTGAAGTGATTTTACCGGGGAGGACCTGGTTGGTGGCAGCGGATTAGTGGTGTACGGGTCAATAGTCCGTGAGACGACCAGGGGCTCCGTACGAACGCCACACACATCCTTGGAGGTCTGCCAACTTCTGTGGACACGGCGACCAAGTCAGCATAGATGTCGCCGAGACAGAGGCAGGGGCGAAGTGTGGGCAGTGCCAGGGGAGCCATGGTGCCGGGCACACAATTTTTGTGGGGGTGTGAACCAGGTGACCCTACGCAGGCAATCCCACTGCAGTCCGGCCTGGTACATATCTCTGTCGGCCAGCCAGGCTCCCCCTGTTTTGCTCCGGTAGGGGTGGGGTCATTCTGGCGGCAAGGAATAGGCTGGCGCACCAGCGCATTTGCATCCTCCCCACCCACCCTGGGCGCTGAAAACTGACTCTACGCCGCTGGACCTGAAATGCAAGCAATGGAAATAAAATCAACAACCACCGCTTTGACCCATGATAACTGGATCCCAGTATAATTCCTCTCCAGACCATGCAGTGATACCGAATTGGGCAAAACAGCATTACGTAATGGCACCATCAGGGCCTCGGCAGGCCGCTGCTGGTGGCACCTCCGCCTGTGCGTTGCTTGAACTCTCCCCTGCCGTCCAAAATACAAACCTCTGAGGCTGTTCTTTGCCGCCTCCCCACCACCCAACCTTAAAAATAAAATAAAGAAGAATCCTAAAAATTATTTTGGTTAGCAACTGGCGCTCGGGGCCAGGCCGCTAGCTGGCATGTGGTCATGAATGACCCCTGCTGTGGCAGCCTGGCTTGCTGGAGCAGAGCAAACTCGCAGATCTGATAGCTGCCCCGAGCACTTGGCGCAAGCTGGGGAACTGCGCTAAATATAGGCTTCTTGGGAACAGGCTGCTATGTGTGTGTGAGAGAGGGAGAGAGTAAAAAAAAATAAAATGCTGTTTCAGTTTGTGTCATCATTATTACGAGCGATGATGATGGGTTTATTTCATTAAACGGGGCTTCCACTGCCTCTTCGTCGCTCGCCTTGGAGAACGACCTTTCCGAGCAGGTTTTAGCTCTCCTGTTCAGAGGATGTTTTGTGGCATATAAAAACTGTGCTTAAAAGGAGACAGTCAGGTTAAATAAAGGCGGGGGCGATTTGAGAGGATCAGCTCCTCATCTGGATAGGTCATTTGCCAATTCACACCAAGGCCACATCCGAACTATCTGTTTAAAGCACTAATTATACCATTCTAACAGTTATGGAAGGGACGCGGGTGGCACTGTGGGTTAAACTAGGACTTGCCGATCAGAAGGTCGGCGGTTCGAATCCCCACGATGGGGTGAGCTCCCGTTGCTCGGTCCCTGCTCCTGCCAACCTAGTAGTTCGAAAGCACGTCAAAGTTCAAGTAGATAAATAGGTACCACTCCGGCGGGAAGGTAAACGGCGTTTCCGTGCGCTGCTCTGGTTCTCCAGAAGCGGCTTAGTCATGCTGGCCACATGACCCGGAAGCTGTACGCCGACTCCCTCGGCCAATAAAGCGAGATGAGCGCCGCAACCCCAGAGTCATCCTCGACTGGACCTAATGGTCAGGGGTCCCTTTACCTTCACCTAACAGTCATGGAATCCTGGGAACTATCATTTGGTGAGGGTGCAGAGAGTTGTTCGGAGACCCCTATTCCCCTCACAGGGCTACTGTTCCAATAGCAGTTTAGGTAACTCCGTTGTAGTCTCAGGTAACTCTGGAAATTGTAGATCTGTGAGGGAAACAAGGGTTCTCCTCAGCACTCTTAAACTACATTTCCAGGATTTTTTTGGGGGGGGTGAGGTGAGCATTGACTGTTTAAATTGGTATAATACTGCCTCAAAAATGTATAGTGAAGATGTGGCCTGATAAGCTATTTTTAATTGTTGTGAGGGATGGAAGTGAGAGCTGCTCATAGAAACCAACAGAGAAGTCCAAGATTTTAATGTATCAGGGATTGGACCCCAGAATGTCCACACACCTCCAAGGGCCACACCCTTCTCCCACCACAGACAGAAAACTGTTTCTGACCCCTGGTTCTTCTCAGGGAGAATAACCTAGTGATTGATTCATAATGCTGTTTTATATATATATATATAAAACAAATCTGTCAGCATCCATACCTCCAACTATAAACCTCCCATGTGTACCCGTTGTATTATTTAACATATATTATATAAAATAAATGTACTTTTTCATAAAGTTAATAGATGCCACAAGTGCCCACCAATATAACTTTTAAAAGGTAAGCATCTGGAACAGGCTTCCTTATTACAAAACAAAGGTATAGTATAGCTGTTGCATTCTACACATTTATTCACAAAATGAATATGTTTCAAAACAGGGTTGTTGTTTTTTCTTTTCTTCCCCAAGGCTAAATTTAATGGAAATTGGTGATGTAAATATGTTTTGCTGCTTTGGGGACAATTGGTCAAGGTTGGCTTTTTTTAATAGTGGTGCATATGACCACTGAAATAATGAATGAAATTGCTGCAGTTGTGTTTCATAACCTTATAAATACTTTGGAGCATAAATGCGGGTTTTGTTTTTCAGGAACATAACTTTGTTCAAGCTTTTCACAAGATCAGCAGCAACCCGTGACTTGCAGAAGCAGGAAATGGTGTAAACCAAGCTGTGCTTTGTGACCCAAGGGTCGCAACTTTCAACCCAAAATCTATGCAGTTGCAGTCTTAAAGGATTCAGAAGAGAATGGATCTCTCAGACTGTTGTGATCTTACTTTGGAGGCCCCAGAAGAAAAAACTGCAACTGGTTAGGTTGCTTGTACAATCTGGCGAATCCTAGTTCTTCACCTTGTAGGACTTTTTAAAGATTCTGACCATCCTTGCTGCTTGCTTTTGACCTTTAAGTGATAGGACAAGGATAACTAACCCGCAGCCCAGCAGTTTGCAGATGTTTTTAAGTGTGCAAAGGCTGGGATAGGGCGCTGAGCTAGGATTTGCTGAGAAGAGTGTTTTTCAGAGCTTGAACAGAGTAACATGTGATTGGTTTGGGCTTTGAGTGCTTCATTAACAAAACGACATTGACAAACTGGAGGGAAGAGTGCACGATGGCGCGACTGATCTCGGAGCCGCGGGGACTGATGTTATGAGAAAAGATTAAAAGAGCTAAAAATGTCCAGTGTGGCAAACTGGTGAATAGCAGGAAGGCACTTCACGTGGCTATAGGGTTATGGATATGGGGCGGGGGAGAATAATTATTTGTTGAAGGGTTTGTCTTCAGGGTTGAATTTGAGTCCTACCTTAGTCCGGGAGACAGTTTTGAAAGCTGTGAGTTGATGTCAGTCGCCTGGCAAAAGGGATAGGTAGCAGAGAAAGGCTTGCCCTATGGTGGCCCGGGGACGATGGGAATTATAGTTCAAAACATCTGGAGGGCACCAGCCTGGCAATGGCTGCTATAAAGAGAGTCTTCCTGAATGCAAAGGATGTTTTCCTCTTGGCACTCACATGCCCCAGTACAACTGGATTTGGAGAAAGGGGTTTGGCGGCAGAGCGTGTGACTTCCAAGCCAGTGCGAACCCCAACACTGACCCGTGTTACAAAATAAGCACAGTTCAAAGATGCATGGGAAAAGAGGACAAAATTAAGATGGGATGCTGGATGTGATGAAGCATCCAAAAGGAGGGGGCAAAAGGAACAAGGGGTTTAAACAGGACACGGGTTTCTGATAAGCTACGGTTTTTCTAAATGCTACGGAATAGAATTCTGCCGTTTTAAATGCCAGCCACCCGGGATTGTCGGTTGCAAATCCAAATCGGAGGACACGAGTGTGCAAAATTCCCCTATGCTGAAATCTACTGGTGGAGTATCTGAGCATGCAAATTGCATGCGCTGGGGCATGGGTATGGTTATGCAAAATATAATGGGCTTTTAGCTGAGAAATGCTGGCATTTTAGCTATGTAATATGCATTGAGCATAAAGCAGGCACATAGCTGTCAAGCGTCCCTTATTTGGCGGGACAGTCCCTTATCTCAGCGCCATGTCCCGCTGCTGTCCCTTATTGATGATGTCCCTTAAATAAGCTACTGAAGGTAATGGGGCCCTTTCTATGTCCAGCTGTCCTTTGTCAACAACAAATTGTTGCTTTTTTGTGTTGAATATATGCTATATGGTAATTTATGGACCTAATAGGTATCTAAAGCTGAAGGGAGAGGGAAGGGTTGCTTTCTATATGCTTTCTATACCTTGTACCTTGTACCTAAGAAGGATCTTCTATATTCTCTGTACTTTGGATCTAAGTAAATTTCTGAGCTAATTTGACTTCTGCAAAAGAGGCCCCTCGCTTTCTTATTTTAGGAATGCAAGATAAGAAAGACACATATGAAGGAGACTGTAAGCTAGAAATAACCAGAGGCCCCTCGCTTTCTTACTTTAGGAATGTAAGATAAGAAAGACACATACGAGGGAGACGGGAGGAGGGAGGGAGCTTTCTCAAGGTATAAGAAAGTCTGCAGAGGCGTATTTCTGGGCAGCCAGTCTTCCAGAAGTTATTCTGCTGGCTGTCACTGTGCACAGAGAATAAACTGTTTTCCTCCAAAGAAGGATCTTTCCTGGTGCTTTCTTTTGCTCTCTCTCTGGATCTGAGGACGCGGGCCAACGATTCCCTGGCATGGACTAGGCTCAGCCTACATCTTGGTTCCCTGACCGGGAATCTGCCCCACCTCAGAGGGCTGGGGAGAGCCAGGCTCGACCTTGGTGGACAGCTCGGATCGGCAATTGCAGGCTCCACGCGCACCCTGCCAATTTGTGGGGAGCCAGCCACACCGCTCCGGAGCAAGGACCCAGGTCGAGGGAGGAAAGAGGACTGGCCAGGGAAGGGAATCTGCAGCAGAAAACGGTAAGCCCAAGGGAAAGGGCGTGGGCGTGAGCCCAAGGGAAAAGAGGGAGGCCTGATCAGCCTCACCTGGTTATGCAGTAGAGTGCAGCCAGGAAGGAAAAAAAAGGGGCGTGGCAGTGGTGTGCCACCGGTAAGGTTTGGTAAAAAAAAAAAAAAAAAAAAAAAAAAAAAGGGGGGAACAGAGGGGAAAATTATTTTGGTGTGTTTTGTGTATTACATGTTGAAATTATTTTGGTGTGTTTTGTGTATTGCATGCTGAAATTATTTTGGTGTGTCTAGTGTGTTACATGTTGAAATTATATTGATGTGTTTTGTATGTTGTATGTTGCATGTCAGATACTCTAGTGACTGAATTGTCAAGTGTGGGCCAGGGCTTAGTGTCCCCTTTGGCCGAGCGATTGTAGGGCTGTAGTGTGTGTAGAGTGAAAGAATTTACAACCTGTTAGCAGCAGAGTATCTGAAAATGGGGTCTGGGGCAAGCCAATGTAGTCCTCTGGAATGTTTTTAAACAACTGGAAAGCAGCCACAAAGCATGATGATTGGGGAATCAAATTGAGGCAACGGAGGATGAGAACATTATGTGAGGTTGACTGGCCCTCGCAACAAACTAACTGGCCCTCGGAGGGGAGCTTCGATTTGCAACTAATCAACCCACTGTATCGAAATATCTTGAACGTCCACCCAGACCAGATCCCCTACATTTCTACTTGGAAAACCAATGTAGAAAAGAACCCATCGTGGTTGAAAGCCTGCCGAGGCGACGCCCACAAAGTACAGTTTGTGCAGTTCGACCGACAGGGAAGTCAGAAAAGCCCCCAGTGATACCAGACCCAGAAGAAGAGGAGGGGAAGTCATTAAACCACCTCCACCCTATGCTCCACCAACTGCCCCTCCCTGGACCCAGGCCCCCAGGCACCGGGAGGAGCTAGCCCCCAGCCTGAACCCCCCAAGGCTAATGAATCAGAAGAAGAAGAAGACGATGATGAGGAATTTGTAAAGGGATTGGTTGAGTTAGCAAAGAAGGGAAGAGAGTGGACTCAGTATCAGTCTTTGAGATTGCAACAGTATGTACAACCCTATGCAGAAGAAGTGGATGTTAGCCCCCACGTGTTGGCTGCAGCAGGATGCTCCTCAACACAAGGGAAGAAATGGCAGAGGGAATGGATAGAAGCAGCAACCAGGGCAGCCTTCCATAAGTCCCATGAGGCACAGAAAAGGGTGGGGTCGGAGTAATGCCCCTCCGAAGGGTTTATGACCCACCAGGACCTCCAGGGACTAATGGAGCAGCAGCAGAACGGACCTATACGGTCCAGCATATACCCTTTTCAAGTGCAGATGTCTGTAACTGGAGAAATCAAAACCCATCTTTTGAGGAAAACCCAGCGAAGATCATAAAGCTGTTTGAAGGGATTTTTAAAACTTATAATCCCACCTTTGATGATGTGCAGTATTTGATGGATGCGCTGCTAACCACAGAAGAAACTAGGCGAATCCATGCTGAAGCCCGAGCACACCTGAGAGCGCAGGGAGTGCAGGATCCAGCTATGGCAGCAGGATATCCAGAAAACACCCCGAATTGGAATTATCAGACTGTTGATGGCCAGAACATCCTCACTACCTACCGCCAGAATGTGTTAAATGGTATGAGAAGGGCAGCTAGGAAACCCACCAACTTTGTGAAGGTTAGAGAGGTAGTGCAGGGGAATGAAGAGGCCCCAGGAGCATATTTAGAACGCCTGAAGGAAGCCTACCGCCAGTATACTCCTGTGGACCCAGATGAGGCTGCCAACGCCCCTATCATAAAAGCTGCCTTTGTGGCCCAAGCGGCGCCCGATGTCCGCCGAAAGATTCAAAAACACGAGGGGTTCATGGGCCACACCCTTGAGTGGATGTTAGAACTGGCTCAAACCACTTATAATCAGAGGGAGGAAGAGGCACAAAAGAAAAAGGAGAAGTATCAAGCAAAGAAGTTGATGGCGCTACAGGCTACCGCACCCACCCCTCAGGAAAGAGGAAGTGCCCGGGGAGGAGGGCAAGGCCGTCTGGGGAGGAACCAGTGCGCCATCTGCCGGCAGGAAGGGCACTGGAAAAGAGAATGCCCACAAGCTCACTCAGGTGGAGGAGGACGAGGAGAGCGAATCCCAGGCCCAATCCCCGTGGGACCTGGACAAGAACTGAGACCTTGGACATCTGCAAATACAGGCAGGGGTAGAGGACGTGGACAGGGACCTCCCTGGCACCCTCCAGCCCAAAGACAGCCCGCCGCGATGAGCCTGAGAGAGGAGGAGGAAGAATACTAGGACAGACCGGGCCCAGCTGATTTAGGTTCCCGTGAGCCCATGGTCAAAATACAAACAGGGAACCGAACCATCCCCTTCATGGTTGACACAGGAGCCGCCCACTCTGTTTTGCCAGTACCAGTGTCCAAGCCCACCAAGCAAACAATTAACATAATAGGAGCTACAGGCAAATCACAAAGAGCCCCCTTCTTGCAATCTGTTGCCTGTCGCCTGGGCGGCCAAGTGGTCCAACACAAGTTTTTGTATATACCAGAGTGTCCCATCCCATTGTTGGGCCGAGACCTGCTATCAAAATTGCAAGCCCAGATTTCCTTCCAACCGACAGGAGAAGTGACAATGACTACAGGGCAAGCAGGAGAGTTCTCCTTAGAGGTACCCTTGAGGGAACACTGGCGCTTAATGATGGTAGAAGAAGAGGAGGGGATTATTCCAGAAGACCTCCTGCAAGAAGTTAACCCTGGTGTATGGGCAGAAAGCAACCCGCCCGGAATGGCAAAGAACATCCCACCTATAATAGTCAAGCCCAAGCCATTCGCCAACCCTGTGGCTGTGAACCAATATCCTATCCCCCGAAGAGCTGCGGAAGGAGTATGGGTACATTTGGAACGGTTACTTCGCCATGGCATCCTGAGGCAGTGTCAATCTCAGTGGAACACCCCACTCTTGCCGGTGAAGAAGGAAGATGGCTCGTACCGCCCGGTCCAAGACCTTAGATTAGTCAACCAGGCCGTGGAGACCCTCCACCCCAATGTGCCCAATCCTTACACGCTGTTGAGTCTAATACCTCCCACCGCATGTTATTTCACCGTATTGGACTTGAAGGATGCATTCTTCTGTTGCCGCCTGGCAGAAGAAAGTCAGCCCCTGTTTGCATTTCAATGGACAGATCCGGGAACAGGCACCAGGGTGCAATACACGTGGACGAGGCTTCCACAAGGCTTCAAGAATTCTCCAACCCTTTTTGGGGTTGCATTGGCCTCGGACCTGTCTAGCTTCCCCACCAGTCCGCGCAGAGTCTTGATGCAGTACGTGGATGATCTTCTTTTGGCCTGTTCAGACGAGAGCACGTGTATGGAGGCCACCAAGGACTTGTTAAATCACCTGGCTGAAGCAGGATACCGAGTATCTAAGAAAAAGGCCCAGATATGTCAACCCACCGTGAAATACCTTGGATTTGATATATCCCATCAGCGACGGACCCTAAGGGAAGAAAGGAAGCAAGCCATCATCCAGATTCCAGAGCCAAAGAATCGCAGGGAACTTCGCGGCTTTCTGGGCTCAGCAGGATTCTGTAGAATATGGATACCAGACTACAGCACAATTGCCAAGCCTCTGCATGAGTCAACCAGAGGAACTGAAAAGGACCCCTTTGTGTGGGGAGAAGAGCAACAGCATGCCTTCAAGGATCTGAAAAAGGCATTGCAGCAAGCACCAGCGCTGGGCATCCCAAATCCTGAGAAGCCTTTCTCCCTATTTGTGGATGAAGACCAGGGAACAGCAAAGGGAGTGCTATGCCAAAAATTGGGAAGCTGGCAGCAGCCCGTGGCATACCTATCTGAGCGCCTGACGCCTACAGAACAAGGTTTACCGCCATGCATGAGAGCAGTAGTGGCAGTAGCCACCCTACTGCACAAAGCAGACAAATTTACTTTTGGCCAAGACACTGTTTGTGTGACCCCGCATGCAGTCCCAGCTCTGCTTGACATGAAGGGTACCTATTTCCTCTCCCAAGCAAAAATGAGAAAGTGCCAGATGCTATTGTTGCACCCGCGTTTGAAGTTCCAGGTTACCACCGCCCTCAACCCAGCTACCCTGTTGCCGGTAGGAGAAGGTGAGGAGCAGATGCACGATTGCATTGAAGTGATGGATGAAGTATATTCCAGCAGACCTGACCTAAAAGATGAGGCAAACCCCACTGGCCTTCATGGTTTGTAGATGGAAGCAGCTTTGTTGAGACTGGACAGCGGAAGGCAGGCTATGCAGTGGTTGCCCTGGAAGACCAGGTGATCGAAGCAAAGTCACTCCCACCTGGAACATCGGCCCAGCTGGCAGAGCTAACTGCGCTTACCAGAGCCCTGAGCCTGGCAAAGGGACAGAAGATAAACATTTATACAGATTCTAAGTATGCATTCCTGACTTTACATGCCCATGGAGCCTTATGGAAAGAAAGAGGTTTGCTTACCTCCAGAGGAAGCCAGGTGGCCCACCCACAAGCCTTATTGAACCTTCTGGATGCTGTATGGGAGCCCGAGGCAGTGGCAGTTATCCATTGTTATGGACACAAGACTGGACCAGGGGAAGTGGCCAGAGGAAACCGATTGGCAGACAGAGTAGCCAAGGAAGCAGCCCAAGAACTGGCCCCCGCCTCGGTTATTGGAGCACTGGTCCCAGAAGAGATTTTAAGCACTACTGACAAGCCAGCTTATACGAAGCAGGAAAGGGACACTGCAGACGCTCAGGGGTTGACGTTGTCCAACGAAGGATGGTACCTTACCCCTGATGACAGGATATGGATTCCAGAGTCCCTTTCTCGGCAGGTTACTCAGAGATACCATGATTCAACCCACATAGGACCAGATGCTACAACCAAGCAGCTGGAAAAATGCTTCTATATAGCCCACCTTTACCAACTGGCAGCCCAGATCTCCAGGAAATGCCTGCTGTGTCAAAAGAATAATCCCAGAGCCGGACCACTGGCTCCCCCAGGGATTCAGCACAGTGGAACTGCACCTATGGAAGATCTTGTCGTGGACTTTACTGAATTACCCCGTTGTGGACTGCACCGCTACCTGCTGGTAGCAGTGTGCACCTACACCGGATGGGTTGAAGCATGGCCCACAAAGACTGAAAAGGCACTTGAAGCAACCAGGTGCCTGCTTAGGGAAATCATCCCTCGCTATGGACTGCCAAGGTCCATAGGATCTGACAATGGACCAGCATTTGTTCATGCAGTCCTACAGGGACTGGCAAAAGCGCTCCAGATCAACTGGAAGCTGCATACTGCTTATAGACCCCAGAGTTCTGGAAAAGTAGAGAGGATGAACAGAACTCTAAAGAATCAGCTGTCCAAGCTGACACAGGAGACCGGGTCTAATTGGGTGACCATGTTGCCCTTGGCATTACTCAGGGTCCGCAGTCTCCCGTCAAAACGGACCCATTTGTCACCTTTTGAAGTTATGTTTGGGAGACCAGTTCCATATGTTAGAATGTTAACTCCATATGCTAGCCAAGATGTACAATTGAATAACTATGTACAGTCACTCTCCCAAGTTTTCTCTTACCTCAACAGGTGGACCCAGGCTCGCACCCCATGTGTGTTAACTGAACCGTTCCATCAGTTCGAGCCAGGTGACGAAGTGTGGGTGAAAGACTGGCAGCGAGCCCCCCTACAGCCCTGCTGGAGGGGACCCTACACTGTGCTACTCTCTACCCCTACTGCTGTGAAGGTTGCCGGCATCACCCCGTGGGTCCACCATACTCGAGTGAAGAAAGCCATTTCAGACTGGACAGTAACACCAGATCCAGAGAATTCCCTTCGGCTGACCATCTCCAGACGCCCGGTAGACAACCGCCCTGCTGATATCACTCCGGAGGCTGATATCTCTACGCACGGCTGAAGAATTGGATGGGAGGGCGCCCGCGGGCAGCGTCCCCAACGTAGAAACTTGCTCTCCAGCAAATTCAGAGGCACCAATCGGACTTTTGGTATTGGGTCCGGAACCCTTGATATAGTCACCCCAAGTGTCAGGCCATTGCAGGGGTGGACATATTCCTGTGGGTGCATGCTGATATATGAAGAGGGAGGAGCCCCTTTTGGGTATAATATCTTGAAGAGACAACACGAGAGCCCAGTCCACCCACAAGGGATTGTAGGGAAATTGCTCCGTATAGTAGGTGCCTCAGCAGAGAAGTGGAAAGTTACCCCTGAGGCCCAGGAAATAGTTGAATACGAGTATCAGTGGGCCCTTCAGCTGTAAAAGAAAACTAGAAATGAACCCTGATTTTTGGTGGGAGGAACCATGGAGATATTGGGTTTGGTGGATAGGAGTGATATGTATCGCCCTTGTCATATGGATGCTCTCGTATTTCTGTTGGCACGAGCGCCATAGGTTTTTTGGAAGGAAGCGATCCCCTCCATCCCCTTGATGATCCTTCTCCTATTTATGATGGGAGAATCTATTCCCAAGGCCGAATGCTTCCAGGTCTTAAATCGTAATAGCATTTTCCCCACACAGGAAATGAGAAAACAGGGGGCTCAGAGTCTCTATAACAAGTGGCTTCAATTGGCAGAAATAGTAGCCCATGAAGCAAATAAAACTGCTTGTTTAGTTTGTACCCTTGGACCCTTAGATGGAGGAGGAGGAATGCCCATGCTCCCCATACCCCTCAATCGTTCTCAGATCCAATATACACATAGTCCATCCCGCCCAACTCCTTATTGGAACCATTCAGCTCCTTTACGAGTTTATAGGGTCTCTGGATGGTTCTGTATTAATCAAACCCGAAATACCGTCTACAACTATACGAGGTTTATAGGACGGTCATCATGTAAATGTACATGTGGTAGTCCTTTGGACATCTCTGAATGTGGCGGGGCTTGTACCAACCTTGCACTCATGGTGGAAGGTTCTCGAGCCAGCTGGACCTCTTCTCAGCGCGGCAGTAATATTTATTGGATTTGTGGAACAAAAGCTTATCACCTCTATCCACAGAACGGATATGGTGTCTGCTTTCCAGCGTTTCTTGTACCTCCAATGTGGATACCCTCTTCCCCATCCCATCGTAACCGCCGCTTTGCTGATATCTCCAACATCGCGGGGGGTAGTAAACAAACCTGGGGAAAGGACGAATGGCCACCTGAGCGGATAATTGCCCACTATGATCCTGCCTCCTGGAACCCTGATGAGTTAGTGGCAGGTGCCAGAGAGCCCATTTACAATCTCAATCGAATCATCAGGCTCCAGGCAGTGGTGGAAGTTGTGGCCAATGCTACAGCCACCGCCCTCCGTCTTGTTGCCACCCAGCTAGATGAAACCCGAACGGCTATTCTCCAATTGCGTTTGGGAATGGACTTCATTTTAGCTAAGCAAGGAGGTTTTTGTGCTGCCCTGAACCTGACAGGTGGAGCATGTTGCTTCAACATTTCAGACCATGGCGAGGCTATCCGTGATCTGGCAGCAAGCATTGAAAAGGTAGCACATGTCCCTGTACAAACCTGGGAGGGCTGGGATATGTCTTGGTTGGACGGCATCTTCCCAGGTGGATGGATGGGGAGGATATTTACTATGGTGATAGGTCCAATAATGCTTTTATTGCTTTTCTGCTTCTGTATGCCCTGCTTGATGCAATGTATGCAAAGTATGATGGAGAAGATGATGTCTCGCATGATGGGACCTCGTGTGCTTGCTTTCATGAGAGATTATAGACCCCTACCCCAGAACGAACCTAAGTATTAGGTTGTTCATAAGAAGAGGAGGGAGTGAAGGGAGAGGGAAGGGTTGCTTTCTATATGCTTTCTATACCTTGTACCTTGTACCTAAGAAGGATCTTCTATATTCTCTGTACTTTGGATCTAAGTAAATTTCTGAGCTAATTTGACTTCTGCAAAAGAGGCCCCTCGCTTTCTTATTTTAGGAATGCAAGATAAGAAAGACACATATGAAGGAGACTGTAAGCTAGAAATAACCAGAGGCCCCTCGCTTTCTTACTTTAGGAATGTAAGATAAGAAAGACACATACGAGGGAGACGGGAGGAGGGAGGGAGCTTTCTCAAGGTATAAGAAAGTCTGCAGAGGCGTATTTCTGGGCAGCCAGTCTTCCAGAAGTTATTCTGCTGGCTGTCACTGTGCACAGAGAATAAACTGTTTTCCTCCAAAGAAGGATCTTTCCTGGTGCTTTCTTTTGCTCTCTCTCTGGATCTGAGGACGCGGGCCAACGATTCCCTGGCATGGACTAGGCTCAGCCTACAAAGCCATTTGCATGCAACAAAATATGTATTTTATCAAAGTAATTGTTGATCCCTTATTTTGGCTGCTGATCCCTTATTTTCGAGGCTGCTGGTCCCTTATTTTCAAATCTGTAAATTGACAGCTATGAGCAGGCATAGGCAAACTCAGCCCTCCAGATGTTTTGGGACCACAACTCCCATCATTCCCAACAGGACCAGTGGTCAGGGATGATGGGAACTGTAGTCCCAAAACATGGGGGGGGGGCAAGTTTGCCTGTGCGTGGCATAAAGGCTGTCAGTTCTGTACAATCGGCATTCAGGGTATGCAAAATTCCAGACATTGCACAGTTGCTTTTTAGGATGCAAACCAGAGTTGTACACCTTGGTGTGCAAATTCCAGGCAATTGTCATTCTGCCTTCACATAATGCGGATGAGACATTTACTGAGTAGTTATTTCTACTTTTGAGGCTGAAGCTCCAGATGACCCGGTGCTTGCATTCTGGGTTTGTAGAGTGCGCAGTGGCTGTAAACCAGCAACAACAAAAGTGTGCTTTGAATTCCGTGCTTGTAACTCTATACAGGACTGAATGTTTAATTTTCTGTGTATCGGACAGCTGTGCTTGCTCAGAAAGCACCAGGCAAGCACAAGAAGTAGGTGCAAATTTCATGTTTGTTTTGCGTCGGCATTCTAGATGCATTTTGCTAGTCTGGTCCTGCTGCTGCAGATGTTGTTCAGCAACACTTTCCTCCTCCATAAGTATGTAGCAGATCCAGTATGAGCGAGCGATGCATTATAGTGCTTGTCTTTGGCTGTGGGCACCAGTGGTGCAGGACATACTGATTGCAACGCGTCTTTATTTGCGTTGTCTGGTCGGAAGCCATTCAAATAAACGGGGGAGCTCAGCACAGGAGATGGAGCTTTTGCAACTTTCACCACTCGTCTTTTTTGCCACCCAAAACCTAGCAATGATATCAATCGTTTGCAATTTTAAAAGGCGTCCTTTTTCCCTCTTCTGTAATGGCACGAGCAAAGGAGTCGGCCGTGATAATAATGGGACAATGCTTGCACCTGTGCGTCTTTGCGTGTTGGCCAAACCCTTCCAGAACACGGCTGCTGCAAATGAGTGTAGATCGATTGAGTTTTCAAGTTTGCAAAACCAAAAGAAGCGTCGATAGTAGCAGGTCGGTTGCAATTCGCCCCGCGCGTGCCAGGCAATTGCACGGCGTTTTGCAAAAGCCGCGCTGCTCGCGAGTCGCGCCGCTCCGTGCGCGGGCGAGGGAGGGAAAAGGAGGAGGAGAAGAAGAGCGAAGGCAACCACTTATTCGGGTTTTGCAAATGTTTTAACGTTTCATTCTTTTGCAAGAGGCTCCATAAATGACGCTGTTGCAAGGGGGGCGGAAGGAGGGAGGGGGGGCGGGATGCTTTTGCTACCCCCTCCCTTTGCTCCTTCTCCTGGGAGGTGGAGAGAGAGGGAGAAGGGGAGGGGGAAATCCCGACGGTCGTATCCGGCTCGCCGTCTCCTGAACAGCCACGAGAGGCTGCCAAGAGCGGGGCTGGGGTTCGCCCCCTCAGGACCCGCCGCGGACCCGCCATCCCCCTCACGAGGGGAAATGGCCTGAGGAAGGCGGGTGAGTCCAGCGGGGCGGCGAGTTATGGGGGCAGCGCGCGCAAAGAGGTAAGGAGCGAGAGGAGAGGTTTCTTGGGGGCGGCGGGGGGTTTCCATTTCTGGGGAGTCCCGGGGTGGCAGCGGGGCTTGAAATGTGGACGTGAGGGGGCTGAATCCTCTCCTCATGGAGGTGAGCTTTCGAGTGTCTCGGGTGGTCTTCGTGGTGAGTTATTGGGGGGCATTTTTCTTTGGGAAGGGGGCGCACGGGAGAAACGCCGAGGCGCTGAGGGGGGACACCTTGGGAATGGCCGCTTGGGCAGGCCTCGTCGGCGCTTGGCTTCTTTCCAGGCTCCTTTCCTTGAGGGGGGAGGCGGGGGCGGTGGGGGGTGGTCGAGGGCAAAGGTCCCGGAGTGGCCGGAGGGCAAGGAGAAAGAGGGGCTGGGGTGGCGGCTGCAAGTCGCCCACCTTTTAGCCTGCGCGCTCACAGCATGCTCCTCCAACTACCCGTACCGTCGGCTGCTGCGAGAAAATTAGACGCAAACAGGATATGGCGAAAAAGAAATTATTATTATTATTATTATTATTATTTATTAAACGAGGGCATCAGTTGGTAGGAGGGAGGGAGCGTGAAGAGGTTGGGCCCACAGGTGAGCGAGGACGCAGGTGATGTGATTAGCTGGGCCCCCAAGCTGTGCCTAGTGGATAGCAGTGGTTCTCAAACTTTCTCCTCTGGGCCACACTTTCAGAAATAAGGCTCACACCAAACTGATTATTATTATCATTGGTAAGAAATGCATTGAAAAGCAAAAAGGAGCGACTCCTAGTAGGGCTTTTATAGATAGATAGATAAATAAATAGCAGGCATAGGCAAACTTGGCCCTCCAGCTGTTTTGGGACTAAGGTAAAGGTAAAGGGAGCCCTGGCCATTAGGTCCAGTCGTGACCAACTCTGGGGTTGCGATGCTCATCTCGCTTTATTGGCCGAGGGAGCCGGCGTACAGCTTCCAGGTCATGTGGCCAGCATGACTAAGCCGCTTCTGGAGAACCAGAGCAGCGCACGGAAACGCCGTTTACCTTCCCGCCGGAACGGTACCTATTTATCTACTTGCACTTTGACGTGCTTTCGAACTGCTAGGTTGGCAGGAGCGGGGAGCGAGCAGCAGGAGCTCACCCTGTCGTGGGGATTCGAACCGCCGACCTTCTGATCGGCAAGTCCTAGGCTCTGGTTTAACCCACAGCGCCACCCGCGACTACAATTCCCATAATCCCTGACCACTGGTCCTGTTAGCTAGGGATGATGGGAGTTGTAGTCCCCAAACAGCTGGAGGGCCAAGTTTGGCCATGCCTGGCATAGAGCATAACAATTTTATAATAGGACCATGGGACATACCGAAAGCGTAAAACAAGGCAGCGACATTCCAATTGTGGGATGTTCTCCCCAGAGCATCTTGCCTGGCACCATCACAAGAAGTCTTTAGGCACCAGGCAGGAACATTCCTTTTCACCCTGGCCTATGGCTATGAAATAATCTCTGGCCTGTGACAGTGTGGAGAAGTGGACTGTTGTTATGAAGATTATTTTACTACTGTATTAGACTGTCTGTCATTATGTTTTTATCACTGATGTTCTGCAGTGTGTTTTTAATGTTGCACATCGCCCTGGGATCTTCTGATAAAGGGCAGTCTATAAATTGAATGAATAATAATAATACATAAGAACATGAATCATTCCCAAAGTATGATTATAAACAAGCCTCTTACATCCGTACCTTAAGTACAAACTAATTAGAGGTGTGAGCTTCTTTTTGCCAGGTAATCTCATTTATACTAGGTTTAATTTGAGACAAACCAACGCTAATCTCCTCATCAACACAAAGAAGCCTTTGTTTTTTTCTGATCTTCCATATTGGTTGGAAAATATATTTTGAAAAGATACCAATCCATACTCTGCATATGTGCTGTACTATAGGGAACTGAAATGTTTAAATGTTTCTTTGATTGTCCTTGAATCTTCCCACCACATTTGCCATACTCTCCTGCCATGCCAATTTGGCACACCACACCCTTCGAGAACCACTGGTGTATGGGGACATAATAGGAAGAGTTGGATGGACAGGCTTGCTGAGAGAGACTCAGGGCCCACCTCGATGCCTCTGGGAAGGAAGGCCACAAGCAGAGTAGGAAGGCAACAGGCCTCTCTTCCACAGTTGACCCCACCCAACTGGGCACCACCATTTAAGAAGGATATTAACAAGCTGGAACATGTGCAGAGGAGGCTGACTGAGATGATTGAGGGTCTTGAAACCAAGCCTTATGAGGAATGGTTGAAGGAATTGGGTGTGTTTAGCCTCCTAAAGAAGAGACTGAGAGGTGATAGGATAGCTGTCTTCAAATATCTAAAGGGCTGTCGCATGGAGGATGAAGCAAGAGTGTTTTCTACTGTTCTGGAGGCTAGGGCCTGATCCAATGGCTTCAAGTTACAAAAAAAAAAGATTACAGCTAAACATCAGGAAGAACTTTCTGATAGTAAGAGCTGTTTGACAGTGGAACAGACTCCTTGGGAGTTTGTGATAGGGTTGCCATACGTCCAGAATTTTCCAGATATTGCGGGGGTTCAGCTGTTGGAAACCTTTTCCGGGCGGAAATCACTGAAATGTCTAGGAAAATCTGGATGTATGGCAACCCATGTTGGAAGTGTAGATTTTTGTGAATTTCCTTAAAAATAGCTCAAAAACTTCATTTTTGTTTGAGATCTTGCAGTACTTTGGGCAAAACTTTAAAAAGCTCCTCCAAAAAAGCCCCCCTCCAAAACGAACAAAAATACTCAACAACTTTTGTGTCTGTATTTTCACTTTTTGAAAAATGGCAACCCTAGGTTGTGAGCTTTCATTGGAGGTTCTTAAGCAAAGGTTGGGTGACCATCTGTCATGGATGATCTAGTTAAGATTCCTGCCTTGCAGGTGGTTGGACTAGATGACCCTTGGTGTCCCTTCTATGTCTACAGTTCGACCATTTCGAGATCACGGTTAATAGCAGCTAGCAATCATACCTTCTGATCTTCCCTCGAAGCTTTCTGAGCTGACAACCATCAGTTACCCTTACCTCGTGGCAACTAATCCCACAAGCTGAACAGTTTGAAGATGTATAACTCCCTGCCCCCATTAATTCCAGTTTTAGTGCAAAAAAGGAACCCAAAATGCATGGACTCAGTCCCTCACTGAGCTTGCTTGTGCTTTGCTTGTGGGCAGGTCTGAAAGTTTAGCGCAAAGACACCCTTAATTGAGCGGGGAATTGTGCTTGCTCAACCCTGCTGCCATGGGTGGGCAGAGCTGGAGGTGGAGACATTCTGAACAGCGGACTGAATTAATGAATGGGAAAAGGTGTGTTTGCAGGGGTCTTTCCCCAAGTAAAACCCGAGGCAGAAACTCAAGTGGGAGTGACCAGTCCCGGACCAAACTGAAAACTGAACAGCTATGTCTACACTTAATGGAAAGTGTGGATGAGTCCTTAGTCTTTTCATGACTAAGTCATGCACTAGTCATAAGGGGTATTTCCAGTCAGTTATCCTCTTCTCTTTAATAAATTTGGGAGTCATAAGATCCACACTCACAGTAGTTACGTATTGCAAAGGCAGCCAGGCATCCGTGTGCCACTCTTGAGTTGGCTTTCGGGTAAAGTTCGTATATTGTCTGTGCAACTGTTGAATTTGAAGGCTCTGTGCCAGCACACCGCCGTTACTGTGTATTCATGTAAACCAGGGGTAGGCAACCTAAGGCCTGGGGGCCGGATCCGGCCCAATCACCTTCTCAATCCGGCCTATGGACGGTCTGGAAATCAGCATGTTTTTACATGAGTAGAATGTGTCCTTTTATTTAAAATGTATCTCTGGGTTATTTGTGGGGCATAGGAATTCGTTCAATTTCCCCCCCCAAAATATAGTCCGGCCCACCACATGGTCTGAGGGACGGTGGACTGGCCCATGGCTGGAAAAGGTTCCTGACCCCTGATGTAAACCTTAGGATCAGTAACCTATTACATTTCCCTTTCATGTGCAAAGCCATTAAGAGGTCAAGTGGTCAAGGGGGTTATTCAGTACTAAATAGCTTGTTTTTATTTTTATTAATGCAGCGTTCTGTAAACTGCCTTGAGACCCCTGGTATAGGGTGGTATATAAATTCAATTAATAGTAGAATGAATGAATGAATGAATGTACCACAAAACAGAGAAACAGCCAGGATTTATTTTCTATAAACAGATTTTGTGTACCCCAAATAGATCAGGCGTTATATGGCTCCTTATGTTTAGAATGATGCTCAACATGTATCGTAGGAAGTGAATCTCACCGAGTTTCAGTGAGACTTAACTTCCTAGTAAATACGCTTAGGATTGCAGCCTTTGTCTCCCTGGAATTTCTGTCTTGATGTTTTCTGTTGTGGTTCTTGGCTGTGATAGCTGTGTCTGGACTGAGCAAATGAGGGGTGTTTCCTTTAATTGCGGGGGGAGGGCGGAGAGATGAAGGAGATATTTTACTACCCCAAACTCTTTCCGTAACACAATCATCTCACCCGGTAGGCTGGGGGAAGATTGCAAGGCTATGAATGCAAAGGGGTTGGTACAGACACGTTTCAGGTTGTTGCTACTCATAATCTGCCTCCGTGAAAGACAGCTGCGCGTCACCCCCGCTGAGTGGTCTAGATGCATATAATGTTCATGCCCTGTAATAGGGGGAGGAGAAAAGGGCTGTGCCGGGTTGCCTCAAACAATAGCGAGCCTGGAACGTCTTTCTTCCGCTGTCAAAACTTGTTTTCTCATGAGCACGGAAAGCACTCTGCTTCCCTGGGAATGCCTGTTGTCCTAATGACGATTCTGCCACATTTAGAAGCGCTCCGATGTTTGTCTTGCTTCATTGTCCTTTTACGTCCCATATCTCTCGATGCCTCCTTGGCTTGAACTGGTTTCCCCCCCTCCTGGAAACGGCTGGAGACGGTAAGTATTTGCGCCAGATGCATGCAGACACAGACTCGTCCTTTCAACAAAAGAAGCATCCATTAATGGGGGGAAACTTTGGATCTTTTGAGTGAGCTTGGCTTTCAAGAACAGATGTGGGAGTTTCGTTTTTTGAAAAGGGAAAAAAAAATAAGCAGTTCAAGTTCTAGGTGTGAACAGGATATTGATTTGTAGGTTTTTCCCCCAGGGGGTTTCGACAGAGGGAACATTGCAGCCGTGAACTTTGTCGGTTTGAACCCACTGATACAAAATCTTTAATTGAATTAAAGTGTTTTGGGAGGCATATGGAGAGTAGAAGGGATGGAGATTAACAGCATTGCATTATTCCTTCCTGATTTATGATAAATCTTCACCTTTTGAAAACTGTTGTTGGGGTTTTTCAGCTTAGCATAGGCAAGAGGGTTTCAATTTTAAAAAAAAGATAAAACTATAAATACCCATTAAATTGTCATGTACACGTGTATTTGGTAGCCTGATAGTTTGGGGAAGATCCAAACAAATATAGAAGGTCAACTGAGTAAAAGCTGCAGAACTGCATTTTGCTTGCAAATTTGCCCACACTTCTAAGGATTTGAAATAGCAAATGACTGGTTACATACTCCATTTGATTTTATGGTGCCATGGAATTGTTTAATGTTTGCTATATAGCCTAACCCTTTGGGTGATATATTGTGTAGACTATATCTTGGTTTTTGTTTTGTTTTGTTTTTGTTTTTTGGGTGTGTTTTTTTTGATGCATGCATTGTATGTTGTAACCATGCTAAGTATTCTTGTATTTTGCATTCCTGCTACCTTTGGCACACAGCTGAACTTCCGCTGTTGCTCAGGAGTATTCACCACTTCCTCAGGCTGCTCCGCACATCTGAACAAGTATTTCCTGTCCACAAAGGTTCATGATTCAGTAAATCAGTGGCTCTTTTCCAGTCCTACCACACTCGTCCTTTTGCTGCTACTTTTCTAAGATTTCAAAATGTGGAATATTTCACATTTGGCCTTGGATTAATTTCTTTTTTGCCGTTACCGTCCCAGCTCTCCATTTGTCAAGATCATCCAGTTACTTGATGGGTCATCTCTAAGCATGAGTGAGCCTAGAACCAAATCTTAGCCTCTAAAACCTTTTCAGTCCCTCCCACCCCAGTCCATGAGGTGCTGCGTTCATTTTTGTCCCTTCTTGGAGGTTAATTTTGCGTATTATTAAATAATGTTTTGTGCAAACTTTGTTGTTCTGAGTGAGCTCGGCGTGGGGTTTGGTAGTACCACCACAGTTCCTTTTCGGTGGGGCTTAGTTAAGATTGCTGAACAAAACTTAATGTACCATAGGCACTTCGTTATACCTAAGGCACGAGTTCAGCGCACAGACCTAAAGAGTAGATGTCCAGCTAGCTATGTAGTAGATTTGATGTGTGCACCTTGGGAGACGCAGTAACTTGAGTGCTTTGCCCAATAAGGAATGAAACTGCCACCTGTTGTTCTCCTTGGACTACGTGGGCTCAGGACATCAATGCAGGGGGATCCAAACTTGGGATCTAGGTTAGGGGAACTGTGTGGCATCCAGGTTGTGGGAGATCCTTCCTCCTTCTCCATATGATGAAACAGCATTTGCAATCAGGATTTGGGGTAGGTGGGATGGAATGAGTTGAGACTGTGTTTTGTGGATGCACCTACTGGTAGGCACCATTCCAAAGTTGGAACTTTCGCAGATATTAATGTTTTTAGAAGCATAGAGTCGGACAGAGCATGTTGGACTGTCGTAGTCCAATCCCCTGCTCATAACAAAGGTTCCTCCAACAGACGTCTTTCCAACCTCTGTTTGAAGATCTCCAGCAAACAAGCGCACTCCCCCAGCTGAGTTCTTTTCTTGAACCACTCTTAAACATTAAAATGTTTATTCTAATGTCCGTTGAAGTCCATTAGATCTAGCCTTGCGCTTTGGGACGTTAGAGTATTTTAAGTCTTTCATTTATTTTATTCATTCAGCTTTTTGGGGAGGGTAAAGTTTATGATGATTATTTCATTTAAAAATGTATATAAAATGGAGATAACCAATTACGAAAACATACAAAAATTAAAAGATGAAAAACAATAGGCATGTAGAACCATAGAGTTGGAAGGGACCCTGAGGGAATATGCAGCTGTCCTATATGGGGATTGAACCTGCAACCTTGGCATCATCAGCCCCGCACTCCAAACAACTGAGCTATCTAGGCTGACAGACATAGAATTAAGTAGTTGCCCATGAGTTAAAATAACAAAAGCCCAAGTAGAGACTATCATCAAGCATAGTTCCAGATTTGTCAGGCTTGAGGTGAGGACTGTCTTGAAAATCATGGTTCCGCTCTATACGTCGTAAGGGAATGCCAACGTCTGTTGGTTCTAGTCCTGGTTGAAATCTCAAATCGAGCATATTTTTTACAGCTATATTGCAGAGCGAGTGGTACCAAGTGTCCCAATTTCATTCATTCATTTAAAACACTCCCACCCCACTTTTCAAAAAAGTTCAAAGCAGTTAACAAAATACCGTCAGGTATTTTAAAGCTATAAAAATGGAAATCGGGGTAGAATAAAGCAGTAAAACTTCATTACATAAAAGGAGAAGCAAACGCAGCAGCTAATCCCATAAAGATGAAACCAGAACATCAGTCAAAACCGGTGGATCAAAGTTCGCTAGAATCACACCAGGCTGTATTGGTAATCTATAGCTAAGCTATACCAGGAACTCTTGCTTCTTTTCATAGTGCTTGTGTGTGTCACAGAGGCTCAATGGTCTCTTGTCAGAGGATGAGTGGCTGGATTTAGTGCTGACCACTTGAGTAGGGCGGCCGTTGCATCATCTTTGCATGAAGCTACGCTGTCCGTCCGTTACCCTTTTCTTATGAATGGCTCATTATCTCAGGCTGCCCCCTTCCTCCCTCTTTGACCTTCCTCTTCTTCCCACAGTCTTCCTCGTCAAAAAGAACGACATTTCGAACTCCCGTCAGGATGATTCCGCTGTAAGGAATGCTGGTTTGCAACGTTATGTGAAGTTTTTTAAACCAAGGGGTGACTAAAGTACTGCCAAGCAGTGCGTTCCTCAAGTGACTGGAAATGTTGTTTTCTGTAGAAATTATAATAATAGCTTTATTATTTATACCCCACCCATCCAACTGGGTTGCCCAAGCCACCTTTGGGCGGCTTCCAACAAATATAAGGGCACAATAAAACATCGAACATTAAAATAAACCAAAAACTTTCCCTATACAGGGCTGCCTTTAATTGGCTAAATTTGAAATCCAGATGCTGAATTTCAAAGTAATGCATTTGAAGAACTGATTAAATAATAGGACCGGATTCCTAAGAGAGGATTCCTAAACACTCTTGGCAGTAATAATTGCTTGAGGCCCATTTGCCCGTCACAGAGGGCTTAAATGCACCTTTTTGGAAAGAGGGGCTACTGCTGACCTAAAAGCATTCCCACATGTCTCCCCAGTGGTGCATGGGGTGGGAGGAAATGTGTGGTGTGGCACTATTGAAATCCAGCATTTCCATCAGCAAAGATAAGTTGTTTTCACCTGCCGTGCACATTTCAGTGTTTTCCTACAGTATAAGATTATTTGCGAAAACAGTCAACACTGGGGTTGACTATTCACCTGTTTATAACAATTTCCGGAGGGATACATCCTTGTTGTATTCCTCAAGTGTATACTTCATAGGGTAGGAAATGGCACCAGGATCTCCCAAATTCTGCTCCTCAAAAAGCTCGATTCTGTGACTTGTATAAAGGACATGTAGTTAGCAAATTTGCCAGATCTACTTAGTGGGGCGTTAGAGCTGTGCTGAAGACCCAGCCTGCCCATCACCTACCCCCAGGACTGGCTTTTGGGATATTACCTGGCATTGCTCACATTGGTTTGAAATCTGCCTTCAGAGAGTTTTGGACTAGCAGCCGAGTTCCTTAAACCAAGGCAGAGGAAAGGAAAAAGGAATCCAGTTAGTCTTGGGGTCCTGAATTCTGCGCCCAGTACCAATTTGTGAAATCGGAAATGCTCACATCCCTGCCTGCTAGACTGTTAACTTTACTGTGCAGTTAATTAAGTGTATGTGGACCCTGTGAGTCTGTGAGATTAATTGGGGCTTCCTTTCCAAGCTATAAATAAATAGGAAGAGGGGGGGTGTAGGGGTTATGCATGTATGTAAGTTGAAATGCAATGGAAAATTTGAATCGGATGAGTTGATGCAAGAGGCATTTCCCTATGGAGTCACTGGGCTGCAAAATGTTTTATTTGCTTAAACTCAAACAGATGCTTCAAAATACTCTCAGAATGAGTGTTCTTGTGCCAGTTTAACTCACCTCCCCACTTTGGTTTGTGAACATTGGTTTGCTGCATGTAACTACGCCAAAACGGTGGACGTACCATCATTGTGGCACTGCCACCTGCTCCCTTTGAACTGACTCTTGTGCTGCAGGTAAAGAGGTGTGTTTAAACCTTCTGAAAACAAATACATCCTTTGAGATTAAAAATAATTTGGAAGTCGTGGGTAAGTTGAAGGAAGACCCACGTATCTTTAAACCTATGCTGTTGTTGTTTAGTCGTTTAGTCGTGTCCGACTCTTTGTGACCCCATGGACCAGAGCACGCCAGCACTCCTGTCTTCCACTGCCTCCCACAGTTTGGTCAAACTCATGCTGGTAGCTTTGAGAACACTGTCCAACCATCTCGTCCTCTGTCGTCCCCTTCTCCTTGTGCCCTCCATCTTTCCCAACATCGGGGTCTTATCTAGGGAGTCTTCTCTTCTCATGAGGTGGCCAAAGTATTGGAGCCTCAGCTTCAGGATCTGTCCTTCCACTGAGCACTCAGGGCTGATTTCCTTAAGAATGGATAGGTTTGATCTTCTTGCAGCCCATGGGACTCTCAAGAGTCTCCTCCAACACCATAATTCGAAAGCATCAATTCTTCGGCGATCAGCCTTCTTTATGGTCCAGCTCTCACTTCCATACATCACGGATGGTGTGTATCTCTTCATAAATTATTCATAGATTATAAATGGTATATTTGGGGACATAGGAGGCAAAAGAAGTTCAAATTTGGAGTTTTTTATTTAGTTGGAGGGGAGATGGCAAAATAAGGATATGATAGAGATCACACATAACATGAATGAAAACTGCGCATAATATGAAAATATATAAAGAGAAAACATTATTCTGATCCTAGTATGGAACGTAGAAACCCAGTGAGATTGGCAGTAAATTGAAAAGGACCGTGCATCTTCCCACAAGACATAATTTATGGAATTCCCTGCCACAAGGTGTAGTGGTGGCCATAGACTTAAAGGTAAAGGGACCCCTGACTGTTAGGTCCTGTTGCTGATGACTCTGGGGTTGTGGCGCTCATCTCGCTTTACTGGCCAAGGGAGCCGGCATACAGCTTCCAGGTCATGTGGCCAGCATGACTAAGCCGCTTCTGGCGAACCAGAGCAGCACACAGAAACGCCGTTTACATTCCCGCTGGAGCGGTACCTATTTACTTGCACTTTGATGTGCTTTTGAACTGCTAGGTTGGCAGGAGCAGGGACTGAGCAATGGGAGCTCACCCTGTTGCGGGGATTCGAACTGCCGACCTTCTGATCGGTAAGCCCGATCAGTGGTTTAGACCACAGCGCCACCCTTTAGCCATAGACTTAGGTGGATTTAAAAGGGGATTAGACAAATGCATGGAGAATGGCTCCCCCCCACCAAGCAGTTTGTCATGATAAGCAAATGGAGTCTCTATGAGTCAACTTACCTTTGGTCCTGGGGCAGACAATAGGGTATGAATATTGCCTGGATACTTGAGAGCTTCTTGGAAGTATTTGGCTGGCCGATGCCAGAAGAAAGATGCTGGATTAGGCCATCTCTTGGTCTGATCTAGGAGGGCACTTAAAGATTTAAATATTTGCCCCAACAGCTGTATATACCCAAGTCCCGTTGAGTGCGCTAGGTTGCTTTCTGTGTGGGATCCCATTGAGTTTCTGAGATCCCCATAGGCACCGTGGTTTTTCAGACTACTACAGTGGTGCCTCGCAAGACGAAAATAATCCGTTCCGCGAGTCTCTTCGTCTAGCGGTTTTTTCGTCTTGCGAAGCAACCCGCTTAGCGGATTAGCGCTATTAGCGGTTTAGCGGCTATTAAAGGCTTAGCGGCTAAAAGGCTATTCGCGGCTTAGCGGCTAAAAGGCTATTAGCGGCTTAGAAAAAGGGGGGGGAGCGAAAAAAATCGCAAGACTTGCAAGACGTTTTCGTCTTGCGAAGCAAGCCCATAGGGAAATTCGTCTTGCGAAGCGCATCGAAAAACGGAAAACCCTTTCGTCTAGCGGGTTTTTCGTCTTGCGAGGCATTCGTCTTGCGGGGCACAACTGTACTTGTTCAGTAGCTCTCTCTGCTAAACCACACAAGCTGTCTCAAAGCTTACTGTTACATGCTAGGAGTATCTCTTGTGTATACGCAAAAACATCTGGTCGGTTTGCTGCTACTTTCCCTGATTCAAATAGGGCATATAAATGCGGTACAGTGTCACACGGGCACTGGGCCACACCTGTGGATGCACAAGGCTTGTTGAGCATGCTTTTTCTAGGCCTCCACTGGGGATGTGATGGGTTATGGCTTTGGAGTTTGTGTGTGTTCTCGGATTCAGGATACAATATTCTCCCTCCCTCTTGTGCATGTAGAAACCATTTTGTGATTTTGTGGATTGTGCATTTGTGGATTGTGTGGGTGTGCACATAATTAGTCTAGTCCGGATTAACGCTCATAGCATTAAAAACTCATTCCAAAAAGGACCAAACACAGGTTAGAGCTCAACGTAAAACCTACCATGTGGTGATAGCGATCCTCTTTGCCACCTCTGTTGCACCTGTGGAAAACAGTTCCAGGATATACTTTCAGGTGGTTCATAGTCTTAACACCTTCGACATCAGGGTTGGTGGGGATCTCCTGTAATTATTTTGCAAAGGTTTTTTGCAGATAAAATCGCTCAGATTTGGAAGAAGGAATAGTCTCCACCATAGTAGCATGGTTGAGGTGCCAGAGCTCTTGTCTGAGTCAGGTTGAATGGGATCAGTTTCAACCTGTTACCTATGAGGATGTGGACAGGCTGCTTGGGCGACTGAAACTGACCACCTCTCTCCTTGATCCTTGCCCATCCTGCCTCATAAAAGCAAGCTGGGAAGGGCTGGGCAATGGGCTCTGCGGGGTGGTGAATGCCTCCCTCTTCAAGGGAGTTTTCCCTGAACCCTGTAAAGAGGCGGTTATTAAACCGCTTCTTAAAAAAAATATTTTTGGTCCTGGCCACTATGGCCAATTATTGCCCAGCCTCAAATCTTCCATTCCTGGGCAAGGTGATTGAGCGGGTGGTTGCTGAACAACTCCAGGCATGCCTGGAGGATGCGAACCCTTTGGATCCCTTCCAATCGGGACTCAGGCCCCATCATGGGACTGAATCTATCTTGATCATGCTGGTCATTGATCTCTTGCAGACTAAGGAAAAGAGGTGAAAGCTGTTTCTGGTCCTGCTGCATCTCGCAGTGGCTTTTGACCATGGTATCCTTCTGGACTTTTCTAGTGGGGCTGGGAGCTGGGGGCACTGTTACGCAGTGGTTCCGCTCCTTCCTCCTGGGTTGTGTCCAGAAAGTGGTGTTGGGGGCAGTGTTCAAAACTCCCATTGTTCTAGGCACATTTTGCGACAGGGAATTTCATTCGCGTGAGCAGTTTCTGAGCTCTGGGCGCAGTACTGTGCCTAATATTTCAGATTAAAACTGTAGAGTGGAAGGAAAGGAGGACCTTTTTCAGCCTCCCAGCTTCCAGCTACTCTCTGAAGACTGGAGAAGAGACCCTCTTAAGAATATTAGGAGGGTGGGCAGGGGAAGGACTAGACCCATGTGAAAAATGAACATCATATTTTAGCTGCAGTTCATTTATTTTCAGCTTTGTATTCTTGTTATTAAAGCACACCTAGACATTCCGTTGTTGCGCTCATAACCTAGGTTTAAGGTGCCATTTAGCTCCTAGCTTTCATATCTCAGTTTCTAACACTGGCTGGGAGGTAAGTTTTCGGACCAACGGGCGCTCACTTGTGGGGTGCCTCAGGGTTCCATCTTCTCCCCCATGCTTTTTGACATCTACATGAAGCCGCTGGAAGAGATCATCAGGGGTTTAGACTGGATGTTCATCATTATGCGGATGGTACCCAGCTCTACCAGATCAGAACAAGTGAGGGCGCTGAATGTCCTGTTCGGGTGTCTGAAGATGCTTGTGGGGGATGGACTGTGGCTAACTGATTGAGGTTGAATCCTGACAATATGGAAGTATTGTTTCTGGGGGGCAGGGGGTGGGCAGGTGTGGGAGGTTTTTACTCTAAGAGGCTTAGTTCAGTCAGAATTGAGTATACGCTTCCAGAGTTAATGCTTAATACATTACTTCTAGTAGATGAGCCAACATACCTGTTAGAAGGCCATGAACATTTGTGTCCCAGGCTTTTTAGACGCATCTACCCATGTACTAGGTAAAAAAAGGTAAAGGACCCTAGATGGTTAAGTCCAGTCAAAGGTGACTATGGGGTTGCAGCGCTCATCTCACTTGAAGCCAAGGGAGTCGGTGTTTGTCCACAGGCAGTTTTCCAGGACTAAACTGCTTCTGGTGCAACAGAGCACCGTGACGGAAACCAGAGCGCACAGAAACACTGTTTACCTTCCCGCTGGAGTGGTACCTATTTATCTAGTTGCACTGTCATGCTTTCGAACTTCTAGGTTGGCAGGAGCTGGGACAGAGCAACAGGAGCTCATTCCGTCACAGGGATTCAAACTGCCAGCCTTCTGACTGGCAAGCCCAAGAGGCTCAGTGGTTTAGACTACAGCGCCACCCGCGTCCCACAACCCATGTACTATCTGAAACCAAAGGGGCACATTGGTTGCCAGGTGTGAAATATGTTTGCATTATTTTCAGGTCTCCTACCCCACTATGTGATCTAAGCTATAGACTGGCTTACCATCACACCAGAAGCTGGGTTTGCGATTTATCTCACTCTAAACAAAACCACAAGCTGTATAGCTAAGATTTGTTCCATGGTTAACCGCTTGTGGTTTGACTGTGGGAGATAAACGTATTGGGTTCATACGCAACACTAACCCGACAGCAGTGTGGTAGACCGGAGGAGGCACTAAGTGGCCACAGTCTTATCTTAGTCAGTAAAGCATGAGACTCTTCATCTCAGGGTTGTGAGTTCGGGCCCTGCATTGGGCAAAAGATTCCTGCAGTGGGTTGGGCTAGATGACCCTCACAGTACTTCCCATCTCTACAATCTGATGGTTCTACAATTTCAGCAAACTATCAGTATCTCTGGCTCAGGCCTGACATTTAGCAATGAAGAGAAGTGCATCTGCTTTTCCAAAGGCTGAAAAGTGTTGCCCAGCAAACATCTTAAGCCTGGTTATACCCCCCTTCCCAAAGTGGCTTGCCTCTCATGCCAATGCATTTGTTCAGTTTGCGATAGAAACTTCACTTTACTCCTGCCCCACATAAGATGCTTTTCAGTGGATAAGCTACTGGTTGCATGGAACCAGATGCCTGCTACTAGTGATGTGGTTTGATTCCTTAGTCCAGGGGTCAGCAAACTTTTTCAGCAGGGGGCCGGTCCACTGTCCCTCAGACCTTGTGGGGGGCCGGACTATTTTTTTTTGGGGGGGGGAGGAAATGAACGAATTCCTATGCCCCACAAATAACCCAGAGATGCATTTTAAATAAAAGGACACATTCTGCTCATGTAAAAACATGCTGATTCCTGCATCGTCCGCGGGCCGGATTTAGAAGGCAATTGGGCCGGATCCGGCCCCCGGGCCTTAGTTTGCCTACCCATGCCTTAGTCTTTCCCCTTGTGTCCGAATGTTCCCCGCTTGCTCTCCTCTGCCTGGGTTTAGAAGGCCCAAGATAGAGTGTGCTGCTTTTGAGGCGTGCCTGATTCCCCCAACGCCTTTCTTTATAGAAATTCACCACTGCGTTGATTGACACACCCATCCCACCCACCCACCCCATGGCTGTGTGGCAGATTACTGTATCTGCTGAAACCGCAGTAATGTGCCATGGTGGAAATGGATTATGTTTCCTGGACATATATTTATTCAAAGCAAATTATACTTCTTTTACGAGCCCTGAAAGAGTGCTCAAGGAAGCTTAAATCATAAAACGGGAGTTAAATACCGTGTTGTAAAAATCCATTTGTTCCACGGTAAGATAGTGAAGCTTCTGCAGAAATTCACCTGGGCACTGCAGCTGTTGTGTTCATGCTTGTTCCAGACGTTTCATGGCATGGGTACTTGATGTGAAGTGTTGCTGCCTTTTTACACCAGAGATACTGAATTGATCGGGGGCCTGTGAGTTGTTCTTTTTTTACAGTGCACATCTGGGCTGCTGATTTAAGGCACAGCTGGACCCTCTCGTGTAGACTATTCCAATTCCATTATTTATTTCCATTATTTATTTCCCCCATTTTTCCTCTGGTGACATGCACAACTTGTGTGTGTGTGTGTTTTAAATAGTCTAGGTGTCTTTTTGGATTGAAAGTTGTTTTTTAATTGAAAATGTTGCTGATAGGTTGGTAACCAGAAAAACAGCAGGGTTTTCTTTAATTATTTTTTTTTACAGTATTACTTAATTAGTGCTATCAATGTTGTTTCGTTTCAGTATTACAAAGCAGAATATCTTAATGTCCAGAAGCCAAAATTATTTTAGGAGTAATTCAAAGATTGATAGAAAATATAAATGGGATGCTAAGATAGTGCTCGCCAAAAAAGTAGAGTGAAGTTATATGAAACGGCAGTAGCTTCACAAGTTTGCCTGTCAGATAGATCCCAGCACAACTTGAAACCATGGGAAGACAGAAGAGTATGTTAGGAAAGTATGGGAACTGCCGCCACTATTCCATTTCCTTCTCCCTAAGTCAAATTTTTTACCGTCTGAGATTGGTTACAGTTGGGAGTTTATTAGGGAATCGGTGGTGTCCATCCTTCAAGGTTTTGCCAAGCCCACCCACTGCCATTCCAAATGCCAGCCTGTAATTTTTGATAAGGTATTTAATCCAGATTTCATCTTTCCTTGGGCAGTTTTAGTGGTCAGTTTGTCATGCTTAGTTGGAGATCTGTCTACACCTCTTTGATCCCCAGTGGAGTGCAATAGGTCTTACTCGGTTTCCTAGATAGCAGCGGAAAGGCACCTATTTCCACCAGTTGCTAAAGAATGTCTGAATATAAACAGCCCGGTTCAGATGACCCATTCTTCCAAGATCTGCACGCTGTCAATGCAGGGAATTACCTCTCAGGGGGGTATTGCAGTACAGTGGTACCTCAGGTTAAGAACTTAATTCGTTCCAGAGGTCCGTTCTTAACCCGAAACTGTTCTTAACCTGAGGTACCACTTTAGTTAATGGGGTTTCCCGCGCCGCCACCACGCAATTTCTGTTCTCATCCTGAAGCAAAGTTCTTAACCCGAGGTACTATTTCTGGGTTAGCGGAGTCTGTAACCTGAAGCGTCTGTAACCCAAGATACCACTGTAGAAACACGAGGCTTTTAAAAGAAAGCAGAGGTTGAGATCTTGTGCAATGCCTTTTTGTCAAAAGTTTGCTGTTTCTTTTCTGCCCTGTGTGTTTTTAGTTGGGGGCGTAGTTGTGCGGTTAACGCTACAGGGGGCCTAAGGGCCTTTGTTATGTTTTTCAGTATTGCCACCCCACCAAATCAAACAACTGATCAATATATTACTCTTGGGACTTATCCACACTGGAGTTTGCTGTACTTTTGCAGCTGTTGCATTTCTCTTAAATTTGAGTAGTCCGCATGATGTTACCCTTAAATGCAGGCTTCCTCAACCTCGGCCCTCCAGATGTTTTTGGCCTACAACTCCTATGATCCCCAGCTAGCAGGACCAGTGGTCTGGGATGATGGGGATTGTAGTCTTAAAACATCTGGAGGGCAGAGTTTGAGGAAGCCTGCTTAAACGACACCAGTCTCAATGCTTCCCCACCTGTAAATTTGGGTTTGTCTGATCCAAGGATGATCCAATAAGGGGAGACATTAGCCTTCAAAGCACTCCATTTGGGCTTGCAAAAAGTGGTTTGGTTTTGGGATGGGTGAATCAACTCTTGACTTGGTGCTTTTCCCCTTCCCATGCCCAGAACTTCCTTGATGCTTTCTTTATTTTCTGGCTGTGCTCGTAACTATTTCTGGCACACTCCTGAACGGATCCCCCCCCCCCCCGGTGATTCCTCAGATTTGCAAAGGGGGCAAAAAAAGGAAAACTGTGCAAGCAGCCCACATTAAAAATAGTATGCTGAGAATTTACAGTTGCCTGGCCTGAGTCTATGCTTTTCTGCACTTCAGGGCATGGAAAATATTTGAAAAACAAAGTGTGTGCACATTTGTGTACATGCATGGTTGGTACTTAATTAGCACAATGGGGGAGGGAATCAGACTCTAAGGCAGTGCCTACTGGCTGGTTCTCGTTTTCCTTTTGGAACATGGGTGTGTTGCGAATGATGTAACATAGGTGTGTGTCAAAGGCACACTAGTAAGGAGATGAATAAATTTTGTGGGTTTGTGTGCCAGTCTGTCACGGTGGTCCTTGTCATGGCTCATGGTTTTCAGAAGCAGCCACTCCTGACATCGGAGCTGTCTGGATGCGTACTCCAAGCCCTTGGTGCATGACCTCTCAAAAAAGCCTGCAGGGGGGGTGTTTGCGTGCCTTGCCTCTGCTACTGTCATGCCCATTCACACTTCACATTTAATCGTAGGTGAAACGTGCTCTTTTGTGCGAGGTTATTGATTTTTCCCCCAAGGAGTGGGCTTCGAGCGAAACTGTTTCCGAAAGCAGTTTCACATGAGCAAAAGAAAGCGGGTTTAGCCCCCCAAAAGTCCTGAGCCAACCCAATCCCGCTGTTTGTTTGTTTGTCGTTTTGTTCTTAAACTGTGTTTCTATCTTCCTCTTCTTTTAAAGAGTGCAGACAGATGTACCAATTTGAGAGCAGTGGAGCCACTTTGAAAGTTCCCCTGCTGATCTCCATATAAACATACCTTATTTTGCCCCAGGATAAACTATGCTGAAAGGATTTGGGCATGTCTTCAGTGCGGTTTAGCTTAAACTGGAGAAAAACTGGCTGTGAAGCTGTTACCTAAAACCCACCAACACCTTTGCAACCATTCCTGGAGCAGTTTTTGCAGCTGCTTTTGCAAATTTAATTTGATAAGATAAAGGAAGAGTGCGGTGATACACTGCAACGTTTTACGTTTTTGGGAAAGCAGCATGGCTGAGTCAGCATCCTACTGCAGGGGAGGGCAACCAGGATGATCAGGGGTCTGGAAACCAAACCTTGTAAGGAATGGTTGAGGGAATTTGGGTATGTTTCGCCTGGTAAAGAGGAGACTGAGAGGAGATCTGATAGCCATCTTCAAAAATCTAAAGGGCTGTCCCAGGAAGGATGGAGCAAGCTTTTTGTTGTCATGAGTTCAGCCTACACATGAGTAGGGCCCTGGTAGAGACACATGCCCGACTGGGTATTTTTCTCCTGCTACGGAGGGTAGGACCCAATCCAATGGAACCAAGTTACAAGAAGGGAGATTCTGACTAAACAGGAAGAACTTTCTGACAGTAAAAGCTGTTTGAACAGACTCCCCTGGGAGGTCATGAGCTGTCCTCCTTTGGAGGTTTTTAAGCAGAGGTTGGATAGCCATCTGTCATGGGTGATCCAGTTGAGATTCCTGCCTTGCAGAGGGTTGGACTAGATGACCCTCAGGATCCATTCCAAATCTACAGTTCTGTGATTCTTAAGTTGCAAAGCTGGGATGGCACTGTCCCAGCTCCTGCCAACCCAGCAGTTTGAAAGCACACCAGTGCAAGTAGATAAAAGGGTACTGCTGTGGCGGGAAGGTATAAACGGCGTTTCCATGTGCTCTGGCTTCCATCATGGTGTTCTGTTGCACCAGAAGTGGTTTAGTCATGCTGGCCACATGACCCGGAAAGCTGTCTGTGGACAAAGGCCGGTTCCCTCAGCCTGAAAGCGAGATGAGCCCCCCAACCCCATAGTCTCCTTTGACTGGACTTAACCATCCTTTACCTTTACATTTACAGGTGATTTATCCTCAGTTACCACTGCCGAGGTTAGGTTTTAGGTCTGAGAACGTATTTTATCTGTGTGCAAAACCTAACACACCAGCCTTGTTTAAGTCACAATTGCCATTGATAGCAATGTAGCTCCTGCAACGTAACTAAAAAGTGTTCCTAAACTACTACTACTAATAATAATAATAACAATTTTATTATTTATGTGCTTCCCATTTGACTGGGTTGCCCCAGCCACTCGAGGTGGCTCCCAGCAAAATGTTAAAAACACAATAAAACACCAAACGTTAAAAACTTCCCTAAACAGGGCTGCCTTCAGATGTCTTTTAAAAGTCAGATAGTTGTTTATTTCCTTGATATCTGATGGGATGTGCTAAACGGCCTCGGTCCAGTATACCTGAAGGAGCGTCTCCACCCCCATCGTTCTACCCGGACACTGAGGTCCAGCGCCAAGGGCCTTCTGGTGGTTCCCTCACTGCGAGAAGCCAAGTTACAGGGAACCAGGCAGAGGGCCTTCTCGGTAGTGGCACCCTCCCTGTGGAACACCCTCCCACCAGATGTCAAAGAGAACAAGAACTACCAGACTTTTAGAAGACATCTGAAGGCAGCCCTGTTTAGGGAAGCTTTTAAAGTTTGGTGTATCACAGTATTTTAATATTCTTTTGGAAGCCGCCCAGAGTGGCTGGGGAAACCCAGCCAGATGGGCGGGGTATAAATAAATTATTATTATTATTATTATTATTATTATTATTATTATTATTGTGATTTGGGCTGCTTTCCCCCCTTCCTTGGTACCTTTCCCCTTTCCATGCTAGTAGGAGCATGCAAGAGAGCATGGAAAGCTTCTTTTGAATTTTCAGTACAGGACATGCAATTTTCTGTGTCTTCCAACAATCTGTGTGCCTGGATTTGATGAAAGAGCAAAGGCAGCTAAGTTGACATATTAAATTTTTTTGACTGCAGAAAAACATCCCGTGGATCTATAGCTGCGTCCCTGTCCCCCCCCCCCCCCGATTTCTTCCCCCAGATATTTTGACATCTTGGTTTTATGCATAGAACAAAGATCTAAGGTCTAATAATTTCACAAGTGGTTTTTAGATTCTTCGGAAAAGGATGGGGGGGGGGATGATCAGCCATGCCTTGTTAAAATGCCCAGACTACCCAAGCAGAGCAAAAGCCTCTTGTCAAACAAAACGTCTCTTGAGAAGACGTTTTCAAATCAACATTGACATTAGTGGCTTTTTTTGAACTCGTCTTCTGTTTTCAACATGTCACATGAGATGGGCAAGGCATGCTTTGAATAACCCCAGTTATTTGGAAAACATTTGCAAAAGGGGGGGGATGTATCAGAATTCTCACTCAGCAGTTATATAAGAACCATAGAACCATAGAATTTATAGAGTTGCGAAGGGACCTTAAAGGGTCATCTAGCCAAACCCCCTGCAATGCACAGAGATGAGAGATTTTGTTTTTAAAACTTGCATAGAATTTTTGAATTAGGATTCAGGCACACAGACCTGGAGGCACAAGTTTTGTGGTGTGAACTGGCTTTTACCTGGGCTTTCCCAAAGCACCTTCAGACTGTCGCTATTTTGGGGTGGGACTCAGTCACATACTGGCAAACCCAGGCTGCTTAAAGGTAAAGGGACCCCTGACCATTAGGTCCAGTCATGGCCGACTCGGGTTGTGGCGCTCATCTCACTTTATTGGCTGAGGGAGCCAGCGTACAGCTTCCAGGTCATGTGGCTGGCATGACTAAGCTGCTTCTGGCGAACCAGAGCAGCGCACGGAAACGCTGTTTACCTTCCCACCGGAGCGGTACCTATTTATCTACTTGCACTTTGACGTGCTTTCAAACTGCTAGGTTGGCAGGAGCAGGGGCCAAGCAACGGGAGCTCACCCCATAATGGGGATTCGAACCGCCGACCTTCTGATCGGCAAGTCCTAGGCTCTGTGGTTTAACCCACAGCGCCACCCACATCCCATCCAGGCTGCTTAATTAAAGTTCATTTGGAGTTCTCCTGCAGCAAATCTACTTGTCCCCGCTGAATGAGACTTTTGCCATAAGGAAAATGCACTAGAAAGCACAGGGTAACATTTATTTGATGCAACACCTTCTAACATCCTGCAAGCAAATCGGAATGAAAGATCAGTAAATAGCCGAGGATTTCTAACCTCGCCACATAATTTGTACAAGCAAATCAGGATGGATGCTCTATATACAGTGGTACCTCTGGTTGTGGACAGGATCCGTTCTGGAGCTCCGGTTGGATCCTGAGGTTTCCGCACCCGGAGGTGCCTGTTCTGCGCATGCACGCAGCACGATAGAGCGCTTCTGCACATGCGCGAGCAGCGAAACCCGGAAAAATACTTCCAGGTTTGCGGCTTTTGCAACCTGAAGTTTACGTTACCCAAGGGTAATGTAAGCAGAGGTTCTACTCTATACAGGTAATCTGGACTCCATCAGATAAATAAGAATGGTTCTGTTTAAAATGTGCGGTGCTCCCAGAAGCTGCGCTTACTCTGGAAAACGGCTCTCTAGCCAGGGTCAGGACTGTGGTGCATATTTTAACACACTGTGTGTTAGAAACTCAGATATATAGTCTAGGAGCCAAATGGCTCCTTAAAACAGAGCTTTCCAAACTGTGTGTCGCGACATGTTCGTGTATCGACTGCAGAGTGTAGGTGTGTCGCATGAACGCTCCCTGTGCTCCTCTCGGGGCTGGAAAGGGGTTAGTTTAACCTCCGGTTTGCTAGTAAAACTGAATTACCATGTTGTGAAATGATGCATGTCTAAAAAGTGTTGTCACCAACATGAAAAATTTGGAAAACTCTGCCTTAAACCAAAGTTGCAGTCGCCAAAATGGAATGACTAGCTTCCATTTTGGGGCCAGACATCTCTAAAACCTTGTTTTTCAAATGACAGAATGACTGTGATTGATTCTCAGTGAAACATCTGGCTAGTTCAGATGACAACCTTGAGCTAGGTTAAGAGCTTTGAGAACTTAAAAGATGAAAAGTCACTTGATCCAGGGACAGCCCCCATATATATTGGCCTATTCCGACCTCTTTTTCTTAATGGTGACTGCTCCTGCTCAGGCTGCACAGGAAAAGCAGTTTGGTTCCAGAAATTCATTCTGATTGTGCAGATAAAATATAACTGATAGAATTCTACAGGGGTGGGGTTTTAGTGTGTGAAAACAGTCCCAATCCAATGATTCCCAGATGGTGGGGACGTCAGGCGCCATCCCGGCACCTAAGCATCTTCACTTGGTCGCAAGTGGTCAAAAGCCAGGTGCAAAATGAGTCTGGCCTCTGGCTAATTTCGAGCACTGAACACACACAAACACACAAAAGTGGTCGCAGTGATGATGTCCCCCCCCCCAAAAAAAGCCTCCCCCTGCTAGCAGCAGCTTTGTGGGGGAGGTGATTTGAAGTGGGACCATGATTCGAATTGCCACCCTCCAGCAGATGGTGTGTGGACAAGACATGTTAAGTGCTGCCAGTGTCAGTTATTGTTCTGTCTACTGATAATTCAGTACAGTGGTACCTCGGGTTAAGAACTTAATTCGTTCTGGAGGTCCGTTCTTAACCTGAGGTACCACTTTAGCTAATAGGGCCTCCCGCTGCCGCCGTGCCGCCAGAGCATGATTTCCGTTCTCATCCTGAAGCAAAGTTCTTAAACTGAGGTACTATTTCTGGGTTAGTAGAGTCTGTAACCTGAAGCATCTGTAACCCGAGGTACCACTGTAGTTCCTTTGCAGCTGCAGTGGTGAGTCTTTAGAGATGCACTCAGGAAATGTTGTTGGTTAGAAAACTCATTCGTAGATACTTGTTTGGAATTACAGTGGTACCTCGGGTTACAGACGCTTCAGGTTACAGGCGCTTCAGGTTACAGACTCCTCTAACCCAGAAATAGTACCTCGGGTTAAGAACTTTGCTTTAGGATGAGAACAGAAATTGCGTGGCGGCGGTGTGGGAGACCCCATTAGCTAAAGTGGTACCTCAGGTTAAGAACAGTTTCAGGTTAAGAACGGATCTCCAGAACGAGTTAAGTTCTTAACCCGAGGTACCACTGCACCTGTTTTTCAATCTACGCCTATGTAGGGCTGGGTAACATCAGCTTTCCAGCATCACGGTCCAGCATCCCCGGACCCCATCCCTGGCAGAGCAGTCCCCGGTGCTCCCCCCACTTTCGGGGGAGCCAGAGCTGGGCTGGGGGATCCTTTACCTGCTCGGAGGAGAGCAGCAACTGCACGCTCCTCAGCCGAGCAGTTAAAAGATGCAGAGGGAGGAACAAGCTTTGCAGATGCAGTTTCTTTCTCCTTCTGCATAGCATGAGGGCAGAATGGGATGGCGGTTTCACCCAGCGATATATTGCTGCTGAAACCACTCCTGAGTCCCTCTTCTCGCAACGCTCGCTGGAGGAAGTCGCCAGCAGAGGGACTTGGGAGCAGTGGCGGTTTCACCAGTGATACAGTGAAGCCGACTCTGTGGTCTGCTCCTCAGTCCGGTCCTGGGTGATCTATTGATATATCGCCCAGGCCTACACCTCAACAATTTCCCTTAGACGCCCCATTGAATTCTGAAGCCATTTCCAAATAAGTGTGTGAGAGACATACTTATGGGATGAGGGATAGGGGAGGCCATTAGCTTTGCATCTCATTTGCTGCCTTTAAGCATTTATTTGCTGCCTTTAAGCAAATAAATTGGGAGATGCGATCAAGAGTCTCCCACGTAATGTCTAGTTTTACCCTAGTTGGCCATGTTCTACACCCTCAAAAAACTAGTTAGGGGTTCTTTTGTGTGTGTGTGCTTCTCTGGTCAGATTATTATTTTGGTTGTCATTTAGTTGTGTCCGACTCTTCGTGACCCCATGGACCAGAGCACGCCAGGCACTCCTGTCTTCCACTGCCTCCCGCAGTTTGGTCAAACTCATGTTCATGGCTTTGAGAACACTGTCCAACCATCTTGTCCTCTGTTGTCCCCTTCTCCTTGTGCCCTCCATCTTTCCCAACATCAGGGTCTTTTCCAGGAAGTCTTCTGTTCTCATGAGGTTGCCAAAGTATTGGAGCCTCGGCTTCAGGATCAGTCCTTCCAGTGAGAGCTGAATGAATTGTTCTGTGTTACTGGTTCTCAGGGAAAAGGAATCGTAACGAGTTCTGGAAAACCTATGTTGCTAATTAAATCTACCAAAATTTGGCCCCATATCTCTGCCCCCAAAACCAGACCAGTTTTGCAGGGCATGGAAATGGGTGGCGGTGTAGTTGGCATTTGTACGCAGCCTGAAAGATGAATGACTCTAATTGAATTTAGGAGACATAATCAGATGTGGCCGCTGCTGGAATTTCTCCCTTGAGTGCATCCATCCTTAGTAATTGCTCGTTTATTAGCTCTGCAAAATGCACATACCCGCTTCTCCACTGTCTTTCTACCCCTTCCCTAACAAGGAATGTGTTCGTTTTCGGTTTATAACCTGCCTGTACCTAAAGGCTCGAAAAGAATCCTGCTGGAATGTTTTTCAGCAGGTGAGAACAGGGGTTGAGCTGGGGAGGGGCTTAGCCCCCACCTAGACCTTTCCTGTTGCATCCCCCTTGCCTTGCCTTGCTGCTGGTATCACATGCTGCAGACAAAACGCTGGCAGGACAATAGCTCAGTCCCTAGAACATGAGACTCTTAAGGGTTGTTGGTTCAATCCCCATGTTGGGCAAAATATTCCTGCATTGCAGGGGTTGGACCAGATAGATGGCTGTTGTGGGCCTTTCCAATTCTGTGAGAGCCAGTGTGGTGTAGTGGTTAAGAGCTGTAGACTCGTAATCCCGGTGAACTGGGTTCGCTTCCCCGCTCCTCCACATGCAGCTGCTGGGTGACCTTAGGCTAGTCACACTTCTCTGAAGTCTCTCAGCCCCACTCACCTCACAGGGTGTTTGTTGTGAGGAAGGGAAAGGAGAATGTAAGCCACTTTGAGACTCCTTAAAGGTAAAGGTAAAGGGACCCCTGACGATTAGGTACAGTCGTGGCCGACTCTGGAGTTGCGGCGCTCATCTCGCTTTATTGGCTGAGGGAGCCAGCATACAGCTTCCGGGTCATGTGGCCAGCATGACTAAGCGGCTTCTGGAGAATCAGAGCAGCGCACGGAAACGCGGTTTACCTTCCCACTGGAGCGGTACCTATTTATCTACTTGCACTTTGACATGCTTTCGAACTGCTAGGTTGGCAGGAGCAGGGACCAAGCAACAGGAGCTCACCCCATTGTGGGGATTCGAACCGCCGACCTTCTGAGCGGCAAGTCCTAGGCTCTGTGGTTTAACCCACAGCGCCACCCGCGTCCCTTGAGACTCTTTAGGGTAGTGATAAAGCAGAGTATCAAATCCAAACTCCTCCTCTTCCTCCTCCTCCTCCTTCTTTGATTCAAAGGCTGGCTCTTATCAGACTGACTATAGCTCTTTATGGGAGCAACAGTGGTCATCCCCTCTACTGATCTTGCCCTGCAGGTTAACTGGTGTCTTGTCTACCCTGGTGATGCTATTATTGAAAGCCAAGTCAGTACCTAGTAGGGCCACCCTCAGCCATGATTTAGTTATGCTTGAGCCGGGAACTGGCCTGAATGGAAGAGCTGAAACCTGGGTGGGAGAAATGGGTTGGAGTGGATTGAACTCGACTCCATACCGACCAAGATTGGAGTGGGTGTCACTGTAGGCAGCCCCACACTGGATCTCTCGGCAGGTTTTGCTACCAATGACTGTGTTGTCCTCCTGGGGTGTCTCTGCGAGTTGGGTGTTGGGGGGCACTGCTCTGGAATGCCCCCCCCACTTGCATGGCTGGTCTCTGGGAATAGCATGAAGCTCTGTGGGCCAATGTTATATCCCCAATGCAATTTAACTTCTTTATGAAGCCATTGGGAGCAGTAGGGAGATAGGGGACCTCGAAACCTAACCTGGTATGGATTGGACGCCTTCCAGTTTTGGGAGGGAAACGGCTGTCTATCCCAGGAATGAGTCTTATACTTAGGTAAATTTTGTGACAATTTGCTTGCCATTGCTTGAGGTCCAGTGCTGAGGGCCTTCTGGCGATTCCCTCGCTGCGAGAAGCCAAGTTACAGAGAACCAGGCAGAGGGCCTTCTCGGTAGTGGCACCTGCCCTGTGGAAGGCCCTCCCACCAGATGTCAAAGAGAAAAGCAACTACAGTGGTACCTCGGGTTACATACGCTTCAGGTTACAGACTCCGTTAACCCAGAAATATTGCTTCAGGTTAAGAACTTTGCTTCAGGATGAGAACAGAAATTGTGCTCCGGTGTGCAGCAGGAGGCTCCATTAGCTAAAGTGGTGCTTCAGGTTAAGAACAGTTTCAGGTTAAGTACGGACCTCCGGAACGAATTAAGTACTTAACCCAAGGTACCACTCTACCAGACTTTTAGAAGACATCTGAAGGCAGCCCTGTTTAGGGAAGCTTTTAATGTTTAATAGACTATTGTATTTTAATATTCTGTTGGAAACCGCCCAGAGTGGCTAGGGGAACCGAGCCAGATGGGTGGGGTATAAATATATTATTATTATTATTATTATTATTATTATTATTATTATTATCTGTTTGAGATATTACCCAGCTCTTTTCTTGCCTCTTACATAGGCATACGGTTTGCTTGATTTTTTTTAAGCCGCCGCTACTACTACTGTAACGGAGCTTCCCGTTTTACTGCTGTGGTTTGTGGTGGAATGTTAAACACAATCCTGGCAACGGCAGTACATTTCTTGCACACAGTCCGTGCCTTTGGGCCGCCGTACCCAGACCTAGACATTGAGCGTGTGTGTGTGTGTGTTCTGCACGTCCGTGGCTGAACATGGAGCCAGAACTAGAAAAATAGTTTGTCAGGAGAGGAGACCAGACTGGGCTCTTCTCTCTGACATGCTAGCTTTTTGGATGCAGGGACTTCTTCAGACATGATTCCCCCTCCCCACCCCTTATACCATTTGAAATGATGCTGTTCGGGAGAAGCTTCACCCTTCTTTCCGAGCCAGTGTTGTGTAGTGGTTAAGAGCGGTGGATTCGTAATCTGGGGAACCGGGTTCGCTTCCCGGCTCCTCCACATGCAGCTGCTGGGTGACCTTGGGCTAGTCACACTTCTCTGAAGTCTCTCAGCCTCACTCACCTCACAGAGTGTTTGTTGTGGGGGAGGAAGGGAAAGGAGAATGTTAGCCGCTTTGAGACTCCTTAGGGTAGTGATAAAGCGGGATATCAAATCCAAACTCTTCTTCTCTTCTTCTTCTAATTGTATAAATTAGCAGCTTTCATTTTTCTCTGGGGACGGGTGACCTCTGAACAGCAAGGCTGCAGAATGTTGCTTTTTAAAAAAACAAAGCAAAACCACGCAGCTGAGCCAGAAAACAGATAAAAATGGAAGAATAATACTTTTTGCTCTGACTTCCCCTTTGTCCTCAGAAAAGCCTTTGCCATTCTCAGCGGTAATGCAAAATTATGACAACTACAGGGAGTGAAGTTCCGTCCTGTAGCTTCCCTTTAGTGTACAATACCTGGCTGAGTTACAAATCGGGAAATCCCTGATATGAATCCACAATGAACTCGCTATCCAGGCTGGCAACTTCTAGCACTGTGCAATCACCGCGTTTTCCACTCTCTGCTGCTGCTGCTGCTGCTGTTTAATTTCTGAGTTGTTTCTTACAAAGAAGTATTGAAGCTGTTTATGGGCCGAATGAAATGCAGTGGTACCTCAGGTTAAGTACTTAATTCATTCCGGAGGTCCGTTCTTAACCTGAAACTGTTCTTAACCTGAAGCACCACTTTAGCTAATGGGGCCTCCTGCTGCCGCTGCACCGCCGGAGCATGATTTCTGTTCTCATCCTGAAGCAAAGTTCTTAACCCGAGGGACTGTTTCTGGGTTAGCGGAGTCTGTAACCTGAAGTGTGTGTAACCTGAGGTACCACTGTACATATCGGTACATCTGTTTATAAATGTTTATTCACAATACAAACATGTAAAATGAAAAAAGAACAAATCTTTCCCCACCCAGCCGTAGGATGAGCACCCAGCTGCTAGCATAAAAAAACATGGCTGCAAAAACTAATATGGCAGTGCCCCAGAACCCAGGAGAATAGGAACATCTTTACTTGGTGTTTCAAGATTATAGCGTTGGGGGCCTGGCAAACTTCCCTGGGGAGACACTTATGTGTTCCACAGCCTGGGGCCCCCATTTTCACCATTGTCACATCCTTCCAGCCTTCTCTTGGAGATGGCACAGAGGGAATTGAAATTACCGCTGACTTCCCACACTCTTTTGGGTGTACATCTTTTTGTGTTCCATTCAGACTGTTGGGCGTGACAAAGCTTCGTGAGTGTGCCATTTTGTGCAGTGGGTTTTATTTTTCTAATCGATTTCTACATTTGCACTGAGGGATGTTTCTAAAAACTTTAAGCACTGCTGCGTGAATATATGTGCTTTTAATATGGGCCCTATGTGTTTGACCACAACTTTAAAAATTGAATGCGGCTGGGAAGGGATTGACATACTGCTAAAATGGCGGTGATCATTCCGAAGTGTTGCCTGAAATATCACTGCACTTGTCAAAACCGTGAGAAAGCATCCTTAAGGTGTTTTTACACCTAAGGTGATCCATGGGGATTGCGGAGCTGTTCTGCTCCTTCCCTGCAAGCAATTCGCACTGTCATGTAACTGCCCTATAGACAAATCAGAATAAATGGTATGTACTGTTCTGTATTGGGGGGATGGGCAGACTCCCCATAATCTCCACATTCGGTGAAGGTTCAGAATTTGAGCAAACTCATGCATTCGTGAATTTAGCGAGGGCTGGGAATAACACCAGCTATCATCCCCATGAGGCCAACCTGGTGATGGTGGGTCGTTGAAGAAACATTGGTTTCCGTTAGCCCCTCAATGGATGTAATCAACCTGGCAGAAGGCCCATAGGGGGGTTGCCAGGGTAACAGGGGTGTGTGATGTCACCACAGGAAGAGAGGGTGTCCTTGTACAACAGAGGTGTGGGGAGCAGGGGTTTCTGGGAAGAAAGAACAGGAAGTGGGCAGAACTCCATGCAGGGACTAAAGAGCAGCAGGCTGTTGCAAAGAGAGAGTAGGACGGTGCATAGGATGCCTCCATATCCATTGCTGGGCTGCTACGAAGTACAAGCCCCTCTTGGGATGTAAACGCGATGTTCTCTGTCTCCATAAAACTCTGCAAACGAACCATATTTCTTAAAGCCACTAGTCTCTGCTGCATCTCAATTTCCCCCAAGGAAACAGAAACTCTGGTTGAGTGCCAAGACCCCTGGAATCTCCTACTACCACTCGGCAGAAATTGGGGTGGCCTGTAACAGTATGGAAACCAGACATAGTTTTCACTGTTGTGCAAGGGTTGTGTAAATCAGGATGCATGCTGAATAAACGGCTCGTTCGTTTCTCCGAGAGACAAAAAAAACCCCATAAAAGTACAACCATTGGATGATGGGATTCGGAGAAGACCTTCTCCCACAGGCTGATCTAAATGGCTAGGATTGCAGTTCTAGCCCCCCTTCCTTTCCTTGCTGGTTTTGGGGGTGGCTAGGATGGTGGGCAAGGGACGCGGGTGGTGCTGTGGGTTAAACCACAGAGCCTAGGGCTTGCCGATCAGAAGGTCGGTGGTTCAAATCCCCGCGACAGGGTGAGCTCCCGTTGCTCGGCCCCTGCTCCTGCCAACCTAGCAGTTCGAAAGCACGTCAAAGTGCAAGTAGATAAATAGGTACTGCTCCGGTGGGAAGGTAAATGGCGTTTCCGTGCGCTGCTGTGGTTCTCCAGAAGCGTCTTAGTCATGCTGGCCACATGACCCGGAAGCTGTACGCCGGCTCCCTCGGCCAATAAAGCGAGATGAGCGCTGCAACCCCAGAGTCGGTCACGACTGGACCTAATGGTCAGGGGTCCCTTTACCTTTAGGATGGTGGGCAATTCGCCTCTGCACCAACTTCTGCTGGCATAGAGGAATGCTGGCTCTCTCTGCCCCCATTACGACTGCTCTGCCTGGCACCTTTCACATGAGATATGCATGCACACACAAGATTATTTTTTTAGCAGCGCATGTGAACATAGCTCATTTGGGGTAAAATACGGAACGGAAACTCAACCCCGGTTGTAGCTTTTACAGCCTCCCATTACGGAAAAAAGACTGTTTTAATCTCCATGTATGTGGACACCTTAAAATGGTAAAGAGAGCATGAGGCCTTGAGGGTTGGGGTAAATGCCAGAGGAAGGAGACTTCCGCAGTCTCCCTAGGCAGCTTCTTCCTCTGCTGAAATAGCCTTGGAAGTGGGAAGGGTTTCTCCCATAAATATAATCTTTTTCCTAATAAGGCGTGTTGGCCTGTCTCCTGAAAGATATTTCTGTCTCTGTCTTTTTTTTTAAAAAGAGTCATACTCTGGGAGATAAGGGCCTAGGATTGGAGAAGGTTAACTTGCCCATGTCCATGTTTGGATTGCCTCTTGGCTGTAATGTTTTCCCTGCATGGTACATACATGTTAAGCCTTTTCCCCCTTTTCTTTTAAAAAAAAAGGATTGGACAACTTCACAGCTCTTGTTTATTATTTTTAGCTCATCCTTAACTTCACAGAGTTCAAGGTGGAAGACATACAGTTTTCTCAAGCCTGTTTTATACCTAACAAGTTTGTGAGGGAGCGTTGGGTTCAACCTGAAGTTCTCCAATAGACTTCATGGCTGAATGGGTGTTTGAAACCAAGTCTCCCTAGATTATGAGTTTGCGTACTTACACCAAACTGACTTTTGACCCACTTGGCAAGGTGGAATTTCCATGAAGAGCACAAATACACTTCCTTTATTTGTTGGCTGCGCTTCTGTGCTGATAAACGGCACTTAGGGCTGGGCGATAATCTGGTTTTCAACATCGTGATTATATCACCAGCCAAACATTGCTATGCACCAATATATCACAATGTCTAAAATAAGGATGGAGACATTGGCTGGCTTCATGGTTCCCCCCACATTGGTGATTTTTGCTTAGCACACCCCCAGACACCATGATTTGCAGTATAGTGCCAGCTAAAAACCATGAAACTGATATCATGATATGGACTTCAAACCGGTTTTGGACAATATATCGCCCAGCCCTAATGGCACTCTGAGCTACCAATGACGCCTTTGCCTCATGCAACAGTGCAGGGTCCAAACTGTGAACCCGATTCTTTAGGGGCACAGAACCACAGAGCTTAGGGCTTGCCGATTGGAAGGTCGGCGGTTTGAATCCCTGCAACAGGGTGAGCTCCCGTTGCTCCGTCCCTGCTCCTGCCCACCTAGCAGTTCGAAAGCACGTCAAAGTGCAAGTAGATAAATAGGTGCCGCTCCAGCGGGAAGGCAAACGGCATTTCCGTGCACTGCTCTGGTTCGCCAGAAGCGGCTTAGTCATGCTGGCCACATGACCCGGAAGCTGTACACCAGCTCCCTCGGCCAATAAAGCGAGATGAGCGCCACAGCCCCAGAGTCGTCCACGACTGGACCTAACGGTCAGGGGTCCCTTTACTCTAACCACCTTCAAACCATGTTGAACACTGCCCAGCTAGGCAGATTCTTGAAAACCAGAGGATGGTATACAACAGTAGGACATCATATTCCAGGGTGGGTTGAAAAAACACACAACCCAATGATTTTAAAAGTTGCATTTTAAAACCAGACTTTAAAATTTTAAATAGGATCTTTTTTTAATGACTTTGTTGATTGTTGGAACAATGGGGCAGTTGCTGTACACACCTTCCCAAGCACATGACTATGCAGAGTTACCTGTGCAGACCACCTGAATGAAGCCTGTGGAACATTGGTGCTCCCTGCACTTTGGGAACTCCTGCAGTAGGCTATATTCTAGCCATGCAAAATTAATTTTCTACACACACACACCCCCCAACCCCAACCCCATTCTCTGCATTTTCCATCTAAGCAAGTGGCATCACTGCTCAAGGATGCTTTCCAACCAGGCAGAACTACTTAAGAAGGGTGCAGAACAGGATGGGGTGCGCATGGCCTGGAGAGAGTTTTCAGGGCCAGATAGAAGCACATTTGGCCCCCTGGACCTGCAGTTCCCCACTCCTGCTTTAAACTAAGTTATCAAATGTTAAATAACATGCCTTTGAGGTTTATAAATTACGACTTGACACCCAGGCAGCATTTGCTTTAGGGCCAGTTCAGATATAGACTGCATTGTTCACTTAGAACCCGAAGCCAAGGAGTACGCTTTGTTAAGCCGTTTGGATCCACTGGACCCAAAGCCTCATGGATCCCCTTGAGATCTGGCCCTCAGCTGCATGAGCCTGGAGCCCAGGAAGTATAAATGCTGTAATAAGCAGATATGTTTTAATGGTTACAACTACCAATTAGTTATACATGCTTACTTAGGAAATATGTTAATTGGAATGTTGGAGGCTTTAGCCTCCTCCTTGGTGATTTAAATAATAATTTAAATCAGTCTGTGATTTATATAAATGCCCTGCTTGTGAGTAAATACACACACTCAAATCCACATTTGTACATAGTTTAAAAACACAAAGTGAAATAGATAAAGCATAGCAGCAGCAGCTAATTTCAAAATACCACTTGGCAATAATTTTCCTTTCCATTGTGTGAACCGGCCTTTTCCTTAGTTGGGGTGTAATGTGGGGTTTTTTATGTTGGTCTTTGGAAATGTAGAGAATGGTTAAATTATTCAAGTATATAAGTAGAGGACAACATGCAATGGTAGAAACATGTATATGCAAAATGTTGGTAGACGAAAGTTTCGCAGAGCTGGAAATTTATACTTAGGTGCGTTTTTGTAGTATATTTCACGGCACAACAGGACAAATCTCATTTCCTTGCACTGTTTGCACGTTAACCAGTCTTGCGGTATTTCTGCTTCAGATTCCTTGCACTCTTGCAAAGTGGCTTGGGGATTAAGGGGGCTTTTGCTTTGTTTATATCGAGATATTAATAGCCACGTTCTCTTCTCCCCCAATCCCCCCCCTTTTTTGTTCTTAGCTAACAGCCTTTGACCACCACCATGAGTTGGAGTTTCCTGACACGTCTCCTCGAAGAAATCCACAACCACTCCACGTTCGTTGGGAAGATCTGGTTGACGCTGCTGATCGTCTTCCGCATCGTCCTCACCGCCGTGGGAGGCGAGTCCATCTACTACGATGAGCAGAGCAAGTTCGTGTGCAACACGGAACAGCCGGGCTGCGAGAATGTTTGCTACGACGCTTTCGCCCCGCTCTCCCACGTGCGCTTTTGGGTTTTCCAGATCATCCTCGTCTCCACTCCCTCGGTGATGTACCTGGCCTACGCCATTCACAAAATCGCCCGGATGGTGGAGCACGGCGAGACGGAGAGGAAGTTCCGAAGCAAGCCTTTCCCCATGCGCTGGAAACAGCACCGGGGCTTGGAAGAGGCTGAGGACGACCACGAGGAGGACCCGATGATGTACCCGGAGATCGAGCTGGAGAGCGAGAACAAGGAAAACCCACCTCCGACCAAAGTGAAGCACGACGGCAGGAGGCGCATCCGAGAGGACGGCCTCATGAAGATTTATATACTGCAACTCCTGAGCAGGACTGTTTTTGAAATCGGCTTCCTCGTCGGCCAGTATTTCCTCTACGGGTTCGAAGTGAGCCCGAGATTCCTTTGCAGCCGGAAGCCGTGCCCGCACACGATAGACTGCTTCATTTCGCGGCCTACGGAAAAAACCATCTTCCTGCTCATCATGTACGGCGTGAGCTGCCTTTGTTTACTTCTGAACGTGTGGGAAATGCTCCACTTGGGGTTCGGCACCATCCGGGACACGCTGAACAATAAGCAGAAAGAGTTGGAGGACTCGGGGACTTACAACTACCCGTTCACTTGGAACACGCCGTCCGCGCCTCCGGGCTACAACATCGCGGTGAAGCCCGACCAGATCCAGTACACAGAACTGTCCAACGCCAAAATGGCCTACAAGCAGAACAAGGCGAACATCGCCCAAGAGCAGCAATACGGCAGCAACGAGGAGAACATCCCCACCGAGTTGGAGACCCTCCAGCGGGAAATCAAAGTCGCCCAGGAACGCTTAGACCTCGCCATCCAAGCCTACAACAACCAGAACAACCCAACCTGCTCCAAGGAGAAGAAGCCAAAGGGCAGCTCAAATAAAAGCAGCGGCAGCAGCAAGTCAGGGGATGGGAAAACCTCGGTCTGGATTTGACGCTGCCCTGCCTGGGAATTAATGCTGTGCTGCTTACGCTGACCAGCAGACTCGCTGCCTAAGGAATTCCAATAAATAAAATGTTTGGCTTTGTTTAAGTTCAGGGGTGTTTGGGGCTGCCAGAGGACACTCTCCAAAGTGGTGGGGGCGGGGGGGGGGGGGGAAGAAGCGTTTGTGCTCACATTCCACTGTTTCCAGAACATTTATTTCTTGTTTCTTCCAGGTCAGGAGAAGACCCGGGTTTATTTTTTTATTTTTTAAAAACCCAATCATTCTCGTTGGAACGGTTTACACTGTGTGTACAGCATTATGGTACATTTTATTATGCACAATTTTTGGTATTTGTACATTGGATATCTCAGTTATACTTTTTATATTAAAAGGAAACAAAGTTGGTAATTCTGGGTGTTTTTGTAAGGTCTTTTTCTCTCCTTAGGCCTGCAGATCTAAAAAAAAAAAATTCACCCTAGATTTCCCTGAATTTTGACAATGAGGTGCTCCCCCCCCCCAAAAAAAGTTAGAGAAGCTCATGAACAGGGATGGGAATATTGGAATTTTTTAAAAGTGTCAATTTGATGCCTAGCACAATTCTTCAGCGACTGCTTAACTAAGAGAGAGGGAGGGATTGTGGCTTGGCAGCAGTAAGAAAGCGTTACACCAGCCGTGTATTTAGCGCTTGCCTGGAGTGTCACAATCTGGATATTTAGCTTATCATTTCTTGTAACTTCCGATGTGTGCTTATTTTTTTCTACACTAGTTTTTCAAACATGGGAGGAACTGAAATGGTAGAGAAGTGACAGCTTTTCAGAGAATTAAAGGGGGTAGGCTATGAAGCTTTCTAATATACCGTATTTTTTGCTCTATAACACGCACCAGACCATAACACGCACGTAGTTTTTAGAGGAGGAAAACAAGAAAAAAAATATTCTAAACGAAATAGTGGATATATGATTTTTGTGGTTCATGCTGTGGCCACAGACATGTGATCTGACAGTGAGTTTGGAGTAGCCCAATGCAAAAATCCTGAGGATCCATGTGGATCCATGCTTTGTAACCACGGAGGAGGGAAGGAAGGGGAACCATGGATCCTCTGCTCACGACTGCAGCAGATCCCCCCCGCCACCCGCAGGCATCTGCTCCATAACACGCACAGACATTTCCCCTTTCTAGGAGGAAAAAAGTGAGTGTTATGGTTCTCCACAGAATTGTGGAGTTGGGACTCTGAGGATCTTCCCGTTCAAACCCTTGCGATGCAGGAATAACGTAGCTGTCCCATATGGGAATCAAACCTCCAACCTTGGCATTATCAACACCCACTCACTAACCAACTCCAGGCTGTACCGCCTTCATCACTGGACAAACAGATTTTTCTGAGCTTTTGGAAGCGCTGTGAGAACTGAAATAGCTGCTTAAACCAGAGAACCATAGTCATTTGAGGTGTGGAATTCTTGCACATGGATATTTGGGAGGCAAGTATAGCAAAATAATTTCGCCTCCAAATCTCCGAAAAAGGATCCTTTGCATACAGCCTTGTTTGAAGGGTTCTTCATTGTTGCTAAATGACAGGGCTGTTCTGATTAAATGGCTTCCCATTTTTCTCATTGCTCAGAGCAATATGAATTCTAGGGGTGGAGGGGAGAGATGTGTTCAGAGTTTGTTTTGCTCAAGAGACCAGTCGGATTTTGGCATTTGTCTTAGGTTTATAATTAGACAACAGAGAAGGCAATGTTTAGTGCCTTCGGTGATGCCTTTTTGGCAAGGGCAAGGGAGAACAGAGATGAGAGGTTGATGTGCAGTGTACACTACTTTCAACTAATAATGTATTACACATCCAGGGCCGTGCTGTTCTGTTCTGCTCCCTGTCTTCTGGTGGTATGGGGCTATTCTTCGCGGAACTGCTCTATGATTTCTTCCCAAGGTATGGAAGTCAGGGGTGGCCAGGCTAAAAACCTACTTGGATGTATTCCAAAACGTCCAGCTTTCCAGCTTTCTCTCTCAACCCCCCCCCCCCAAAAAAAAACCCTCAAGGCAACTCAAAGTATGCAAATCTTGGCGAAGGGATAGGACTGGCTCCAGAGTTAGTCATGCTTAGGGGAGATCCTTTGAAATCACAAGACTTAAGTTAGTCATCCTGACTACACTTAAGCACGGTATCCAACCCTTATAAACTATATTCTGGAAGTTCGGATCCATTACTTCACAGCTTCCTTGGAAATACATGCCTGCGCTGCCTTTTAAAGGCTTCTAAAGGATAGGACTTGGGTGTATAACAGAGGAGAATAATTGAGTACAGTGGAACCTCGGGTTGCAGACGTAAGCCGTGATGGAGGCACACCCGCAGCGTTCGCATCCTGAAGCGCTGCGTCTGCGCTGGCATGATTCGGTGCTTCTGCGCAGAGTGCAATTTAGTGCTTCTGTGCATGTGCGAGTGGTGAAACCCGGAAGTAACTCATTCCGGTACTTCCGGGTTTCCTGCGGTCCATAACCCGAAAACACGTAACCTGAAGCGTCCGTAACATGAGGTATGACTGTATGTGGATCAGTGACTTCTCTGAAGATCTTAGTAAAGTAGCTGACTCGAATGCAAAAGAGACTGTCCCGAAAGTTTTAAGAAGATAGTCATAATCTTTACCAACCTTTCTGGACCAACTTTAGATAAATACATGGTTCTGGTTTTTAAAAGGCAGCACCTATCTGTTTGTTGTTGTTATAACCTTGAAGACGGCTGAAAAAACATGCTGGATTTCTAAGTTCCCCTGAGGATGGTTTCTGTCCCCGATGGGAAGTTTGAAAAACCTTATCTGTGGATATCTTCATTAACCTTAGAATGAGGTTTGGTCATTAACCCATCTGAGCTGAAGCAAGTTGGCTTATCTGACTATTCCTTGACTCTTCGATCGGAAATGGCTCTTGAGACGTAAGGTTATCGGATGCCTTAAAAGCTGCAATTGGGAGGGGGCAGTTGAAAGAGGAGCAGGAGGAAGGAGCCTGTAAACTGTCCATCTCCCTTTCGTGACCCTTCTCCAGACGTAGATGCAGAATGAGATCCGCCCAGCACTGCGGATGGGAAGCCTGCCAACAGTGGCACCAGGAAGAGTATACATGGGTGCCTGTTTCCATTTGCTTTGAAAAATGGGTGGCAACTGCACAGGCAGACCCATTTGAGGTGCCAATAATTGCCTTTTCCTGACGTGGATGCTGGTGTGTCCAGTGCTTGCCTTCAGACTACAGAAACGGGTCTTGAATTCTACCTTTTTGCCCAGATGTATCGGCACCCAGCGCAAGATAGGGGTGTGTGCAACAGCTGTTGTGTGTGCACAGCCCATTTGCACAGGCAAAGCGATGGGCGGAATGGGGCACATCCCTTGACAAGCTGAAAACGGCAGCTTTCAAAACCTTCTCTGAACAACCCAGAAGGACCAGTAAAGTAAAGAGTTGGAAAGACAACTTGCCCATTATTCCCAGTATGCATTGGGATGTGGGTGTTTGCATACTAGAGTGTGCCCGCAGTTCCCCTGAAGCCAGGTAAAGGCCAGAAGCCCTGGCCTATGCCCTGCTTGGTTCATTGTAGGACGAGCCGCAGAATCTTCTGCGACACACTGTGGTTGCTGGTGTCCAGTGGTAGGGTGGATACCTGGGAGGCCAACAGTAGGGGGAGCCAGAGCGAACGGCAGGCGGGTCCCACCACCTGACCAGTTGTAAGAAGGCAGGGGCAACCTGGCTAAGGGCAGGGAGGTTGGTGGGGCAGTGCCTCCTTTGCCTCTACTGAGGATGCAGAGAAATTACTTGGCAGGAAGGGAATCCCTAAAGGCAGGAAGTTGGAAAACCACTGTTGCATGTGTCCACGTACAGTGGTACCTCTGGATGCAAACAGGATCCGTTCTGGAGCTCCGTTTGTATCCTAAAGCGAACGCAAGCCGCATCTGTGCGGGTCGCGATTCGCCGTTTCCGCGCACGCGCGTGATGTCATTTTGAGCGTCTGCGCATGCGCGAGCTGCGAAACCTGGCAGTAACCTGAAAACTCTCAACCTGAAGCATATTTAACCCAACGTATGGGACGCGGGTGGCGCTGTGGGTTAAACCACAGAGCCTAGGGCTTGCCGATCAGAAGGTCGGCGGTTCAAATCCCCGCGACGGGGTGAGCTCCCGTTGCTCGGTCCCTGCTCCTGCCAACCTAGCAGTTTGAAAGCACGTCAAAGTGCAAGTAGACAAATAGGTACCACTCCGGCGGGAAAGTAAACGGCGTTTCCGTGCGCTGCTCTGGTTCGCCAGAAGCGGCTTAGTCAGAAGTGGCCAATAAAGCGAGATGAGCGCTGCAACCCCAGAATCAGCCACGACTGGACCTAATGGTCAGGGGTCCCTTTACCTTTTTATGACGGTAGTTGCTTGGGCTTGCTTCCGCTTGCTTCTCTCTGCGACAATCATTTGCATTCCTTTGCACTTTGCGCAGGAAAAGAGGCAAACTTTTGCTGCCAGCAGTTAAACTTCTCCCCCCAAATGCAAAGTGACTTGAGCTCCAAACCCTTGTTTCCATAGCTGTTTCATATTCATTTTAGCTGCAAGAAGGAGAGTTCATCTTACTTTGAAATGGAGCATGTGTGGCTTCCAGTGAAGTGGATGTTTTTTTTATGCCGACGAGCCGTCACACGGCAAGTTCTCAAAACCTCTTTGTTGGGGAGGAAGAGGACTAGATGAATTTTTCTATTGAAGCCGGGCTTTTGCCCTGGAGCTCCTTGTCATTGTCGGCTTAGGAAAACGTCAAGCAACAGTGCTCGAGTGTCCCTAAGCATGTGCAGAATACATTTCCCCTCGCTGCTGAATAACTATAGCTTATCAAGTTTAATATTATGGGACAGGCTGTCCTCTCATAGGGTAGTATGTGGCTTCCAGGAAAGGCCTGGGAATAAAATACGCCTAATACTTGCTATTCTTTTGTTGGCAGGCTGTGAGTTTTTGCAGGTATTGAACACAGATGCAATAACTCCTGCGACATAGTAGGCCGCTTGCTATTGGCTAGAGGTACAAGATGCATCGGAATCTGATAGATTTGCATGCTTCTGTTTCATGATGAATTTTTCAGAAGCCACTCTTGTGGTTGCGGAACTGGAGAGTCTGCTCTGAGGACAATGAGAGAGCCGCGTCCTCAGGCATGGCCAGTGCAGAAGTGGGTGCTAGGGCATCCTGTCAGCTTGCAAATAAATCCAGAAAAGTTACTAGTCCTCAGCATTTTATTGTATTTTTAAAAAACAAACCATTGGCTATATATACTATTATCAGTCACTGATGCCCTACAGCGGAAAAAAGGGAGTCAAATTTTGATTTTTAAAAATAGAAGCCTCCTTCCTTGTCACAAGCAAGTTTAAAGACTTGTGTTAAATATAATTTTTATACGACATAACACCTGTAAACATTTCAAGTGTCCCGTGTGTTTCAGGTGCAATATCTGGATGTTGTAATGCTTGCAACAGCCTTGAGAGGTAAGTTATTCGCCCCTATTTTGCAGATGGAAGGGGCAGAATGAAGCATGAGAGAAAGTAGCTTTGCCCTAAGGCCACCCTAGTGAGTTCCTGGCAGAGGCAAGATTCGAACCCGGAACTCACTGATCTGCAACTTCCTCTTCCAGCCATTACACTACCCCAGCTCATTTTACTTTTACGTCATGTGATGCAGACTTGCACTCTTTATCCTGAGGCTTTCTGCATGTGCTCTAAAAACACTCATTTTATCAATCACTTTTGTTCCTTCCAGGGCTGAGTGGGCATTCCGCAAACCATGTTCCAAAGCTTAGGGAGCCCTGTGCTCACATTTAAACCCTGGAAATATACAGATGCATTGTGCTTTTATGACGGAAAAACGGAAGGTCAATGTGATGCTAACAGAAAGGCATTCGAGACGGAAGGGGGGAAATTTGCTGGTCGGAAGCCAAAACTTGCAGGCGTCGGGAGACGGTAAGTAATGCAAACCAGCATGGTTGGAGAGCAGTTTGTGGTACTCTTGGGTTTGCAACAGCTCCCAGCATCAGAAGCACATAGTAGTACGGGACAAATGCAGAACAGAAAGGGATTTTGGTAGCTTGGCTTTTAAAAAAACAAACCAATACCAAACTGCTCAGCATAACCAAAAGCCCCTTAAAAGGTTTTTCAGCAGCACAAGACTGTGGTACAGAAACCTCAGCACCGGGTTTTTATAATGAACAGGGCTAGGATTGCCCTCTGTATTAATTTCAAAGGCATTTTGCAAATTGCAATGAAGGTATGGAAGATCGCATTGTCTTCCATTCAGACTCTTGAGACCAAAACCCTGGGTTTGTTCCCATCCCCTTCTCAATCTGTAAGCAGAAACCTTTTTGTTCCGTCAGCTGACTGGGAACACTCACTTTCTGAGGCTTAGGAAGTTAAATCCTGCATAAGGAACCTTTGCCACTTCCCGATCCCTTATCCTCGCTGCAGAAGACTTCCAACATTTTCTGCCATTTTAGGAGAATAACTTAGTGGTTCCTTATTGGTAATACTGGGAACGGGCAAGAGAAATTCGGGAGAACCGCCATCCTTACAATGGTCCTTGCATCTAGCCAGCAAATATTTAAATTCCAGGAACATGACTCAACACCCAGAATTCCTTCAGGGAACTTGTAAACCTGAATATTCAAAGCTATTTATTTTCAATGTAAAACATATTCTGAAGGTGCCTTTGCCAGATCATGGGGGATATTGAGGCACCTTATCTCAGACTTAATGTCATCAGTTCCTAGATTTGCAATGTTTTCAAACTCTGCTAGTATCGTCTTCAACACAGGGTTGCTTCTGCCAGGTTGGAAAGAATCAGCAAGATGTCATCCACTAATAAATGTATTGTGTGTTTGTTAATGTGTCTAAAGAATACTGAAAATCAATGTACAGTGGTACCTCTGGTTACGTACTTAATTCGTTCCGGAGGTCCGTTCTTAACCTGAAACTGTTCTTAACCTGAAGCACCACTTTAGCTAATGGGGCCTCCGGCTGCTGCCGCGCGATTTCTGTTCTCATCCTGAAGCAAAGTTCTTAACCCGAGGTAGTGTTTCTGGGTTAGCGGAGTCTGTAACCTGAAGCATATGTAACCCGAGGTACCACTGTATTCTTGTGGCCATTCAGAAGGAATTAAAGTTTGTGTGAAGTAGGTCTGTTCCTGACAAAAGGATGGGACAAGGGAATTAGATTGGTTCACTGCTTTGTTACAGTTTTTGCGGTTTTAAAGGTGCATCGTTTTCAGCTGTTTCCAGGACACTTTTTCAAATAGCAAGGGGCAGATTCTGAAATTAAAACATAGCACGATAACAGGGTTGTACAGATCTCTGTAGCATGTAATCCAGATCTTTTCTGTGCCATCTTCAGTTGTCTGACTATCTGTGTCTCATCTTCTAAGCTGCAAGCATCGTATTGTACGTGGGAAATTTTCTTTCTCTTAACAGCAGCTTCGGAAAGGCCGGTCTCTGTGTCCCTCATCACCTCTTATCTTCAGAACCGTTTTGCAAAGCAGCTCAATCCTTAGGCCAAAGATGAAGGGCTGAAGGGGATAGAGAAAACAGTTGAAGATCATTGTGTTAATAAGGAAGAACGATGGACCCTTTGGAAGATCAGAAGGACACATTGACAGTGTGGGGAACTCCATTCAGGAGCAGGGCTTGTTTGCTCGGGGTAAAGATGGGATGAAACATTTTAATAATAATAATAATAAATAATAATAAATTTTTATACCCCGCCCTTCCCGGTTCAAAAACCGGGCTCAGGGCAGCTAACAACAAATTTAAAACACTTTAAAACAATTATAAAAGCAGCATAAAATACAGTATAAAAACATGAATGACAATAAAAATAAAAAATCTATTAGATAATCCTCAGGGCTAGCTGGCTGAATTGGTCCTACTTGGGCCAGTGAGGAGCCAGGGGAGAATTAGCTGTGGGGTATCGGAGCGGGTGATCTTCATAAAAGGGGAGGGGGGAAGGAAGAGAAGGGAAATAAAAGATCAGGCTGAATTCAAATTAAAGGCCAGGCGGAATAGCTCTGTCTTACAGGCCCAATGGAAGGAGGTTAAATCCTGAAGGGTCCTAGTCTCATGGGACAGAGCATTCCACCAGGTTGGAGCCATCACTGAGAAGGCCCTTAAATGTAGCAGGAGAGATTCCAAAGGGTTCTTGCTGCCTTTAAGACATCTGTGCTTTCTTACGTTGGGGAGCAGAGCGGGGTGGCAGGAAGGGGTGGAATCCTGAAACTTTCCAGCACAGCAAGGACTAGCCAGGTGTGGTGGGGCACCTGTCATTCACCCAATGTACCGTATTTTTTGCTCTATAGGGCGCACTTTTTCCCCTCCAAAAATTAATGGGAAATGTGTGTGCGTCCTATGGAGCGAATGCAGGTTCCTTGGCTTCAGCGATAGCAAGGCGAAGCCTCCAAAACGCAGTGGGAGCGCTCCCTCCGCGCTCCAGAGGCTACGCGTTGCTTTCGCTGAAGCCTGGAGAGCGAAAGGGGTCGACGCGCACTGACCCCTCTCGCTCTCCAGGCTTCAGGGATAGCCGCCTGAAGCCTTCAGAGCGCAGCGTGAGTTCCCGCTGCGTTCCGGAGGCTTCAGGTTCCTTTTGCTGAAGCCGGGAGAGCAAGACTCTCCTGGCTTCAGCAGAGAGGGAGAGCTGCGCAGCGCCCCTTCAGCGAAGCGGGAGGAGAAATGGAAGGGGTTCCAGTTCTCCTGCCGCTTCGCTGAAGGGGCGCTGAGCAGAGAGGGGGAGATTTTTTTTCTCTCTTCTCCCCCTCTAAAACAAGGTGCGTCCTATGGCCGGTTGCGTCCTGTAGAGCGAAAAATACGGTATTTCAAAACACTGCAGCTGGTCAGTTTTGCTGCTATTTTTCCAGTGTTCAGATTCCTCTCCCACCCCCCTCAAAAGATAGCGATGGAGGAATGTAACGAAGTGACCTGCGCTTGCTTTTCAGGAGAGACAAAACGGGAAAGCCCAGGCTAAAAGCACACACAGATGGCCACGACCGAGAGGTAAGCTGGAAAACCTTGCATTTGAGGACTTGCCTGGGCCTCCTAGGCAACCAAGAATTCTGTGGCTGCCAGAGAGCTGCTAGCCAACTGCATATCTAGAAAGATGTATGTGTGCACCCTGGCCTGCAGGGAATATAAGAATGTATATATTATATAGGTGGGGAGGGTTACCAGGAGGAGTGAAGAACCCTCTTCTAACCGCAGTGTGATTTTATCTTTGGTTACCTTTTTTCTGATGGGCCACTGCTCAGACTGGCTTCCTGTTTCTGGTCCTTAGTCTGAGATGCTCTATTGGGAAAAGGGACAACACACACTATAATTTTTATTAGATTTGGGGGGCGCTGAACCAGTTTGGTTGTGTTTTGGTTGTTGGTAAAAAAACAAACAGTGAAAACCCCCAGGCGGCTGATACATTGGGTTTACATAATCAATAATAACATATTCAGAACAACCATATGTACAATTCCATATACCTTAACACTTCTCCCTCCACAAGGTTTATTTAACTTTTAACATTTTAATTGCCCCAAATTGTTCAAACCTGCCCAAATAATTCAATTTATTCTCAAACCAAGCCTCCTCCTTCTCACTGACCTTAAACCCTTTCATGTTATGTATCTTCACAGTTAAGATATTCTAAGATTATAATATTTTTCAATTTTTCCTTCCATTGGTTCACCCCTAGCTCTTCTGCATTTTTCCAATTACTCGCTATAACCTGTCTGGCTGCAATTACCATCAATTTTATCCATTTACATTCCTCTTTTGTTTCTAACTCTGTGTTACTCAGGCTAATAAGAACCATTAATTTAGATATTTCCACCTTCCTACCCACAATTCCTGACTGAACCAGTTTTAAGCAGGTTTCCTATTTGCATCCAGACGGCAACTCACTACAGCTTGAAATTAAAAATAAATAGTGTTGAACCTATCGGTGCACTAAGGCCACATAACAAATCAACTTGCTTTGGTACCAACCCATTGTTTTCTTTCTGTCATTCTATTTTAATTTACTGCTCTAAATCTCCAGGTAAGTTTACCTCACTCTTTTTTTAGAAAGGGTTTTAGAAAGGCCCTACGAAGAGGTGAGAAGTCCCGTCGGGGACACCTGATTACTGCCTCTTTAGATGCCTTGTGATGGAATACAGACATGACTACAGAATTTATTTTACTTGTCAGTTTTGTGTCTGATTTTTTTCCATGGTAGTACCTTTAGCTCACCACAGGAGGGCACACAAAAGCAAGCAGCTGCTGGAGAATTTGAGGATTTCTCCTTGCAGGCTGACGTTTTCTGCAGCAATAGGAGCAGAATAAAGGACCTTTAGTGAGAAGATAGGGGAGAAATGCACCCTATGGATCCTGCCAGTAATTGCCATATGGTCGCCATCTTCAAAAATATCAGGGGCTGTCCCGTGGAAGAGGGAACAAGCTTGTTTTCTCCAGCTCTGGAGGGGGAGGACTTGAACCAATGGCTTCACGTTACAGGAAAGGAGATTCTGACTAAACATCAGGGAAAACACTTTCTGTTCGAAAAAGGATCGGTCTCCCTCTAGAGTTTGTGGACTCTCCTTCCTTGGAGATTTTAAAGCAGAGGTTGGATGTCCATCTGTCATGGATGCTTTGGCTGAGATTCCTGCATTTCAGGGGACGCGGGTGGCGCTATGGGTTAAACCATAGAGCCTAGGGCTTGCCGATCAGAAGGTTGGCAGTTTGAATCCTCACAACGGTGAGCTCCCGTTGCTCGGTCCCTGCTCCTGCCAACCCAGCAGTTTGAAAGCATGAAGTGCAAGTAGATAAATAGGTACCACTCCAGCGGGAAGGTAAACGGCGTTTCCGTGCGCTGCTCTGGTTCACCAGAAGCGTCTTAGTCATGCTGGCCACATGACCTGGAAGCTGTACGCTGGCTCCCTCGGCCAATAAAGTGAGATGAGTGCTGCAACCCCAGAGTCGTCTGCGACTGGACCTAATGGTCAGGGGTCCCTTTACCCTTTACCTGCATTGCAGTGATTGGACTAGATAACCCTTGGGGTCCCTTCCAACTGTACAGTTCTAGGATGATTCACTTAAAAATGAGGTGTTTAGAATTCTGCTAGTGCACGGCTCCTGCCTAAGCTGGTGGAGAGAGGCAGTCAGTACTGGGTGTGATGCTAGTCTTGCGGGCTAATGCTTTTTGGGGTCTTCGCACCCATCCTCAAGAGGCCTAGGTCTGGCCTTCATGGTCATCTTCTACATCGCTACCTGGACCCCATCTCACCTAACAGGTCATAATGTCTGGGAGGCAAGCTGTGCACAGGGGTGGGAGAAATGTGCCCATTCAGATACCATTGTACTCCCAGTTCCCATTGGCTCCAGCCAGCATAGCTGATGGGACAGGGATGATGGGCCAAGCTTATTAGCATTCTTCATCCTTTTTAACTTTTCCTTTCTCTTTTGTCTCGTGCTTCTTTCAGAATTAAAGGATCTGTAGAGGGCTTATCCTCAATGGGAGTAAATTACCTTGCAGAAGAATGGTAAGTTACACAATTTATAAAAAATTGAAACAAAAAACTTAGTGGTACTTCGAAGGGGTGTTTATTTTGTTAGTGGGCCTTTTTGGATTGGGTGGGTGTAGTGGAAAGAGGCCTTGTAGTGCCTTAAAGACTAGCCAATTTAATTATGGCATCCATAAATTTACTTCTTCAGTTGCATGGAATGTTATCATAAGTTATAGATAGGTAGGTAGGTAGGTAGGTATCTGTCTGTCTGTAGATATGGATGGGTGGATGGATACCTGGTTGGGCAGAATGGTGAAAGCAAGGTCAGAAAAGTACAGCATCGTGATTATCATGTCCAGTTTATAATGGCCAGTCGGAACAATCAGGAACTACTAACACAGACATCCTGGCGTCGTTAATCCAATTAACGGGGTACTTGTGGGATTATTGCATGCTTCCAGCTCATTTTTGCTTTGGGTGGAGAGTTGGGGCAGTGACTTGACCTGTGTAGTTGGGAGGGTGTGGTTCATCCCTCACTCCATGTGTCTTGTGTAGAGATACCAACATAAAGGCTATAGAGCAGGCATCCCCAAACTCAGCCCTCCAGCTGTTTTGGGACTACAACTCCCATCATCCCTAGCTAACAGGACCCAATGGTCAGGGATGGTGGGAATTGTAGTCCCAAAACAGCTGGAGGGCCGAGTTTGGGGGCGCCTGCTATAGAGAGTCCTACAGGTCTCTTGGTCAGTAGGTACTGGACTCAGCCGAGCGACTGGCCTGGCAGCCGCCAAGGGCCAGGGCGGGAATCCTGGGCTCTTAACCCCAGGATACAAGTAGAAGCAGAAGAAATCCTCCTTACCTTTTTTAAGATTATGAAGCTTGTCTTCTCGCAAGAGCCGCTCTTAAAAAAAATACCTAAATATATTTCACCTACCTACATATCCGACTTAAGCTGCCTCAACTCCCAATCCTACCCCTAGCTATCTAATAAAACATGAAATACGAAGGTATAAAGCTACAAGATAAATATTAAATAGAAAAAAAATATAGGTAAAAAAAATATAAGTAACAGAGCAAACCAAAAAACAAAACCTCCACTCCTGCATGTACAAACTCGTTCTCCCATAATCAGATTTACTCTCTCCTTGATCCCACCCTGGACACCTCTGGTTGGTGACTTTTAAAGCAGCCGCAAAAGATGTCATAAAGGTGGGCAGATCACAGTTACCTTGACAACCCACCTGCTTTGGCACTCTTCTTGAATTGTGCTTGCTGAAGCATCCCTCTTCACTTTCGTAGCTCCATTTTTCACGAATCAAGATTCCTTCAGCACCATTCCCAACCTCCTAAATACAGTAGGTAACTCGCACCTCATGGGTTTAGAGATGGCTAGAGCACAGGATTAAGACAGCCCACTTTGCAATATGGAAGGCTCCAGGTTCAATCCCTGGCGTCGTAGCTACGGAAACCTCCCCAACTTTAAAATTAATTGAATTTTAATATTAACGCACAGTAATAAAACGAGGACAAAATATGGATACAAAAGGATTAGGAAAACAGAAGGGAAAGTAGAGAACATATATATTGTGAGGTGTCTGCTCTTTGTCATTCCAGAAATGTAGAACCATGGGCCATCCTTCGATAAATAGTGTTTTTCTGTTATACATTGTCTTTATTTGCAAGACCGTTTCCCAAGTTTTTCTTTGGTTGTTCTGCAAATGTTGGTGGATTTTCCAAGATTGAACAATATCAAAGTTGGTCAGAGTTTCTGTCAGCTGAAAATCAACATTTGTAAGCTCAAACTGGAACATTGCAAGGATTGGTTTTTGGGTTTTTCAGTAATCACTGGAGAAAGGAGGTTTCTTATAGACAGATGTTGGGAAACAGGGTTGATGAACACACATCTTCCACAGAACTCTTCTTGCTCAGTGCGCTTACTTAAAATTAACAAATACTGGGGGTGGGAGAGCTGAAAATAATGCCAATATATGCAGCCAATGCGCCTCTTTGGTTTCAGATAGTCAGGGGTCCCTTTACCTTTACCTTTACCCATGTACTATTAGGTCCAGTCATGGCCGACTCTGGGGTTGCGGCGCTCATCTCGCTTTATTGGCCGAGGTAGCCGGCATACAGCTTCTGGGTCATGTGGTCAGCATGACTACGCCGCTTCTGGCAAACCAGAGCAGCGCACGGAAACGCCGTTTACCTTCCCACCGGAGCGGTACCTATTTATCTGCTTGCACTTTGACGTGCTTTTGAACTGCTAGGTTGGCAGGAGCAGGGACCGAGCAACGGGAGCTCACCCCGTCGAGGGGATTCAAACCGCCGACCTTCTGATCGGCAAGCCCTAGGCTCTGTGGTTTAACCCACAGCGCTACCCACGTCCCTTCCAGTACATGGGTAAACAAATCTAAAAAGCCAGAGACAAAAAATTATGGCCCTTTAGTGGCCACCGTGGCTCAACACCAGAAGTAATGTCTTTAGTGTTAACTCTGACAGGGTAGACTAGATTCTGACCAAACTAAGTCTCCTAGAGTAAAATATACAATCGCTGCAAAGAGGAAGGGATGCTTTTACAATCATAGAGTTAGAAGGGACCCTGAGTCTTCTAGTCCAGCCCCCTGCAGTGAAGGAATAATGTGTGGGATTTTGTGCATCACAAAACTCTTCCAACTCCGTCGGCCAGTAAAAGGCCACTCATCCCAGCTATACAGAACGCAGTGCAGTGGTTTTTAACCACTTTTGAGAACCTGACCTAGCAACTAGTCCTAACTTGAATAGTCGCTGCCGTTATTTAGCAGAAGAGACATCCACTGGGGCCGATTCCCGGCTTTTAAAGCCATTGTTTCGGCTGACGACGCAGGCCTCCCGTTATCGACAGCACTTTGCACCAAAGCTAGATCTCAGGGTCAAATCCTGGCTGTGTTTATTATTATTTATTTCATTTCTATACAGGATACAGAAGGAGAGAAGGGGCAACACACAAAATGGCTGCAAAGAAACCCAAAATGAGACAGTAGACACCCATGGTTGGTAAGCACAGCAGCAAACAACTGCCAATCCAGTGTCAAGATTTATTCTTCTTTTTTTTAAAGAAACAGCACAAAAGTAATCAAAAACAATTTTGGTAAAGAGGACTGCAGGGACAGAGCAAGACCCCCAAGCTTGCATAAATCTTGGCCCAGGACAAGAAGCCAAAGATGGCAACCCTTCCAGGCTGCAGCTACGACTGGGGAATGGCAGTGAAGCCAGGGGTCCCTGGTGGGCATTGGAGGATGGGGGAGAGAGGGGATTTACTCTCTCTGGCAATGCCTCTAAAGAAGAGAGTTTCACCCACGTAGGGGGCAAGCGTAAGGCAGCAGGAATCCCCTTCATGATCAGAACAGCAAACTGGCAGAAGTCGCCATCTCTCCTGCACACGCTTACAAATGTCCCTCCCTGAAAAAAAGCAGAGCTCGCTCCAGCGCCCAAGTATTGGGAGAGGCCAGACACGAAAAGGCACTTCAGAGCAACGTATGTGCTTGGGTGGAGCGATGGGTGAAGGCACCCGTGTCCCAGCGGAGTGGCTTCTGTTTAATGCATTCAGTGCCCCTCCAGGAACAACGGAAGCCAGACGGACAGCAGTGGCGTTTGTCAGAGCAGCAGGAGCCCTGCAGGGGGAGACAAAGAGAGAGGCAAAAATGATGGGGTGATATTTCCTGTTGGAAAGGAGTACTCAAGACTTAGAAAAGCTAGACAACTTCCTGTTTAAAAGATTGCAAGACACTGAAAAGACGGTACTAGGATGTTTATTCATGTTTCTGCTCTGTCTCAAGAGGCCTTACTTGGACCCTCGAGGAGGCTGGTGAGTTTGAAAAACCCATCAAGATTGGTGGAAAGAGGAGCAACAACCCAGTACCAACAAGAGGAATAGTCCATGGAGGAAGCAGGTACAGAGCCACCCCTGGATTAACTGCAAGTAAGAAAGGAGGAGGGATAAAGGACTCAAGACAGGGGTTGGTGGGGCAGTCCCATTTACCCTCATGGGCCAGCCTCCACTTGGACCCCCCGTGACAGGATAGCAGTAAAGTCAAGTACTAACTTTTGCAGCCCATGTACAGATAGCCTCAGACAAAGATTACGCATTGAAAATTTAATGATATTTGGAATGTATGTGTCAAAACCATAGTAACACATGGATTAACATATACTTAAGACTACAAAAAACTATAGTATATATTTTATTGCTGTTTTGAACTACCGTATTTTTCGCTCCATAGGGCGCACCTAGTTTTCAGAGGGGGAAATCAAGGGGGAAAATATTATTCTCCCCTCCCTCCCAGCTCTGGGAGCAGCGGACAGGCTGCACACAGCCTGTGCACTTCTCCCAGACCTTCTCCCTGCTTTTGCGGGAGGTGGGGGAATTCCCCCACCTCCCGCAAAAGCCCACAGGACCCGCGCATGGCTCCTGCGGACTTTTTGACCAGGAGTCAGTCCCTTCTCCCTCCTCGGGGAAAAGCCTCAAAGACCAGGTGGGGGAACAGTGCAAAGGTGGCGCGCTGCCCCCCCCCAGCTTGTGGGGCTGGTGGTGGGGGAAGCACTGCTTTCCCCCACCGCCAGCCTCAAAGACCAGACTCTCCTGGCTTCAGTGAAAGGAACCTGAAGCCTCCTGAACGCAGCGGGAACTCGCGCTGCGCTCCGAAGGCTTCAGACGGCTATCGCTGAAGCCAAGGAGCCTGCATTCACACCATAGGACGCACACACATTTCCCCTTAATTTTTGGAGGGGAAAAAGTGCGCCCTATAGAGCAAAAAATACGGTACTTCTCTAAAGGGTTTTTTAATGTACAGTCGTACCTTGGTTTTCGAACAGCTTAATTCTCGTTTTGTCTCCTGAATGTTGCAAACCTGGAAGTGACTGTACTGGTTTGCATTTGGAAGCTTAACAACCAACGGGGCCTCCAATTGGCTGTAGGCGCTTCCAGCAGCCAATCAGAAGCCGTGCTTTGATTTCCTAATATTTTGGAAGTCGAACGGACTTCTGGAATTGATCCCCTTCGACTTCCAAGGTACGACCTATTCTCTTCCCTTTTTTATTTTATTTAATATTTATACTTTTGTTGAGATTATTATAGTTGACAAAGTAATACCCCCTTCCCCTCGGAACAGGAGGAGCTTCATGAGGATGGGAGGGAGAAATGCCACACAACAACAACAAGCAAGGCAAGACTCAAATCGCATCATCCATAAGAAAGCATGAACGTCATTACCAGTGCTGCAGAGTGGAAATTTTTCCAGTGATTTATCTAACTTCACTGGTAACAGTGATTGGATGCCAATTGGAAATGTGATATTGGCTGTTTCAAAGGTGGCCGGTTTGGGTTTTTTGTAGCTTTGTTTAGTAAACACAAGCAAAATAAAAATAAATTTGCACAGGAATTTTTCTTTTGTTCAGAATTTCCCAGAAAACTCACATGGCTGATGATGAGATACAAGAAATCCCAGGGATTCCCAACCTGCCTGGCCATCAGTCAAGGACACTTGAGAGTTGTAGTCCAGCAATGGCCACAATCCCCACCTGCTTTCTACCTCCGCGTTTCACTCCCTTTAAGCCATCGATCCTGCATCTCAGGATCTTTCAAACTAAGATAGCCACCCTCCCATGACCTCTGCTCAAAATCTTATCCAGTTGGCACCCCGCCAAACACACAAGTCCTCCCCGCTAACCAGTTCGAACCTGCAACCAACCAACCCCCCCCAGCACAGCCACTGACCTTGTCGTAAGGGCAACAGGCCCATCCGCCTGAGCTGGACTTGCAGCAGGTCTGGTGGTCGTGACAGTAGTGCTGATCACCGCACGACACATCCCGGCCGGACGTGGGGGTGCGCGAGGAACTCAGCAGACCGCCTGCAGGCAGGAGACTGGGCCAGAACTGCTTCTCGCATGTCCGAGCTGCCACGTTGCAGGTGTAGCCCGAAGGGCAGCAGTGCTTGTGATCCTCGCAGCAAACAGCCTGCAGAAGCAGAGAGAGAAAAGCTTTGGTCCTCAGGGTCTGTCCTGATGCCGCAACACTCGATGACCTAGCCAAAGCGTTGCCCACATGTGAAAGGGGGTTTGCTTTTAACAGCTAAAAAGGATACAAGTTTCTGTTATTAACCAACATCTCCCCAGTGGAGAAGACATGGCCAAATGCAGCGCAATAAACAAAAGCAAGGGGGTGGGAAAAAGGGAATGGCTGACAAGCTGAAATTTGTGCCTCTTTTTAAGAATTACTTGCACCCTGAGAAATCTCCGCTTTCATTTTACACAAACTCAGGTTTTTAGACCTTAAAAGCTGTGGAGACAGCGTTGTTGAAGAAGAAGAGGAAGAGTTTGGATCTGATATCCCGCTTTATCACTATCCGAAGGAGTCTCAAAGCGGCTAACATTCTCCTTTCTCTTCCTCCCCCACAACAAACACTGTGAGGTGAGTGGGACTGAGAGACTTCAGAGAAGTGTGACTAGCCCAAGGTCACCCAGCAGCTGCATGTGGAGGAGTGGGGACGCGAACCCGGTTCCCCAGATTACGAGACTACCGCTCTTAACCACTACACCACACTGGCTCTTACTGGCTTGGAAAACCTTGGGCGTGTTCTCAGGTTACTGGGGTGGCGAGCAGGAGTCAAGGGGGCTGGGGCCATCTCCCTTGGCTAGTGAAACACTTATGTATTTACTGCCAGAACTATCTTTTCCCAGAACAGCATTTAGGTTAGTTAACGCATGCCTCAGAGTTCACAAAGGGTGCCGGAATAGCACCCAACACCCTGAAGAAACCAAGCTGCTTCTTCTCTGACCAGCACCCTGCACCCTCCAGGCTGCCTCCCACACCTGCTCTATCTTTTTCTGTGCTTTGCCCTGCTCACTGCCTCTGTCCAAGCCGCTTGCCCCATTTCCTAATAGATCAGAGTCTATTCCAGCATCACACAGTGCAAGGCTGCCTCCCACATGTCAGTCAGTCGCCCAGTGCCCTGGCATGCTTTCGCTTCTGTGTTCTGTGCTGGCACCTGGGCAGAAGGTAAAGGTAAAGGGACCCCTGACCATTAGGTCCAGTCGTGACCAACTCTGGGGTTGCGGTGCTCATCTCGCTTTATTGGCCGAGGGAGCCGGCGTACAGCTTCCGGGTCATGTGGCCAGCATGATTAAGCTGCTTCTGGCGAACCAGAGCTGCGCACAGAAACACCGTTTACCTTCCCGCCGGAGCGGTACCTACTTATCTACTTGCACTTTGACGTGCTTTCGAACTGCTAGGTTGGCAGGAGCAGGGACCGAGCAACGGGAGCTCACCCCGTCGCGGGGATTTGAACCGCCGACCTTCTGATCGGCAAGTCCTAGGCTCTGTGGTTTAACCCACATTAAGTTTGTGCAAAGCCCCGGCTGCACTCACGTTGGGTAGCTGGCAGCAGCTCCACCCGCCCGAGACATCCCTGCAGCAGGTCTGCCCTTCCTCGCAGCTGGTTGTGTCGTTGCACCGGATGCCACGGTTCTGAGTCACACCGGCAGGATGCTTGGGGACCCAAGGTAGAGAGTGCTGCGGCGACTGGCAGGTTTTCGCACCTGGATCGCAAGTGTAGTCTTTGGGGCAGCAGTGGACACGGTCTGGGCAACAGACAGCCTGCAGGGGAGGCAGGAGAGAGATACAAGAATAGGAGCTGGCAAGATTTAACATCAAAGATCAGAGACAAAACGGCAAAAAAATTCTGAGAACCACTGGCCTCGGGCATTGTTGTGAATTCACAAGAGGCCGAGAAAGAGGAGCAGGATTTGAATCTGGGACTTCCTGGGGTCAGAGCTCAGTCCCTTATGCTGCACCAGCTCTTTAGGAGACGATGACTACAGGGGCTGAACCCCAGGAATTGTTTTCCCAGCTGGAAGCATCTTAAGAAAACACAGGGATTGGCCAATGGGGATAAGGTGAGCCACCAAAGAGGTTCCTCTTTTGAGAACCATTGCCTGCCACAAAGGCATATTACAGCAGGGGAAGGATTCCCCTTTGTTTAAAAAGAGAGTTCAAGTTAGGTTTTTCTTGAACTGCACAGAACAGCACCATCACTTTAGCTTCACACTTGATAGCAAGTTGTTCCGCCACCCCAGCTTACCTCTGGGAAAGGGCAGCACCCCCACTCGCCCGAGGGCATCCGGCAGCAGGTGTGCCCGTCTGGGCAGCTCGCCTCGTCGTCACACCTGATGTCATTCACCTCCCTCGGCTGAATGAGAGCCATCGAGACCTGCCGGGAAGGCTGTCCGCTTTGGACGCAGGAGCCGTGTTCCACATCACAGGTGTAGCCCCCAGGGCAGCAATGCTTTTGGTCAGAGCAGCAGACGGCCTGCAGAGGAAAGGGAAGGAAGGATGAGGACTCGCCCTTCCTCAGGGGCCTATAGGCAGCTCCCCAAATCAACCACTCTTTACCCGTAAGGAACCCGCTGCCGCCATGACACACACACACACACATTTTGGGGATAAACCCGCCCGCTCGACGTACCTGTGGGAAAGGGCAGCACGCCCAGCCCACTGCTCCGGCCGTGCAGCACGTCTGCCCATCTGAGCAGCTGAACTCGTCGTTGCATTTCACGTTCCTGCTCAAAGAGGCGAAGCCAACGACGGCCGGCTTCTTCTCCAGCCAAGGGATGCTGCTTCCGTTCTTCATGCAAGTGCCTTCCGACAAGTTGCACTGGTAGTTGGCAGGGCAGCAGTGGGCGCTGTCGTTGCAGCAGATGGCCTGGGGAGGGGGAAGCAGAGGGGGTGGGTGGGGTGGGAAGGAACTCGTGAGCCTGGAAGGAATCGGGGACAGGATTTACAATCCCTGACTGTAAACAGGGTCTCTGGTCTCACCAAGTCTTCAATGGGATTTTGATTGGAGACCCAAGTCAACGATGCTACGGGAATCAATGGAATAGCCTACTCCTGTTCCTAGTCAGCTTCAAATTACAGACTGATTTTGTAGGTTTTTCAAAAGAATGCATGGGGGGCGGGAACTACATTACAGTAGTACCTCGAGTTAATATGCTTCAGGTTACATACGCTTCAGGTTACAGACTCCGCTAACCCAGAAATAGTACCTCGGGTTCAGAACTTTGCTTCAGGATGAGAACAGAAATCTTGCTCCGGCGGCGCAGCGGCAGCGGGAGGCCCCATTAGCTAAAGTGGTGCTTCAGGTTAAGAACAGTTTCAGGTTAAGAACGGATCTCCGGAACGAAGTACTTAACCCGAGGTACCACTGTATATGCTGGAGGGGGGGCCCTGACCAGATGAGTTTCTCCTTCATTGCTAATGAAACCTCACATTTTTCTTCCAAATGTGTTGGAAGCCCCAGGGACAGAGCAGTTGTGCAGGGGAAGTGCTAGATGGCATGTAAGGGCAGAAGAGTCCCTGCCCGTTCCATCGGGATAAAGTAATGAAATTATTACTAATCTGGCAAATCACTGGGCACCCCCAGCTGCCAAATGCAAAGCCAGAACCAAATTAGATGGGATTGCATCAGGTTAGGGAGCTGCTGCCATCCTGCAAAAAGTGGGAGAACCAATTTAAATGGGAAACGCAGGGGAGAGAGCCGGGCTGAAAACTTGCCAGCCCATATTTTACTTGCCCACATAATTCCTCTTTCTCCAGGCGCTTTGGGCTTCGACACTGAAAAGGCTTGGGAAAGCAGAGAGGGAAAGGAGCCCAAGAAAAGGAAGGGGCCTAGAAATATCACTGACTGCAACACAAGCCATAGGGCAGGTTACAGGTAGGTAGCCGTGTTGGTCTGCCGTAGTCAAAACAAAATAAAAAAAATTCCTTCCAGTAGCACCTTAGAGACCAACTAAGTTTGTTATTGGTATGAGCTTTCGTGTGCATGCGATTGGCGAGGGGGAGACTGAATTTCACTGAGCCAAAGCCACTGGTTTCTAGTTGTCAAGATGCACCTTCTTGCTGGGTAACGGCATTATGCAATCTGCTGTTCACCCCACAAATGGGCTCCACTTGTTCCCATTTTACAGACAGCAAAACTCCGGCCATGAGCACACTCCCAGCACAGCCAGGCTTGAACCCACTTCCCCCCCTTTCCGTTCCACAGCCAAGACACTTGGAGCGCACAGGCCACTGTGGCATTTGGCAGTGAGTGTTGATTTAGCCGGCCCAGGCAGAATCCCCAATTTTCGGGGCAGGGAGGAAGAGATGGGACCTGCCCCACCCTCCTCTTACCTCTGGCAAGGGGCAGCAGCCCCACGCGCCCGATGACAGACGGCAGCAGGTGTGCCCATCTGGGCATTCCGTGTGGGCATCGCACGGCACTGCCGTGCCCGCAGAGCTCACAGGCAGGGAGCGTGGCTCTGCTTTCGCCAACCACGGGATGCTTCTGCCGCCTTTGTCGCAGATCCCCGTGGCCACGTTGCATGTGTAGCCCTTTGGGCAGCAGTGGATGTGGTCTGAGCAGCAGACAGCCTGGAAAAGGACATGGAGGGTTCTCAGGTTCATTCGTGGAGCAGTTGACACAGAGAGGGCACAAGGAGCTGCCACCTAGCCATGGAAGAAAGACCCCACCAGCCCAGCTAGCAGAGATCCTTTTCAACATAGAGGTTCCTGAACATTTTCAGGCCACCATCCCCTGGGTCTCCTGGAGACTCAGAAACTACAACTAATCCAGAACGCAGCTGCCAGGCTAGTGACTGGGAGCAGTCGCTGGGACCATATACAGAGGTACCTCGGATTACATACGCTTCAGGTTACAGACTCCGCTAACCCAGAAATAGTACCTTGGGTTAAGAACTTTGCTTCAGGATGAGAACAGAAATCGTGCTCTGGCAGCACAGCAGGAGCAGAAGGACCCATTAGCTAAAGTGCTGCTTCAGGTTAAGAACAGTTTCAGGTTAAGAACGGACCTCCAGAACAAATTAAGTTCTTAACCCAAGGTACCACTGTAACTAGTCCTAAAGGATCTTCAGTGGTTCCCAGTATGTTTCTGAGCACAATTTAAAAGTGTTGGTAATGACCTTTAAAGCCCTGAATGGCTTCGGCCCAGTATACCTGAAGGAGCATCTCCACCCCCATTTTTCAGCCCACACACTAAGATCTAGCTCCGAGGGCCTTCTGGTAGTTCCCTCACTGCGAGAAGTGAGGTTACAGGGAACCAGGCAGAGGGCCTTCTCGGTAGTGGCACCAGCCCTGTGGAATGCCCTCCCATCAGATGTCAAAGAGAACAACTACTACCAGACTTTTAGAAGACATCTGAAGGCAGCCCTGTATAGGGAAATTTTAAATGTCTAATGTTGCACAATTTTTTATGTGCTGTAAGCTGCCCAGAGTAGCTGGGGAAGCCCAACCAGATGGGTGGGGTATAAATTAATAAAAAATAATGATAATGATGATTATTCCCAGTTACCCCTGCCATATAAAAATATTCAGAACAGCGGTTACTCACTAAGGAACATAGTAAGCAACACAGTAAAATTGAAAGCAGTAACCACCTGCTACACATTTGTTCAAAATGAAAACTACTTCGTTCAATTAGTTCAACAAAAATGGAGAAGCTGGTGTCACTGGGTATCAGGTTCAGCCAAGTCTGATAGTCATTTACACCTCCAGCGCCCCCTGCCACCCCCTTGCCTCTTAGTGCCCCCTAACACCAGGGGGCAGTAATGCCCCCTTTGGAAACCACGGTTATAACAGCAGGTATCGGGGACAAGGCCTGGTACCCTTCCACAGGCAAAACTATAGTAAGGTTACCAGACGTCCCCGTTTCTTGGGGACAGCCCCTGGATTTACATATCAGTCCCCTGACAAAATCCATCTATTTAGCAGGAAGTTGAAAAGCGTCCCCGGATTCATTGGGGGAAAAACTGGTAACCTTAAACTATAGGATTCGTCCTGTCCCCCCACTATGGCCCCTTCCTGACTTGAATGAGTCAAAACCCTTGCCCCACAGAAGGAAGAAAGGAAGATGTCTTGGTCCACCAAGTTCAGGACTGCCTGGTGGGATTTCAGAAGGGACCCCGTAGGTGCCAGATACTGAGCCTGGGACCACCTGCACCCTGTCCCCTCATCCATCACTCCTCTTACCTCCTCCAATGGACAGCACCCCCATTCGCCTGGGCTTCGCAGACAGCAGGTGTTCCCATCTGGGCAGGTGTGCTCATCGTCGCACTGGACAACACCGACTACAGGAAGGGGAGGCAGGCACATCGGAATGGGAACCAAGAACGCCCTACCTCAAGGCTGTTTTGGGCGGCCCTTGGCAACATCTGACTACCCCCTGAAACCACCCCCCCCACTGTCTTGCCAAGGCCAGGTAAGTGAGGTGCTGGGCTTTGGGAAGAAGGTATGGTGTTCCGGCAGAGTCATAGCGTCCTGCCTCCTTTCCAAAGCCTAGTAGTGCTTTCCTAGCTTTAGGAAGGAGGTGGGAGGGCTCTAGGACTCTGCCAGAGCCTTGCACCTCCTTCCCAAAGCCTGGTGTGTTGCTTAGCTGGTATGGGGAAGGCAGCATGAGGGGTGAGGAGTATCAAGTTTTGGTCTCACTCCCTTAGGAGCAGAGGAAGCTGCATTATACCACGGTAGAGCATTGGCCCATCTAGCTAAGGACTGTCTACACCGACTGGGAGTGTCTCGCCACTGTTTCAGGCACAGATCTCTCCCAGCCCTAACCTGGGGATGCCAGATAGACAGACAGATAAATAATTTATTACGGTCAGAGACCAGCTTATAAAACACACACGGGGGTACAGTCACAGAAGGAAAACAAACAATTGAAACAATGTACAACAATAAATTTAAAAACAACGTACAACAATAAACCACCGCAGCGAGCTGACCCAGAGTCACCCATAGAACCGAGTTTGGGGATTTTCTTAACGAACTAGTTTGCGTTGGGAGATGGTCTGTGCCTACAGATCTGTACACAGAATGTGGCGACCATCCGGGTCGTCTTCTGATCTTTGCCTAACAGGAATAGGTCGAATTTTTGCTTTTCCGAGAGGTCAGCGAGCCTCACCAGTAGGGGATCAATGGTCTTAACTGTGTGCCTCTTCATAAAAGGGGCATCTAAAGAACAAGTGCTCTGGGCTTCCTATCTCCCCCAATGAAGAGGCACAAAGTCTCAGTGTATGGGACTTTTTTTAAAGGCTCCTTCCAGGACCGGCGAGGGAAGGGCTGAGCTTCTGGCGAGTGTAAAGGCCCGTCTTGCAGGAGATGCCAGAAAATGAACGTGGTACCTTCTGCTTGCAAGGCAGATGCTCCTCCAATAAGCAGCAGCCCCTCTCCCAAAGTCTACATCCTGGGCAGCCAACCTAGAGCCTTCCTGAAGCAGCTGACCTACACCTCCCAACCACTTCTGACACCACGACGCTAGCTATCCTCGTTCGACGTAACGTGCCCAGGCACCGATTTTCATCTCCCTCTCGGCACACCTCCCTTGTTGCTTTGCAGAACATCCCCCACACACACACACCGAGTCCTGCCTCACCTGTTTGGCGGAGGTCCGCAGCGAGGTGCAAGATGGGCCATGACCTCTGCGGGGTCATAGTGCATCGCGAGTGCTCCAGGTCGCACGTGGTGCCCTGTGGGCAGCAGTGAAGGTGGTCCCTGCAGCAGACAGCCTGGCAGGAGTCAAGGAAAGGTTGTGGGCATTGGATCAAAAACAGCACTGCCTGCATCTGCCTAAGCTTGGGACGTAGGGTGGGCTGGAGGGCACCAGTTCATGCCAAACATTGCAACCCATTCTTCTGGTTTGAGGGCTGCATCTTTTCCATATCTTGCTGGTACAGGCAGCAAGCCCAGCGGACAAGAGCTAATTTGTAGCGAGGCTTCATAGAAAAGAGAAAACAGACACCCCAAAGCTCCCCCAAAATGAATCAAGTGGGGGGGGAGGCGCGTGTCAAAGTCCTCAGAAGAAGCTGCATTGGTGGATCTGTGTTGCTGGGAATGGAGTAAGACTGGGCAATATATTGTCCAAAATCAGTTTGAAGTCCATATCATGATACTGGTTTCATAATTTTTGACCTGGAAATGTATCGCGAATCACGATGTGTGTGTGTGTGTGTGTGTGTGTGTGTGTGTGTGTGTGTGGCTGGGTGTGTGTGTGTGTGCTCTGTGCAAAAGTCACAATGTGGGGGAAACCGTGAAGCCAGCCAATGCCTCTACAATGCTCTGTCCTTATTTCAGACATTGTGATACAGTCATACCTCGGGTTACAGCCACTTCAGGTTGTGTTTTTTCAGGTTGCGGACCGCTGAAACCTAGAAGTACTGGAATGGGTTACTTCCGGGTTTTGGCAGTCATGCATGCGCAGAAGTGCCGAATCGCAATCTGCGCAAGCGCAGATGCGGTTTGTGAACGTGCATCCCACACAGACCACATTCGCAACCCGAGTGTCCACTGTATAGTGGTATATCGCAAAGTTCAGCTTGTGATAAATTGTGATGTCAAAAACCAGGCATCGCCCAGCGCTAGAGTGGAGTACAAGCCTCAGGGAAGTGGGCAAGTGAAAGAGGGAGGTGATTTCTTGCTTCACCCCCACAGCCAAAATCCAATGTACGGTAGAACTTTGGTTCTCGAATGGCTTAGTTGATGAACAAATTGACTCCACAACACCTTGGTTTTTGAATGATTTCAGGAGTTGAACGTACTTCCGGAACGGATTGAGTTCAAGAACCAAGGTTCCACTGTATGTTGGTCAAAAGAAGAGCTGCCACAATTTGAATTTAGCAAGAGCTGCAGGCCTAGCAACACTGGCCCCTTCCACGGAACCCACACAATCCCATCCAGTTGTCTTTCTGAATTTGATACTTACATTGGGTAGGTGGCAGCAGCCATATTGGCCTGTCGGGAGAATGCAGCAGGTGTCTGTATCCGGGCAGCTGGACTGATTACCTGGGCAGAGACTGTTCCGAGGTGAATCTGCAGAGGAAGTTCAGAGACAGGAATTTAAGGGGGTCGGATGCGCTGCCTTGTCGGGGGAATGAAGAACTGCTGCACTGAATGGGCAGCGACTCCAGGTCCACCCCATCCTTCACGCCCCGTTCCGTACCCAACAGAACCGCTCGCCTGCTTGCTGGGAACTTCTTCTGAAGAGGGTGCTCCCCGGAGGCTGCAAAGCACCGCGCGTGTGGCAGGTCGCAAGTTGTGTTGTGTGGGCAGCAATGGATCTTGTCTTCACAGCACAATGCCTTGGGGGAGAAAGAGGAGAGGAATGTGACAGTAAGCCCAAAATCCATTATTTCAACTGGTTGTTGTTTTTTTTAATTTTCATGTTGCTGTTATATATTTGCTTTTCTTAGCTTATGGGTTCACGGTACTTTCAATATTTAATTGTAAGCCACCCTGATCATGTATCCCAAAGATTGTGCTTTTATTATTGCCTTTTATACCCAAACAAGTTTCTAGTCTAGCATGGATGATGGGAGGTGTAGTCCAATGACCACGGATAACAGCCACAGGTTTCCCATCCCTGCCTGATTTGATTTGCTGCTTGCTTCACACATGCACACCTCAATTACCTGGCCCTATTTCTAAGTTACCTGCTCACAAGTACATCAGCAAACACATTATTTTTCCTTCAAGAAGCACCACCTCAAGCTTGTTAGCAGCTATATTACACAGACTCTTTTGCCAATGGCTTCAGAAAGTTCAAGAGCACTTGTGTCTTTGAGATGTTGTGTTCGTAATGGCTTTCTCTTGAGTCTTTTTTAAAAAAATATTTAGTTAGGTTTTTTAAGAGGTGTCAAGCTGCATCCCAGCATAATTACTTAAGGAGGAGCTTCGGTTCTGAAACACATCCTGCTATAATAATGCATTCAGCTATAATGAAACTATCACAGATGTGGACTTTGGAGAACCCATTTCTGCTTTTTGCATTCTCTCACGAATTTGCCCCCTGGTTCTTTTCAAGTTTCTTTTTGCATGACCTGGAGCCGTTCTATAGTGCACCTGCTCTCTTGCTGCATTGCACAGACTCCTCTCCACCCCCCCAGCTAGCCAATGGGTCTTGCTACCCTGTAACACCCACTCTCCCCTCTGGGAATCTTCAGTGATTCAAGCCGCACAGACACTCTTGGTATCAACGGTAGAAGGTGTGACCCAGAAGTTGCTCCACAACCTCCTGTTCAATACATGAACTTAAAACCAAGTCAGACCCAAGGCAGTGAGGGATCCAAAGGCAGATCTTGGGGCAACTTGGAAGATCAACAAGGATTTCCTATTCTCAGTTGTTTAATAACAGCAGCAACCAAACTACACTCCCAGTACAACTGCTGAAGTGCAGGAAGTTCGGGCAGGTGACGAGGATTGTATTCTGTGGAGGGTGCCCCATTAGGGTAGAAGGGGCACTGCCCCACCAACCTCACTCTTCCAGAGGGCAGCTCTGGTTTATCTGCTTTCTCCTCCTCAGTCCCAATGCTGCCTTGCGGAACTCGCCAGAGAGCAAGATGGTGACTGAAGGAGACTGAGTTGGCTTCTCTTGGCGTTGGCTCTGGCGCCACCTGCTGTTGGGCTCCTTGTCTCCTGCCCTACCAGTCCCAAACATGCACCAGCCACCACTGAATTTTGTGTGTGTGGAAGGACTGGGACTCAGTTCGGTTCAGCTACTCACATTCATGGGCTCAGAATTATTTAATTGTTAAGTGCTGGCCTTTTGTGTCTGGTTCTGGCTGGCAGATCTTTGGGTTCTAATCAATAGCAAAGCAGATCGTGGGAGCCTGAAGTCCATCCGCCTCTGATCTTGACCACTATAGTTCGGTCAGGAAAAAGGCAAGCTAAAGATTTAATAATTTATGACATGTTTTCAGATTGTTAGTCACCCAAAGACTAGACATCAAATCAATTAATACCTTAACTTTAGAAAAAAACCCCACTGTTCTCTGCAGCTTTTGCTTACACTAAGTGTTTTGTGAGTTGCAGAAGCATCTGCAGGGAAAGCACAGAACGGAACACTGGGTGGGGAATCCAGATCTCTCTTCACTTTAAAACCAAGTTTCTAGTCTTGGGCTGTACATATATGGTTGAAAGCGCACAAGAAACATGTTAAAATCTCAGAAGGAAGAAAGGTGGCTGAGTGGGGTGCTAGGCCTTCAATGTGGCTTGCAATTAGGAGAAAATAAAAATGATACAAAGTGCTAACAAGTGAAGTATATATATATATATATATATATACCCACAAAAGGACAAATTATGCAAATGAAAGATGCTTGTATCATTTATAGACTGCAGAATTAAGCTTCTTTGGCACTGATTTTTATAGGCTAGTGATGCAGAAGGAAGATATCAGTATGAAATGGCATTGCCAACAGGAACTGTACATTGTAATCATGTAATCGTTGGACTTGATAATCTTTGGACTTGACTATCCTTGGACTTTATGACAATAAAAACATATAGAAGGTTAACAGTGATATGATATGTTATTGCCACCAGGAACTGTGCTTTGCAATTTTTTGACATGACGATTACAGTTTTATTATATGTAATGTATGTTGCTTTACAGCCAGTTACATGTGTGTTGTGGTGTTCTGAACATGTTTTACGTAACGAGGCAATTCTGGTGTGTGTTGAGCTGAGATTCCTGCATTGCAGGGGGTTGGAACAGATGACCTTTGGGGGTCCCTTCCAACTCTACAATTCCATCTGCCGGGCCCCCATACCTCAGGCATCGGGCAACACCCCCAGACTCCATCGGGCATCATACAACAAGTAGACTCGTTTGGGCATTCCGATTCCCCATCTGGACACTGAACAGCACTGACTCTGGCAGGGAAGGTTGGAACTAGAAGCCAAAAGCAAGAGAAAATCCATGTTAAAAGTAAGTTCTAGACGATTTTCGAAAAGCCTGGCATTCAGAGGAAGCCACTGGGATAGTTAGATAATTCTTCTTGCCAGGTTTCGCAGTTCATTGGTCCGGCTGTGACCACCCCTCTCTCCTTTCCATCACCCTGCCCCAAGGTACCTTCACTCTTAGAGCAGGATTTCCCGTCACGACTGCAGCGGGAGCCAAGAGGGCAGCAATAGTGACCGCCAGCACAGGAGATGCCCTGTAAGAGAGGAGCATAGCTGTCAACTTACAGATTTGAAAATAAGGGACCAGCAGCCTCGAAAATAAGGGATCAGCAGCCAAAATAAGGGATTTTAGTCAACCAGCTGAAATACAAAGTTAAAAGGGACCAGATAATTTCGGAGAGCAGCGCTGGTTTTTAGCCCTTCATTTCCAGAGGTTGCTGCTCAAGCTGATGAAACACTGCAATTAAATAACTACAAGCAGCAACCACTTCTCGCGCAAAACGAAGTCCAAGCTACAAAGATGCTACCCCAGGCAGAGACGCTCAGTTCGGCGGCCGCGAGGAGGATGGCAGCAGAAGGGCCCAAGGCTCCTGCCAGTCCCGGCAGGGAGGGGCTCCCGGGGGCCGAGGCTGGTGAGAGGAGCCCAGAGGGGGGCGGGCCGGGCAGCTAAGCAACACAGTTGGAGCCTCCCTCCTCCCTGGCCGGCAGGGAGGGAGGGAGAGGAGCTGCTTCCTTTGAAACCCGGGAAATTTAAGGGACATCATCAATAAGGGACAGCAGCAGGACATGGCGCTGGGATAAGGGAGTTTCCCGCCAAATAAGGGACGGTTGACAGCTATGGAGAGGAAACGAATGTCAGGGGAAAAGACATTCAGCACAAGAGATGGGGGTGGTGATTTCAGGCTCAGAAGGAACCTGCCTTTGCCTGGACCACAGCAGGACGAGTATTTTCTAGGCAGAGGTGTTGGGGACTCAAGTCTGCCCATGAACTAGACAGGAAGGCATGGCAGCCGTGTAGCTGGCTGCAGGCACTCAATGGGATGCTTTCCTTCCATCCCTTTCCAGGACTACAGTCAGTTCCCATCCCCTCCTTCTGTGCTCAGTGCTCCACAGTACTCAGGTTAAGCGAAGATCACAAGGTTGATTCAGAAGGTTGGTGGCTCACCTACTCAAAGGAGAGATTGACTGAAAAATCTTGCAGTCGTGGCTGGGGATAGGAAAATATTCCACAGAGGTTTCTGCTTCCTTCACAACTAAAAAGCACCCTTCCCACAAACTCTGGCAGAGACCTTCCTGAGATGCTCAATACGAAAATCATGTTTCTTCTCCTTTTTAATCACCCAGTTAGGAGCAGGGTCCAAATGGAAACAGAGATCTATTACGTGTTAGAACATCTGTTCTGAGATTTATTTCAGCACAGAGCACAAAAGGGAAGGAGGCAGGCTGAGACTACAAGGTGTGGGACACGGAGGCTGAAACTGTCCCTTTCGGCTATCCCAAAACAGTCCTGGAGGAATACCTGCACCTTGCAGGAACACCCTCCCCTGTTCTCTTCTGTGTCTCACCTCTTTCCAGGGGCAGCAGGCCAAGTCATCGTCCGGAGTACGCAGGCAGGAGTATTCTGCCGGGCACACACGGCCGTCTAAGCACGTGACACCAGAGGGCTCCGCCACCTGGTGGAGAGAGTTGTCTTGCGGAGGGAACATGCGCAGGGAGGCAGCTGTGAACTGAAAACAGAAAGAAGAAGTGGGAAAGTGGGGAGCAGAACTGGCCCCGTGCAGATACTCACACAGACCCAAGACCTCCCTGGAAGAAACAGCTGATACAGAGCTGGGGGGGCGGAGAGGTGTCACGTAGCTCAGTCAGTAGGATGTGAGACTCTTAATCTCAGGGTTGTGGGTTTGAGCCCCACGTGGGGCAAAAGATTCCTGCATTGCAGGGGGCTGGACCAGATAACTATTGAGGTCCCTTCCAACTCTACGATCCCATGATTCTAGGGTTCTACTCCATGTTAGAAACCGATATATGAGCTTGGCGCCAAATGGCTCCTTAAACGAAGGTTGCGGTCACCAAATCGGAACGTCTAGTTGGAAGAGGCCAATATACATGAGAACTGTCCCCTGGGATCAAGTGACTTTTCTTCTTTAAGTTCTCAAAGTTCTTAACCTAAGCTCAAGGTTGTCATCTGAACTAGCCAGATGTTTAACTGAGAATCAATCAGTTCATTGTTTGAAAAAATGAGACTTTAGAGCCCCAAAGTGGCAACTGGACATTCCGTTTTGGCGTCTGCGGCCTTGGTTTAAGGAGCCATTTGGTGCCTAGATTATATCTGAGTTTCTAACACTGCCAACAGCCCTACCCTCCATGAATTTGTCTAATCTTCTTGTAAATCCACCCAGGCTGGTGGTGGTCATTACTACCTCATGGGGGCCAGGGGGAGGGAGTTAACTATGGATATATATATGCACAGGTGTACATAGAGGTTCAGGGTTGTGTGGACTGGTGGAACACTGTTCTATTCTGATCCTATTCAGGTGTGCTATTGGTGCGCATGTGCCACAGACAGGTGGGGTGAGCCGGAACAGCAAGCTCTCAGTTCCACTGCCAAGTAAGTGGCAGGGAGCCATTTTACTTGTGGACTTTGAGCTCCAGCCAGTGTTAGAAACTGATACAGAAAAGCTAGGAGCCAAACGGCTCCTGGGGCCCAGGTTATAGGCGCCAAAACAGAATGTCTACTTGGGGGAGGGGGGCTGTCGGCAACACTTTTTATTGGCATGAATGAACTTTATTACGGTCTCAGACCAGGATTATTATTTATTATTCTGATAAGCTTGAACTAATAGTTCACATAAGAGAGACATTGTTAATAGCACTTTTTTATCAGAAATTGTTAATACATGTTTAATCTGGTGTTTACAATATTGGTAACATAGTTCAGTTTTCAAAACACTCTACTCTTTACTGTTAAACTCCTCAACATACTGTCTATCCTTAACATTTACTTCAAGGCTTCAAAACAGATACATTTCAGTAATCCTTGAGTGCCAGCCAGGCGCAAAAAAGGGCACCCAGACTTTTTGAGGTGTTTGCAAATGAAGAATCTTTAGGTGCAAAATGAGCCTGGCGCCCTGCTAATTTCGAACCCTGTCTTCAACTCATGGAGAGGGAGAGGGAAATAGTGAAACGGGAGGGTAGAGCTTAGCAAGCTCATTCCTGCTCATATGTGGGGTGAGGATTTTATTTCTATTAAAAATATAAGCTTTGGGAGTATTTGTTTTTCCTGTTGCGGCTATTTTATGCTTCCTTCCTGTGTTTTAATTGTATTTATGCATTATACAAACATTTGTGCACCATTCTGGAATCTTTTTGATGTCCAGAAGTACTTTAAATAAACCATTGTTTAAAAAGGGTGCATTTCATAGAAGGGGGGGAAAACAACTCTGCCTTTACGAAGTTGGGAGAGGGACAAAGACTTGGCTTTTCACCTACTTGTGGAAGGTGCAAATCTGGTTCTCACCTGAGGCTGGTCACAGCAGGAATATCCATCTTCTCCAGAGAGCTTGCAACAAACGGAGGATCCCTTACAGCTATGGCCATCGGGGCACTGCAGAGAATAAGCTGACCCTCCGAGCACCAGGCATACAAACAGCTGTACCCACCGCATCTTCGCCAAGAACCTGAAAAGAGAAAGATGGAGAAAAGGACAGGTGTTGATTAATTACCGGCAAGTCAATGTCTTCCAGCAGTCATGAAATTAAAAGATGCCTGCTTCTTGGGAGAAAAGCAATGACAAACCTAGACAGCATCTTAAAAAGCAGAAACATCACCTTACCAACAAATGTCCGTATAGTTAAAGCTATGGTTTTCCCAGTAGTGACGTATGGAAGTGAGAGCTGGACCATAAAGAAGGCTGATAGCCAAAGAATTGATGCTTTTGAATTATGGTGCTGGAGGAGACTCTTGAGAAGCCCATGGACTGCAAGAAGATCAAACCTATCCATTCTGAAGGAAATCAGCCCTGAGTGCTCACTGGAAGGACAGATCATGAAGCTGAGGCTCCAATACTTTGGCCACCTCACAAGAAGAGAAGACTCCCTGGAAAAGACCCTGATGTTGGGAAAGATGGAGGGCACAAGGAGAAGGGGACGACAGAGGACGAGATGGTTGGATAGTGTTCTGGAAGCTACCAGCATGAGTTTGACCAAACTGCGGGGGGCAGTGGAAGACAGGAATGCCTGGCGTGCTCTGGTCCAGGTGGTCACGAAGAGTCGGACACGACTAAACGACTAAACAACAACCCACTGCGAAATATAACCAGGCCTTTGGCCTTTAACTATCTGTGGCTGTTTAGAAGTGGGTGGGATGTTTCTAATGTATTCCTCTTTCCTCTTGGTTTTAATGTATCTATGGGGGATTACTGTCTGTTTGGTTGTAGGTTGTTTTGGTGAGAAAGCAGGTCGGCAATAAATCACACGGCATCAGTGACGTTAACTCTTTATTCAAGGAAACAAGGTGGACTCAGGAGGCCAGGCCTAGTGGGCACAGTGACTCATCCTGGTATATCTTGCCCCTGTGAGGCAGTTGTGGGGAGTCTGAAAGTCCCTCTGCCTTCCCACTGTTGCCTAAGTCTCCACCTCCCCTGGATCCAAGCAATCGGAGGCTCCTTCATCTTGCATGTCCTTGCTTCTCCCTCTTCATACCTCTTCTGGTCCTGGGAGACCAGGGAGGAGGGGAGGTGGTCCCAGCAGGAAGGGGGATGACAACAACAACAGCCCAGCTTTCTCACCAGCCTGACTTATCTCTGCCTCTTGCCCTCCATTGCTTCAGCTTCTGCTCCAAGTCTGGACCTCTCTCTGCCACAGACTCCCCCCGTGTCCTAAACCCTGTTGTCTCTTCAGCTTCCAACACCACCTCCTCCCAGTCTTCTCCTTCTTACCACTCATGGTCATTCCACCACTCTGAGCCTTCTTCCCCTGGGGGAAGTCCATGATATCTGGGTTGCCTGGGCAAGATAAGGTCACTGACAAATTTAATTAACAATAATAATAATTTAAAAATGCCAAGAAGCAAACCCAAGCATAAATGAGAACATGTGCATCAAAATCATGACCCAGAACTCTGACCTACTGGAGTATCACATGACTCAGCTGGGTCATCAGCTGACTTAACTGACCCTCGTGTGACTCAGGCATTTTGTACAACATCATGTGAGCAAGCTCTGGGTGTGAACAGAGCCGGTAAAGGGAAGTTCTAGTCAACGCTGCATTGGGCCATAGAGTTGCCGGCTGCAGGCTGGAAGGAAAGGCCTGGGCGGTTGTCACTGAGCTCCCACCGCTGCCCAAGAAGTCTTCAAAGCAAGCAAGACCAACCCTACCATTAGGCAGAATGAGGTGATGACCTCAGACAGCAGATGCTGAGGGGCAGGGTGCAGGGTGGATAAAAAAATCAATGATTTTTTAAAAATAAAATGCTTTTGGAGGAAAAACCTTTCTAAAGATAGTTTTCTATTTAAGTTACATTATAGTCCAAAGGCTATTCATCAGGAAATAAGGATTTGTTTTAAGTTTTTATGTGCTAAAACTCAGTCTAATTTTTAAAAAATTGTTTAACCACATCAGTTAACAAACATGGACACATATGCTATAATGTTATTGTTTTAGTTAAATAAATTGTTATTAAGGAAATTATTATTTTTCTCCTTCCAATAAAGTACAGCAGAAAAGTTGTCCAAATATAAACACTTAACTTATTAAACCTCACAATAATTTCATAATTATCTATGTATTTCTAATAGTATAACTAAATGAGCAACTTTTGATATAACTGTAAAAACTACTTTGAAAATTTATTATTCATAAATGAAACCTTTAACTGGTTGTAAATATTAAGATTATACCAGCAAGAATGACTCCTTCTGTAAAAAGATGATTTAAATCAAGGCTTACCGACTAGTGCATTAAATTGTGATTCAAATCTATTTGATTTAAATCAGATCCACCCTGGTTAGGAGTACAGAGCTGTGTGTACCCATGGCCAACGCTGTACCTCCCTGTGCTAGCCAAGTGCCCTCAGGTGAGAAGCAGGATTTTGCTCCAGTCCAGTGTTGAGGTAACTACCAGTCCAGCTACCTACTGCACACAGATTAAATTTATTACATTTATATCCCACCAAGGAAGGGACGCGGGTGGCGCTGTGGGTTAAACCACAGAGCCTAGGACTTGCCGATCAGAAGGTCGGCGGTTCGAATCCCCGTGACAGGGTGAGCTCCCATTGCTCGGTCCCTGCTCCTGCCAACCTAGCAGTTCGAAAGCACGTCAAAGTGCAAGTAGATAAATAGGTACCGCTCTGACGGGAAGGTAAACGGCGTTTCCGTGCGCTGCTCTGGTTCACCAGAAGCAGCTTAGTCATGCTGGCCACATGACCCGCAAGCTGTACGCCGGCTCCCTCAGCCAATAAAGCCAGATGAGCGCCGCAACCCCCGAGTCAGCCACGACTGGACCTAACGGTCAGGGGTCCCTTTACCTTATCCCACCAAGGAGCTCAAGGTGGCCTACTTGGTCTCCCCACTTTACCGTCACAACAACCCTGAGAGGTAGGTTGGCTAAGAAAGAGGGACTGGCCCAAGGTCACCCGATGAGCTTCATGGCCGAGTGCGGATTTGAACCCTGGTCTCCCAGGCCTGAGTCCAACAGTCTGACCACTACGCCACACTGGAATGGCGCAGGGCATGGGGATGTCTGCTTACCCTTCACCTCAGGCAGCAAAATACATTGGGCTAGACCAGTAGCCACAACTACCACCAGGCCTAGCATCAGAAAATATGAATCCCGTCCCCAGTCCCTCTTCAGAAAAAAGCATTGCTATGTTGCTGTTTTAATTTAAAAACAAAATAAAAAACTTTGTATATTACGGCATTTTTTGAATTCTGTATTTGCAGTCCAACTTTGAGGGGATCCTTGGCTGAAAGGTAGCATGACTGCAGGGGGTTAGACTAGATGAACCTTGGGGTCCCTTCCAAACTTCAGAATTCTATGACATAATATGCAATAGCTTGCCATACTGAGTTTTAGAAAGGCTCTGCCTGCCTGAAGCAAGTGCCTCTTGTAAAGAGGTCGCTGGCCAGGTTAGGGGGTTTGAGGGTGGGTGAGCAGGTGGGTCTGCTGCTGCCTTTGTTTCTTAACTCTTTATGGCCACAGAAGTCCAAAATAGAGCCAAATTGGCAGCCACAATCAGGAACTGAAATTTATGTGTCCCTGCAACCGAAATGGAAACTTTCAGTCTGCAGCTTCTGAGACTGACTGACTGACTGACTCTCACACACACACACACACACATACAGAGAGAGAGAGTTGAAATGAAACTTTCATGAAACGAAACTTTCAGGGAGGAAGCAAAGGAGGCAGAACAAGCAGATTCCATAAAATGCATGCGCTAGAGAGAGATCAAGGCGCTAACTTTTGAGTTAGAAAGCACAGCGTCTGAATTGACATGGGTTTCACCTGAACTTAAGCCCGCTCTGCACTCCACTTCCAAACTCAACGTCTACCCTTTCCAGCCTATAAAATGAACTTAGCCCCCAGGAATACAAAATCACAATTCCTACCTCTATCCTCCAACTCACCTGATGCCTACTCAGAGGTTCGTTTACCCTCAAAAAGGAGTTGACCGCAATTAAGCAGGAAGACCATTCCTATCTCCAGAACCAGTAGTTTAGGAACTGTAGAATTAGGTGTTAAGTCTGCGATTTACAGATCTAAAGATTTTTCAGATCAGCTTGCTAGCAGGAGGAGTCAATTAGCCAAAGGGGCAATTAAGGTACCGTATTTTTCGCCCTATAGGACGTACTTTTTCCCCTCCAAAAATGAAGGGGAAATGTGTGTGCGTTCTATGGGGCGAATGCAGGCTTTCGCTGAAGCCTGGAGAGTGAGAGGGGTCGGTGCGCACCGACCCCTCTCGCTTTCCAGGCTTCAGGAAGCTCTCCACAAGCCTTGCAAGCCCGGCGGGAGTTCCCGCCGGGCTCCCAAGGCTTGCGGATAGCAGCCTGCATCCCGAAGCCAGGGGCGCGCTGAGCAACTGCTCCTTCGACGGAGATGTGCAGTGTGTTTTGCGTGGACAGTGTGTTTTGCTCCCGCTTGCATTCGCTTTGAGCAGCGAGCGGCTCGCAGCGCCGCCCCTCTGTCGCTGTGGAATCTCGCCGCGGATTGGGAAGCTAATTGGCTGCTGCAGCGCTGCTGCAGCTGCTCTTCTTCAACAGGGGATACTGGCAAGCAGCCGGCCGAGGCTCCCTCTCCACCCTGCTGCCCCAGGAAGCGCTGCGCAACAAGGCAAGGGTGCGCCGTCCGGGAGCTCCCCGCTGAAGAAGCCGCGCAGGGAGCGGGAGCCGCAGAACCCGAGGCAGCGCACCCCAGGCTTCGGGCAGATGTCTGCAAGCCTTGGGAGCCCGCAGCCTGCAGCCCGAAACCCTGGGGGGGGAATAATTTTTTTTCTTTATTCCCCCCCCCAAAAAAAACTAGGTGTGCCCTATGGGCCGGTGCGCCCTATAAGGCGAAAAATACGGTACTTTGCAAAACCTGAGGACAGCTGGTATCTACAGTGTGCACAATGCAAGACCGAAGGTTTGAGCAACAGCGGCTTGGGAGAAATACGCACTTCAATCTGGAGTAGCCAATCCAGACCAGCCAAGCTTCATACTCATCACGCTGGGACACCCCAATCGCTTGGCTTCAGAAATCTGATTGGGTTTGCAAGAGAAGCCTGGTTTCTTCAGCAGTTGCTCCATAAAGGAGTCATGATGTAAGGATAGGAGTCGTAACTCCCGTCAGCCAAGTTCCACAATGGCTGGAGGTCTAGGGTTTTTCCCCCGTCCCAGCTATAGAGGAACAGAAAGGATGAGAGAAAGAGAACAACACATGCCTTCAGAACCAGCTGCCTTTGACGAGGCTGAACCTAGTTCCTTCTTTGCAATTACTAGTTCCCCAATTCATCTGCAGGTGCTGATGAATGGTTTTAAATGCATGTTCATCATGTGGCACCCTGAAACAGGGTAATCGAAATCAAATATCCACATCATGTGAAAACCATCCTCTGTGAATGCCTGTGCAAAAATCTTTTTGTCCATCTGCAAGAAACTTGCAACTGTGGCACAGGCCCTCCTTCCCCAATCTATTCCACCCACGTTATAACGACAAATGAAAGCTGTTGGGATGCTGCACTTGCAAACAGACACTGGGAAGAGGCAGATTGCTTGGATAACATGGTGCCCAGGGATGGGGCAGTGGTGGCACTGTGGTCTAAACCACTGAGCCTCTTGGGCTTGCTGATCGGAAGGTCAGCAGTTCGAATCCCCGTGATGGGGTGAGCTCTTGTTGCTCTTTCCCAGCTCCTGCCAGCCTAGCAGTTCAAAAGCACGCCAGTGCAAGTAGATAAATAGGTACCGCTGTGGTGGGAAGGTAAATGGTGTTTCCGTGCGCTCTGGTTTCCGTCACAGCGTCCCGTTGCAGTTTAGTCTTGCTTGGCCGCATGACCCAGAAAGCTGTCTGTGGACAAAACGCTGGCTCTCTCGGCCTGAAAGCAAGATGAGCGCTGCAACCCCAGAGTCACCTTTGACTGGACTTGACCGTCCAGGTAGTGATGTATGGAAGTGAGAGCTGGACCATCAAGAAGGCTGATCGCCGAAGAATTGATGCTTTTGAATTATGGTGCTGGAGGAGACTCTTGAGAGTCCCATGGACTGCAAGAAGATCAAACCTCTCCATTCTGAAGGAAATCAGCCCTGAGTGCTCACTGGAAGGACAGATCATGAAGCTGAGGCTCCAATACTTTGGCCACCTCATGAGAAGAGAAGACTCCCTGGAAAAGACCCTGATGTTGGGAAAGATGGAGGGCACAAGGAGAAGGGACGACAGAGGACGAGATGGTTGGACAGTGTTCTGGAAGCTACCAGCATGAGTTTGACCAAACTGCGGGAGGCAGTGGAAGACAGGAGTGCCTGGCGTGCTCTGGTCCATGGGGTCACGAAGAGGCGGACACGACTAAACGACTAAACAACAACAACAACCATCCAGGGGTCCCTTAACTTTTATGTGCAAATAAATATGAGCAGGAGCGTGCAGGTCACAGCTTTTTCAAAAAGATGTCCTGTTGATCTGACTCGTACTTTTTTTTTTGGCCATCACACACTCACAGAATCAGACCCTGAAAAAGAAGGAGTCATGGAAACCTGTGGCAGTGCTGGTGGGGTGCAGTTGAAAAATGGGAGGAAATTCAGGCTTACAGGTGGCTTGTTGACCTGCACAACTGTGAAAAGACACACTCCCTCCTGCTATATAGCCCTAGGCTTCTCTTGCACAGCACAGAGAGCTGGCGCTCCTAAATATTACTAGGAAACAGTAGAGAAACAGCCCTCCTTTCCGAACCTGATGTGCCTCTTTCTCCTGTCTGCTGCCCCCCCCCCTTGCAACACAAGCAAAAAGCCAATCCCTTGCGGAACCAAACTTAATTACTTCTCAGAAATCACAACAGAAAGATGATCCAACTAGAGTATGGATCTACACAAACTGCAGTAGTTATGTGCAGGCAATGTGATCTCGCAAGACATGTCGAAGCAATGTACATGGATGGATCAAATATCTGTTTGTTTTATGTGTTGGTTTTTCCACCAAATCCCTTGTTCTCTAGGTACTCACCCCTCTTGTTGAGTAAACTTGTCTCCGTGTCTAAAAAGAGGGTGATCAAGAAATGGCAAAGTGGGAGATTCTCTTGTGGGCCAATTTATTATGCCAACACCTTCAGATCACCAAGGTTGTTCTAAAAAATGGATTCTCCATTTATTTTTTTTAATTATACCCCATGAGAGGTGTAAAAGCAGCAGTGCTCAAAGTGAAGGCACTGCAATCCCTACTCACAGTTGAAGCCAGGGGACATATTCATAAGTAATAATTGTTTCAATTAAAAGGCATGGCAGTGTACCCTTAAATTAGGCATACCAAGACCCCCTTGGGTCTTAACGATGTACAGAATGTCAGTAGCCAAGCGACACCATTTCCCTTTCATAGCAAAACGATTTCTTTGCCACTTAGCACATTGCGTTTCTGGGGCTCTTACAGGAAAGACTTGGAAAATGAAAGAGAAACTTAGACAGACATTTTTACTGCCGTTATCTTGCCAAGCCAGGAAAAGTTCAGGCACTCCCAGCTATGTAGCTCCTTTAAGATAGTGCCAGGACCACAATAGCTCAAGGTTGGCCTCTCCCCATATGAACCAACACAGACCTTGAGATCATCACCTGAGGCCCTTATTTGTGTGCCTCCTCCACAAGAGGTCCAGAAAGTGTCTCCACATTTGTGAAAGCTCGCCTGGCTTCATCATTAGATATTTTTAGGCGCCAGGCAAAAACAGTGGGTGGGATGCTTTTAATGTATTTATTATAATGTATTAATGTATTTATTTTCCCCCTTGGTTTTAATGAATCTATTTGGAATCTCCCCCCCCCCCCCAAAAAAACCCCACATCTATTTGGTTTTAAGTCACTCTGAGTTGCCCTGGGCAAGATAAAGTGACTAAGAAATTAAATAAATGATAATATATGGATCCAAAGTGCCGCTGGCATAACCAGATCATATGCCTTGTTACAATCACTCCTAAGTATCGGAACATTACACTTAAGAAACATGTATCATGCAGGTACACCAAGTCAAGAAGTTCGGATTGGCTGCAGATCATTTATTTTTGCCTCGTTCTTCAGCCCCAGAGCATTCCTGGCTAACAGGCCTAAGTATGACAACTACTGATCTCCCCCAAGATTTATAAAACAACAGAACAGTAAAAAGAAAAAAGTTAACTCTAGAGCCAGCCAGGACTTAAGTGAACACATCCAAAGAAATCCTGGGCAAACAAAAAGGTCTCTACCTGGAGCCAAAGAGATAACAAAGTCCAAGTTTTATCCCTGCGAAGGTGAGCAAAAGGACTGAAAAAAGAGCAATCGCAGACCCTCCCCTACCTTGCCTCCGCCAGCAGGGAGACCAAGTACAGATAAGGTGGGCCTCTGGGGAAGATCTCAACAACTGGGCATATCCATGCAGAAGGAAATGGTCTTTAAAGTCCGCTGGCCCCAAGACAAAGGAAGTTTAAACAGTGTTAAGCATAAGCCAAGCGCATTTTGCGCCTGGCTTTCGACCACTTGCGACCAAGTGAAGATGCCTGGGCTCCAGGAAGACGTCTAACGTCTCCATCATCTGGAGGTGCCTGCCTGGGGATCATTGGATCTGGACTGTTTTCGCAACACATCCTGTAGAATTCTATCAGTTATATTTTACCTGCACAAGGGGAATGAATTTCTGGAACCTGCCTGAGCAGGAGCAGTCGCCTTTAAGAAAAAAAAAGGTCGCACTAAATGTGGACTTTTCTTCTTTTAAGTTTTCAAAGCTCTTAACCTAGCTCATGGTTGTTATCTGAACAAGCCAGGTGTTTAATTGAGAATCAATCACAGTCAGTCCATTGTTTGAAAAAATAGACTTTAGAGCTACCCTACCGCAAAATGGGGGATGCGGGTGGCGCTGTGGGTTAAACCACAGGGCCTAGGACTTGCCGATCAGAAGGTTGGCAGTTCGAATCCCCGCAATGGGGTGAGCTCCCATTGCTCGGTCCCTGCTCCTGCCAACCTAGCAGTTCGAAAGCACGTCAAAGTGCAAGCAGATAAATAGGTACCGCTCCTGCGGAAAGGTAAACGGCATTTCCATGCGCTGCTCTGGTTCGCCAGAAACAGCTTAGTCATGCTGGCCACATGACCCGGAAGCTGTACGCCAGCTCCCTTGGCCAATACAGCGAGATGAGCGCCGCAACCCCGGAGTCGGTTTAAGGAGTTTCTAACACTGGCTTAAGTTTCTAACACTGGTTCAAAGTCTCTAACACTGGTTTAAAAGTGTCAGGATCAGCACCAGGTAGCAAACACCGTGCTTTACCCGGTACCATACATGAACAGCCCCTCTCTCTCTCTCTCTGGCAGGACTCCAAATATTTTGAAATACAGCTTAGCTTCTCAACATCTGAAGGGCACCGGGTTGGGGAAAGCCGCCCTGGAGGAACCCAAGCATGCACAGCCAAGCCAGTACTACAGAAACGTTAGGGGGTGTAGTAACTGTTTGTGCATATTCCGCTGCAATGGCACAGTCACCTTTTCCACAAAAATCCCAGGGCATTGTGAGTTTGCCTGCGATGAGTGTGAGACCACTATCCATCCAGCAACCATTACTCTCTCTCTGCAAAAACAGACTCCATGTGAGAAAACAAACAGGTTTCCCCTTAGAAGCACACAGGAAGCTCCTCATTTAGCCAAATGCTGCCTACACCAAGCGACAGCAGCTTTCCAGGGGTTCACAATAGACGTCTCCCTGCCAGAGCTGGGGATTCAACCTGGAACCTTCTGCATGCAAAACTGAAGACCGATGCCAGACTGCAACGCTCTGGCCTTGCCCTGTCTGCTTGAGATCTCAGCACAGGCACACCTACAGAACAAGAGGCGGAACACAGAACTCACAATGATCCAAACTCAGTAAGCAGGCAACACACGTTGACTTCAACCAGAAGAGAGCACACACACTGATTTTTGGGTTCAGTTTGTGAGGAAGTAAAAACCGAGCTGCGAAAAGGAAGTGCAACACAGTCTCTTGTACAATAACCACAAGAAGCCATAAACAGAGACAGGACAGCAACCTTCAGGGCGTAGGTTTTGAGGTCAACTTATATAGAATCACAGAATTGTAGAGTTGGACGGGATCCCCGAGGGTCATCTAGTCCAACCCTCTGTAATGCAGGAATAATGTGCGGGGGGTTTTCAACAGCTGCACAGAAAAGACCACTCTAGCCCAGCTCTACAGAGCACAGTGCAGCTGTTTTTAACCACTATGAGTGTAAGAACCAGGCCTAGCAACCAGCCCCACCTGACACAGCTCAGAATGATTGCTGCTGTTATTTATTTAGCAGGAAAAAAACCATCCTCTGGGGCTGACCCCTGGCTTTTAAAGCCGTTGTCAGAGCTGACAGTGCAGGACTTAATTATCGACAGCACTTGGCACTGAAGCGAGATCCCAGGGTCAAATCCTGACTGTATTTTTTATTATTATTACATTTTCTATACTGCTCGTCACCCGAGGATCACAGGGCGGTTTACAATAGAAAAACACAAAAATACATTTGGTAACTTAGTAACAAACCAAGCCTAATTCCACCCAGTTTAAAAGCCCATAGACTCTCTAATTAGCCAGAGGCCTGGGAGAAGAGGAATGTTTCTTCCTGGAGCCTAAATATATGTAATGAGGGCACCTGGTGAGCTTCTCTGCAATATATATTGCAACGCGAGGAAGAAGGCGCACGACAGAGAGAAATGGTCAGTTTCCTATTAATCTGTGGGGAGGTGAAAGGAAAGGGGAAAAGAGAGAGAGGACAACGATGTTAAAAACGCAAAGGAGTTTGCACTGAGCCTAGTATTCCGTCTTCAACAGGGGTCAGCCTGACTGCTCTCAGGAAGCAATGCTGAAACAGCCAGCTCTCCCTTCCTGTATACTCACTCCCCAACCTCTTGCATGCGCAGCTGGTAATAACCCTGGGGTGGGGACCCCTCTGCTGTTGCAGCAGGATCCCCCAAGGCACCGGGGGCTTTCCAAATCAACTCACCCTTTGCACCAGCTTCGCCCCGCAATAAGACTGGCGCGGCAGGACCTTCGCTAGCCGGTTCCTTCCAGCCCCAAAAGCAAAACCCCGGGTGCAAGGCCACGCCTCCGGCTCTCCATGGAATTGGCCGAGCCGCTGTCCCTGCAATCTGTTTGGCCGCTTTTCCTTCCTTTCCCCCTTTTTGGTTGGCTGCTTTGCTATCGCGGGCCTTGCCCCCCCCCCCGATTGGGAGGCAGTCATATGATCTGTTGCTTAAGTCAATTTGCAAAACGCGCACATGACCCCGGCAGTTCGAATGCGCTTTGTTGCGCACGTGACGAGGCAGGGAAGGGAAGGTGTGGCTTTTTAAAAAAATGTATTTTTTAATTTCATTTTTGCAGGCTGAACACCGGCTCAGGCTCGCCGGAACTTCTGGTTTTCCACGCCGGGGCTCAGCCCCGGAAGTGGTAACGAAGAAAGAGTGCCTCTGAGAGCGTGCCGATTGCTACCCTGCTTTCCCATCTTGTTGTTGTCTGTATGGCATATGCACAACGGCAGCGTTACTGCCGTGAAACACGTGTAAATTAGGCTTTAGGATCATAAAGGTCATTAGGATCATAAAAAGATTGGGCCTTACTAGGTCTTCCTAAGAGTCTCTTTAATCGTGCATGCTGTTTGCAGCACATTGTTACCAGTGGTGTAGTTCATGTTCTATCATGCACAGGCGTTATAACCAGCTGCATTGGCAAGTTTTACACACGACTGACTGAATAAGCCGCCGTTTCAAAAGTATTACTTGTAGGGAAGAGCTCTGGGTCCTCGCGCAAGAATCCAGATTAATGAAACACCTTTTGGACAATTATTAGGCAATTCCCTAATTCAATTTTCAAGCGAGCATTGGAAGGCCATTACCATCCCTGGGGTTCAGCTGCTCCGCAGATCTTTAAATATATTCCTGGCAGGTTTTGGGGGCAAACTAATTTTTTGCTCCCTTTTCCTGTTATTTTCCTTGCTTCTAACAAAGAACTTCTGAAGTCGCCATTTAAAGTCAATAGGTGGGCGCACAACTGCAGGACCTCTAGAGGGCGCGTGAAGACGCTGCTTCACTGAGATTCCTATAGTCGGGCTACATCAGCAGCGTGTTCCCGTTAGCATGTAGAGGTTTTTCACATCAACCTGCACCCTTAACAAGAGTTATCGATGGTATTCTGGGCTAGCAGTCGCCTTCTCCCTGACCCCTGCTAAAGTTCTGCGCGGAGGGGATTTGTATTTTATTTTATTGCAATGTACTATGGTGGAGCAATCCATCTCGTGGATCCCCTACTCCTGCAGGAGTCTCAGTTTAGCTGAGTTGGATATAGCTTATTTTTATTTTGAGAAGGGCAGAAAGTGCATCAGTAAACTGCCCCAGTCCCAGACTGTACTGCATTTTTTAATTATGTTAGGAATTAGCACCCTTCTCTTTCACCTGAGGGTTTAGCCCTAAAATGACTAAACAGTGAAGTCCATGGGATAATGTTAAAATTAGAAAGTAGGCATGGATGAGAGAGTTCTATCTGAATTTCCTTTTTGCTTAGTTTAGGCTCTTTACCCCTACAGATCTGGCTATTATTGCAAGCAGTTCTGTGCCTTTGTGAAGCTTGGTGTTTTATGCAACTTTAAGTGGGTGCAGTTAGAGGACGAAGAGATTGCAGTTTACTTTGCAAATAATTTTAAAAGGGGAAATGCTGTAAAGGGGTTCTGAGTCAATGTCATTTCTGAACAGCTCAGAGCAGCTTTCATGCCCATTTTGAGAGTGCATTTTGTGGGCGATTCCCCCCTTTTAATGACTCTTTGCATGCTGTGTTTTATGATTGTATAATTAGGGAATGAGCAATAAATGAGCTATCCTTCCATTGGCCCAGCTCCCCAATGTGCTTAGCCTGCTGGCTGGGGGTACCAGGTCTCTGGAGCACCATAGCACATCTCAATGTCTGGGTAGATAATTCCCATGTTTTCATTTATAAGCCTTTTTAAAATCTCCACAGGGATGGCAGGGAGAGCTACCCAGAGAAATCAACAGAGAATTCCAGCTGCAGTCAATTACCAGGATGTCCACACTACAACAAAATGTAGCAGTAGCGAGAGTAGGAGGTGCTTTCTTTAACTTCAGTCCTATTTTGTGGGCATTTTTAAAAACCGTTTTCAAACTTCATTTAAGAAAAAAGTCCAGCCAGTGTAAATTCTGCATACAATCCATCTGCAGCATTAACAGAAAACAACATTACAGGGCTGTTGTAAGCCATTCTTAACCTGAGGTAGTATCTCACCCCCCCACCCCCCACCACCACCTGCCAACCCTTTGGTTGAGAGACAGTGGCTTATGATAGTACTACAGTGTAATCCACTGTTAATGTTGCAGATTAGAGGTGTGGATCTCAAGCCACAGCTAACCCGGCCAAAAAAAAAAGGTTTCCCTACAGTAACATCAAAGGTCAATCTTCTTACATTGTTCCCCACACCCCCTGCAGCACAGATGGAATTGCACGGTTGAAAGCAGAACCTTTCTGCTGTATTTCACAACATGAAATATGGCCAGTTTTAGAAGCTCCACTATGTACTCCCGCCCCCCTTTTAATTTTTGCAAACACACTGGTGACAACTCATTGAAACCCTTAATCCGCTTGGACTACTGCAACGCACTCTACGTGGGGCTACCTTTGAAGGTGACTCAGAAACTACAACTAATCCTGAATGTGGCTGCCAGATGGGTGACTGGAAGCGGCCCCTGGGACCATATAACACCGGTCCTGAAAGACCTACATTGGCTCATTTCCGAGCACAATTCCAAGGGTTGGTGCTGACCTTTAAAGCCCTAAACGGCCTCAGCCCAGTATACCTGAAGGAGCGTTTCCACCCTCATCGTTCAGCCCGGACACTGAGGTCCAGGTCCGAGGGCCTTCTGGCGGTTCCCTCACTGCAAGAAGTGAAGCTTCAGGGAACCAGGCAGAGGGCCTTTTTGGTAGTCATGCTTGCCCTGTGGAATGCCCTCCCATCAGATGTCAAGGAAACAAACAACTATCTGACTACACAAGACTCCTGAAGGCAGCCCTGTATATGGAAGTTTTAAATGTTTGATGTCTTAATTTATTGGAAGTCGCCCAGAGTGGCTGGGCAGAATACTACTACTACTACTAATAATAATAATATCTATATACTGTTATGGACATCTCTCAATTCCACCCTGGAAGGCAGCGGTTGGGGGAAATCTGCAGAAACCAGAAACTGACCCAAGTAAAATCTCAGCATTAATATAATCTCCTAGCAATCAGATGCAGCAGGCAGAACCTGGAATGGCGTGTGTGTGTGTCTGGCAGATCAGGGGTGCAACTGGGGCTGCTTGAGGAGCAGGAGCCAGGGCATATGGGGCACGATCGAGATTGCAGCAAAAGTTCCAAAAGTGGACTAGCAGAAGAACTACCGGCCTCCTTACCTGCAAACGACTCAAAATCCCCATCTTCCCTTACTGAGAAACACAACAGGACCTGTGATGATGGGAGTTGCCATTCGACATCTTGTGGGTCCATTTAATATTTAGCTCGAATTTCAATGTTGCACTGCATCCTGGACCCCAGCTCCTCACAAGACGTGCCATTTAGGGCTTGTGGGGAAAGGTTCTTGTTGTTGTCTGCCTTAAGCTTTCTTTTCTATCCTCTGTAAACTTACATGTGTTATATAAAGAGCTCGTGCTCGGGGGCTTGTGGTGTTGCAATATGGGAGGAAAGCTTTTGGGAGGAAGTCAACTTGAGAAACCGTCTCTTCTTGCACTGTCAAAACACCCCACTATATTGCGTAGGGAGGGGAGGTACTTAATTTCATGTGATACCCCCATGTCTGCTGTCTTCAACAACTGGTAGGTCCTGGAAAGCCGCCATTGGAAACTCCAAGAGGGCAGGCAAGAACGTAAGAGCCTACTGGATTAAGCCAGTGGTCCATCATTGTGTTCTCATGGTGGCCAAGATGCTTCTGGGGCCCCAGCAAACAGGACCTCAGTGCTACAACACCCTTCCCCACTTGTGAATCCCAGCAATGGGCATTTTGAGGTGTACCACCTCCAACAGTGGGGGGCAGAATATAACCATAATCTTGCCCTCCACGTACACGTCTAATCCTCTTTTGAAGCCATCCGAATTGATGGCCATTAGTGCCTCTTGTGGGAGCGGAGTTCATAAACTACATGAAGGACTTTCTTGTCCTTACCTTTGCAGAGCCAGTTGTCAGTCATCGTTGGGAATACAGTTAGATACTCAGTAGAAAGCAGCTTCCTTAGTTGACCCTTTAATTTTTTTTAAAAAACTATTTGGTATATCCAGGACCACCAGCTCAACGAGCATGGCTCAATTCTTGCCAATCTTACAGGCAATCGGGGCTACCAGAGTTTATCAGAAGGGACAAAAAGCCGCAATGCAGTCTCAACTTCCAATGGCCAGCCATTTTCCTTCGTCAGTAGGCTATTCCACCCACCGGCCACCCCCAAAAACTGCCTCTCAGTATTTCATAGCTGCTGACATTGCTCAGCCCTCATTTGGGCTGGGTCTTGATGTTACTGCTTAGGTTTGTCTTCTGGATTCTTAGGCAAACCTCCAAGTTCCTTTCCCAAGCCCATTGATATCTGCCTCGTTTTTCAGTGGTTGACTCCTATTTCTGTCAACACTCAGCACCAGTTTGCTGGGGTGGGGGGCTGAATTTCCCTTTGCATCTATTGTTGCTTCATGAATTCATGCATGGTGAGGTGGTAGAACATTCCAGTGGTCGCATTTGCAAGCATTTGAGTTCAAGCCCTGCAACCAGAGATGTGGCTGCTTGCTGTTTTGCAACAGGGAAACCTCAGCTGCCCTTGCCGAATGATACAACTACTTTAGCAAAGGCCTGTGGCCTAGTCCCGCCTCAAGCCCTGGACAAACTCTTTTCCTTATCTGGCTTCTTTGCTTCCAGCTTGCTTGCAGTTCCTCTGATCTTTTCTCTCTTGGGCAAACCAATTTTCCATTTCCCTCATGCTGTATTGGGAACGGTCCTTTGTCCTCCCTCCCCAACGCACAGAAAGGCGGTCAAAATGCTTGAGCACACTCTTTCTTCACAGCCGCTCAGGCAAAAATGGCTTGGTAGGGAGTCCAAGAGAGAGCCTGACGCAACCCACTTTTGCTATCACCAGTCTTCTCATAAAATGGTAGCTCGCAAAGACTGTATTCTGCAGTACAAAAAACGCTCTTGTACAGGCCAAAACATTTATACTATTTCACACTGAACAGTGCCCACTTTCTTTCCACTTATATCCCACATGAGGTTGCCATGTTCTTTTCCCCTCAGCGGGGTGCTCGCTCCCCAAAATGCTGCACAGCTCCCAGCAAATTCAACAGGTGAAGTTCTCTCAGCCAACAGGGAAGGAGCTCAATATAAAATGTAAGAGCAGAGTCTTGCAAGCCCATCAGTAAATCCACATTGTCCCCGTCCCCCACCCGTTTGTATGCGGCTGCTTTTGAATTAAGTCTAAACCTGCTCGCCTCTAGACTCAGCTGAGCTTAGTGGGGGAAGGATTTGCTGCCTAGGAAAGGAAACACCACCATGCAATGAAACCTTGATAAATTCAGAGGGTTTATATATTAATACCATTCTAAAGAACAAGTATGAGGTTTCACCAGCAGCTGCCACCGAGTCTCCAGTTTTGCCAAGTTTGCCCAACTTTTTAATATATTTATATAATAATAATAATTTTTTTAAAAAAAAACTCCAAAAAAGGTTTTTCAACAAGAGAGTTCAGAGTCACCAGAGAAAGCAAAGGCATTCCCCACAGTTAAAGATGCATCAGTGTCAGAGACCACCCTCACTTACCCAGCTTCCTTTATGTGCAAGGTATTTTTATTTCCAACTATAAAAAGGTAGTAGAAAACAGCACTGGACCAGGAAGGAGTAAGAGGTATCTGGTTCTGGGGGGTCCTGATAGTTTGTGGGGTGTGGCTCTGCCACTGCATTTAACTATATATAACTTCCTGTGGGTTTGACTACAGTGCCACCATCTTTGTATAGGGCTACATTCCTACAAGATGTGCATTGATCTGAGAGATACCTCAACGTCATGGCAACGGTAGCTTAGGACCAGCCACCTTGGAGACAGGTTTGCTGGTACTGATCAGGCTGAGCAAGGCGTGATCTAGGAGATGGAACAGACACAACCCCCTTGAAAACTGTGATAGTTGACACTTGAAATATGCAGTGCACTTGCAGCAACGTATGCTCATTTGAAACAGCTCTTTGACTGGCCATGAGGCTAAGAGTTTAAAAAAGGGGGGGGGGGATTCCACAAAGTGGGGAGGGCAGGGAAATCTGTTATGGCTCAGTGGATTCTCTCTGTGCATTAAGCACCTACAGCCTGCAAAAAGCACTGCTGGCTTCCTTCTGCTGGGCTAGTCACCAGTCCAAGATGCTCCTCCAATACTCATAGATATTGTCAAAGACAGTAGTAGCTGGGGTGTGGAGCTGATTCACAGAAGATTATTACCCCCCCACATGGAAGGTATTAATGTGTACAAGTTGGGAAAGAGACATATGCATGACACATGGGATTTCTACAGTTTTCAGTGCAGACTTCCATGCAGAAATTTTCATCTCATGCAAAACAGCTCCTGGTGGCTCCTGGTCCCCTCTCTGGAGAGTCTTTGCCGACAGCCACATCAAGGAACAGGGAGTTCCACAGGTGACAGTTATCTCTAATGCGGTGGACCGGCAAAAGCGGGTGGGAGAGAAATCCTACAAACGTATGCTGTGGAAGAAGATAAAAGTAGAAATCGCCCAGGAAAGGGAATTTAGAGAAAAAGAAAAGTTGCCCCCGCCCCAGGGCAACAGTCTGAAAAGCCTGACTCAGGTAGGAGAAGGGTTTCATTGAGCTAGGGCTCAGCCCCAGAACCTGTTTTCATTGCTAAGGCTCAGCCCTGGAACAGGTGAACGGAGAACAAAGTGTTTCTGAGTGTATGTAAAGGGCCTCGCTATCTCGACCATGGAGTGACTCATCACCTGTCCCCCAAAAAACTCCTCCCCAGGGGTTTCAGCAGCTTCTAAGACATGGCGAGCAAGCCCTGGTGTTGTGGGGAAGGGGCTCCAGAAGGACAGGGTCTGCAGCTGGAATTGTGAAGCTTTATTAACTCTCTTCAGTGGGTGCTGAGGTGCGTCAGAAACAACAACCTTTCCCCTCTCTCCTCCCAAATGGTTTCTGACCTGTTGACTTCTCCGGCGGCCCTCTACTGTTTCAGAAGGGGTCAGGCCCGACTCATTGGTTTCAAAAGAAGCCCCCCCCCCAAGACACTTTTAGGTTTGCAGCCAACCACCCCACCCCTCCCCATTTGTCCCATATCCTCCCCCCCCCCCCGTTTCGCTGACAAAGCCTCAGGCTAGTGGTTCCTCTATCTCTTCCCCAAATAAAACCATCCCCTATCCCCTCAGTGGTCCACGAGGCCTCCACCGATGCGCTGCTGGGGGCTGCTGAGGAGGCACACGCTACGTATCCCCCCCCTCCAAATATATAAAGCATGATACAAACACTCCCCTCCATCGACGATGTAAGACACACACATACACACACACCCCTCCATCGGTACACACAAACACCCCCAATTTGGTCCTGCTCTTTTATCTGGGAGATTGGTCACTGATGCTGCCATGTTGCTGGATGGGGCAGCTGCCCAGGCTGTCTCCGCTGACGGCTTAAGTCAGTTGGCAGCTGGGCTTGCGAGAGAGGCCGAGGGTGACTTTTTCCTCCTGCGCTCTCCCTCCCGCCCCTCCCCATCCCCAAGCGCTCCCTGGCAGGAGAGAAGAGGGATTAGAGTGAAAGGAAGATTTGAGCAGATGGTCCGTCTGCAGTACCCTTCTGTGGACACCCAAGGTTTCATTCACAGCTGCCTGGGTGGGGAGGGGATGCGGTGGTGGGGAGACGTTTGGGGCCAGAAGGCACTTGGAGGAGACCAAGGAGTTGCAGGCACAAAGGGGTGGGGTGGGGAGATGGGGGGCACAAAAGTGACTCCTCAAGGGAGTTTGTTTGGCAGCGAGGTTGGCCGCCACTGACATGCTTACCCACACGCACGCCGTGGCTCAGGCTCCCACCCGCCCCCTGACATACACGCATGCACACACATATGTACAGTTGCCACACAGGTGCCCCCACTCCCCAAACCCACCGCACTTGTCCATGGTACTGTTGCCCAGGTTGTTGGGGGCACTGAGGCACGACAGGCAATGCTGGGCATCAGCCTAGAGCTTTTGGGCGCTTGACCGACCCCCAACCAAACCATGCTACGGCTTGGAAAATCCACAGGACAATTTCTTTTTTTAAAGGAACGGTACGAATTGCCCACCCTGCCCCCAAGGAAAATGGGGGGGTGAAGAGCCCCAGTAACGCCTTCCAGTTCACCTCCACTCCCAATAATGTCAAGGCAAGGAGCCAACGCTAGTTCTGGCTGTGCCAAGGCTGGGTGGGGATAAGGGGCTCCACACAGAACAAGGCCATGTCCACCTCCTGGGATTTGGCAGAAGGTCTCTCAGAGCAGCAAAACTTGCTTTGTCCCAGAAGTGGGCACACACACACACGGCAGTTCCTGTGCCCCACGTTGCTGCCTGGCTCACAGTGGCTGGTGTTGGTGGAAAAGGGTAAGAGGCCCAACTAGCTCAGCCTGTTGATGCAGCACTTCTTAACCTGCCTTGGGCAAGGCAAACTTATCGGGTGGTCGCGGGGCATGCTGGGAAAAAGAACACAGAGTACAGCTTGGCCGCAAGCCGCCTCTCGCTCCATCAGTCTGTCCTGTCAAAAGTCCGAGCGGTTCCTGTTCCACCAAGCATTTGACGAGATGGAGAGGGCAGGAAGTGGCGCCAAGATTGCGTGCAGGAAGCCTGACCTCTGTGGTCCGGGCGATCTCCGCTCCCCTCCCCCAACTGTGCAACGAGAGCGACCCATCCCCCCGCCCGCCTCCTCGCACGCACACTTCTGCCCGCTACTTCACGTTGAAGACCATGAGCGGGCGCTCTTCGCGTTTCTGCCAGGGGCTCTTCTTGTCCCCCTGGTCGTCCGTCCCTTCCGAGGGCTCGTTGCTGTCGTCCTCCGGGCTGGTCATGGAGTCGCGGCGCAGCTCGCTGTTGCTGTTGCTGCTGCGAGAGCTGTTTCCGCGGCTGCGCCCGCGCCGGGGGATGGTGGCCGCCCGGTGGTCGGCATTCTCGTCCAGGAGGGGCGTCAGGGAGTTGTCCTCGGGGGAGCAGATGGCGGTCCGGCTCTCGCTGCTGCTCGGCTCCGTGTCGGCGTCGGCGAAGACCAGCTTGGAGTAAGCGGGGCCCATAGCGGGCGGCGCCAGGCGCTCCTCCTTCAGCCTCTTGGGGGGCTTGGCCTCGTTGACGTCCACCCCGGAGTCCAGGCTGGCGTCGTTGCTGCGGCTCCTCTCGTTGCCCTGGAGGTCGATGTACGAGTGGCGGACTTGGGAGGACCTCCCGTCCAGGGACACAAACCAGGCACGTGGGTGTTGCTTCACACCCAGCTCCAGCAGCTTCTTCTCCGTCAGGGCTTGTAGCTCCCCGTTCAGCTGGGCCATGGTGGACTCGTTCAGCAGCACTGGGATGGTGACGGAGCCGCTGACGGACTGCGTGTGGGGGCCCCAGCCCTTCCCCTCAGCCTCTTCCCCCGGGTGCTGCTGCAGCTGGAATTGCGGGTGCTGCAGCTGTTGCTGCAGGAAGGGCTGCTGCTGCCTCTGCTGCTGCTCTCCGGCCACAAACTGGTGAGGGATCCCCATGCCGCCCGGGTCCAGGTCCGGCTGGCTCTCGGAACCCCCCGCAGGCTGGTCTGAGGGAGCCAGGCGCATGTAGTGGGCCGGGATGACCAGCGTCGGCATCACGTTCCGGTACATGGAATCCTTCATGTGGTCGATGGAGCCGCAGAAGATGAGCTGCCCGGGCTGGCTCAGGGAGGTGGGGCGAGCCAGGTGGTCCACGGACTGCGACATCATGAACTCGGGCGGCTTGGGCTCCCCTTTGTGGCCCCCGTAATGGTCGAAGGGAGGCGGGAGAGGCGGTGGCGACGGGGGCTCCTGCGAGTAGCCCTTGCTGTCGTGGCGCACCTGCTTGCTCTTGTCCTCGGGGCGCTGGTGGGAATAGCCGCGCTTGTAGTCCTCGTGGAGAGGGGGCTCCAGGGCACCGGGCACATCCATGGAGCGGGCCGCCTTGAGGGAGTAGCCCTCCGCCACTTGAGCGTAGCTGTCCTTAAGGGCCCCCCGCTGGCTCAGAGTGTCCGCCATGGAGGCCTTGCTGGCGTGGCGGGCCTTCTGGTTGGACACTTGCTTGAAGAACTCTTCCCGGGAGCTCTCGAACTCCCGGGACGAGGAGAAGGCCGACTTGAGGATGGGTGTGTGCACATCCGTGTCCCCGTTGGAAGAGGCCGTCTCCAGGTGGCTCGTGCAGATGAGGTTGATCTGGGACATGGAGGTGGCCTGGTCTTTCTTGGAGGCATCCAGAGCCCCAGAGAGTTGGAGCTTTCTGTGTTGTTGACGTGGCTTCAGGCACAGCCTCCTGGAAAGGGGGAAGAAGAAGAAGAAGAGTTTGGATTTGATATCCCGCTTTATCACTACCCGAAGGAGTCTCAAAGCGGCTAACATTCTCCTTTCCCTTCCTCCCTCACAACAAACACTCTGTGAGGTGAGTGGGGCCGAGAGACTTCAGAGAAGTGTGACTAGCCCCAGGTTCACCTAGCAGCTGCATGTGGAGGAGCGGAGATGTGAACCTGGTTCCCCAGATTACAAGTCTACCGCTCTTAACCACTACACCACACTGGCACTGGAAGAAGAAGAAAATGCAGGTGCAGATAAATTCACAGGTAGCCATAGCAGAAGTGCTCTAGCTCAGGGGAGAGACATGTGCCTTGCACAGGGCAACATCAAACTCTAAAAACTTCCCTGAGCCTTCAGATGTCTTTTAAAAATCGCATAGCTGTTTATCTGTTTGTCATCTGATGGGAGGGTGTTCCGCAGGGCAGGCGCAGCTTCCGAGAAGGCCCTCTGCCTGGTTCCCTGTAACCTCGCAATGAACCACATTGTGATCTTCAGATGAAGGGCAGTATACAAATTTAGATACTAATAATTGGATGCTCCTGCCTTTTGGATGTAGGGTTGTGTGCTGTGGGGGTGTGAGAGGAGAATTTCCCAGATGATCTCTCAGCTCTTTCTGCCTATATAATTCTATAAAAGAGTGAATGGACTCTTAAAGAAGTTTAGAAGTCAAGGCATTCAGGGCCGAAGGAAATGAACCCTCTTCCCCGGGACACAAGCAAGCTGGGTTTGAGACCCACCAGTAGTCATGCAAAGCACTTAATTTCTAAAGTGAAAGGTGCTTGCTGGTACCTCTGGCTGAAATTTCCCTCCTCCCCATTCCCAGTTCAATGTGTGTCTGGATGCCTGTTCTCTGGGGTTCTGCTGTCCTCTTTTACTACACAGAAGTGTTCACTAGGGCATAGGGTTGGGTGACAAAGAGCAAAGGAGCAGAGCCTTGGGAGAGTGGGAGGGGAAAGGAATGGACCCATGACTAATCGGCCAGAGGCTGCCTGACATTTTGCAACAAAGTGCTTGCAACAGCTGTCAAATTCCTCAGGACTATTCCTGCAATCCTCAGCTCAGCTGCCTTTCCTCGTGCCTGGGCCCTACTAGAACAGATCATTTGCAAGAGGGCTCCAATTTGCAGTGTGGTTCCTTCCCACGAATAATAATGTTGGGGCGCAAGGTTCTATAATTCCAATTTTACTGATGGGGAACAGAGCCAGATTATGTTAGCGGTAGACTTGAACTCAGGTCTCCCGGATCCAAGATCTCTGAAGCATTCCAAGGACGTGTGTGTGTGTACAGTCATACCTTGGGTTAAAGTCACTTTGGGTTAAATCTTTTCAGGTTGCGTCCCGCGGCGACCCGGAAGTAACGGAATGGGTTTCGCCGCTCGTGCATGCACAGACGCTCAGAATGGCGTCACGCGCATGCACAGACGCGGCGAATCGCGACCCGCGCATGCACAGATGCGGGTTGCATTCTGCTCATGATGTGAACGGGGCTCTGGAACAGATCCCATTCGCATCCAGAGGTACCACTGTGTGTATGTGTATGTTTTTGTGTATGTTTTTGTGTCTGTGTGTGTGTGTATATGTATATGTATATGTTTATCACCTACAACAAAACCTGCTTCGTGACACCCTTGGCAACTTGAGGCACTGACTCCCAACTTAGCTGAATTCCCTCACCCTTCCTGGTGAAAAAGGGAAAGGGAAAGAGAAACCTTCAGAAACCGCAGCTGTGAGCTGTATCTAAAGGGGTCGCTGGGGAGAAAAAGGGTTTGTCCTTGATCTCCTCTGATGCCTGAAACATTCCATCTGCCTCCCCGCTTCAGCTACCACTCAGAGCCCCAGTAGCTGAAGTCCTTTTGCAGTTCCATTCGAGAAAGAAAGGTCCCTCAACTGGCGCCCGGTTCAAATGGCCCATTGGCTCAGATCCAGCCTGCGGGCTGCCAGTTCCCGACCCCCACAATACCCAGATGAAATGAAAGCAAAAATACAGTAAATAAGACCTTGCAGCGATAGGGAGGGTGAGCTTTAGAAAAATTAATGTGGTTTGAGAAGACAAGGCTGGAAGTGGGAAGTTGGGCAAGCAGCACTCACCTGCAGTAGTAGATAAGCAGGCAGAGCAGGATGAGGACCAGCAATGCCAGGGCACCCAGGATGGTGAGCAAGAAAATTGTGTGGTAGGTGGCAATGTCCTTTATGCCTCCAACTGCACTGGCCAGCCCTGCAACGAAGAGACCTCTTTATGGGCTGACTTGAAGGTTTCCCTAAAGCATCTATGTTGGAAATGGGATGACGTACTAAATGGGGTTACCCTGGATCTGATCCAGCAGGGCATAAAGATGTAGCTAATTTGTGTGTGTTTTTTTAATCCCAACTTTATAAATTTCCAAACCAGGCACGGGGGCTCTTTAAAAGCTTGATTTAAAGTCATGCCTATAATTTTAAGGCAATTTTTCTAATTACTAAACATTTTGCGCGTGGCTTTCTTTTTATTAAAACATCAAAAGATGGGACTGATTAAAAATGCTCAGATTAGCGGAATATAATTTCAAGCAAATTTATATACGGGGCTTTTTCCCCCGCGGGAACTCGCTGGGACCTCCCAGATGGGTGCCATTGAAATTGCAAGAGAACAAGGGAGGTGTTCATGGTGAGTTCCAGCACCTCTTTTCTAGAAAAATAGCACTGGATATCTACAAATATAAATATGAGCAGATTTATGCAGGGAGGGATTTATTCCCCATATTCATTTTGGTTCTCCCTAGATGCCCTTTCCCTTAATCCCAGACTTATTTCTATTGCATTTTTTCAGTTTTTATCATGCTTTTCTGAGCATGTCACCCACCCCAGCTCTGGTTGCATTTATTCAGAGCTTGTTTGGCAACCACTCCACACAAACTGAGAGGCACTCATTTTTCTGGAATTCTTAATTCACAAGATACCACATTCCAAGCAAATTCCCACAGGTGTGCAGAGAATGTGCACTCCCGCTAACACAAGAGATCTGCTAGCACCTTTCTGGCTGGTTCTTCAGCAAAGTAATTAAGAATTTGGTGGTGATATTTTACCCGTTGTTGGAGACAGCATGGCAGCTGCCCAATAGCCCAGCTGTGGGGAGACAAACGTCCAGTAAAGCTGGTTCCCTTCCTTGCGGATGAGGCCCGTCCCATTCCGAATCCACAGACCTGAGAGAAAGAAGAACTGCTGAATCAGAAGTAACCTGAAAGGCCATCTGGACCAAGCCCCTTCCCAGATGAAGGACTGGCCACTCACCAGCCCCATCCCTAACCTGCAAAACCTATAAAAGGTAAAGGACCCCTGGACAGTTAAGTCCAGTCAAAGGCAACTTTGGGGTTGCGGCGCTCATCTCGCTTTCAGTCTGAGGGAGCCGGAGTTTGTCCACAGACAGCTTTCTGGGGCATGTAGCCAGCAGGACTAAACCGCTTCTGGCACAATGGAACACTGTGATGAAAACCAGAGCGCATGGAAATGCCATTTACATTCCTGCCACAGCGGTACCTAATTACAGTGGTGCCTCGCAGGACGAAATTAATTCGTTCCGCGAGTTTTTTTCGTCTTGCGGTTTTTTTCTTCTTGCGAAGCACGGTGTCGGAAAAGTTTTGGAAAAGCTTCAAAAATCACCAAAGTCTTCAAAAACCTCAAAAAAGGCTACCACACCGCGTGCTATGAGTTGCTCCTCGAAGTCAAGTCGCAACTGTATTAACGGTTTTAAGAAAAAAGGAAACAAACTTGCAAGACGTTTCCGTCTTGCGAAGCAAGCCCATAGGGAAAATCGTCTTGCGAAGCAACTAAAAAAACCAAAAACCCTTTCGTTTTGCGAGTTTTCCGTCTTGCGAGGCATTCGTCTTGCGAGGTACCACTGTATCTACTTGCACTGGTGTGCTTTCAAACTGCTAGGTTGGCATAAGCTAGGACAGAGCTATACAGCTAGGCCAGCAGGGGTGTGTGTGTGTGTGTGTGTGTGTGTGTGTGTGTGTGTGTGAGAGAGAGAGAGAGAGAGAGAGAGAGAGAGAGAGATAATGTAGATAGCACAGCAGGCCACATATTCTGTTGTGCAGAAGAAATGTGAAGGAGGAAGAGCCAACCTAGAGAACCAACGTGGTCCCACGCATAGTTCTTGATTCTATGGCTCCCCCAGCCCCAGTTGGGCACCTCAGGAACTTTCCCCCCAATTTCAGACAGGCCAGTGGCTCCTCCAGAACCCACTATGCGCTGCTACAGAGGTTTCAACAGAGCTCATTCCCTAGATGAGCCAAGAAGCCCCAGGCAAACTGGAGCAAACAGGGCACCGTAGAAACAAACAATGTCCATATAATCCCCTTCCTTTCAGCCACAAATGACGGGTGGTCCCAAACTGGAATCAAAAAGTGGGAGCAGAAATCAAGCCGTCTACTCAAAATGCTTTCAGCACCAGCAATAACCCCCTTATAAGAGCACAGCCCCCCCCCAACGAGGCTTCCATTTACAGATGATTCCTTCCCTACCCCTGGAGTCCTGCTAATGGACTTTTATAAGCACTTAGGTGGTTTTATGGCACCGCACAGCCATGGGTGACAGGGGAGTTGTTTGGGGTCTGGAAAGAGGCTGGCGCACCCCTTGCCAAAGACCCTTGTATACATCTGCAGGGTGCTTTCTCCGACAGAAGCAACATTGCTCTCTGACTTGTGTGCCTGTGGAATGTGGCAAGAACTGAGCAGTTCGGATGTGTCTGCAGAGCAGGAGCATCTTGCCCGCTCTCACCGCTCTTGAGGTCAAAGCGCCAGGCCGGCACGCTGGTGGCTGCTGCAGCGGCAGTGTCAGGCGGCAGCGGGATAGAGAGGTGGACGGAGCCAGAGAGCTGGATTTCTGTCCCGTTGCCAGTGAAGAGGTGGACGCTGACAGCGACGATGGGCACCAGCTCCAGCCATGTGCTGTTGGCTGCGAGGGGACAAAAAGGTTAGGAAAAGAGTTGCTTCCGCCTCCAGAGACATCCCAAGATACTTTGGTTCCCAAGGCAGAAAAAACTAAAGTCCCCCCCCCCATGCACCCCACCCAATGATCGTAGAATCGCAGAGTTGGAAGAGACCCCGCGGATCATCTAGTCCAACCCTATGCAATGCAAGAATATTCAGCAGTCCCATGCAGGGATCGAACCTGTGACTTTGGTGTCAACAGCAGTACGCTCTAACCAACTGAGCTGTCCAGTTGATAAAGCTATACAGTCGTACCTTGGTTTTTGAACAGCTTAGTTCTCAAACATTTTGGCTCCTGAACACCACAAACCCAGAAGCGACTGTTCCGGTTTGCGAACTATTCTTTTAAGCCGGACGTCCAATGGGGCTTCCGATTGGCTGCAGGAGCTTCCTGCAGCCAATCGGAAGCCGCGCTTTGGTTTCTGAACGTTTTGGAAGTCGAACTGACTTCTGGAATGGATTCCGTTCCGACTTCCAAGGTATGACTGTACTAACAAACTTCTTGCTGTTAATTACCTGCCCTTCACCCTCAGGGCAGGTTGCAAAACACAACAGTATTAAAAACAGTTTGAAACAACTTAACGATCAGAAATGTAAGGTGGGTCAGAAAAACACACACCTCGTGTAACAAAATCCAGGGTAAAGAGGTGTGTGCCTTGCCGGAAGCTGTATAATAAAAGTTAGGATGAACTTCTGAGTTCCACAGCTTAGGGGCCGCCACAGATAAGGCCCTCTCCCAGGCCTCTGAGGTCAGAGGAATTACCACGAGGGCCCCTTCTGTCCCATCTCAGCACCCAAAAGGGTCTGCAGTGAAGGAGGTGGTCTTTGAGGTATTGAGGGCCTAGATAATTTTTAGGGCTTTACATACTCATGTGAGCACCTTGAACTGGGTCTGGAAATGAACTGGCCACTGATGCAGCTGCTGCTTTTTTAAAAAAAGGGACACTATGAGATCTAAACAGAACCCCAGCCAGAAATCTGGCAGCTGCAATCTGTTTGCTGCCCCCAAAATCCACTGCTTTAGGGCAGAAAACTATCCCTCTGAGCAATCAAAGGGCTGGTTCCACAGCCTTCAACATTCCGTATCGCATCCTCACCATTTTTCACCCAGGATCTGGGCCCAGTCCCCTTACCGCTGCCGTTGCTTTCAGCCCCGATGAAAGATGGGAAGCCCCTCATATCCGGCCCACTGCTGGCGGCGGTCAGGGAGGCCGAGAGCTGGCTGTAGGTGGAGCTGCGGGGCAGGCGGGCAGATTTGCGCTGGAACTGAGCCCACGGCTGGCTCTTGGCCCCTGTAAGAATCAACCATTTCAGCTGCCGGCCTACCGAGGCAGCACTCACACAGAAAACCATGGGATGCAGCTTGGCCCGATCCCGCCCACAGTTTGTAACCTGAGATTATTGTGGACATGCGGCCTGGCAAATGCAAGGAAGCATCCCTGAGCACGCGCAGAGTGCTTTCTGCTCACTATTCAGGAAACAAGAGCCGCTGCCAGCAATATACAGTGGTACCTTGGTTTTCGAATGTCTCTGTTGACAAATGTTTCGGTTTTTGAACGCCGTAAACTCAGAAGTAAATGCTTCGGTTTTCGAACGTGCCTCGGAAGTCAAATTTCCGAGGTGGCTACTGCTGAGTGCAAGAGCCTGTCAGCTGTTGAGTCCTGTGCAGTGGTACCTCTGGTTATGTACTTATTCGTTCCGGAGGTCCGTTCTTAACCTGAAGCACCACTTTAGCTAATGGGGCCTCCCGCTGCTGCCACGCCACCAGAGCATGATTTCTGTTCTCATCCTGAAGCAAAGTTCCAAGTCCCAAGGTAATATTTCTGGGTTAGCAGAGTCTGTAACCTGAAGCGTCTGTAACCTGAAGTGTATGTAACCCAAGGTACCACTGTACAGCATAAAGGTAAAGGGACCCCTGACCATTAGGTCCAGTCATGGCCGACTCTGGGGTTGCAGCGCTCATCTCGCTTTATTCGCCGAGGGAGCCGGCGTACAGCTTCCGGGTCATGTGGCCAGCATGACTAAGCTGCTTCTGGTGAACCAGAGCAGTGCACGGAAACGCCGTGTACCTTCCCACCAGAGCGGTATCTGTTTATCTACTTGCGCTTTGATGTGCTTTCAAACTGCTAGGTTGGCAGGAGCAGGGACCGAGCAACGGGAGCTCACCCCGTTGCGGGGATTCGAACTGCCAACCTTCTGATTGGCAAGTCCTAGGCTCTGTGGTTTAACCCACAGCGCCACCCGCGTCCCACTGTATAGCATAGGGCTGCTCAAATTCATGACAACACGTGGAATTTGAATCCTGTTGCGTTGCTCTGTATATATGCCAGTTTTTGTGAGTTTATATTGACTAATTCACCTTTTTAAAACGTATTTAGCCCTTGGTAAGAGGATTCAGTATGCTGAGCAAACCATGCTCGGCTCCTCCTCATGGATAACAGGAAGGCAAGAAATTATGGAAGGTGAGCAATATGAGAGTGACTTGCCTCATTTGGCAAGTTTATGGAGGCATCTCTCTTATCGAGCCCATTAGATCAGAGCAGAGGCCACTGGCCATCTCCCTCCGGGGACCTAGAGCACCCCCCACCCTAATTCTCTCACCCACCACTTCACAGCACAGCAACCCATCTCAATCCCACAGACTCCTGACCAGCTCACACCCGACCCAGGGTCACCTCCTCAGCTCCCTCGCTTATACCAGGGACGTCCAACTTCCAAGAGACTGCGCTCTACTCACACAATTAAAATCTGGCAGTGATCTACCCCTTTTTGGGGGGGTTCAGGTCAAAGTTGTTGGGCTTTTTTAAAGGGAAGAACCTCACATTTTGGGGGGCGGGGTTTCAGGTCTTTGTTGTTGAGCTTTTTTCGGGGAGGAACGTCCCATTTTTTTAAAGGGTTCAGGTCAAAGCTGTTGAGCTTTTATTAGGGAAGTACAAGTACGTCCCATTTTTTTGGGGGGGGGTTTTCAGTTCTTAAGCTTGGGGATTAGGTCAAGTAAGTTATAAAAAGTCCCCACCAAGAGATGGCAAATGAGACAGTCAGCCTTGCTGCAAAAACTCCAACTTCCGCACTAGCGATCTAGAGGATGGGGCTGGATGGAGGAGCCAGCGATCTACCGCGATCTACCAAAACCTCCCAGGGATCGACCAGTAGATCATGACTGACCTGTTGGACATCCCTGGCTTATACAGTTCTAGCAAAGGCCCAGAACACTGACCTTTCTACTTCCCTCCTCCCATCATCCAGCCCAGCTCAAAAAGTCCCTTGAGCTGCAGACGTCTCTCCCAAATGCCCTCTGCGAACTGGCATGGTGCTGATGACTGCCTCGCCCTGCAGGCACAGACTGCCAGAGGCCTTGGAGGAGGTGCAGAGCTTGCACAGAGCAAGCCAATGTTCCCCTTCGTCTCCCCTGACCACCACTTACTTCCTAGTAGTGTGAACAGAGGGCAGCAATGTGCTCTGCAATCTTAAACAGGGCCAGCATCCCCTGCGGCCCAGAAGATAGCACTAGCAATTGTGTGGGATCCCCAATCCCCAGACAGCCAAGCTGGCTCCCCGGGTGCCGGCCACATGCCCTTCACTTTCTGGCAAATGGAACGGAGGACTTACCTGGAGAACCGAGGAGGATCTGTACCAGGTCATCATAGAGGATGAGTGTTGCAGGGCGCTCGGGGAGCAGATAGAGGCTGACGGAGGCATAGACTGCAAAGGGAAATTGTGGGAAGGAAGAGAGAGAAAAAGAATCAGACTTACTCAAAGTCTTTCTGTGCCTAGCAGCAAGTTTCCTGATAACTTCATGAAGTACCGTATTTTTCGCTCTATAGGACGAACCTGACCATAGGACGCACCTTGTTTTAGAGGCGGAGAACAAGAAAAATAAATTCTCCCCCTCTCTGCTCAGTGCCCCTTCAGTGAAGCGGCAGGAGAAATGGAGCCCCTTCCATTTCTCCTCCCGCTTCGCTGAAGGGGCGCTGCGCAGCTCTCTCTCTCTGCTGAAGCCGGGAGTCTTGCTTTCCTGGCTTCATCGAAAGCAACCCGAAGCCTCCAGAGCACCGCGGGACCTCCCGCTGCGCTCCGGAGGCTTCAGGTTCCTTTTGCTGAAGTCAGGAGAGTCTATCCCTGAAGCCTGGAGAGCGAGAGGGGTCAGTGCGCACTGACCCCTCTCATTTTCCAGGCTTCAGCGAAAGCAACGCGAAGCCTCCGGAGCGCGGAGGGAGCGCTCCCCCTGCGCTTCAGAGGCTTCTCGTTGCTATCACTGAAGCCAAGGAGCCTGCATTCGCTCCATAAGACGTACACACATTTCCCCTTAATTTTTGGAGGGGAAAAAGTGTGTCCTATAGAGTGAAAAATACGGTAGTCTGTCTTGGGGGTAAAAGCCCCTAGAAAGAGTTCTGTTGCAGGGTGGCAGGAGGTGCAGAAAAACAAACGGAAAGAAAAAATTGGGTGTGCTCCTCTCTGATGTGATCGTTTGCAAAGACTCAGCCCAAACATCACACCAGTCTATGGCTTGCACTAATCCTAGTTTCGAACTCAAACACTTGAGCTTCCAGGTGTACAACTGGCAAACCACAGTTTAGAACTGTTTTTCTTCTTTGGTTGTCTGTCAATACTCCACTCTCAAGGCAGAATAGCTTCCAAAGTACTAGTCATAGGTATTGTTTATTAATTTAAACATCACACCAAACCCGAGGGCTCGTCTACACTTCCGCTTGAAAGCATGGGTTATTTTCTGCTTGTTCCGTGCTTGCAGACAAGAGTCTGAATGGTTTTGCCCTTGCTTTCCCCAGGAAAACCCACTACAGTAGAACCTCTACTTACGACCGCCTCCAAGTTGCGACCGTGGCAAACCCGGAAGCAAATACTGGGTTTGCCACAATTTGCACATGCGCAGAAGTGGCTGCCACCATCTGCACGTGCGCAGAAGCGCGCTGCCGCCAAATGTGCCTGCACACAATGGCGCTTCTACCAGCGACCTGGATCGACTTACGGACAGACCTCCGGACCTGATTACGTCTGTAAGTAGAGGTTCTACTGTATTTAGTGGCAAATTAGAGAAAACGCCAATCCAGAGAAAACCCAATTGATATCTGCTCCAATTCAAAAGTTAAGATTGGGTTTCCCTGGGGGAAAGCAGTGGGGCAAGGGAAAGTTTTGATGAGCCCTTAGTTAAATCAGCATCCTGCCTTTCATGGTGATTTACAGTTAACACAAACCATTGTTTCCAAACCCATTCTAGAAAGTGGTCTCCATTTGTGATTTGCTAGCCAAACACAAACTATTCAGACATCACATCAAACCATTATTTAGCATCATTAATCAAGGCTTGGTGTGATGTCTGAACTGAGCCATTTTGCTTGTTCTCTCTTACGAACCACTCATTAGAGGAGTTTGCTTGCTCTTCCTCCCCGCCCCCGCTAATATATTATTAGTACTGGTCCATCATAAAGTGGGGTGGGGAGTTTAATGGAAATACTAATGGTGGAGTGGGAATACTGATAGTATACACAATGATTTCTGATTATCCTATCCCAAGATAGCAATTCCATCATGAGTCAGCGCAGCTGCAAAATCTGCTCATCTCCAGACCATAATTTAAAGATGGATTTGCAAACCCTGATTAAATCTAAACATGCTGTGAATAACCTCAGTGCAGATATAACGCTGCCCCACAAAAGAGAACTGAGAAACGGAAGGTGGAGAGGAAGAGAAGGAACAGGAGGAGGGGGAAGGCATGTATAAGGTACCCCTCATCTCTTAACCATGGTTCTCTTCCTACCTAGATGCTCCTTTTATGTTTCCACAAGGGGAAGCTTTTCCTCCACTTTCCCCTTCTCCACTGGGGTCTTTCGGGGCTCTTATTCTTGGACCTCTGCTATTCTTTTTTCCCCCACACACTGTCTCTGGATGACCTCATTAAATCCCACGGCTTTTGGTACCATCAAGACTGGGGGTGGGGAAACCGTAGCTGGACTACAACTCCCATCATGTCTGTCCACAGGCCATGCTGGTTGGGGCTGATGGGAGTGAGAGTGCAACAAGAGCTGGGGGACCACAGGTTCCCTGCCTCTGACTTGTACACTGAGGAAACCCAGCACTTTCTTTCTAGACCAGAACGGTCTCCCTCACCTCCAACTCCAGCTGCTTACGCTATCCTAGCCAATCTTTCCACTTGAATAGGTAAAGGGTAAAGGGGACCCCTGGCCATTAGGTCCAGTCGTGACCGACTCTGGGGTTGCGGCACTCATCTCGCTTTATTGGCCGAGGGACCCGGCGTACAGCTTACGGGTCATGTGGCCAGCATGACTAAGCCACTTCTGGCAAACCAGAGCAGCGCACGGAAACGCCATTTACCTTCCCGCCGGAGCGGTACCTATTTATCTACTTGCACTTTGATGTGCTTTCAAACTGCAAGGTTGGCAGGAGCTGGGACCGAGCAACAGGAGCTCACCCCCTCGCGGGGATTCGAACCGCCGACCTTCTGATCGGCAAGTTAACCCACAGCGCCACCGCATCCCTTCCACTCGAATACTTGGTCGTAATTTCATATGCTCAAGACAAGACTTCTCATCTTTCCTCTAAAGTGTTCCTTGTACACTCTCCTTAGCCACTGAAAGCATCACCGCTCACCTCATTGGATAGATACAAATCCTCCTCTTTCTCTCTCTCTCTCTCTCTCCTTATTCAGTCTATTGCCATGCTCTGCCTCTTCCTCCTTTACAACATTGGGGAAAATGTATCTGTCTCTCTCCATCCCGGTTCACCCCCTAGTCATCTCTCACCTGGCTACTCCAATTTCCTTGCATTATCTTACCTTGGTCCCCTTCACCTTTACCGAGTGTTCTGGGGCCAAAACAATTCACCCCTCTTGCTGCTCTGACCACATGGTAAAGGACCCCTGGACGGTTAAGTCCAGTCAAATGCGACTATGGGGTTGCGGTGATCATCTCGCTTTCAGGCCGAGGGAGCCAGCGTTTGTCCACAGACAGCTTTCCGGGTCATGCGGCCAAGCAAGACTAAACTGCAACGGGACGCTGTGACGGAAACCAGAGCGCACGGAAACACCATTTACCTTCCCACCACAGCGGTACCTATTTATCTACTTGCACTGGCATGCTTTTGAACTGCTAGGCTGGCAGGAGCTGGGAAAGAGCAACAAGAGCTCACCCCATCACGGGGATTCAAACTGCTGACCTTCCGATCAGCAAGCCCAAGAGGCTCAGTGGTTTAGACCACAGCACCACCACTGCCCCATCCCTGGGCACCATGTTATCCAAGCAATCTGCCTCTTCCCAGTGGCTGTTTGCAAGTGCAGCATCCCAACAGCTTTCATTTGTCGTTATAACGTGGGTGGAATAGATTGGGGAAGGAGGGCCTGCGCCACAGTTGCAAGTTTCTTGCAGATGGACAAAAAGATTTTTGCACAGGCATCCGTCACAGGGATTTGAACCGCCGACCTTCTGATCGGCAAGCCCAAGAGGCTCAGTGGTTTGGACCACAGCACCACCTGCGTCCCACATCCCACCTTATACCCCTACACTTGGCTGCCTTGCTGTTTCTGGCCCCAGTGCAGGCTCTTTATTCAAAGCCCCCACCCCCCGTGGCTTTGCCCCCACCTCTTATCTCTTTGCTCTTACATTTCAATGCATCCCACCCTATCTGTGATCTTTGCTCATCCAGCTCCTGATTCTCTCCCTTTCTTCCTTGCTGCCCCTTATGTCTGGAAGAGCCTCCCAGGGCATCTCTGCAATGCCAGCTTTTCTTCCTTCAAATCCTTTCTCAAAACCCACCTTTTCTAGATGCAATACTGTGCTGTAACTAATCATAACCACATGTAATTGATATATAAACACATGCTCTTCCCATTCATTCTGTCTGGATTTCCCAGCCATTCCTCTGTGGTTTCCTCTGTGTTGAATTACAAGATTGTTAAGCCCTTTGGGCAGGAGAAAGTCCTCTTATCCTCTGGAAATTATTGCTAACAACCACTGAAGCTGTTAGATTGAACTGAATCTCTTTGCAAGCGAAGAGTAAATGTTCACATAACAAAGCAGAGTAAAAACTTTTTAAGTCTACGTGGTTCATTCAGCCTTATAGCACGGCAATTTTAGAAAGCTTGATTTTTGTATTTAAAAAACAACAACACAGTTGCAGGAATAGGATCTGAACTAAAGTAAATATTATTATATTATTCACAGTTTTCATGGCTTTTATTGTGGGTCAAGTAGCAGTGATCAGGGAGGGAGAGATACATTTACCAGCTCAGTAAAGCACAAGGGGATGCGGGTGGCGCTGTGGGTTAAACCACAGAGCCTAGGACTTTGCGATCAGAAGGTTGGCAGTTCGAATCCCCACAACGGGGTGAGCACCCGTTGCTCAGTCCCAGCTCCTGCCAACCTAGCAGTTCGAAAGCACATCAAAGTGCAAGTAGATTAATAGGTACCGCTCCAGCGGGAAGGTAAACGGCGTTTCCGTGCGCTGCTCTGGTTCGCCAGAAGCGGCTTAGTCATGCTGGCCACATGACCCGGATGCTGTACGCCAGCTCCCTCGGCCAATAAAGCGAGATGAGCGCCGCAACCCCAGAGTCGGCCACGACTGGACCTAATGGTCAGGGGTCCTTTTACCTTTACTAGAGCACAAGACTTACTCTCAGGGTTGTGGGTTCCAAGACCCATGTTGGGCGAAAGTTTCCTGCACTGCAGGGGGTTGGACTAGATGACCCTCGTGGTCCCTTCCAACTCTACAATTCCATGACAAGTTGGATGGTAGACTTCATGGAAATCGAGTTTCCTTGTTTTTTTAGATTCCTAGAAGGCAGAATTTCAACGTGTTCATCTTCAATAAATCTGTCAACCAGCTCTAACAAGTGTTCCCACAACTGCATCCTGGAGCAGCCAAGGCCTCCAGAGCCAAGACAAATGGCCAAAACCGAGGAAAACATGGAGGGTGCTAGACAGATGGCTCTGTCAGGCACATCTGGCAAGGCTTGTCACAGCCCGCCCTCTCCCTTTCTCACAAAGGATGGCAGCTAGAGCATAATTTGAGCCTAGGCTCAGCCTTACAATCTGTTTCAATCTGAGAGTTCAACCCTAAAACATGAGAAGTAGAAATAACTCTGAAATAACTCCGATTTCATCACTCTCCAGGGGAGACAGACCTAAGTGGTCCCTAACATGGCTTCTTGGAACCCCAAAGTATCCCAATTTACGACTCACGCACAATCTGAGACACAGGAATTTGAAGATGCGGGATCTTCCACAAAATCCTGCAGCGAAGAGTGCTCCGATTCAGCTTGCTGTGTCTTTTTCCAGGATAAACTATCCCACTCCATACTCCACCCGCCTGGGTTTTTTCCCCCCTCCCACTTCAACCATCAGTCATTGCTCTGTGGTCACTGAGGATGCACAGTTGTCAACAGCCTGATTTGGAGTTTCCCGTACTTCTGCCAATCCCACGAGGGTTTCCTGCGAGCCCTGTTAATGCCTTCCTGTGGGGCGGTGCATGGATAGTACCATTTTGGATACATAAGGCTCTGCAATTCTGAGAGCAAGTTTGTTGTTAGCCTATATAAGATGGTGAGAGGAGGGAGTAGCTTGCATGAAAACTGGATCCAAGAAAGCTGGTCTGGTGCAAACAGTTTTGAAATTTTAAGGTGTGTGTGGGGAAGCGGTTCAGAAGCAAAACGTATAGCAACAATTAAAAAATAGATTTTTCTGGCATCATAATTTTACACTGTTCATTCTGAGCTGTAGAAAACTATTTTGAACTAAATTATTTTTTTTAAAAAAAATGTTGATGAAGCAATAAACCAGGGGGAAAATAACACTTATGGCTTACTAATTATAATACCATGAACCTCGTATTTCCTACATGTAAAATATGTGTATTCCCACCCACCCCCACAGAACTCTGAAGGGTTGTTATAATAATAATAATTTATTATTTATACCCCACCCATCTGGCTGGGTTTCCTCAGCCACTCTGGGCGGCTCCCAACAGAATATTAAAAACACAATAAAACATCAAAAGTTAAAATCTTCCCTAAACAGGGCTGCCTTCAGATGTCTTCTAAAAGTCAGAGAGTTGTTTATTTCCTTGACATCTGATAAGAGGGCGTTCCACAGGGCAGGCGCCACTACCAAGAAGGCCCTCTGCCTGGTTCCCTGTAACTTGGCTTCTCATGGTGAGGGAACCACCAGAAGGCCGTCAGAACTGGACCTCAGTGTCCAGGCTGGACGATGGGGATGGAGACGCTCCTTCAGACATCTGTTTGTCTCAGGAGTGTGTCTCTAGGGGCAAAGTCAAACAGCTGGAGAACCACAGCTCTTGCTGTGGCTGTAGAGACCAGTAACTCATAACTGTTGCCTCCCGTGTTGCTTGAGTTGCTGGAAGAAGGCATACAAGATACTCTCCAACCATCTTAGGGACTCCACTTCGGATTTGTGTAGGGTTTACTCCTTAGCCTTTTCTCTTGAAGGGTACATACCGTATTTTTCGCTCTATAGGGCGCACCGGACTATAGGGCGCACCTAGGTTTTAGGGGGGAAATAAAGAGAAAAAAAATTATTTCCTCCCCCATCCCCAAAGAGCAAAGAAGCCAAGACAGCCAGCAGGATCCATCCCACTGGCTGTCTTGGCTTCCTCTTTAGCCACACACAACCTCTCCGGCCGGGAGAGGCTGTGTGCGGCTTTGGCAGAAACCAAGACAGCGAGCGGGATAGATCCTGCTCGTTGTCTTGGCTTTGTTTTTAGCCGCGGGGCTGGGGCGGGGGAAGCCCGAGCTTCCCCCGACCCCAGAACAAGTCCGGGAGTGGCGGTAAGGTTGCGCGCAGCCTTGCCGCCGCTCCCGGAGCTTGCGGGCTGGGGGAGCGCTCCGAAGGTTTGCTGATAGCTGCCTGAAGCCCAGAGAGCGCAGCGGAAGTTGGCACTGCGCTCCCCGGGCTTCGGGCTGCAGGCTGCTATCTGCAAGCCTTCAGAGCCCCGCGGGAACTCCCGCCGCGCTTAGAAGGCTTGTGGATAGCTGCCCGAAGCCCGGGGTGTGCAGCGGGAGTTGCCACTGCGCTCCCCGGGCTTCGGGCTGCAGGCTGCTATCTGCAAGCCTTCAGAGCCCAGCAGGAACTCCCGCCGTACTCCGAAGGCTTGCAGATAGCTTCCTGAAGCCTGGAGAATGAGAGGGGTTGGTGCACACTGACCCCCTCGCTCTCCAGGCTTCAGCGAAAGCCTGCATTCGCTCCATAGGACGCACACACATTTCCCCTTCAGTTTTGGAGGGGGAAAAGTGTGTCCTGTAGAGCGAAAAATACAGTACATAAATATCTAGTTTTAAAGATGTTAGAGGCCAATAAGAGGTTTGGCCTATAAACTCATGAGTGGATGTTTACTTAAAGTTTCCAAATTTGATGGCAAGAAGGAATTTTCACAGGACTGACTGGCTAGTGGTTTCTGAGAGGGCTGGGAGCTGCAATCCCCTTTGGCATGTGGCTTGAGCAATCTGAATTGCTTCCCTGAAATATTCCCTGAATCATGGTCGGCATCTCTGGCATGGTATGTTGATGAGCAACAGGAACTAGAACCCTGGGGAGAATGAAAAACGATGGTCGGGAAAGAACATCAAATGAAAAAAAGAAAAAAGGAGGAGGGAAGGCTCTGGTGTTCCCTCGTGTAAGTGAACACCTGAATCTTCCTCCTCGCTTTCTGATTGGAGAATAAGCCTCTGCCAAGTGCCCCAAAACATTAAATAAAAGAAAGAAAAGAAATCTCTAGGAGGTTGACCCTCTGGTTAAAAACTTGAAATATGATGACTATGCTACCACTCAGTGGATTTGTAACTGGCTGACTGACCGAACCCAAAGGGTGCTCATCAATGGTTCCTCTTCATCCTGGAGAAGAGCGACTAGTGGGGTGCCACAGGGTTCTGTCTTGGGCCCGGTCTTATTCAACATCTTTATCAACGACTTGGATGATGGACTCAAGGGCATCCTGATCAAATTTGCAGATGACACCAAACTGGGAGGGGTGGCTAACACCCCAGAGGACAGGATCACACTTCAAAACGACCTTGACAGATTAGAGAACTGGGCCAAAACAAACAAGATGAATTTTAACAGGGAGAAATGTAAAGTATTGCACTTGGGCAAAAAAATGAGAGGCACAAATACAAGATGGGTGACACCTGGCTTGAGAGCAGTACATGTGAAAAGGATCTAGGAGTCTTGGTTGACCACAAACTTGACATGAGCCAACAGTGTGACGCGGCAGCTAAAAAAGCCAATGCAATTCTGGGCTGCATCAATAGGAGTATAGCATCTAGATCAAGGGAAGTAATAGTGCCACTGTATTCTGCTCTGGTCAGACCTCACCTGGAGTACTGTGTCCAGTTCTGGGCACCACAGTTCAAGAAGGACACTGACAAACTGGAACGTGTCCAGAGGAGGGCAACCAAAATGGTCAAAGGCCTGGAAACGATGCCTTATGAGGAACGGCTAAGGGAGCTGGGCATGTTTAGCCTGGAGAAGAGGAGGTTAAGGGGTGATATGATAGCCATGTTCAAATATATAAAAGGATGTCACATAGAGGAGGGAGAAAGGTTGTTTTCTGTTGCTCCAGAGAAGCGGACACGGAGCAATGGATCCAAACTACAAGAAAGAAGATTCCACCTAAACATTAGGAAGAACTTCCTGACAGTAAGAGCTGTTTGACAGTGGAATTTGCTGCCAAGGAGTGTGGTGGAGTCTCCTTCTTTGGAGGTCTTTAAGCAGAGGCTCGACAACCATATGTCAGGAGTGCTCTGATGGTGTTTCCTGCTTGGCAGGGGGTTGGACTCGATGGCCCTTGTGGTCTCTTCCAACTCTATGATTCTATGATTCTATGAATAAACATGTTGTAATGCTGAATTGAAAAGAAAGAAAGATGTTAAGTGAATATGTTAATTTTATAAAGAATATTGGTGTTGGAAAACCATTAAAATGATATACACTGAAATTCAACTAGGGAGATACGAGGAAGTCATTTACAATGTTATTAAGTTTGATTTGAATATAGTGGAGATTTATGTTTGTTTGTTTGTTTGTTTTTTGGAAAAACCAATTAAAAAAATGGGGGGGGACGGACTAAACTTGAAATATGCGCCACAAAACCTTTGTGCAACAATGACACACTGGCTGCAGGGAGATTGCATATCATGCTCATAGCAGGGCCAGCCAAAGGCATTTTGCTGCCTGTATTAAAGGATTGCTGCTACTCCAAATGCAGAAGCCGGCTGCACTGACGCTAGAGTCTTACTCCAATGCGGGGGACAGGACAGGATCCTCCACCACAACACCTAAGGGCAGCAGGCTAGCTTAGGAGACGCAGGGCACGTCCCACGTGGGACCCAAAGCTCTGACCTTACTCACCGCTCCACCTGGCATTGCTTGTTACCTGTGCAAACAAACGCTGCAGTGCAGCATCACCACAGCATGTGTGCGAGTGCAATGTCTGCTGGGGCGCATGGCCTTGGCTGGCTCCCCCTCTGCCTGCCTGCTCAGTCACAGCCATTCCTAACCACACTATAAGTGACGCATCAGGAGAAAGCAACTCGGTGAGGCAGCTCAGACCGGCCACAAGGATGAATCACTGCCACCCGAGTGGAATCTCAGGCGAAGAGAAGAGTTTGGATTTGATATTCCACTTTATCACTACCCTACGGAGTCTCAAAGCGGCTAACATTCTCCTTTCCCTTCCTCCCCCACAACAAACACTCTGTGAGGGGAGTGGGACTGAGAGACTTCAAAGAAGTGTGACTAGCCCAAGGTCACCCAGCAGCTGCATGTGGAGGAGTGGGGAAGCGAACCCGGTTCACCAGATTATGAGTCTACCGCTCTTAACCACTACACCGCACTGGCTCAGGAGGATGGGAGTGGCCAGAGGACCAGCTGCTGCAACCCTCCAGCTTGCTCTGTCTAAAGACACGACCTGCCTAAAGAAAGGACAACAACTGTGAGCATGTATGTGACAGTCTAACACCAGTGATTAAGATATAACATCTTGACTTATGATAGGTACTATTAGGCTCTTTCTAAACCTGGGTTTACTCTGCCACTCTGGGCGGCTTCCAACATATATAAAAACATAAGGGTGAAGGACCCCTGACAGTTAAGTCCAGTCGCGAACGACTAGGGTTGCAACGCTCATCTCGCTTTACTGGCCGAGGGAGGGGATGTTTATCCGCAGACAGTTTTTCTGGGTCATGTGGCCAGCATTACTAAGCTGCTTCTGGTGAACCAGAGGAGCGCAAAGAAACACTGTTTAGCTTCCCACCGGAGCGGTACCTATTTATCTACTTGCACTTTGACGTGCTTTCGAACTGCTAGGTTGGCAGGAGCAGGGACCGAACAACAGGAGCTCGCCCAGTCGCAGCGAATCAAACTGCCAACCTTCTGATCGGCAAGCCCAAGAGGCTCAGTGGTTTAGACCACAGCACCACCCACATCCCATATAAAAACATAATAAAACATTAAACATTTTTTAAAAATAATTCCCTATACAGGGATGCCTTCAGACATCTAAACACTAAAGGTTGTAGTGTTACTTATCTCCTTGGCTCGGGGATCACATAACTTCATACCCTCCAACATTTCTCTGAGGAAAATAGGGGTGTCCTAAGGAAAAGCAGGACATTCCGGGATCAAATCAGAAACCAGGACGACTTCTGTAAATCCGGGACTGTCCCTGGAAAATAAGGACGCTTGGAGCGACTGAGATATGTGAACTGGAAGCTAATGCAACCTGCTTCCGAAACAGTGTACATGCACTTTAATTCAAATTCCTGTTCTGCCCTTCTCCTGTGTCCAAAAAGGTATGTAAACACAAGACATCTATATTTTTATGCATGTGTGTGTTGGTTGCCTCCTATTTCCTGCCTACAGGCAGAATTTATTGATAGTGTTATACGCCAGCTGTGACTTTCGCTTCCAACCCCCAGGGTGGGTCAATGAGGTGACCTTATTACCAGCGCCAGTTAGTCTTTGCCAGTGCACACTAAGGGTTCACACATAATGCGTGTGCTTTGCTTCATTTGCAAGGGGGTGAGAGCTCCCCATCTTATTCTGCACACCCCAAATGGCTGAATTATTTCACTATAAATTATATCTCTCCCCCCCCGAAATAAGCTGCCCCATAGCAGAAGTACACTAGGAAGGAAATGTTGTGTAGTGATTAAACTGTTGGTCTGGGAGATCAGGGTTCAAATCCCCACTCAGTCATGAAGCTTAATGGGTGACCTTGGAGTTAATCACAGCCTCTTAACCTACCACATAGGGTCGTTGTAGGAATTAACTGATGGGGGGGTGAACCAAGTACATGGAGAAAAAAGTGATCTATACATGCAATCTAGGGACGCGGGTGGCGCTGTGGGTTAAACCACAGAGCCTAGGACTTGCCGATTAGAAGGTCGGCGGTTCGAATCCCTGCGACGGGGTGAGCTCCCGTTGCTTGGTCCCTGCTCCTGCTAACCTAGCAGTTCAAAAGCACGTCAAAGTGCAAGTAGATAAATAGGTACCTCTCCAGTGGGAAGGTAAAAGGCATTTCTGTGCACTGCTCTGGTTGGCCAGAAGCGGCTTTGTCATGCTGGCCACATGACCCGGAAACTGTACGCCGGCTCCCTCAGCCAATAAAGCCAGATGAGCGCCGCGACCCCAGAGTCAGCCACAACTGGACCTAATGGTCAGGGGTGCCTTTACCTTTACACATGCAATAAATAAGCTCTTCTGCTGGCCTGCATAAGAAAGCTGGAAGGGCCAGCCTGATGGAGATGTCAGTCACCAACCTAGCATCCAGAGATCTCCACGTGGTCAGAACTGGACCCGCCCCAGTCACACAACACACCTGGCGAATTTCCAGCACTGAGATTAACCTTTGGTTAGATCCAGCAGTGCTCTTGTAAATGTTCTTGTGTACTGAACATACACTATGATATGAGAGTCGTACATACTGAGTGCAATCTAGCCATGTGACACTGAGATGCTGGGTTCGTGCCATCATCCAAGTGAAATGACTCTTCTGTAAAATATTGAGAAGCACCACCATTCCACTGAGAAGGAGTGACCTCCTTCTACCTACCAAAGCAACACATATTCCTTTATTCCTACAGAAGTTACATTGGTGAAAGCTGATAAAAGTTTGCATCCTTTGTGACCCCCCCACCCATGAAGTGCCCATCATGCACTGACAGGGCCCCCCCCCAAAAAAATCAGTGGTCTTCTAGCCACCCAGACTCTCTCCTAACCATTGGGCACCGCAACTCACGTGGCAGCTTGTTGACGCGCCAAGGAACAGAGTTTGTAACAAAACCACGCTTGGAGGCTGTGACGATGACCCAGGTGCCCAGGCGGTAGCTGATGGGAAGCATGCTGACACCCTCATGGTCGGTGGCGCCTGAAGCCAGAGATGTCTGGTTGCCATACACTTCCACGGCTGCCTGAGGCAGTGGGGACAGGTCGCCGTTCTCGTACACCTGGACCTTGATGACCACCTCTGGAGGAAAAAGAGAGAATACAGAAAGGGTGTGTGAGGACAGCAAGCTTGCCCCCAATGTTTTCCCCAACTCAAAAGTAACTTGCATGGTTTCCCAGTGGCCTTTCCCCTCCTTAGTTGGCATTCGTGTTGTCAGTTCATTTGAACAAAAGGTGTGGTTAGTTAAAACAACAAGGGGCATTCAGTTTCCTTTCCACCTCTAAGGCCTCCATGACCTTCCTGTAGCCACCCTATTTCGTCCATTGTCCTTAAGATGGATTGTCTCCTCGGCCCTCTTCCTATTTGGCTACCCAGCGTATCATCTTTCGCTCATTTCTGCTCACAACACAGAACCCCTCCCGCTGTTCCTTTGCGTGTGAGGATTTCCTCTCCGGCAATCCAACTCCTTGCTTCCCTCACTGCAGCTGCCCCAGTTTCAACATTCTGTGTCTGGCATGCGCTCTTTGCTAGCCTGAGAATGCACAGGAACATCACAACCACTCAGGTAATGGTTTGTGTATATGTGAGTCACACAAGTGAAAAGCAATGTTGTGGGCATCAGGATTCCACACATCTAGTTGCCAATGGCAACTGTCTCTCCTCCTCCTCTGGTAACTTCCCTCCTCCATTCGCCCAGCACAGAATCTTCTCCCCTGAGTTATCTGCAAATTGAGGAAGGCTTAGGAGAGGGCTGTGGTCTTTATTTTTTCCTGGGTTTGAAGAAGGGAAAAACCAGCAGGGTATCCTATAGAACCAACTCCTAAAGGCCAAGATCCCTTCATCTGCGTCGTCGTCCCCCCCAATAGAATATGTTATGAGGCTGTCCCACTGAAGTTGATGGGCATTGCCATTCAAATGGGGTGTGTGCACCACATCTTGTGATAAGATTATGTGTGGTGGGGCTTACCTGCGCACCCCAATATGTTATTTTATTCAAGTTGCCACCTCTGACTCTCTCACACTGCTCAGGAACAAATAAGATCTCAGTTCTCCTCCAAGTCCTCTGTGTGACCACAATTCAAAGCAGGCTAGTAAATCATAGAATTGTAAGAGTTGGAAGGGACTCTGAGGGCAATCTAGTTCAGCCCCCTGCAATGCAGGAATTCTAGTTCGAAATCTAGTTGAAATATGAAGAATTCCTTATGCAAGTTATGTTCCCATAGCAGAATGATGCAACTCAAAAGACCAAAAAAAGGGGGGGGGAATAACAGGCAGACATTAACATGCATTCTTATAGCCATCTGTTTATCCCAAATAAATGAAAGATCACTCCACAGTGATGGGAAACGTACTTTAGACACAGAAGAACGGTGAAAGTGGAGCAGTGCTAGCAAGAAAGGGAAGCAAAAATGGGTGATATCTCACTGAGCCGTTCAAGAATACTAAACCCTAGCAAAAGGTTTGTCTCACAGTATTTCCCGCTGTGCAATTCCCTGCAGCTCAAGCGGAGCGGGCTCCCATCACCCCAGCCCATTCCAACAATGTGCAAACTTGAGGATTGGTCACACATGGCAAAGATCTCCTCTGCTGGCTGCCTGCCTGACATATTCTCCTCACCCTGCGTGCAAACAGAAGAAGACCTCCGGACAGAGGGGCTGATTCAACTCCACTTGGCTTTGGATGTAAGCTCCCTGGTGACCAGGAAGCTCCAGCTGGAGGGAGGCCACTGCTGTTTCCTCTCTCCATCAACGGGCTGCCTGGAAGAAGGGCTGGGGGTACGATTCCATGCAAAATCAAGGTGGAGCTGGGGTCAGACCCCTCAATTTGCACAGCTAGAATAACATTTGAAACACGGAGCGCGACTCCTTTGCACTTCCTGTTACCGTGTGACTTGGAAAAATCAAAGGCCATTGTGTAAAAAGACCCCACCAAAACAAAGCTATCTTTGACTTAATTTGAGTTAAAACATTTTGAGCTACAAGATAGCGCCCTTGGGGAAAAACCATGGACAGGGCACAGATGTACAGACCTCTGGTCCGGAGGACAGAACACAGAGCAGATCAGGGGACAGACTCAAGCAGCTGCGCTCTCAGTAGTTTTTGGCAATGTAAAATCAGACTAATCACCTAAGACAAATGGTAAAAAAACACACAACCCCACAGCCCCTTCACCTACAAACAAAACATACAACAGCTCTCCTTTCCCCTTGCTGTTCTGGCATCTGACCTGAAAACAGGCTGGCTGGGAGGAGGAATGTTGTTTGGTTTCCTTTTGTGATCAGTGAGAAACCCAACTTTCAAAAGGAGACAAAGGGCTCCTGAGGCCCAAATCCCCCAGTGTGAGCAGCAACCGAAGTTCTGTAAAATGTTCCCCTTTTAGGCACCTCAGCTGCTCACTGCTATGTCGAAGACACAAAGGAATGGAAGGACTAGGTTGAGGTGCCTAAAGAAAAGGCTGTAAAAGCCAAAGCCCATTCTGCTGCTGTCCGCACTGGGAGTGAACATGGCTCTTTAACTCCCTCTCGGCCAGTGTGAAGGGAGGGTGCAATAGATAGGAATAATAATAAATGTAATAGTAATAATAATAACTTATATGCTGCCCATTTGACTGGGTTGCCCCAGCCACTCTGGGCGGCTTCCAACAAATTAAATCACAGTAAGACATCAAACATTAAAAACTTCCCTCTGCGAGGCTGCCTTCAGATGTCAGATACAGTGGTACCTCGGATTAAGAACTTAATTTGTTCTGGAGGTCCGTTCTTAACCTGAAACCGTTCTTAACTTGGGGTACCCCTTTAGCTAATGGGACCTCCTGCTGCCGTCGCGCCGCCGGAGCACGATTTCTGTTCTCATCCTGAAGCAAAGTTCTTAACCCAAGGTACTATTTCTAGGTTAGCGGAGTCTCTAACCCGAAGTGTTTGTAACCCGAGGTACCACTGTAGTTGTTTATTTCCTTGACATCAGACGGGTGCTGCTACCAAGAAGGCCCTCTGCATAGCCCATGCTTCTGGAAATGGAGCCCCTGGAAAACTCCAAACATGAACTCTGTTTAAAACTGACCAGCCATGGTTCATACAGCAGCCTGTAGCAAATTGTCTGCCATGCATCTCTGAGAAAATGCTGTTGGTTTTTTCTACCCATAGTACAGACATGGGGTCCCCACTCCACCCCCCCAAGTAAAAAAACCCTGATTATTTTCTGCCGTCCAAAGGCCTGTGCCCTCAGCAGTCAAACCAACCTCCCCCTTTTTGGATTGCGGTCCTGTCACCATGGCAACGGCCTCATTTGTCCTACAAAGTACCCCCTCCCTCCAAGCTCCACTCAGGCCTCGAAAGCAAAGTGATGTGAATAACCTCCTTCCCATCGCTGGAGTTTGTTGCCATGGGGACCACTGCACAGAGCAAGGCCTAGGCCTGCATCCTTCAGCAGGCCCATGGGTTACCATGGCGCTGGTGCCGACCAGAACAGTGCCCCCCACAACAAATGCTCAGTTTGCCCTTTCACACACTTTTAACCATCTTCTTGTGCTCCAAACCAGGGTGGCGCTGATGGTGGCAAAAGGAGACAATTCCACCATGCTCCCTCGCCGTGCTTTTATTGCACACAGACGAGCGAAAAGGTTCTCTCTTTACAATGCACAATACTGACACCTCAAGGCTTTCTAATTAAGTGAATGCATATAGATACATGAATAAAAAAGAACATTTGGGAGTCAAAACCTCTCCCCGCTGTCCTCTTAAATTAAACAAAAACCCTTCCTATAGTCCTAGATAGAATCTATTTTCAATGCTGGGGTGGTTGGGCACTGGGATATGCGTAACTCACAAACCACTGCCACAACTAAGGCAGAGAGAAATGGTTTTTTCCTCTGGACATGCGCAAAATTAATGACAGGGCTGGGCATGTATCATACAAAATAATAATGTCTCTGAGCATGCACAGAATTGTTTCTCTGACCACTAAAAAGGCCTATCCAGGCTTCTTCTTCTTCTTTACTCTCATATGAGGGTTTGTTTGTTTATGGCAGAGCTTTCAGGTATGGCTTCCAGGCAGGTTTGAGTTCCTGGATCTCTCTCACTAGAAATTAACCACAGGGGACAAGCCCTGGTCCGTGCACGCAAAATGCAGCATACTGAAGATGAGAGACTAGGTTATATCCACATTATGTTGCTAACGGGTTGCTGCATCTTCTGTGTGTGTGTTGTGCACCTTCATCCACACATGAGCACTTTCAGTTTAATGCCTCCAATATCTATCTTGACATTTCCCAACCACATTGAGATGGTGCTTCATGGGATATCTGTGTGGTACGTCGCCGCTGCCTCCCTTCAGTTACTCCTTCATTACCCTCCTTGAATTCCAGAAACCTGAGGTCTGTTATGGACATTTGTTTACCTGTGTGCACATGCTTTTTTAAATTTTTATTGTATTTTTTTTAATACAAGTTTTTCAATATACCAGAGCAGTTGTTTTGTTGTTTTTAAAAAGGTGTAAGCTCCAAGCCAGTCAAGGATTTGGAGTCGCTTGCAAGAAAGAATGCCACTTCTGCTCCTTTTCCCTGCAAGAGCAAATTTTATTTTTAATTTCAATACTATTGTTCTATACAAGTTTCTTTTTAAAAAAACCACACACACACACACTAGAGCAACAACCACAATTGGTTCAACAACTATGGCCATTCCTAGATGAGGAAAGCCTTGCCAAAGTAGTTCATACATTGGTTAATTCAAGACTGAATTATTGCAATTTGCTCTATGTGGGGCTTCCCTCACACTTGACCCAGAAGCTGCGGTTAGTGTGTAACACGACTGCTGACAGGAGTGAGGCCTTGTCAGCGTATAATACCTGTGCTCAGAGAGCTGTACTGGTTGCCGATTTGCTACTGGGCCAGGTTCAAGGTGTTACGGTTGACATTTAAAGCCCTTGGCAGCGTTTGACCAGTGTATTTCTGAGATCACCTTACCCCACATGTGCCCAACTCGACTCCTTTGATCGGCAGAATTGATACTACTAAAGGGTGTCACATAATACGCATCCCACATTTGTAGGAACCCAGTCGTTTAAGTGTGGCAGCACCTACAATTTGCAGCTCCCACCCTATTGATATCAAGCAGGTGTCTTCATTGTATTATTTTCGGTGCCTTGTTTAGTCAAGGCTACTCAGATGCTTAGAAAAGATGGTGTGAATTTCAGTCTGTTTAGTATTTTAACGTCTTGTGTTTTGTAATTCCCCACGCCCAATTTTATGGCTGTATCTTTTTGCAAATCATTTTGAAATTTTTTGGGGGTTTTTTAACCATTAAGAGGTGTATAAATTTTATGAAATAAATAAAACAATAGTAGTGGTTTTAAAAATAACACGACTGGTCCTTCAGAAACAACGGGTGGGAAAAGGCAGGCTAAAAGGGACTGATGGAAACAAAATGGAAGTCAGGAGGGGTTGCAATTGTAGAGCACCCAGTGAAATGTCACCACACGTTAAAAACAAAAACAACACGATGCGCTTCAGTGTGCAGTCAGGTAACGTGTGATTTTATATTGGATTTTCTTCCTTTATTGGATTATGAGTGGATTGGGACAATCTAAATTTAGTGGGAAGGCGGGAAGCGGCTACCATTTGGATGAGGATGTGTGGATGCCACAAAGGAAGACCAGCCAGCTTCAAATCCGCATTAAACTCCAGTGCGGACAAGCCCTAGGAACACAGGAATCTGGTTTTATATATGCCTTATTGCTGTCATTAGTCCATCTACCACAGTTTTGCTGTCAGCACTGCAGCGGCCCGCCAGGATTTCGGACATGGGACAATCCCATTTTGACCTGGAGATGCTCAGGGACTGAACCTAGACCTTTCTGCATGCAAACCATGTACTCTTCATCTGAACCATGGTCCTTCCCAGTTTCAAAAAGAGTCCAAAGTGGTTTGAGGGAGGTTTTGCTTCCCGGAAAGTAGAAGCAATTCTTCTCTTTCCTTGTCGCCTCTGACCAATCAAGTCTTGAAGGTTTCTGTGTACTTTTAAACTCCGAAAAATATTGTTTATTCAAAGCCAAAGAAGGCGGAGCCAAGCCCAGCAAGAGCAGTGACCCCACTTTCAACTCTCTTTAAAGTCTATAAATTGTCTCCTGTCTCAAACGGGCAGCGCTGCGTCACGCAGCCGCCCAGATTCAGGTCACCTCCTGACACATTGCCTGTCCATTATTGCCAAGCTGCCAACCTCTCCTGTGCTTTCCCTCCAGGCAGGACATCGATTTTCTCTCCGATTTGCCCAATCCTGCACCTGCTTCTCCTAACCCTCCGTCCCCACACGGTCTGCACTGTGTTCCAGGCCCACAGAGACAAATAGCTTTCCTCAGACCCTAAGCCCATGTCAGTTGCTAGTTCAGTGTGTTATTACACCTTATGATGCTTCAATAGACTGATAATGATGAAGAAAAAGTCACCTCTGGAAGACATTGCTATAGTTTTAGGCTGCATGCAATACTATACCTTTAAAGCACATTCAATGCACATTCTTTCCCTCAAAGAATTCTGGGCATTGTAGTTTATGCCTGTGTTTGCAGCTCGGATATATAATCTAATTGCCAAATGGCACCTTAAACCTAGATATGATGGTCACCACAATGGAATGTCTAGACGCCTTTTTGCAGTGGATTATTATTATTATCATCATCATCTCATTTCTATACCATTTTATATTTTAAAGAAGAAAGCTCAAAGCAGTTGACAACACATTAAAACATTAAACAATCCAAAATAAAACAAATTCAAGCTTTGAGAAAAGTATTTCAGATTTTTCTCTAAGTGACATTTTGTTTTCCCCAGTCGCCAGATCCAGAGATCTCGGCGCGGTTGCAAATTGGAACTGCGCCAGTTGCAAAACACGCCTGGAGTCTGGTTTACCCCTCAGAGACTTACAATTCCTAGCAATCATCAATAAACTACAGCTCACAGAATTCTTTTTTTTTGGGGGGGGGGAGAATGTATTTTGAGTGTGTTTTAAAGGTATAGCACATGGGTAGGCAAACTAAGGCCCAGGGGCCAGATCTGGCCCAATCGCCTTCTAAATCCAGCCCACAGACGGTCCAGGAATCAGCGTGTTTTTACATGAGTTGAATGTGTCCTTTTATTTAAAATGCATCTCTGGGTTATTTGTGGGGCCTGCTTGGTGTTTTTACATGAGTAGAATGTGTGCTTTTATTTAAAACACATCTCTGGGTTATTTGTGGGGCATAGGAATTCGTCCATTTTTATTTCTTTCAAAATATAGTCCGGCCCCCCACAAGGTCTGAAGGACAGTGGACCGGCCCCCTGCTAAAAAGGTTTGCTGACCCCTGGTATAGTATGTATGCAACTTGCATGTCAAGAGTTCTACTCCGGTCTGAATCCAACAATCCTTTTGTTATGGAAGCCAATGCTTTGCCAAGAAAGTGGAGCTTTTGTTTATTCCTGTGACCAAACAAGACCGGAAAGAGAAAATGTTCCCAAGGCCATACAATGAGGACATAATCTGAGCCAAGGTGGAGCTCTCGGGCCTATTTTGAACGCCAGAGCTGGTACGCCATATGTGTTGCCTCTAAGGATGTGCAGAGTGCCACTGTCCATCCCCACTATGTACACAAGAGACAATTCACCGCTATCTGCATACATGTGTGGGATTAAAAAAAGAGGGATTCTTGATGAGAGCATTTAGCTACCAACCACGGTTTCAAAGGCTGGGAAGAAAAAAAAAGTTTAGATGGGAGTCACTCCAGATAGCGGAGGACCAACAGGAATGAAAAGGCTGCTGGCTCTATACTCCCATTACCTCAGGCACTTACATCACTGTTCTCTGTTTATGATGACAGTTTGGGCATTTTCATATACTATGATCATACACTAGCTTAGCAGCTCCCAAAGAAGCATGGAAACAGACCCACTTCAAGCAAGAAGAACTACCGATAAAAGAAGAATGAAGGATGAAACTGATGGACTATACAGAATTAGATAAATTAACAGGAAGGATTCGAAACCTGCGGGACCAGAGATTCTCAGAAGACTGGAGTAAATTTACGAACTATTTGAAAAGCAATTGTGATGAACAGATTACGCTAGTAGGTTTGCAAGAAGTTTTGTAAGGCGAATTATTTGAAATATTGCAAGAAAGATAATGAGGAGAATTATTAGTTAAGGATACTTAAAGAACATAAAATCATCAGAAGTGTTGACAGAAGTCTAAAAATATTGTATAAGATGAGAAGTTATGTTGTATGACTGTTCGAACTGATATGTTAAAAAATTAATAAAAATGTGTGTGTGTGTGAATAAAACTGACCCACTTCAAGGAGGATGGGGTGAAAATAAACGGGGGGTGGGGAGAGACTTCAAGCAACTTTGCAAACTCAAAGTGCTCTATAGATCAGAACGATTAAGAACGACAAGTGGGGACATGCAACAAAAATCTTGCTGTGCATCTTTAGCCCCCAACAATGAATCTTCTCCTCTGGGGCCTAGCCAACCTGGAAACGAAACCTTGTTTTGCTGTTCCAGGGCTTCCTTGAGGGCTTTTGAAATGGCGGACATTCCCTCAAAGCAGAACAAAGCTCCTTTTCCAGTCTGGCTGTACAAGTTCACTGAGACTGGGGATATGCGGCAACGTTTTGTCGCGTTCCCCAGTTTGTTCCTAAATGTCCCTTTGCTGTGCTGTACACGACTTTGTTGTTATGTAGCAGTTGGAGAAATGTTCCGACAGAACAGGCCAGCGAGTAAGAGGGAAGAAATGGGACCTGCTGCAACAAAATGGTGCAGCGTGCCCCCAACCACCTGAGAGCTCCGATCAAGGAAGTGGAGACTTCGGGGAGGGGATAAAAGGGCACCTTGCCCCCAAACACACACACAACTACCCCAATCTTCCCCTCCTGAGCCATGTAGTGGCAGGTACCAGCCAAAACACCTGAACTTCTTACACTGCTACAGCAAGCAGGACTCCTGGAGCATTAAAATGGAGAGAAAACTGTACAGTGGTACCTCGGGTTACAGACGCTTCAGGTTACAGACTCCGCTAACCCAGAAATAGTGCTTCAGGTTAAGAACTTTGCTTCAGGATGAGAACAGAAATCGTGCTCCGGCGGCATGGTGGCAGCGGGAGGCCCCATTAGCTAAAGTGGTGCTTCAGGTTAAGAACAGTTTCAGGTTAAGAACGGACCTCCGGAACGAATTAAGTACTTAACCCGAGGTACCACTGTACTTTGTCTTTCCTTTGTCCTGAAACATCCCTGTATAGCATAGCTGGGAAGGGTTTTTTTAAACCTCACAGAAGGTAACTCGCTAACCTTATTCTCCCACCCCACCCTGCTCCATACTTACGACAAGCTGTCAGGGACTTGAGCAGGTCAATTCCTTCTTTTCTCTAGCATTTTTTTGGGGGGTAGGGTGGGCAATATTCTATTTTTCCACCCCTGCCTACTTTATCTGATGAACTCACACAATCTGCCTCTGCCTGACCTGATTTATTTAGATCTCAACCTCCACCCGCAACCAGCATTCTGTGGCCTTGTCAGGATTTTGTTGTTACTGCATTTTTTAATTAAAATAGTTCATTTTCTTTTAATTTACAACACTGAATACTTCTGTGTACCGAGAGAGACCGCAGAGGATATAAACCCCTTCCCATACTTTTGGGTGGCTTCCAACCCCTTGGCTTTTGCTAATAGAGTGGTACCTCGGGTTACATACGCTTCAGGTTACAGACTCGGCTACCCCAGAAATATTACCTCGGGTTAAGAACTTTGCTTCAGGATGAGAACAGAAATCGTGCTCTGGCGGCGCGGCAGCAGCAGCAGGCCCCATTAGCTAAAGTGGTGCTTCAGGTTAAGAACAGTTTCAGGTTAAGAACGGACCTCCGGAACGAATTAAGTTCTTAACCCGAGGTACCACTGTAGCGGGAATGACGCTAACAAGCAGGGACCAACAACAAAATGTCGCAGCGCATTCCCAGCCCCCAGCCTGGGATTCTTAGTAATAATAGAGAGTTTGGTGTGAGAGGCCGAGACAGCACTCAGCGCTCTCTCAAGACAGCTATCGTCAAAGTTCCTAGGGAGGAAGTAATCGCCATCAAATGAGCTTGCAGTTTCCACAAATCATTTGCGTCTAGGACAAATACGTAATACATCGCAGGCTGCAATAGCCCCTGAGGTAAAAAAGAGTATTATTGAATCCAGGAGCACCCCCACCCCCAACTATGCAGCAGTTGGATTTTTGCAGCTGAGGAATGCTGTTGGATCCAGATGCTTTCCAGATGTCCCATTTTTCCACAACTATAAGCAAAATATTGTTGGCCAACGCTGGCATGATGTCCTTTTCCAGGACAGGCTGTAGGGAAGCCAAATCCAGCGAAGGGCTGGGGTACCCTGACCTTCCCACACACATTCAAGGAAGAGAGTGGGGTGCAAGAGAGCCAAGACAGGCTGGGAGAGGAGAAACAGCCAAGCGATGCATTAACACACACTAGCATTGCAGCAGCAGCTGCTGTCCTGCAGGTTCAAAACTTGGAACTGTCCATCAGGGCTGATCTGTGCTTGGCAGGAACGGGGGTCTTCTTGGCCGGACCACACAAAAGCTTTGTCCACAAAGCCGCTCCCCATTCACCACAGCAGAAGCAAAAGAGAGGTCTGGAGCAGGCCTGCACAATTTGTGACCCACAAATCAGCCCACCGGGAAACCCCACTCAACAGTTCTGCCAAAACCAGGCAAGGTCACACAGTCAACACAGCTGTGGGGCCTTCAAAATGTGTCCTTTTAATCTGCTTTTGGTTGTGAGAGGATCCCCTGAGAGGATCCAGGCACAATTCTCCCGCCTTTTTCAGATGTGAGATATCCTCTTTGGAGATGGAGAAGACCGGGCGGTTATTCCACACAAAAATTGGAGATTTTCAGAAATGAGCACAGCCACACTCCAGGCAATCGGTCAGCAAGCATCCTATGACCATCACATACCCTGTTTCCCCATCCCAGCTGCCTCATCCGCCACAGGAAATCCTGCCAAATTCGCTTGCCGGTCAAGAATCCGGATACAGCACAGACCAAAGTTTCCTATCCAGTTCCTGGTTGGCTTTATCTGGCTGAAGGATCAGGGACCCTCTGCTAGGTTTTCTTCCCCCAGCCATGACTGCTTCCCTCAAAATTGGATCAGCATCCATGGCAGGCTTCTCCAGACGTGGATAATTTTTTGGGGGGGGTGGGGAGGAAGAAGGATGTTCACATACTTTCATTTGGTCTCTACCTATTCTACTTAAACTTAATCCATGTCCCCACTTCTTTTCAACCTCTGCAGCCATTTCCTCTTCTTGTGCTCCATTCCATCCGAAACGCTCCAAATGGTTATGTCTTCACTGAGGCGTCCTATAGAAATTTTGAAAACTGCAAAACAAAACCGAGCTCCTGACAAGTCCTCATCACCTCTGCAATTTGGGATTTGCAGCACAAGCCTTGAAAGGAACGACTCACATCAGAGCTAGAAGGATGATGTCAAGGAATCTTCATAGGTTCGTGGTTTTCCATTTGCTTTTGAGGATAGCATTGCTTGCCTCTACAACTACAGTGGTACCTCGGGTCACAGACGCTTCAGGTTACATACGCTTCAGGTTACAGATTCCGCTAACCCAGAAATAGTACCTTGGGTTAAGAACTTTGCTTCAGGATGAGAACAGAAATCACGCAGCAGCAGCAGGAGGCCCCATTAGCTAAAGTGGTACCTCAGGTTAAGAACAGTTTCAGGTTAAGAACGGACCTCCGGAACAAATTAAGTACTTAACCTGAGGTACCACTGTACTTTGCAGCTTTCGTAGTCTCTCGATGCACCCAGAACACTGTCTGATGAGGAATCACTGGGTGAATTTCAGTCTTGGGGATGTTGACAAACTTCAGCCTACCCTGTCTGTTTTCAGCCTTTGCCCATCGTGGTTTAGGGTATCTAGCAGTGGCAGTGATGCTTTTGAATTATGGTGCTGGAGGAGACTCTTGAGAGTCCCATGGACTGCAAGAAGATCAACCCTATCCGTTCTGAAGGAAATCAGCCCTGAGTGCTCACTGGAAGGACAGATTGTGAAACTGAGGCTCCAATACTTTGGCCACCTCATGAGAAGAGAAGACTCCCTGGAAAAGACCCTGATGTTGGGAAAGATGGAGGGCACAAGGAGAAGGGGACGACAGAGGACGAGATGGTTGGATAATGTTCTTGAAGCTACCAGCATGAGTTTGACCAAACTGCAGGAGGCAGTGGAAGACAGGAGTGCCATGGGGTCACGAAGAGTCGGACACGACTAAACAACAACAAAAGCAGTGGCAGGTTGACCAGCTAGTTTCGAGAGCAAGGGGAATCAATGGGGTGTCTTTCAGATGTTATTGGACAATGGCTTGTACCATCATGGCCAACGGTGAAGAATTATGAGAGTTGTAGCCCAGTAAAATCTGGTTACTCCTCTCGAAGGCTTATAAATGGGAGGAAGCATTCTCCACTGCACATATGGAGACAGTTGTGTGGGCACTCCTGAAAAAATACCCATGCTGCACCTGGAGGATTGAGCCAACTCACCAATCTAATACCAGTCAACAATACAGTGGTACCTCAGGTTACATACGCTTCAGGTTACAGAGTCCGCTAACCCAGAAATAATACCTCGGGTTAAGAACTTTGCTTCAGGATGAGAACAGAAATCATGCGGTGGCGGTGGCGGCGGGAGGCCCCATTACCTAAAGTGGTACCTCAGGTTAAGAACAGTTTCAGGTTAAGAATGGACCTCCAGAATGAATTAAGTTCTTAACCCGAGGTACCACTGTATACCCTTTCCAGGAAAAGGTACTCAAGAGTATAGTGACTGGACAACTCTGCCTTCTTGGGTGACACTGATCTTCACCCATATCTCTTTCATTACCAAACTGTCTGACAATAGCAAGTAGTATAAAACACTCTTCAATAATAAGAATACAGAGTCTGCTAGTGGAAACCAAGAGGCACAAAGGTCTCTTGAAATACCGGTAGAATTCAGGGTGTTTTGAGGCTCTTTCTGTTCCAGAGTTCAAAATTTTGGCATAGGAGAGAAAAATCGGTTTTCCGTTTATTGGAAACCAAAGGAAAGATGATTTTTAAAAGTGATGGTGAAACCAGAGTTTGGTTTGAAGCGGCCTGACGAAGTTAAGCGTGTCTGAGTCCAGACACTGCCTGAATAGGGAGATCAGTCAGGATCCCCTGGCTCTGGGCTCCTTAGTGGGGAAAAACTGATGATGATGATAATAATAATAATAATTTGTTTCTTATACCCTGCCCATCTGACTGGGTTACCTCAGTCGCTCTGGGCGACTTCCAACAAAAATTCAGGAGTTGACCCCTGAAGCAAACAGACATGACTAACTTAGGTTCATCAATATCAATGGGTCGACTCTAAGTTGGACTTAGTTGAATACCACACAGTAAATAAAAAAAAAATGAAGCAGAATCAGTTTGTTTATGATAAAAGAGGTGCTGGGTCTAAAAAACTTCATAGAATCATAGAGTTGGAATAGACCACAAGGGCCATCGAGTCCAACCCCCTGCCAAGCAGGAAACACCATCAGAGCACTCCTGACATATGGTTGTCAAGCCTCTGCTTAAAGACCTCCAAAGAAGGAGACTCCACCACACTCCTTGGCAGCAAATTCCACTGTCAAACAGCTCTTACTGTCAGGAAGTTCTTCCTAATGTTTAGGTGGAATCGTCTTTCTTTTAGTTTGGATCCACTGCTCCGTGTCCGCTTCTCTGGAGCAGCAGAAAACAACCTTTCTCCCTCCTCTATGTGACATACTTTTATATATTTGAACATGGCTATCATATCACCCTTTAACCTCCTCTTCTCCAGGCTAAACATGCCCAGCTCCCTTAGCCGTTCCTCATAAGGCATCATTTCCAGGCCTTTGACCATTTTGGTTGCCCTCCTCTGGACACGTTCCAGTTTGTCAGTGTCCTTCTTGAACTGTGGTGCCCAGAACTGGACACAGTACTCCAGGTGAGGTCTGACCAGAGCAGAATACAGTGGCACTATTACTTCCCTTGATCTAGATGCTATACTCCTATTGATGCAGCCCAGAATTGCATTGGCTTTTTTAGCTGCCCCGTCACACTGTTGGCTCATGTCAAGTTTGTGGTCAACCAAGACTCCTAGATCCTTTTCACATGTACTGCTCTCAAGCCAGGTCTGGAAGATATCAGAGAAAAGAAACTGGCTGCCAGGACTGGCACTGCCAGGAGCAATTTTTTTAGCAGGCAGGTAGAACTGTAGGCTCAAAGGCATGGAAGTTAGGCTGGCATGTGCCAAATGGACATATTCATTTTAAAAAGCAGCAACACAGTTTAGCCTAAACGTAAGAAGCTGTGTCAGAAAGTAAAACAGCCTAAATTTTTAATGAGAAATTTATGCAAAAGCCAGAATGATTAAAATATGATGATAGATAGATGGTAGATATAGATAGATGGTAGATATAGATAGATATAAAGGGAATTAGTCAAATGCAAGGGAAAAACTTTAAAACTGGGACTGGCAATAATTATGTGAAAAGCTGTAATTTAATAAACACTCATAAATACAAAAAGGGATTGTTGTTGCTGAATCATTGCCATTTGTGAATTGCCACTTGCTTTGAGCACAACTGCTTTTGGAAAAGCATCACACATATTAAAAACTAATCTAAAAATGTTAGCAGGAACTTGCCAAATACAAAGGGAGCACAGAACTCTGCCCATTGGTCTTTTTTTGTGTGTGCGGAGTGGGGCGAAACAAAAGAGGTGAAAGCAAAGGACTGGCAAAGTCACCAAATCAAGGACATTAGCATGTGTATGCACAGGTGAGCATTTCCTTTTTAAACAGGGCTGGGCCACAGCATCTCGCCCAGATACCTTCTTCCCTGTGCTCCACACACACAAAGAGGCATGATGTGATTCGAGTTCAGGTTTGAAGAGGCAGAGCTCATTGGTCAAACTTGCCAGAGATGCTGCTGACATATTAATTGGTGCATGGGGCAAGCAGTAGGTGAAAGGGTGGAGTCCTTCCCCCCCCCTCCCAATATGCAATGACAGTTCCAGGGAAGACAAGCAGTTTTCTGGAAACGTCAGAGTCTATTAGGTCTATAACGGAATAAAGCTGAAGTGGCGATCTCTCTGCACAGTGCACAGGGAGGGGTTGCCATTTCTGTCTACCACCACCCAACACACACACAAAATCTGGGAAAGAAGAACTATCATTATTATTACGCATTACAATTTATTACCCATCCTTCACCCTAAGGTCCGAGAGCTGGTCACAACAATTAAAGCACAACATGAATATTAAATTGCTAATATGCTCGCACCACCCAATTCTCCAGCTCCATCATCCAGAACAAACAAACAGGCCCTCTGTCTCCAAGCTGCCATATGGACCCAAGACACTAAACAAGAAGAGCGTGGGGTGTGGGATCCACTTGGCTACCCCTCAAGCCACAGATGGGGAGAGGTCCCTGTGCACCCTTGCTTCCCCCTCACCCCCACCCAGCCCTTCTCCAGGGTCCAGGAGGGAGGTGCCCCCCCCAATGATACAGCGCTCCGTCGCAGCAACAGCTCAGAATCAAGGTCTCCAAGGCAAACGCCATGTTCCCAGCCAGGATACCCTAAGGGAAGGTATGGCGCCAAGCCGGGGGTGGGGATGGGGAATTAAGTCGCATGGTGGCACTTGGGAAAATACATCTGGGGGGGGGGGCAGAGCGAAACCGATAAACAGAAAAGGGCACTGCATAAGGAACAGGTAGACGGAATGTGTTAAAGGAAGAATTATGTACCTCTGATAGGCCCTGTCCACACACGTCATGCGTGAAAGAGCCACCACAGATCAAACACCACAAATGGGGAGTTTTCTGGCTGTTTCAGACACAATGCCGCGCAAGGCAGGCAGGTCACACACACACACCACAGGGCAGCTCACAAGCGACTGTGCATGCGTGTAGGAGCAGAGAGGTGTGTGTCTTTATGAAATGCACGAGATCAACAAGCAGAATGCAAGGCAGGCAGACAACAGGTACATCCGACAGAGGTCAAAAAGGATGTGCAGGGGGAGAAATGGGTGTGGACCATGAGAGGCAATATTCTAGTCAGATGGTATACAGACAGAAGCAGAGGGGGAGAAACACAAGGGGGGGGGGAGAGACGGTGGCTCAAGGATGGGGACCGCAGAGAGGCAGACAAAAGGTTCAGGGTGGGCAGCAGTAGAAGAAAAGACCCTGAAATAAACAGATTGCCATGTAAGGAGATGGCCAGCCAAAGGGATGGGAGGAGAAAGAGATGGTGCGAGCAGGGGGCTGGCAGATGGAAGGTGGAGGGAGCTCAAGGGGGCTGGGAACAGTCGTAAGAATAGACAAAACCCTGCCCCCCCCGCGCGCCCCCATCTCCAAAACCCTCCTTCCCCCCACCTCTTCCCTGTCTATGAAAAGGAGGGATGGAGCCTTGGGGGGTCCCATCCCGGAGCCCAATACCGAGAGAGGGGCGCAATATTTAGGGGGGGTTGTGTGCGTGATCGAGTGGAAGGAATCGGCGCGGACCCACCCACCGCGCACCCCCCTCCCCAATTCCCGCTGCCCCACGGCGCATCTCTTTCGCCGCCGTCCTGCAAGGTCTCGCCCATCTCCTTTTGGGGAACCAGCAGACCAGAGCCGAGGGGGAAACCCACCCAAACCCACCCCCCGACCAGGAAAGGCGGAGGCGGGAGAAGCAGCCACATACACACACAATACACAAAAATTGGAGGTGGGGGGGGGGTTGAAATCCAGCTAAAGATATGCCTCCGTTTCCCACCCATCCACCCCACTTTTTCTGGAAATGCGCCACCGCGCGCCAACAGCTCTCCCACCCGCATAAATGGCACGGAGCAATAGCCCCCCACCCCAAACTGCCCCACCCACCCACTCAGCAATGGAGAGCAGATCCCCGGATCCCACCGCAGGAGGGGAGGATCCCCCGACTCACCCCCCCCCCCCGCGCCACAATCCGCCTTCTGCATGCAAGACCCCCGCAGCCTTTTCCTTACTCTCCGGCGCCCGCCCCCCGCGCGCCTACTCACCCTGCGGGCTGGGAGGCTCCCCGGGCTGCGCCTTGCCGCGAGCCGGCCAGCCGGGGCCGACCAGCAGCGGCAGCAGGAGGGCGAAGCGCATCGCCAGGGCCGGCGCCCGCAGCATTGTGGCCGCCCCCACCGGCTCCCCGCTACCCGGCCATGGCGCGCCCGGAGGAGCCTGGGCGGCAAGTCGGGCGCACTGGGCTGTGCGGGATCCGGTTACGCGGCGGCGACGGCGGCGGCGATTGTGTCTCCTCGTCCCCGGCAGCCCCCTCCTGCCCGGCGGGGAGAAGCTGCGACGGCTCCACCTGCTGGAACAAGCCAGCACCGCCGCCGCCCCCTCGGTCTCCTCTCCTTCTTCTTCTTCCTCCGCCTCCTTCTTCTCGGGTGCTCCGCCTTTAGCTTACCTCACCTAGAAACTGTGTCCAATGCCAGGGAATAGTCCTGGGCAAGGGAGGGGAATAAAAAAGTTCAGGGCAAGGGAGGGGGTGCACTGTGCCTCTGAGCATGTGCAGAACGTGAAGATGGTTGCAAGTAAGCCTCGCCCTCGCCGCCGGGCTCAGAGGCGCCTATCTGTGGATTGGCTTTCCCCTCTTCCGTTTCCTCTCCAAGACTGTTTTCTGGGTGTTCAAGGAGTCTTCAAATGCGGAGGGTTGGTGGGCAGCGGGACTTAGCAGCTTTCTAAGATTGATGCTTTTGTCTTATGGTGCTGGAGGAGACTCTTGAGAGTCCCATGGACTGCAAGAAGATCAAACCTCTCCATTCTTAAGGAAATCAGCCCTGAGTGCTCACTGGAAGGACAGATCCTGAAGCTGAGGCTCCAATACTTTGGCCACCTCATGAGAAGAGAAGACTCCCTGGAAAAGACCCTGATGTTGGGAAAGATGGAGGGCACAAGGAGAAGGGGACGACAGAGGACGAGATGGTTGGACAGTGTTCTCGAAGCTGCCAGCATGAGTTTGACCAAACAGCGGGAGGCAGTTTGGCGTGCTCTGGTCCATGGGGTCACGAAGAGTCAGACACGACTAAATGACTAAACAACAGTAAGATGCCAAAAAAGGACGCAGGTGGTGCTAGGGGTTAAACCACAGAGCCTAGGACTTGCCGATCAGAAGGTCAGCGGTTTGAATCCCCGCGACGGGGTGAGCTCCAGTTGTTCGGTCCCAGCTTCTGCCAACCTAGCAGTTTGAAAGCACGTCAAAGTGCAAGTAGATAAATGGGTACCACTCCAGCGGGAAGGTAAACGGCGTTTCCGTGCGCTGCTCTGTGGTCCGCCACAAGCGCCTCAGTCATGTTGGCCACATGACCCGGAAGCTGTACGCCGGCTTCCTTGGCCAGTAAAGCGAGATGAGCGCCGCAACCCCAGAGTCGGCCACGACTGGACCTAATGGTCAGGGGTCCCTTTACCTTTACCTTTAAGATGCCAATGTGTACATTATTATAGAAGCGTAGAATTTGGAAGGGGCCCCAAGGGTCATCCAGTCCAACCCCCTGCAATTCAGGAATCTCAGCTAAAGCATCCATGGCAAATTTCCATCCAACCTCTGCTGAAAAACCTCCAAGGAAGGAGAGTCCACACACCCCCCTTCCAGATATTGGGGCACGTAGAGCCAACGTATTGAACATGCATGACCAGCGAAAAAAATCTCAAAATTACAATTCTTTGATGGTTCAAAGCTGTCCCTGTGTTTTTGTTTTATGAGCTGAAGTCACATCGTCTTGCTTTCATATGTCCTACTCAAATATTAACAAATCCCAGCACACCTGGTTTGCCTGCTACATGGATTAAACGGCAAGAAATGTTCTATATGCCTCCCTACACCTCAGAATGCCATCTCTCCCAGAATTAACAACAATGACAACAACAGGTCAATGTTCATTTGCATCTTGCCCATTCAAACAAAGGCTTCAAGCTTTAATCAACTAATTGGCACAACAAATAAAGAAAGGCTTAATCCCAGATTAGCAGCTTCCCCCACTCCCAAAATATACAGGGGTTGTCAGGAAGTAACAAGCAGGAGACTCAGAAATCTTGAAGGGCCCAGACTGATTTGTCGTTCAGTTTACTGTACATCTGAAGCTAGCAGACAATTTGGCTTCTGCATTGAAACTATGGTGGGTTTCTTTTCTCTCTTCTAACAATAAAGAACAACAGGCAGGTGAAGTGATTGCCTTCATTGCTCAAGCATCTGGTTTTAGCTGCTGCTTCATAACATTGTTAATTTTTTTGGTTCTTTAATTGTGTATGTATAAATGCAGTGCTTTTTTATATATAGGGGGGTATGGTGCCAGTAATCACCATGAAGTTGTTTATGTTATGTACTGAAGTTCTCACCCTGGGCCAGCAGGGGGATACTGTAGATAGTTATGCAAATGAAGGATTGAAAGTGACGTTCAGTGATTGGATGGATACTGTAGATAGTTATGCAAATGAAGGATCAAAAGTGACGTTCAGTGATTGGATGGATACTGTAGATAGTTATGCAAATGAAGGATCGAAAGTGACGTTCAGTGATTGGATAGTTTTACAAAAATTGTTACAGTAACGTGGTACTGGAGCTCTATATAAGCAGGCTGACTGAGCCCTTCAGTTCAGTTCTGTTTCAGCTTACAAATAAAGAGCTGCTTTGGAAGAATCGCTGTGTCGTCTGATATGTTCACCCACAACTTAACAGTTTACACACACACACACACACACACACACACACACTTGTTCACCGCTCTGGAATCTATTGGATGAAGGGTGGTATACAAGTGTTTGAAATAAATAAATGAATCCTTTAAACCTGGACCTGCACAATACTAATGGGTTTCCAATTATTGGTGAGGCAATTATAGCTCCCATGTTACAGTAACTGAAAGTATTTCCTGACACAAAGCTGGTAGAAAAACATGGTAAAAGTAAAACCCCAAGAATTAAATGGTGTCTTTCGTTTATTAAACAGCAAAATGCATTTTACACTCAATGTATTATGTCCCATGCCTTCATTTGCCTCCGTATGAGCTCAGCAGATCCCAGGGTGTGGCACTGCATGGAAAAATAGAAGCACCAGCAGCCTTTACTGCCCCTCCAGCTCCCCAACTTTGGGAATCAGTCCAAAATGGTTCTCCTCTCCTGCTGAAGATTTGGACTTGTTTGAAGCCACAAAGAGGAGATGAAAGGCAACGTTGCTAGTGCAAGAGGGACAATTCCAAGATCATCTTTGTGTCTTGGAGGAAATGGTCACAACTGGGGAGCTGACGGGGCATTGATCAGGAATGGGCACTGCTCCTTGATCATATGGAGTCTACCAATCATCTCTAGGAGAGTTTCCACACCTGTTAAGATTCATTCCTAAAGAATAACTCTGAAGCAACTGAACGGACCAGCCCCTCGTAGAATGAGAAGGAAATGTGGCACATGATGAGTGGAATGGACAAGCCCAACTATAATTTACAGTACCAAATTCTGAACAGAGTATAGTTGGCAATGGCATTCTTCTTCTGACTGCTTTCATGATGCATCAAGTCTATTTGGCATGTTTTATGTATATTAATAGGGATGCGGGGGGCGCTGTGGGTTAAACCACAGAGCCTAGGACTTGCTGATCAGAAGGTCGGCGGTTCGAATCCCCACGACGGGGTGAGCCCCCGTTGCTCAGTCCCTGCTCCTGCCAACCTAGCAGTTCGAACGCACACCAGTGCAAGTAGATAAATAGGTACCGCTCCAGCAGGAAGGTAAACGGTGTTCCCGTGCGCTGCTCTGGTTCGCCAGAAGTGGCTTCGTCATGCTGGCCACATGACCCGGAAGCTGTACGCGGCTCCTGCGGCCAGTAAAGCGAGATGAGCACCGCAACCCCAGAGTCGGTCACGACTGGACCTAATGGTTAGGGGTCCCTTTACCTTTATGTATATTAATGGAATTAATTCTGCACTTTTAAAAAGAATACTGGGTTTTTTTCCTCCCTACTTGTTTCTCCAAGCCCTATTTTTTCCACTTAAGAATTTGTGAGCTTTTGTTTTGTTTTTAATTTCACAGACGGCCCGTGTCTTCCAGTCAGGACCTTGTTTTTAAGGGTGAAGGAATCACTCTTCTGTGGCGCTAACCATGAATGTGGATACTGCCTACTGCGGGCATCTATTTAGCAAGAGAATGGGATGCGTGCAGAAGTATAGCTGAGGAAGGGTATTAAATTGCAGAGCAAAGAAGGGGGGGTCTCAGAAAAAGGTCTAGCTGACATCTCCTTGGGAACAGGGAGGGATGGATCCAGGCAGAAATGAGATCACATTGGCGGGCATGTGTTTGTGTGAGGATCACCCACTACTGCTCCTTCCCAGATGTTTTTGCCCCAGGGTCATTGGGACAATTGTTCCTCTTCCTCTGTGGGTGGTCGCTTCCTCTTGAAAAAGCCTGTCTATTAAAAAAAAAAAGAAATAGGCTTCTTTGAACTGGTGAAAGCCTTGATTGGGCTGCTGTTCTCAAAATAAACACATAAGGCACTCAGAAGTATGCTGGGGTTGGCTGATCTGATCAAAACAACAACAACAACAACAACAACAACAACAACAACTCCTATTTGGGGACTTCCCTGGCTTTTTTCCGGCCCACGTAGGACCAGTCTTGATAGTTGGCCTTGGTGAAGATTTGACGTTTTCATCCCCCAAAAGTTTTTGATTTGAGTTTCTACTAAAAATGAGGCTGCATTTTAATGTTGTACTTTAATATTGTTTTTAAGTTGTATTTTAATCAATTGTTTTTATACCTGGTGTTAGCCGCCCTGAGCCCGGTCTTGGCTGGGGAGGGCAGGGTATAAATAAAAGTTGTTATTATTATTATTATTATTATTATTATTATTATTATTAACTCTCATGGAAGTTTTAGTTGAGATTCCTGCATTGCAGGGGGTTGGACTAGACACTTGGAAGTCGCTTCCAGTTTATAATTCTATAATTCTATATACCACTGCCTCCCCAATGAGGCATGTTAGTTATTGTGACATCGGACCTCCCATGAAGGCTCATTTTCTGCAGGGGCCGGAGGTGCTCCTATTTTTGTTAAGCCCCAGCTAAAGCCAAAACCACTGGAATATTGGCATCCCATGTGGTTGGTCCACTTTGCGTCTAGGCCCAGAATTGCCCGCTCCGAGGTTTTGCTTACCTTCCAAAGAACAATAATGAAGATTGCAAGGAGGAAAAGTCCGACCACTATAGCTGCTATGATCCACCACACAGGAATATCCCTCTCGGCAGCCGGGTCCACCCACTCCACCAGTGTCTTAGTCTGGGTGGGGCAGGGGGGAGGGATAGGAAAGAGAAAGCCAATGTGAGCTGAACCCTCGTCTCCCTGATGCAATTGAAATAATGGAGGGGTTTTCATGCCCAAGTAAGTCTTTTATCCCCAGCGCAGATAACAAAATGGATGAGCTCCTCTACCTTGGGCAGATTCAGGTGATTCTTGTAGGGTTGGCAAACACCAGTTATTTAACTGCCATTCAGGCTTCGGCCTTAAAGTTTGGAACTGGGTACTTTGCAAATTTAACTAGCATTTTGAGCCCATTTTGGATGCAGGTAAGATCCAGTGAAGGGACGCGGGTGGCACTGTGGGTTAAACCACAGACCCTAGGACTTGCCGATCAGAAGGTCAGCGGTTCGAATCCCTGCGACGGGGTGAGCTCCCGTTGCTCGGTCCCTGCTCCTGCCAACCTAGCAGTTCGAACGCACACCAGTGCAAGTAGATAAATAGGTACCGCTCCGGCGGGAAGGTAAACGGCATTTCCATGCGCTGCTCTGGTTCGCCAAAAGTGGCTTAGTCATGCTGGCCACATGACCCGGAAGCTGTATGCCGGCTCCCTCGGCCAATAAAGCGAGATGAGCGCCGCAACCCCAGAGTCGGCCACGACTGAACCTAATGGTCAGGGGTCCCTTTAGCTTTACCTTAAGATCCAGTGAAAACAAGGAAGATCTTTATTTTCTGTTGCAACCGAGTTCCCCTCCCCTTGCAGAAGTCTGCAAGCCCCTTTAAAGACTTTTGAAATTGCCCAACCCCTTAACCCCAAAATTCATCATACATACAAGTCAAGATGGCTTCAGGATTGCTCTCCTGTACTATTTCAGGCATGTGGTTTGTATACTTATCCATGTGTGTTTACCTTGTGCATTCATGAACATTAATTCTATTTTTGAGACCTTAGAATTCTTGTGGGAGTCTCACCTCTGTTCCACCAAAAAAAACCCATCAGGCTCTAGCCCCTGACTTCACCAAATGACCAGGTATTTTCAGAAACCATAAGCGGGCAATCCCAGATAGTGAGCCCCATGGATCCACCTCACACACAACCCACTTGGCTTTATGACTTGCCAAAACCCATAATATACGGTACACTCATGTTCCTATACTTCAACTACCCTAGGTAGGACGGACAGACACAGTCTTCTGCTCCTTGTCCCTGGTGAATCATTGTCCCTATTTTTGCTTCCTGGGTACACCTGAGTTAAAACATCAATGAGGCCCTGTTCATCTCAATAAGCTGAAATATTCTTGAGCGGGTGGCGCTATGGGTTAAACCACAGAGCCTCTTGGGCTTGCCATTCAGAAGGTCGGTGGTTTGAATCCCCGTGACAGGGTGAGCTCCCGTTGCTCAGTCCCTGCTTCTGCCAACCTAGCAGCTCAAAAGCACGTCAAAGTGCAAGTAGATAAATAGGTACCACTCCAGTGGGAAGGTAAACGGCATTTCCATGCGCTGCTCTGGTTCACCAGAATCGGCTTCGTCATGCTGGCCACATGACCCGGAAGCTGTACGCCGGCTCCCTCGGCCAATAAAGCGAGATGAGTGCCGCAACCCCGGAGTCGGCCACGACTGGACCTAATGGTCAGGGGTCCCTTTACGGTAATCTATTCTTGAGCCACAGAAAACCACAAAAGGGGAAAGTGCTCTTGTGCTCAGGTCCTGCTTGAGAACAGGATGCCGGTCTAGAGGGACCATTGGCCCTGATCCAGCAGGCCTGATGTTCTTATGCAAAGCTGAGTTTCGGCTGCACCGATTCACTGACGTACCAGAGAGGATCCACTTGGCAGAACTTCCGGCTGAATGCGGTAGGGCATCCCTGAAGTGTTGAATCGGGCCTGAGACTGGATGAGGAGTTGCTCCTTCATGGGGTGCTGTGGTAGAAGAGACCATCATGGATTACCTGAGCCCTTATTATGGACCTGCCATCAGGGGCGAGCTTTGGTGACCTTTCGAAATGCCCTGTGCGAGGCCAAAACTTGGCGCCCCCAAATGGCGCCGGCTTCCGGGTTGGGTGGTGGTGGTGTCTAGAGGTCTACAACTCTTATAAATAAGAACCTGGACTCAGACTATGCTTGCTAGATGAAGGGGTTTATTCTAGACTTCTTTCCTTGCTCAACCGTGACACCCAGGCCACATTTTATCCCCCAAAAAGTTTTTGATTTGAGTTTCCACTGAAAGGAGGCTGCGTTTTAATGTTTTAATGTTGTATTTTAATCTTGTTTTTTAAGTTGTATTTCCATCAATTGTTTTATATTGGGTGTTAGCCGCCCTGAGCCCGGTCTTGGCTGGGGTATTATTATTATTATTATTATTATTATTATTATTATTATGATACCACTTTAAACAACCACAGTTTCCCTTAGATAATCCTAGTTTGTTAAGGGTGCTGAGAGTTGTAAGGAGATCCCTGTTCCACTCACAAGGGTACAGTTCCCAGAGTGATTTAACAGTCAATCCCTCTCCATAGAGAACTCTGAAAATTATAGCACGGGGGGTGGGGGGCACAAACGACTGATGCGCCGCATGTGGAGGAAAAACTTAAACACGTTGCAGAGTTCCCAAAAATAGACCAGAGGCAATTAATATTTCATCCAGCAGAGCTTTACTGCTACTGAAGGAAAATGAGCATATTGGACACAAATCCAATACATTCAGGATTGGCACAGTCCATAAAAGACCCAGTTGCAGAAGACTTATCTTAAACTAACAACAACTTATAATAGTACTAAACCTCAACACTATAGCATACAGAACAGAACACCACACCAGAACGAAGAGCTAGAAAGAGAAAGCAAGTGAAACCCCGGCTCCTTCTGGCCTGACTATTATAGTCAGCAGGACCTGGACAGAAAGATCACAGAACCAATTTAAACCAGCTGTACTCAGCTTCTCTGAAGGAATAACCCAAACATCAGAAATCTTCTGCCTGTTTCTTTCACATGGAAAGAAACCTTCCAGAACCCTCCTGAACTAAGCAGAACAGAAAAGATCTCTACACATCAGATCAATACTTTCTGTACTAAGAAATGCAAACTGACAACTACAGCTCCCATAATTCTTTGGGGGAAGCCGTGACTGTTTAAAGCGGTATCATAGCACTTTAAACGTACAGAGTGAATGTTGCCACAGACTACCTCTCTTACTTTCTTCAAATCCCTCCTCCAGATCCACCTTTGGTCACGAAATCTTTGGCTCCTCTCTCCAGTTACCATGCCCTGCTGTAACTCAGCCTAAGTACTTTACAGTCATACCTCGGGTTACAGACGCTTCAAGTTGCGTTTTTTCGGGTTATGGACCGCCGAAACCTGGAAGTACCGGAACAGGTTACTTCCGGGTTTTGGTGGTTGTGCATGTGCTGAAGCGCTAAATCACGCTTTGCGCATGCGCTGAAATGCCGAATCGTAACCCTCACGTGCGCAGACGCGCCGCTGCAGGTTGCGAACGCTGCGGGTTGCGAACGTGATCCCGCACGGATCATGTTCGCAACCCAAGCGTCCACTGAATCACTGAAACAATCACATCATCGTTCCCTGTGTATCCTTGGCTCCCCTTCCCCTTCATGTCTTGTTTCCTCTGTGAAGAATGTTAGATTAGAAGTTCCTCGGGGCAAGGGGCCCTTGAGGCCGGAGGAACATCGCCCAGCTGTGACGCGTGAGGGCAGCTCCCTGCAAGGCCCTTTCCACCTGGTCTAGGGGGCAGGCCCCACACTCACCAGCCCCACTGGAGAAGCTCCTCAAGAGGGCGGAGGAACATCGCTTGGCTAATGTTTTATTGATTTATTGATTTAATATGCTGTAAACCACTTTGAGGTTTTTATTAAAAATATAAAGCTGTATAGACATTAAATAAAGCAAGCAAGCAAGCAAGCAAGCACCATTCATATGGATGGTGCCATATAAACAAATAAATAAATCACAAACTGTTTGCCACTTCTTCATCATAACTGCATCTTGTGATCTTGTAAAAATGTATGCTACCCTTCATCTTGTCTGGATTACAGGAAGTTGTGCACTGATATAGATAGATAGATAGATAGATAGATAGATAGATAGATATAGATATATAGATATAGATATAGATATAGATATAGATATAGATATAGATATAGATATAGATATATAGATACACACATATATACATATATATTAAAAACATGCCCCCCCCAAAACAAATAGAATATTTCAAAGCAAAGTGTAAAGTGAGAACAAATAGAATATTTCAAAGCAAAGTGTAAAATGAGAACAATTAAAATTTCCCAAAGGCACTAAAGTGCTTGCAATGTAGGAGCCAGGCAAGCCTCTCTCCAGGGAAGGGGTATTCTAAAATCAAGGCAATCCTGTTTTCTAGGAAGGGAACTCTCCGCCTCCCCATCCCTTGCACAGAAGCTCCTTCCTTACCTCCAGGAAAGTCTGCAGCCACAGCACTGCATGGATGGTCACCATGGCTCCTTGCCCTTTCTCCAGAGTCCCCACTTGGCAGCAGATGACGGCACAGTCTTGGCTACTACAGTTCTGCAGGCAGGTTGGATCAAGAGAGTTAAGTTAATTTAAACTGATGGAGTTATTCTGCCTGCAGGATGTATAACCTGTGGATAAACACAGGGTGCAATCCTAACCTCCAGATACAAACTATGTGTATGTGTGTGTTTGTATGTATGTGTGTGAAGGTATGACATTCTCTCTGTTTCCCATTTCTTCATTGCTCAGTCTTCTATGTTTTCACATCAGTTTTTGAATTCGTTTCAGACTTAATGAAAATTCATTAGCTTTCAAAGTGAATTTCTGCTAATATACACATTTTTTGCAGGCACGTTGACCTAGTATACATCTCTATTATTATTATTATTATTTACAAATCAAGTTCCCCTAATATACTGGATGCTTGTATGTCATTTATATACGCATTTCTATGCACACTTTACCTCTGTATTTTGGTAAACTACTTGGCTGGAGAACTGCACTGAAAAATCTGGGGAAGGGGGAATTCCAAAGGATGGTTGTGCTTCAGTTCATGCGTTGTCTTGGAAAGGGAAAATTAGGTAGGTTCGCCTTTAAAATGTGAACTGAATCATATTTTTGGCCTAAAAGGTAAAGGTAAAGGGACCCCTGACCATGAGGTCCAGTCGTGACCGACTCTGGGGTTGCGGCGCTCATCTCGCTTTATTGGCCGAGGGAGCTGGCGTACAACTTCCGGGTCATGTGGCCAGCATGACTAAGCCGCTTCTTGAGAACCAGAGCAGCGCACGGAAACGCCGTTTACCTTCCCGCCGGAGTGGTGCCTATTTATCTACTTGCACTTTGACGTGCTTTCGAACTGCTAGGTGGGCAGGAGCAGGGACCGAGCAACGGGAGCTCACCCCGTCGCGGGGATTCGAACCACCGACCTTCTGATCAGAAAGTCCTAGGCTCTGTGGTTTAACCCACAGTGCCACCCGCGTCCCTTATTTTTGGCCTATCCCATGTCAAATGATATGCCTCTGCCAGGGGAAATTCAGGGCCATAGATATTGCTGGCAGACCTCCAGCAGAGGTGGTGCATGCCAGAAACCACCCATTAAACTCAATGGAGAGGAAGGAGGGGGAGAAAACTGCCCACTCGACCATGACAGATCATAGGATAATTCTGCACCAACTAACATAAACTATTAGCAATATAGACACCTCTGGCAGGGAGACCATATGTTGGATGCCACAGGGTGTGTAGCATGTGACTAAACTATTCTGGCATCACATTATGCACACTTAGGCTGCGTACACACCATACAGTTAAAGCGCATGATTTTCCCAGAAGACTTCTGGGAACTGTAGTTTAAGGTGCTAGTTTAAGGGGTAAACTACAGTTCCCAAGATGCTTGGGGGAACTCGTGAGTTTTAAATGTATGGTAATAAGTGCCCCAATGGCATAGTGGGACCATAGAATTGTTCAGCTCAAGTTGAAAGTGTAAATTTAGTAACTATGACATTTAAGTATTGAAATTTTAAAACAATCAAGTTCCTAGATCTCTTGAGTGCACAGGTGGTTTTCAGCTAGCTGTTTCAATCACACTGTGCTGAACTGCTACCATATGAGGGCTTCTACACGAGCAGAATGCTTGCCTCATTCGTTTTCAAAACAATTTTGCACAATAAGTCGCTCATCCCAAGTTTACAGATCGGACAACTGAGGATTAGCCCGAGTGATGAGCAGCGGGGATATAGGAACCCAGATCCAGTGACAACCGCTTTAAATGACACTATGAAGTCCATCCCATTTCCCAACAAGTCTCACCACCACAATGGGTTCCTGCAGCGCTGCTGAGTTCACATCCCGCCTCTCACGCAAGCGCCGTGGTTGGGCAGTCGTATTGTAGCTGGGAGCAGTTGTGGGCTCCTGGACTTTCAGCTACAAGGGAAAAAATAGCATTCAGGTGAAAAGCAGACAGCCATATTGAAGGGACGTTTTTAATGTGTGACATTTTAATGTATTTTTAATCTTTGTTGGAAGCCGCCCAGAGTGGCTGGGGAAACCCAGCCAGATGGGTGGGTACAAATAATACAGTGGTACCTCGGGTTACATACGCTTCAGGTTACATACGCTTCAGGTTACAGACTCCGCTAACCCAGAAATAGTACCTCGGGTTAAGAACTTTGCTTCAGGATGAGAACAGAAATCGTGCTCCGTTGGCGCGGCGGCAGCAGGAGGCCCCATTAGCTAAAGTGGTGCTTCAGGTTAAGAACAGTTTCAGGTTAAGAACGGACCTCTGGAATGAATTAAGTACTTAACCTGAAGTACCACTGCAAATTATTATTATATTATTATTATTAAGGCAGAAGCAGACCAGGAAAAAAGGCAACTGATAAGATAAAGGGGATGGGGCAACTCTCCTAGAAGGAAAGGTTGCAGCTTTTGGGACTTTAAACTAAAAAAAAGGAGAAGATTTGATAAAGGTGTTCTCAGGCCCTCCATACTTCGCTCTCCCCTTCCCAGAGGCTGCTCCTACCTTCAGAGGGTTGGTGTCATTTGTGGGTGAACAGGCGATATTGCCTTCCGTGCTCACCCTTGCGATGTAAAGCAGGAAGCCTTCCCGCAAGTGGCTGGGGAAATCCACAAGAAGCTCAGCCCCAGATACAGTGCTAGGGCCAGCATTCTGCAACTTAGAGAAGGACAAGGAAGGAAGAGAGGTCAGCAATGGGGAAGACGTTGTCGGTTTGCATTTTTAGTACAGAAAGTCTTGATCTGATGTGTAGAGATCTTTCCTATTCTAATTAATTCAAGAGGGTTCTAGAAGCTTCTCTGTGTGAAAGAAGCAAACAGAAGGTTCGTGATGTTTGGGTTGTTCCTTCAGAGAAGCTGACTGCAGCTGGCTTAAACTGGTTCTGTTATCTCTTTCTGTCAAAGTCATGCTGACTACAAAAATAGGCCAGAAGGAGCCTGGGTTCACTTTCTCTATCTATCTCTCTTCCTTCCGGTGTGGTGTTCTGTACATAGTATGCTTAGTGTTGAGGTTTAGACTTATAAGTTATTGTAAGTTTAAGTTAAGTTTGCTGCAACTGAATTTCTTATGGACAGTGCCAATCCTGAATGTATTGGATCATTGGAATGTATGACCATTATGCTCATTTGCCTTCAGCAGCAGTAAAGTTCTGCTGGATGAAATATTAATCACCTCTGGTTTATTTGGGGGGGTGGGAATTCTGCAACGTGTTTAAGTTTTTATTCTGCTAACTATACGCTGGAATCTGCTCTGGATCAAAATTGAGAAGAATTCCACGACAGACATATCCACAGTGGCATGCCTTCCAACTTCCCCCCCAAAATAGCGGGATCACCACAAAAACCCTGAAGCCATCACGGCCTCTCAATTTTTCACACAGCGTTCCAAATTCCAAAGGGGTCTTTTCCCTTCAGTACAGCATTTCAACGTGTTACCGGAAGTTCAGATCCGTGCATCCCTCTAACACATTTCTTAGATCTATGCCTCCCGCCCTTCTCCCTTCCTCCCCATTCAATATGGCGTCACTTCCTGTTTTCATGAAAACAAGATCCAATTCACTTGAATGCCCCATAGAAAGTTTTTCACTGTTTCCCCACTCCCCAGTCCGTCAGTCTCCCCTAAAGAAAGTGGGGCATAGGGGGTGTGGCCTGTCCGCAAGGCCGCGCCAGGGAATTGTGAGTGTTGACATTTCCATTCCACCTTAGGAACAGACATGGGATTGTTACGTGTCACATGTCTGTTTACATTCCAGCACAGCTTGCTGGGAACTTCCGTTGTGTATAGCTTTTGCTTTTTGCTGTTTTCTCTGAGACAACATGAGAGAGAGAGACATGTTTCTTTGTCCTGATTTATGCTTAATAAATCTGTAGTTGTAGTATGCTTCCACAAGCCTCATGCCTATTCTGTGTGCGGAGTTCGATCTGCTGATAGTGTGCCCTGGCTGTGAAGCCCGGGTCACTGATTTACGTCGAAGCAGAGGTGATGGTCTTATCTAAGTTAAGTTTATTGTGCATAAAATGTTATGTATGCATGCATTGTATTTGAAAACTGATGTAACGGTTTGCATTAGGCACATCCGCTCACCCCTTTGGGTGGGGCGGCGTTGCGGGACAGAGGAAGCTTCATTGGAGCCCTTACGAGGAAATTGAAACTGCAATGCCCTTCCTGATAGGTGGAGGGGGTATAAGCCCCTGCCACTTATCAGGAACAGGATCCTAGCCTGCATCCTGCTTTGGCGAATAGGGTTGCAGGCTGGGACTTGAGCTGTGCCAGGGGGCGGAGTCAATGGAGCCGACAGTGGGCTTCCCTCGGATTCACCCTGTTACGTACTGAAGTTCTCACCCTGGGCCAGCAGGGGGATACTGTAGATAGTTATGCATATAAGGGATCGAAAGTGACATTCAGTGATTGGATAGTTTTAGAAAATTGTTACAGTTACATTGTACTGGAGCTCTATATAAGCAGGCTGACTGAACCCTTCAGTTCAGTTCTGTCCTGGCCTGTGAATAAACAAGAGCTGTTTGAAGAATCGCTGTGTCGTCTGATATGTTCACCCACAACTTAACAGTCTTCACAGCGGGACAGCTGGAAGGGAACGGCCCAGCAGGGGCTAGCCAGCTAGTCTCCTGGCCCTCTGCACGCCAACAGTGAGTGCCAAAGAGCAGCCATGACAGTCGCTTGACTCTGGCTTGCTTTGTTCAGCCACTGTATCTGCATCTCTGCCCCAGTCGCTAAGGGGAGGTATGCAGGGTCGAGGGACACACTGATGAAGAATATGTCCCTATTTTCATCTGAGGAATATTGGAGTGGGTGCGGTGGGTTGGAGTGTTGTCTCTACACCCCTGTGCATCCAGTTCCAACCTGTGTTTCTTTGTACCTGGTAAACATGTTCAACTCTTGGTCCGTAGTCATTTACGTCCTTGCTTGTGTTCTTATAGTCGCCAAAGGCCAGTGGGACCACAACGACATCTGGGGCAGACCTCCTGGGAAGGAGAGCATGGAGAGGGCAAGGATGAAAGTGAACCCCCCCGGCCGGCATGGGACACATACACGCTTCCTCCTGAAGCAAAATGCCCTTCCCCACTGATATTCCCAGCAGCTCCACTCCACCGACCCCTCCTGCCCACAAGGCCAAAGCAGCCGGATCAACCTTGTAGGACCAGCAGAATCAGGTGGGAAAGCTTTCCCCCCACTGTTATCACATCAGGATGGCTTTGTATTTCTGTAGTAGCTGGTGGACACTGGGTGGAAGACAAGGAGCCCAACAGCAGGTGGCGCCAGAGCCAACAACAGGCAGAGCTTCAAGTTTTGTCCCTGGCCTTCTTCCTGTTGAGTTCTACAAGGGCAACACTGAGGGCTCGTCCACATTTGTCCTGCGCATAGAAAGCACAAATCCAAGAGGTTTCCTGCATGCCCTATGTTTTCTATGCACAGATCTGAGTGGTTTTCTGTTTGCCCTGCCACTTTCCCCAGGAAAACCCACTCTTTGACACTGAATTGGAGCAAATGTCAATCCGCAGAAAACCTGACAGATGTTTGCTCCGATTCAGCAGCAAAGAGTGGGTTTTCCCAATGGAAAGCGGTGAGACGAGCAGAAGTGCGGATGAGCCCTGAGACTAAGGAAGAGAAAGTTGATATCGCTGGTCTGGTTGTAAATATGAAGGCAGGCAAGTGGGGGCTGGCTGGGGGACAAATGAGGTTGGTGGGGCAGTGCCCCATTTATCCTCATAGGTCAGTCTCCACTGGTTTACATATATATGCATCCCTCTCTGTGTGTGTACACACACACACACACACACACACACACACAGTTATGAGTTTGTGGAGTGCACGGACCCCCCTTCTAATTCCTGGGTGCCAGACACTGGATTTAGCATGTTAAAATGCAAGCCAGGAGCCAGCCTGGTATTGGAGTGTCTCTTTGCCAGAGGACAAATGCACCCTCAACTCAGAATTACCGGTAGTTAGAAAGACAATAAGTAGAGTTTTAGAGCTGGAAGGAGTTGTTTTTAGAATTTCAGTTGCTTAGGATATGAGCTGAAAGATAAAATAGTTGCAGTCTGTAAAACAAGCAAGCTCAGCAGAGGGACAGATGGCCGTGTTTGATTTCTTTTTGGATCCAGGATTGCAGCAATGGGAGAAATGCTGTGAACCCCTCCACCGTAGGCTCAGGTTGAATATATGTGTAAATAAACCATCTGTCATAAAGACACCACAGGCTCTACTGTGCTTCATTTTCAAAAAGGAAACACAGGCCCTGTGTAAGCGCCTGGAACCCCTGGAATCTCACACCACTCAGAGACTGGGTGTCTTATGATATGTGGTCTATTTACACATATATACAAGTGTGCAACAATATATAAACATATACACATCTGCGTTAATACTAATACAGACAGAAATCCATCTATCTGCAAATCTCCCCTCATCCATGTGACTTACTCACCCCAGCAGTTCCATTCTTGCAGCAACCTTGACCGGCACCTGCAATTGTTCCACGGCGCTATTGGGGTTGTTGCTGTTCTTGCTGCAGGGGAAGGTGGGAGTTATTGAGTGAGTGCCACAAGAGTGTTTTCTCAAAGCCTGGAGTCCAGGCTTTGGACATGAAAAGTCTTGATATGGAAGAGGAACAGAGATGCAGCGATTTGGGAAAGCTGCCTGTAGTTTTCTGCCTTGCAGCAGTTTAAAGTGTTGGTGCTGACCCTTAAAACCCTAAACGGCCTTGACCTTGTATACCTGAAGGAGTGTCTCCACCCCCATCGCTCAGCCCGGACACTGTGGTCCAACTCCGAGGGCCTTCAGGCAGCTCCCTCACTGTGAGAAGTGAGGTTGCAGGGATCCAGGCAGAGGGCCTTCTTGGTAGTGGCGCCCGCCCTGTGGAACGCCCTCCCATCAGATGTCAAGGAAATAAACAACTATCTGACTTTTAGAAGACATCTGAAGGCAGCCCTGTATAGAGAATTTTTTAATGTTTGATGTTTTATTGTGTTTTTGATATTTTGTTGGGAGCTGCCCAGAGTGGCTGGGGAAACCACGTCAGATCGGTGGCTATCAACAACAACAACAATTTTATTTGTATGCCTCCCATCTGACTGGGTTGCCCCAGCCACGCTGGGCAGCTCCCAGCAGAATAGTAAAAACACGATATAACATCAAACATTTAAAACTTCCTTCAGATGTCTTCTAAAAGTCAGATAGTTGTTTATTTCCTTGACATCTGACGGGAGGAGCCCTGACTTGGGAAAAAAGTTGGCAACTTCATATATACAAGACAGCTCCCCTTATATATCCTGCCAGATGGGTGGCGTATAAATAAATTATTATTATTATTATTATTATTATTATTATTATTATTATATCTTTTTTTGGGGGGGGAGAATAACTAAACAGGGAAGGTGCCTGCTTATTTATTTAGAAAATTTCTCAATTGGTTTGGTTTTCAAAAGAACCCCAAAACAATATACAGTACTGGAAGGTTGCTGGCTGTGCCACAGATGGGGCTGTGAGTTTCCTGGTATGAGGACTTGGCTTCAGGGGTCCAGGAGAGTGGGGCAGCGTTGACTGTTACCTTCTTAGCTGCAGCATCAAAGTTATGTTATCACTGGCCTCTTCCAGCTGGCTGACACTTAGCTCCACATCTACCTGGATCTGTAAAAAAGGTGACAGACAGGGGGAGAGGTTGGATGTCTGTTGCATCCAAGAAAACTGTAAGCCTGAGTTTTGCACTGCTCTGGTTAAGAAATCAGCCACATACCGTGGTGTTGGATTTCATGGGGTTGCCAATTTCACAGGCCACCAAGCGGGTCTCGTTCTCCTTACGGGTGTTGCAAATCAACTTCTGCAGAGAAAGAGAGAGGGAGAGAGAGCGCACAGGTGACTTCACTGTCAGCCAGGTGAATGAGCAATATGAAAGGCTGGCAATGACCTGGAGAGTGTCCCTATTGTTGCAAATAGAAGAATTAGGCCTGGGCCACCAATCAGTATATTCATGACCACAGCCGAGCTACAAAACAAGGGTATTGGAGCCTTTTCTAACCCGCTCAGTCAGAATTTTGAGTTCTGAAAGGGCTGTACCATTCTGCAGAGGACCACTTTGTCCTTTCGGACCTCTTTCCTCCTTCTTTGGAAGTTAAAAGAGATAAGCTTTGGCAAGCAGGAAGCTGCCAAGCAGCCGAGAATCCTCAGAATTTGCAGGAATAGAGGAAATATGAAATACCTTGATAATATCTTAAGGACGCTTCTGTGAAGGGGGTGACTGAGAAGATGAAAATATGTACGCTGTATTTTGTGGCTTGGCTCAAAAGGACTATTGTGGCAAAACATATTGGTGTTTCGAAACTTTCTGACTAGTTGCAGGACCTTAGCCAGACCTAGCACAGTACACGCAGAATCCACATAAGCAACTGGCGACTTGGCTGCAAACAGGACAGACGAAGCAGGAACCAGGAACTTGTAGTTGGGTGTTTATTATATACAGTGGACTATTTACAGGAACAGAACACAGATCTTTAGCTAGCTCTCTCTGACACGACTCACAACTCCTACACTGACATACAGAACTCTGAACCTTTGAACTCTGAACTAACACATTCCAGTTAGTAGGCCATTAATTATCACTCCCTTGAGAGAGCTTGACCAATCAGGGAGTTGTCTCCATGTCTCTGTTATCACCAGGCAGACTTACTCCTTCAGATTGCCTTCTGGCTGTCTGCCAAACCTTAATTGACTCTGTGTGAGTAACTGCACGTACACAGTTTCCCAACAACTATAACTCAGCAGCGTGGACCAGCTACGAGTGAAAGGTCTTACCTGCCCGTCGCTGTTAGCTGTCTGGAAGTAAGTTCCATGTGGCAGCTCCACCACCAGCTCTGCCTCATAGGCTCCTTCACCAGAATTCATCGCCGTGGTCTGGAGGAGAAGCACATTCTCTGCCCCAATTAGCAGGGAGCCTTCGTTCCTGAGACACAACCGCATAGCAGGGGTGGGATGCAGGGAGAGAGACAGAGCTAAAGTTATAAGAAATGCCTTTTGCTGTGCATTAGGAAATCCCTGTATGAAAAAGAGGGAGCTGCAAGATTCAGGTTATATTTCATTGTCTCAGCTGAGCAATCATGACAGCTCACCCCGGGTGCCTCCAGGCTGTCACCATCTTGCAGGAGGGATCTTTAGGTTTGCAAAGTTAAAGCAGATTAAACACTCTCTTGGCCTGGTGCAGCAAATCCACTAGAAACAGACACAGAGAGAGGCTTTCTGCAGTTAGGAAAGTGACGGGGAAATGGTCTGAGAAGTGTGGGATGATGAGTGAACGATGAGTAGGAAGATGTGCAAACCGCCACGCAAGCAAATCAGGGTGAAGCAAATCATTGTCATATAACTGTCCTGCAGACAAATGAAATTGACTGCTCGCTGGACACAGTGTAACCATTGCATATGCTTTGTGTAAGAGGAGTATGATGAATGCTAAATAAGCAGGAGGTTTGAAGGAGCCCAAAATGAAACACAGTGAATGTAGCAGTAGTTTGTATCACACCATATAAATCTGCCCAGCCCTTCAGATCAGTATCAGAACTCCTATTCTTCCATTTCCCATTAAGGTCAACTAGAGTGGTGGGCACAAGAGACAGGGCCTTCTCAGTGGTGGCCCCATAACTGTAGATCTCTCTTCCAAGGGACATACATTTGGTCCCGTCAGTTCTGTCTTTTAAATGGGCCTTTAAAATAAAACCATGTGCACCATCTTGAGATCCTTGGAAGATAAAGGTAGTATATAAATGTAATAAATAAAATAAATAAAAAAATGTCCAGAGCATTTTGCCTTCCCGCTGCCCTGGGCCACTACAGCCTCTCACATACCACACTTCTATAATTAAAAGGACTGGGATTCCAGATTCAAGGGAGATCTGAACCCTGAACTTTCTCATTTTGGACGACAGCCCCAGGTTAGATCACCAGGACTAGCACTCTTGAGACTCAAGAAGAGACAGCTGTTGGTGCTTACGTGTGAGCGGAGAGTCGGAGGTCTGGGATGCAGATGTTGTCTTCTCCACAATCCACAATGATACGGGTCTGTGGGATGTAACAAACAGGCAGAGCTTTGACTGAGTGATGAACAATCCCAACCTGGAGCCTCAGCACTTTTCCTGCTCTTTACCGCTAAATCGGAACAAACAGCAGTCCACGGAAAATCTGAAACGTGGTTTGTTCCAATTCAGCATTAAAGAGTAGGTTTTACTGGGGAAAACGGGGCTCAGATACAGAGCCTTAAAGCGCCTAGAAAACATGGGGCAGGAAGGAAGTGTGGAAGAGCCCTGATGTGGGTTGGGAGAGATGTGTTCGAGCTCAACGTAAAAGATTGCAGAAGGATCCCATTGCCCTGTAGCGCAGATGGGAAATCAACATGGTTATCTGTCATTCAGATACAGTGGTACCTCGGGTTACATACGCTTCAGGTTACATACATTTCAGGTTACAGACTCCGCTAACCCAGAAATGGTGCTTCAGGTTAAGAACTTTGCTTCAGGATGAGAACAGAAATCATGCAGCAGTGGCGCAGCGGCAGCAGGAGGCCCCATTAGCTAAAGTGGTGCTTCAGGTTAAGAACAGTTTCAGGTTAAGTACAGACCTCCGGAACAAATTAAGTACTTAACCCGAGGTACCACTGTAAACAATTCGATCTCTCTATAATTGTCTAACAGCATTAACCATTGAGAGTGCTTAGGGGGGATAGAATCCAGAAAATATAAATGTCAGTGCTTATATCCACCCCCCCACCCCCACCCCTCCTGGTTCTGGCTATCATGCTTTCAAAGCTCGAACTCAAGTCTTCAGCATTGTGAGGGAGAGGACTCCCTGAGCATGCGCAAAGTGCAATTCCCTTACAATCTCATATACGCAACTGGGCTCATATTCCTGGGATCAGGAAGCCTGGTTTCTGGCTCAGAGGATGCGATTCTACTTTAAGCATTTTAGCACTTGACTAAGTGACAATTTTGTTTATGTATTTGGGGCAGCTGCGCATTGCAGGGGGTTGGACTAGATGATCCTCAGGGTCCCTTCCATCTCTGCAATTCTATGATTCTGTTTGCTAGCTTATTTCAGCTTCAATAGGCTCCCAATGTGGCTTCAAATTACTCCAAATAAAAAGCAAAGGAAGAAAATCAAAATACCAGAACACAAAAGAAATACAGAAGCAGCCAGCGGCTTTAAAACAGTGGAATCAAAGTCATACAATGCCAAAGCTTTGAGGCTGGTGAGGCATCTGACCTGATCCTGGACCATTGTTTGGCCAGACAGCACAGGCTTCATCTCCCCGTCTGCAGATGCCGATGCCAAACTGAAGTTGAAACTCACAACAATGGGACTCAGTTTGTCCTTGAAATCGGCCTCATCCTGTGGGAGGCAGAGAAGTGGCTCAGAGATTCCCCCTAAGGCTAGCTCATCTTTTCACTTCAATTGTTCAAAGCGCAACAGCTCGGCATTAGATAAAGGTAAGACTCCTCTCCTGGTATGCCCCACAGAGAAACTTACGGTCTTCAAATAAAAACATCTTGAAGGTCCCAGGCCACAGAGAAGTTAGGCTGGCCTCAACTAGAGCCAGGGCTTTTTCGGCTGTGGCTCCGATCTGGTGGAACACTCTGTCACAAGAGACTAGGGCCCTGCGGGACTTGACAGCTTTCCGCAGGGCCTGCAAGACAGAGCTGTTCCACCAGGCCTTTGGCCAGGGCACAGCCTGACTCCCTCCCTCGGCAATCTTCGCAGAGCTCTGGCCCAATGGTTGCCAGTGGCTTGATTTGAATTAATTTTATAATGAATGATTTTAGAGTGTTGTTTGTGCTGTACTTTTGTACTGTTTTATTGTTGTTAGCCGCCCTGAGCCCGGCTTCGGCTGGGGAGGGCGGGATATACATAAAATTTATTATTATTATTTATTATTATTAACAGGGATAAAATCTCCGCAGTTTGCCCAGATGCAGAAACGGAGCTCGCTGGAACTACTGTGTGTCACGCCGCACGACTATCGAAACGGCAAGGCACCTGCCAGAATTAAAAGGTGGAAACGCCAGTGGCCACACCTGGAACATAGCTGTCAACCGTCCCTTATTTGGCGGGAAACTCCCTTATCCCAGCGCCGTGTCCCGCTGCTGTCCCTTACTGATGATGTCCCTTAAATTTCCCGGGTTTCATGCTCTCCCGGCTCGGGAGGGAAGCAGTGGCTCGGGGTCCTCCGCCGAGAGAGAGAGCATGCGCACGAGCTGCCGCGTCTCCGTCTCTCCTTTTCCCCCCTCAGGGGCGCGTCGTGAGGAGACGGGTGGCGGCGGGCGGGCAGGCAGCCCCTCTCTTGCGAGACTTCCGCCGCGCTGCCAGGGGAAGCTGGAGGCAGCAGCGGCAGTGGCGGCGATGGCTGAGGAGGCAGCCTGAGGGAGGAGGAAGAGGAGGGGATGGGGAGGGACACAGAAGGGCGGCGCTTCAGCGGCTGCGGCGGCGCCGCAACCGCCTCATGCCGGGCTTGCAGGTGGCATGGGTGAGAGTCTCTCTCCCTCCCCCTCTCTCGGGCGGGGAAGGGCCAATGGAACTCCTCGTGCTAGGACGATGGCAGCCCCGACGTGCTGCTTAGCATACCCTCCAACCAGTGCGGCATCTTAATGTAGTGATGTCCCCCTCTACATCCCCTTCATAACTCTTTCATAAATGCAAGAGCAGCATGGCTCCATCAGTGCTGGATTTATGTATAAGCTAAGCAAAGTCCCTTATTTTGGCTGCTGGTCCCTTATTTTCAAATCTGTAAGTTGATAGCTATGACCTGGAATGCCATCCCTACCTAGGGTCTGTGAGATGCTTTGAATATGCAGACATACACTCGACGATAGCATGCATGATGCCCTCCTTCGTGGGTGTGTTGGAAGAAAACACACTTGGGATTTTTTATTTTAAAAATTGGATGTTTTAAAAATTTCTCTCCAATGCTCACCTAGAAGTTGCAGGGCTGGTTCCTGCAACATCTGAAGTAACAAAAAACTAACATAAAACAGCCGTCTCTCTCACGCTTTGTGTGTGTGGTGCCAATATGTCTTTCGAACGGCAGTTTCACATGGGTCTGGTTTCATTTTAGCTGAGGACACACCGTGAATTCTACCTTTAGAGAAGAGACAACTGACTCAAGGCAGCTGGTCTCTGCTGCTTTGAAAGGGCAGCAAATGGCTAGTTGTTTGATATCTTAGGGTTGCATTTTTCCTGCCAGGAAGAGGCAAAATTACTTGGGCAGCCTTAAGGCCCTTTCATGCTTACCCAGAAAATCCAGATTTTCAGAGTTTGGTTGTAATCTGTGGGTTTGCTTTGACTTCAGCAGGGTAGCGCTTATTTGCAGCAAAGCACCCTGAGCTGGCCCTGGTCTTTGCAATATTTATTTACACCATGGAGGCAAATACATTCACATTATACCTTTAAAGCACTCTTTGAAACTTATTTCCCACCGCAAAGAATTCTTGGCACCGTAGTTTGCCTCTCAGGGAGTTACAACCCCAGCAACCCTTAACAAACCACAGTTCCCAGAATTCTTTGAGGTAGGGTGGATGTGCTTTGAATGTATAGCGTGCAGCCTCCTTCAATAGGCATCACAGCCACTTACCCTATGTCAGATCCCAGGAAAGCAATTGCTTGGACCCCAGCAACTCACCCAGATGGCTGCCAGCCCAGCTGAAGCCACTGCTCTCTACCCTCTGACTGGCTGTCTCAGTTTCAAACTGCAGAACTACGTCATATTCTTACACGCTACCATGCAAGGGTATTGCCCATCTGAAGGGAAGTTTTTAATATTTAATGCTGTACTGTTTTTAACACTCGACTGGGAGCCGCCCAGAGTGGCTGGGGAAACTCAGCCAGATGGCTGGGGTATTATTATTATTATTATTATTCATCTCACCTAATGCATCCTACTGGTGAACAGCCTATTAGAAAGCTGCCAGTTTGACAAAGGATGCTTACCCAGCATCAGCACCAGGAACAATGACCTCACTCACACACATTCCATCTCCCAAGTTCCTCCCCTTTTCCCCTGGCATCACTGTAACAGGTGCAAGCATGGAACTCCAATGATGGGGAGAGATGCTGGGGTTTCTGAGAGGAGCCTTGCCAGAAGCAAAGGTGGCAAGAATGCTCAAGAAGGATCTCCTGCCCCCAAAACAAGGAAATAATAATAATAATAATTATTATTATTATTACTACTACTATTCTTTATTATTTATACCCCGCCCATCTGGCTGGGCTTCCCCAGCCACTCTGGGTGGCTTCCAAAAAAAAATAAATTAAAATACTGTAATACATCAAACATTAAAAGCTTCCCTAAACAGGAAAAGCCAGTGAGTGCTCCCGTTTAGTTTCACAAGCCAGATTTGCAAAAAGTGGTAGGTCTGAGATCACCTTGCCATCAGGTCCCAGGGATGCCAGTACAGGTCGTGGCTGATCTCACAATACAGAGGAGGGGGAACAATGCACTCTGTATGTACTCAGAAGCATCTTTCATTATGCTTCCTCTACATTTCTGGGAGACCTGTTGTGCATTCATGATGATTTGCACTCATGGTGGCATGGGGGCATTTATACGTGACCTCCCTTTCAATACTATTTGTGCCTGCCAAAGTTTCCAATCAGTGCATGCTTCCCTTCCAATTAGCACACGTCCCACAACTTCCTGCTGAAAACCGGTCACTTTTTATACTGCACATGTTCCAGTTCTTCTTTTGTCCTGCTTTGTTGCGCTATAGGGCAAAGAGCGCCCCTCCAGATGGCAATAAGGTCGTAACATAGGGGAAGCGTCACAGAACAACGAACAAGAAGAAGAGGAGTTTGGATTTGATATCCCGCTTTATCACTACCCGAAGGAGTCTCAAAGTGGCTAACAATCTCCTTTCCCTTCCTCCCCCAGAACAAACACTCTGTGAGGTGAGTGGGGCTGAGAGACTTCAGAGAAGTGTGACTGGCCCAAGCTGCATGTGGAGGAGCGGGGAAGCGAACCCGGTTCACCAGATTACGAGTCTATCGCTCTTAACCACTACACCACACTGGCTCTCAGAACAAAGCAGAACGAGGTGAGAGCTGTCCAGTATAAATCTACTACTCCTAAGGCTTCCCCCTGTACACCTCCCAAAATATATGAAGTGCCATGATTTGCCCATGTCTCATACCCGCAGGTAGGCATTGACATCTTGGCAGGTTTTGGGTTTCTCTCTTGACAGTTTCAGCAGGAACGTTTGGCTCGATTGGCTGGTCTGCTGCAGCAAAACCCGTCGCCCGTATTTCTGCTTCATGCGGTCCAGCTGCAGTTCGGCATTCAGGTCTAGCAGAATGGTGGTGGGGAGGGAATTAGCAGAAAGCAAACACAGCAGGTGATCGAGAGCGAGAAATGGTAACGTTAGGCAGACACACTTGTTATATTGTTTTACGGGTCTGTGAAACGCCATTTTTATATTTAAACCATCCTATCTAATTTAGCATTTGCTCTTAATTTTTTGTTGATTTCGTCCATGTATTGTTGATAATTTCTTACTGTCTCGTGTACACCTTTCAGATCCTTAAAAAAAAAATTAAGCAGTTTATAAATCCATAAATGGAAAATAAAATAAACAAACACAACCCGTGCTAATTTTGCACCCTTAGCTGGGATAGCAAAATAACACCTTTCTTACTCACTGGATATCAATGTCAGGAGTTCAGCCTACACTCGAGTAGGACCCTGGCAGAGACACATCCCCGACTGACATGTTCCCTCCCTCCTGGTCAATCGTTCGGGAGCTTGATAAGCTTTCTTCAGCCTGAACATCACAGCGACCAATGCCAACCGACACCAGCACACTTAGGGATCCGCAGAGTTTGCGCAGTTGTGTAACAGACCTCAGCAACTCAGCATTTTGGCTAATCTACTTTATTTACATATAAACACACACGGAGCTCTGCAACATGGCTCCTCTTTCTCTAGCATCAGACAGCAAAGAGAAAAAGAACAAAGGACAATAGCCCCACTTCACGGAACACAGTAACACAAACATCCTGTCTCTGTCACTTCCCACTCTGTGGAGTCAAAACATATACCGCCATGTGATGGACAAAAATCCCATGACTGCAATCATGGATCAGGAATTCTTCAAGAGGTCTGGAGCAAAACACTGTAGGGTTCCATCCACTTCCTAGCACATCGCTACTGGTAGCTGCATACTTACCGTATCCACAGAAGCACGCAGCTGCAGCGATCGAGGAACTGTACTCCTTCATCAGCCAAATTCCTGGACTATGTCCCAACAATAATTTTTACAGACCAGCATGAGTGACTTCCCTCTTAGTGCGATAGTAGACACCTTTACTGCCGATTGTGTGAATGCAGCAGATTTTTATTTTCTCCGGAAATGTCTTGAAGAGGAATGAAAAACCTGGAAATCCTGCCTGACCACTGCCTCCACCTCTGTAAAACCTATCATTCATAAACAGAGGCAAGTCAGCCTCCGACAGAAAGATGACTATTATCTATAAGTTTCGTCCATTCTGCCAATCTCATTCTCCCCAGTACTGCGGCAGCTTGACTACAAGACCTCCACCTCTTCCAACAGTCAATGCAACACTCACCAACTTTCTGAGGAATCCTCTTTGCTGACACTTCGGCACATATCTGGATTGTGAAGCTGCATTGAAGAGAAGAAAGGCAATGAGGACTGTTTCACACATGATGTGGCTGCTGAGTGTGCAATCGACTGGGAGCCAGCAACCAACTCTGCCTCCCTGAATGATCCTTGTTTGTTTGCAAACGTGTGCTGGCCACACTCTACACTTTTTCCGATGGACCCAGAAATAAGTAATTTGTGATTTCCCGCTCTGCTGGTTTCAAAGGGTTCCTCTTATGTTATATTTCCTCTCCCCACCCATGCCCAGTTGTGTTCTGAACTTTTTCTTTTTAGAGAAGATGGTTATTACTAGTTACCCAGTTGGAGAACAGCCTTTACCAAAGGTGTCATGGGCTTTGAAGATGCTCAAACTCAGGACGCAAGGGAGAAACGTGCTAAGAGGAAGGCACACTTGGCAAATCCACACCCTGATCAACTCCTGCCCAGAAACCAATGTCCCCACTGTGATGTGTGGATCCAGAACTGGCCTCCACAGTCACTTACAGACTCATTGTTAAAACCATGTTAAGGAAGACAATCTTACTCGGCTAGGAGTGATCGCCAAAGAAGAAGAAGATTTTTAAATGAGGGGTAATTTCAATTATCATTTTGTTAAGGTTCCAAGAAGATCCCCGAAACCAATTTCCAAAAACAAACTAAATCCTGCAAACAGGAAAACCAACGGCATACCTTGATTGTTTTTGACATGCCTTGTTGATTTTGAGCACAGAACCTGAATCTCCTAGGCTACAAAAGGATCTAGATTCAATGCCCTTCCCACCCGGCTCACCAGTTGACTTGTACTCCTGCTACCGTACACGATTTCTCCTCTGGGTTCAGCGCACCTGGTAGGAACATCTGGGCTTTGAGAAACATGACCGGCTGAGCTCTGAGAGGGACCAAAAACAAAAACATAGTGAACAAGGGTAAGCAGACAGGAAGTTCCAAGAGAGACCAGCAACATTTGCTGATTCTTTAGTTGTTGTCAAACAGCACTGGCAAAGTGTTGGTGACGAATGCACGAGACCTCCGTGCGGCAAAATCTACAGCTTCCGAGGGGATTAGAACACCTTATCATGTCAAAGCCCATCCTGTCTTTAAAGCAATTACCCTAACTTGACTTGCATCCTTGTACACAAGGGCCGGTCACTTTGCAGCCTGCTAGATGCCCAGCTTGGTCAAACAGGTGTTCCTGAGAGATGGTGCCATGTATATAGGGCAGCAAGCGAGAATGAGGTGGCTCATTTAAGGGAGAAGGAAACCTTTGGTCGGATGAGGAGGTGGATTCAGTATGCAACAACAGGGCTGAGGAACCTGTAGCTCTGTGGTGTGCAGTTAGTGTTGGTGCAGACCTTTAAAGCCCTAAACGGCCTCGGCCCAGTATACCTGAAGGAGCGTCTCCACCTCAATCATTCAGCCTGGACACTGAGGTCCAGCGCCAAGGGCCTTCTGGCAGTTCCCTCACTGTAAGAAGTGAAGCTACAGGGAACCAGGCAGAGGGCCTTCTCAGTGGTGGTGCCTGCCCTGTGGAACACCCTCCCACCAGATGTCAAGGAAATAAACAACTATCTGACTTTTAGAAGACATTTGAAGACAGCCCTGTTTAGGGAAGTTAATGTTTGATATTTTATCGCTTTATTGTTATTATTAATATTCTGTTGGGAGCCACCCAGAGTGGCTGGGGAAACCCAGCCAGATGGGCGATGTATAAATTATTATTATTATTATTATTAGACTAGGGAGACTAGACTAGTCCCCTAAATGTTCCCCTGCCACCTCATTCCCAAAGCCTGGGGAGCTTCTGCCCAACTTAGGAAGGGAGGTGCGATGCTCACACACGCGACGTCATGATGTGGAGCCCCTGCCCTCCAATCGCTGGCGCCCCTGGCCCTAAATGTTCCTCTACGAGAAATGTCACTGCCCTAGCCCTCCAGATGTTGGGCTCCATTTCCCAACAGCCTCTGTCAGCATAAGAGTTGCAGTTCAACAGCATCTGATATATGCAACTGAAAATGAGCTAGTGACTGTCACCGACTCCCCTTCTTTCTGCCCACAGGGTAGTTAAATTATGGCCACTTCTGCAGATGTCAAGGCTTTATTATTATTATTATTATTTGAATTTATATACTGCCCTATACCTGGGGGTCTCAGGGCTGTTCACGGAATAAAACCAAGATATAAAAGCACAAAATACCTAATAAAAATAAAAACAGCAACCCAATATCCCCCTACACACAAAAAAACACATTTTAAAAGGGCATAGGATGTAAATCGGATTAACCAAAGGCCTGGTTAAAAAGGAACTTTTTTGCCTGGTGCCTAAAGGTGTACAGTCGTACCTTGGTCTTCGAACAGAATGCATTCCAGGAGTCTGTTCAACTCCCGGAAACGAAGGCGCGGCTTACGATTGGCTGCAGGAGCGTCCTGCAGCCAATCAGAAGCCACAGAAGCTGCGCCGGATGTTCAGCTTCAGAAAATTGAAAACCGAAACACCCACGTCTGGGTTTCAGTCGTTCAGGAACTGATTTGTTTGGGAGCCAAGGCGTTTTAAGATCCAATGTACGACTGTATAATGAAGGCGCCAGGCAAACTTCCCTGGGGAGAGCATTCCACAGATGGGGAGCCACTGCAGAGAAGGCCCTGTTCTCGTGTTGCCACCCTCTGAACCTCTCGAGGAGGAGGCACGCAAAGGAGGGCATGGAGTGAATCCTCAGGGTGATGAAGGCATCAAGATCTTTCTTCTTACAATCATCTTCCCCCACCTCTACCAAACTAGGGGAACGATTGTCGTTCCCTCCTAACCCTTACAGTGCTGGTTGGCTGAAGAGCTTGAAATGGAAGCACAGGGGTGTTGCTCCAAAAAGCAGGGGCCTAAACTGGGAGGGGTGGGGGAGCATTTATAGGCAACAAGGTCTCCAGGGAAATCTCGTTCCACTGGTCTTGGGGCTCCATCGACTCACCTGTACACAGTCACTTTGCTGGCTCTGAAAGCTCCCACCAGCACATCTGTGAAGGGGAACAAGACAACCAAAAAAAGTTAGCAGTCCACCAATAGCTCAGTTGGTTAGAGCATGGTGCTGATAATGCCAAGGCTGCAGGTTTGATACTTCTAAGGGACAGATGCATATTCCAGCATTGCAGGGGTTGGACTAGATGATCCTCAGGGTCCCTATCAACTCTACAATTCCATGATTCTACGATTCAGTGTTGCAGCATCTCACCAAGCTGCCTCGGGTTCCCAGTTCTGCTCACTCCACTGATGCGATTAGGAATTAAGTTCTACAAGACCTAAGCAAATTTTGCACCACCTGCTAATTAAAACAACCCTTGCAAAATCTAGACTTTTTTATTCAAAAAATAAAATGATTTTCAGCTAATATATGTTATGCTATCCAGATAGGATCACCCAATGAAAGAAGCAAATATAAAAGAGAAGCTTTGTATCATGACAGCGGATTCCATGAATGGCAAGGCAATTAATAAACGTAAATACCGTATTTTTCACCCTATAGGACGCACTTTTCCCCCTCCAAAAATGAAGGGGAAATGTGTGTGCGTCCTATGGGGCGAATGCAGGCTTTCGCTGAAGCCTGGAGAGCGAGAGGGGTCGGTGCGCACCGACCCCTCTCGCTCTCCAGGCTTCAGGAAGCTATCCGCAAGCCTTGGGAGCCCGCGGGAGTTCCCGCCGGGCTCCCTAGGCTTGCGGATAGCAGCCTGCACCCTGAAGCCTGGGGCGCGCTGAGCAGATATCCGCAAGATATCCTCAAGCCTGGAGAGCCCCACGGGAGTTCCTGCCGGGCTCCGAAGGCTTGCGGATAGCAGCCTGTTCTGGGGGCTGGGGTCGGGGGAAGCTCGGGCTTCCCCCGCCCCAGCCCCGCGCCTGGGGGGGGGAAATAATTTTTTTCTTTATTCCCCCCCCCAAAAAAACTAGGTGTGCCCTATGGGCCGGTGCACCCTAAAGGGCAAAAAATACAGTAATTATATGCCTCATTTTTTTCTTCTAGGTACAGGACATCTGGCATAGCCTTTTGAAGAGTCAAAATTCTTTCACAAGTTAGGGCTTATCCACACTTTCCAGGTACGGTCCTTGGTTTTAAAGCTCAGTGCCTAAGCCTCCCCCCTTTTTTTCTTGCTCTAGACCTTTTATTGTGAAAAGCTGCTCTTTGAAGCTCAATTGGAGCAAATGGAAATCTGCGGGAAACCCAGATTGACATTTGCTCCGATCTAAATACTAAAGAGAGGGTTTTCGCAGGGAAAGAGCGGGGCAAAGTTCAAGTATGGAAAACCCTTATTTAATACAGGCGGCAACCCATTTGCATAGGGGTCCCGTTCCCAGCCCCCACAAACATAAGCGCCGTGCCCCACCCTCATTCCTCCTGCTTCTGGGACCGAAAGGATCTGTGCGCCAGCGATCGCGCGTCCGTTGGACATGCCTAAAATGGCCGTCGCCTGTGCAGGCAGTGCTAAAACCCATTGGCTGCCTACTTCCGTTGTACGTTACCAGGGTAGCCATTTGCATCAATGTCCACAGCCCCGCGTATGGCAAAGCCAAATCCAGCCGGCCCACAGAAGGGACTCTCAAGGATCTGGGTTGGCGATGAACTCAAGCCCTCATGGTGCCCTCGGTAGATGTAAACACGGCCACCTCCATCTTGGCCGGCGAAGGGGGCTCCGATGGCTATGTCTGTGGAAGGAAAGAATGGGTTGGAATGTAAACGCGACGGAACCAAATCGATAAGGTGAAGTCACCCATTTGGTCAGAAAAGATGGCGGGGAAACGGAGGGAAGCAGAGGAAAAGCCCATGACGCAGAAACAGGTCAGGCAGAAAAGGCGTCTGTGTGGTGGGGAAGGCAAAGGTCTCCCACACTCCCAGGAAAGGCAGGATTCAAATACCAGAAGGAGGACCTGAGGCTTAAATTGAGGGTTTTCTGGGTACTCTCACATTTGACTCTGGGGAAGATGTGAATTCTAACACAGCTCTCTGGGTCTCTTTGTCTAACCCTTCTTGAGCATTTTTGCTTGGCTGGAATGCTTCTGAAAACATTTCTTGCTTGCCTCCATGAGGAATGTGTAAGTGTGAGTAGGAACAAGGTTTTGTATCTACGCCCTTAGTATTTTATTATTATTATTTGTTAAATTTGTACACCACCCTATACCCAACTGGTCTCTGGGCAATTACCATATGTTTCGCTCTATAAGACGCACCAGACCACAAGACGCACCTAGTTTTTGGAGGAGGAAAACAAGAAAAAAAATATTCTGAATCCCAGAAGCCAGAACAGCAAGAGGGATCTGGTTTCTGGGATAGCCACGCGAAGCCTCTTCAGGGCAACGGGATGAAGGCTCCCCCAAGAGCCACGCTCCCTTTAAAGAGCGTGCAGAGTGTGTGTGCGGCTCTTGGGGGCTTTTCCCCGAGGAGGGAGAAGGGACTGATGGGCTGCCCTTCTCCCTCCTTGGGAAAAGCCCCCAAGAGCCACACACACGCTCCACGCGGCTCTTTAAAGGGAGCGCTGAGCAGAGCCTCCCGCCTGCATTCGCTCCATAAGACGCACACACATTTCCCCTTACTTTTTAGGAGGGGAAAAGTGCGTCTTATAGAGCGAAAAATACGGTGCCACATAAAATCACAATATCAAAACACAAAATGCGTAATACTGTATCTATGAGTAATACATTTCAGCAACTCTTAAGGAGTTTTTTTTTATAAATCACATTCATTTGCATTCTTCACATTATCTCTCTCTGTCTCTCCCTCTCTCCTATTTTGCTATCCTCCTCCCATCTCCTCCCTCAGCTACCGGGGCCTGCTGAAGGCAAACTTATTCAACACAAACTTATCATTAACAGAATACAAGTCTGCCATACAAAGGCAAAATCAATATCTATTGCTCCGCCCAATTTTACCTCTGGCCCTTGTCCTCTGTTGACAAGTGGCCCCTGGAAGGGAAGGCGGCCCTCGGGTTAAAACAAAACACTCTCCGCCCATGCTATGGTGAGGAACGGGCTGTGATTGTAAGTGAAGCTCCAACGGTCAACCTTGAGCACTCGATTGTGGGGTGAGGGAATGGAGAATAGGAAATTGGGGGTTAAGAGAGGGAGAAAAGGGGGGGGGTGGCCTTCCATCCCATCCTTACCAGTGCATCCATCCTGGTCTACGTCGCCCAGGGAAGCAATGGCCATGCCAAAGCGACCGTAGACATCTGTGCCCGTCAGTCTCTGCCAGGGGGTGATGTAAGCAGTGGGGGTCTTCTGCTGCAGGTATAAGTAAACTCTTCCCACTTCATAGAGTTTGCGGTCGGAGTGGCGTTCCATGAAGAGAGGGGCCCCCACCAGGATGTCATCTTTTCTAGTTGAGGGGGGGGACAGAAAAGTTCCCTTAGAGCTCTGCTCAAGTCAGACTCCAGCGAGAGGTGCTGCTGCTTCTAGGTCCAGGGTGTCTGCATTATCCGATGTAATCCATTCTTTTAACCAACTCAGGCAGGCTGCTTCATAATAGATTTGCAGACCTGCCAGGTTTCTAAGCAGAAGTTGGAGACCATCTGCCATGGATGAACTAGCTGAGATTCCTGCATCACAGGGGGTTGGGCTGGATGACCTTTGGGGGGGGGTCCCTCGCAAGTCTGCAGTTCTATGATTTTGGAGTTCACCCAAATACACTCACAGGGCTCAGTGACCCAGGCAGTAGGAACCAATTGATAGTATTTCTATGCTGCTTTTCATTCAAATGAATCCCAAATCGGCTTGCAAACTATATATAGCAATAGCATAATAGAACATCACAACTGCAGAAGAACTTTATATGGGCTCTTGGGTACCCCATAAGGGAAAAGGATCAGTTTTTTTACTTATATCAGGGTAAAACCTAAGCGTGTTTCTGCCAAGGCTGCAGGAGCAGCCAACTGACAAGAGATGGCAGCAGACTCCAAAAATGGGGACCTAGATCTCACGGGGAAAGGATTGTCCTTCAATTAACTTTTTTGGGGGGAGTAGGGGTGTGCAAGCTTCTAGATTAAAACAGCACTCTTAATCAGAGGGCTCACTGGGGAGGATGCATGCTTCTGAGTTACTCTAAAATTGTGATCAGCAGCAGTTTTACTGTATGACCATTTAAACTGGAGTGAGGGGCGGTTTGCCTTTGCTTTAGCACATGGTACTTCTAAGGGGCCCAGGTCTGGTCCCATGAGCTGCCAGATGATGTCTGTTCTAAAGCAACCACATCCCAGTTAAGTATAAATTGGTTTAATTGGCACGGAAATGAAAAATGTATGTGTATTAATGAAGTTTTAAAATGGGAAATGGCTAAATTCTACGGCTGACTTTGGGCTAACATTTTCCACAGTAAGTTTCTAAAGGACTCTGAGCTGTAACTAGTTAATGATCACCTGTTGATTGTTTCTCTGTGCTGGGAGTGAACCTTTGATCATGCGATGAAGGTATTGAGTTGTAAATCTCCATTTTGAAGGGAGTTGCCTATTTAGTCTTTCTCAGAACAGGCAGAGAACAAAAGTATGTGATAATGATTCTCCAAAAAGAGTTGCATAGCCTTAGGCAGACTAAGGCAGTCTGGAATTGGGGAGAGAGACACCATTTTGATTTTGGGAGTTACCGGCATCTTTTATTTCTAAGATGCTGAGCCTGTTCCAGAGAGCACAAGACATCGTATGGATACAGTGGTACGTCGGGTTAAGAACTTAACTCGTTCTGGAGGTCCATTCTTAACCTGAAACTGTTATTAAACTGAGGTACCACTTTAGCTAATGGAGCCTCCCGTTGCCGCCACGCCACCGCAATGCAATTTCTGTTCTTATCCTGAAGCAAAGTTATTAACCCGAGGTACTATTTCTGGGTTAGCGGAGTCTGTAACCTGAAGCATCTGTAACCCGAGGTACCACTGTATTTGGGGTGTATCTTGGATGCTTATGTTATGTTTTTAAATAGTTATGCAAGCAAAAGTTTTAATAATATTTTTATGGGCCTGGACGATTATTTCTTCCAAAAGGAATCTGTTCTTATGATTCCAATACCTTCAAACTATGCGCTATTAATATCTGGAACAATAATTAATATCCCTCCCAGTGCACTGGGTTGTAATTTAAGCCTAGTGTTACGGTTCGGATCTGAGAGCAAGGGAATGAGGTCTTCAACCTGAAGCCATATTTATAGCAGGGGGAAAATAAGATTAAAACTCTGGCTGCATCTAGACACATGAGAAAGGAAATTCAGGAAAATGTGTTGAAAACCTCATAGCAAGAAATCACATTAGTGAAAAACAGGACTCCACAGCGCCATCTGGTGTCACAGTATTATAACAAATATAAAAAGCTTTTTCTTTATTAATGTTGCTGAGTCCTTAGTTTGACCATCCACAGAGCTGTTCCAAATCCAAATCAACTGCCAACTGCAGTGCTAACTCCTGTGGCCTTACCCATCGCCATTGATATCTGCAACTGCAACTGTGTGCCCAAAATAGGATGCCACCTGCAAGAGGTAAGAGGGTGAAAAACAATGTGCACCTCCCACTTTTATATTACAATAATAATAATAATAATAATAATAATAATAATAATCCTGGCAGCCAGTAATAGTAAAGGCGACAACACAAAATAGCCAATCCATATATCTTAATAAGCAAAACTGAAATGAAAGCGTATTAGAATCAAATAAGTGCAGATAAAAAGCAAATAAAAGCAAGAGGCATCCATTTCAACACACAATTCAATTTAAAAATGACAGATTAAATACAGTTTGGGTGCAGCCACTGAGAAGGCCCTGTGTCAGGTTTTATAATACCCCTTTGGCATTATGTCTGGCTGAGAAAAGCATGCCAGGGAAGAGGCAGGAGGGAAGGGAACCATGTTGCTCAAGGCTCTGTTACCTGCTCACTGGGGAGGGACCGCAGAAGATGGAAGGAATGCTTTAAGGTGAAAATTTGCACCTAGGATGGGGGACAGGGATAAGAGAGTCAGGGAGATTTCAAGGGTTAGTGAATCCCACCCTTCATATTTCTCAAGAAGGTGGAGGTAAGAAAGCAACCACCGCCCTCCATTGCTGAGAGCGATCACAGTGTGCTTCACAGGGCAGGGTAAGAATAGCACAGATGGAGCCCCAAATCAGGGTGGCATTGGGGCAGTGGCAAGCAAAGCCTACATGGTTGTGTCATAACTCTTCCCTATGACCCCCAGATCCTGCTTTCAATGCAAGGCAATATGTGAAATAATAACGGCAGAGTGGCACAGGGCTTATTTTTGGCATATTATTAGCACACACCCTGTCCTCTGAAGCTAGGTGCCACTGCTCTCAGCCCTAGAACATACAGTCATACCTCATGTTACGTTTGCTTCAGGTTGCACGTTTTCAGGTTGCGTCCCGCGGCGACCCGGAAGTACCGGAAAGGGTTAGTTCCGGGTTTCGCCCCTCGCGCATGCGCAGACATGCAAAATGACGTCACGCGCATGTGCAGAAGCGGCGAATCGCAACCCGTGCATGCGCAGACACGCAGACGGGGGTTGCGTTCTTTTCAGGTTGCGAACGGGCCTCCGGAACGGATCCTGTTCGCAACCAGAGGTACCACTGTATACTGAAACAACAGTAAAGACAAGGGTGTCTCTGAGCATGCAGGGCTCTTTTGTTTCGGATTAGATGGAGGGCACAACACAAGCATACAGGCCTGACGCCCCTGAAACCTCTTGTGTCTGGAATTCAGCACAGCCTGTGCACTTCTTTCCAGATGCGCAGAAGAAAAAATGTAGATCTCCTGCACAGGACTCACCACTCCTTTTGTCAGGCTCTTGTTAGGAACGCCCACAACATACTCTGCAAAGAGAAGAGCCGTCTCAGAGGTTGTGAATAACCCAGTAGGCTAAGTTCACAACACACCAGACATGAGGTTTGTGCTAAAGCAACCTGAAGACTGAGCTTGGAGTCTTGGGAAGAGCTATCTTAGTCTGGAAAACTGTGGCCAAGAAGGGATGGCCCTAGCAACCTCATAAAATCTTACTGATAACGTTAAAAGGTCCTGTATACCTGAAGGAGCATCTCCACCCCCATCGTTCAGCCCGGACACTGAGATCCAGTGCTGGAGGGCCTTCTGGCAGTTCCCTCATTGCGAGAAGTGAGGCTACAGGGAACCAGGCAGAGGGCCTTCTCGGTAGTGGCGCCCGCCCTGTGGAACGCCCTCCCATCAGATGTCAAAGAGATAAACAACTACCTGACATTCAGAAGACATCTTAAGGCAGCCCTGTTCAGGGAAGTTTTTAATATTTAACGCTGTACTGTTTTTAACACTTGATTGGGAGCCGCCCAGAGTGGCTGGGGAAACTCAGCCAGATGGGCGGGGTATAAATAATAAATTATTGTTGTTATTATTATTATTATTATTATTATTATTATTATTATTATTATATTATAAAAGATAAAAGACCCCTGCTCCACACTGTAGGCAAGGAACAGCAGCAGCTTGTTCTTCTGTTGCTCTGTACAGCAGCCTGGCAAAATACGTTAATTGTATAATTCCCATTTTACAGATGGAAAAGCTGGGGCTGGGAGACACTGATTGGACTAAAGTCACAAAGTCAGCCCATGACTAAGGCTTAAGAACACCCCATAAGGCACTCCCCCAGACAAATAGTTCTGGGTTTAACCCTCACATACCTACAATTCCCAGTGCCCTTAGCAAATTACAGTTCCCAGGATTATGTTTGGGAGGTGTTGTGTACTGAAGTTCTCACCCTGGGCCAGCAGAGGGATACTGTAGATAGTTATGCAAATAAGGGATCGAAAGTGACATTCAGTGATTGGGTAGTTTTAGAAAATTGTTACAGTTACGTTGTACTGGAGCTCCATATAAGCAGGCTGACTGAACACTTCAGTTCAGTTCTGTTCTGGCCTGTGAATAAACAAGAGCTGTTTGAAGAATCGCTGTGTCGTCTGATATGTTCACCCACAACTTAACAGGAGGGAGGGTAGGGAACTGTGCTTTAAATGTGTTTTAAATGTATACTGTCTGCAGTATGCAGCTGCAATTCAAATGCCTAGCAATAAGAGCCAGTCGTTTATGTTGAGCAAAGTTAAGCTTAACCAAGCCGCAAAGCCAGGGGTACCTACTGTACCCCTGTTGACCCTAGAGCTGAGCCAAAATTTCTGAAAAGAGTTAAAGGGGGGGGCAGTTCTGCTGACTGCCCTCCAATTATTTCCCCTATTATGTAAATGGAAGCTCTCCGGTTTTCCCCACAATACCCTAAACAATGCTAGGATGTTGAGCAGGGGTCCTCAAACTTTTTCAGCAGGGGCCTGGTCCACTGTCCCTCAGACCTTGTGGGGGGCCGGACTATATTTTTTGGGTGGGATGAACGAGGGACAACGAGCGGCGTGCAAAAGGGCTCCAGAGAGGGACTGCTTTAAATGGCAGACGCTTGAGAGGGGCGCTCAGCCAACTGCGGCTCCTGTGTCTTGCGAGCGGCAGGGGCTGGTGGCGGCGGAGGTACGATGAGTGGCACGTGAAAGGGCTCTGGAGAGGGGCTGGCACCAACAAAGCCCTGCCCCCTTCCTCCTCTAGGCAGGGCAGGGAGAAGCCAGGAGGAGGGAGGGAGGAGGTGCTGCTGTCGCTGTGTGAGGAAGAGGGAGGGAGAGAGAGGGAAAGAACGCATGTGCTGGTGATCCACGTGTTGGCAATTCCCGGACAGTCCAGGGGCCGGATTTAGAAGGCAATTGGGCCTGATCTGGCCTGCGGACCTTAGTTTGCCAACCCATGATGTTGAGGATGCCACATACAATTGCCACTTTCAGAAGCTAGGGTGGCTGGAGAGAATTAGGAGGGGGAAAGGAAGTAGCCTTGCCACTGCTAATGGTGACCCCCCACCTCCAAGGAACTACTCCCCCTGAGAATATTTGACATAATGGCTTCCTTTCCCTCCCCAATTTTGCCATTCATTCAAATGATGGAGAATTTCAGGAGATGACTTTTGCTCAGCTCCAGACCCCACCGTACTCCACCCCGAAAAACCACCCCCGGCAAAGACTCATTCCCTTACCTGGCGACTCAGGGTCCTCATTAAACTCCCCAAAAGCCACTGAATACCCTACGTGGATGGAAGGATGAGAAGATTTAGTCATCTGGCAAAATCTCCAAAGCTAAGAAGGACTCGCTGTGCTCCTACCCATGAGCAGCAGAAGTAGAACCAAGTATGAAAAGTATGTATTAATATAGTATGTGTTAATATATGCAAGTCTGCTTAGTTTGCATGACTGACATAGTTTAGATTTCTTTCCCCCCTTGGAGAGAAAGTTCATCTTTTCTAGGGCACACTGGAAGCCCTGCCTTAGAGGCTCATCTGTAGACAATTCTTTCCACAAGGGCTAGTTCTGGACCAAAGGGCCAAGCCAGAATGGGAAGGGCAATGGCGAGAGGAGATGAAGGGCAATGGCGAGAGGAGATGAAGCACAACCAGTGCAGCATCTTCGCACCAGGCTTTGTTTTGTTTTTAACTTGATTGAGTTATATTCCCATCCCTTCCCAAAATGTGTTTTCTGTCCCATCTGGATGACCTTTCCCCCAAACCACTTGGAACGGGGTCAGCCACTGGGGAAGAAGGGGTGCTGCTGGGAGCCAGTATGCTTGGGTACCATTTATGAGCTGCAGTCCTGGAAAAAGGAACAGTTGTTAAGTATGATTGTTTAATGTACATTGAAATGCAAAATAAATATAGAATGTGCCTGTATTAGATACTGTGAAGCAAGACTGGAAAATTAAATTGAAGCTGAAGAACAGCCAAACAGGTTAATCATTAGTGGGGATCTATCATGGGACTATATCTCCCCGGGATCAGTCACATGAAAGAGATCCTATATATGCTAATCTGCAGGCATCCATCTTGGGTAGAGTGAGTAATTTGTTCTAAGCTACTGAAGAGAATGGATGTGTTTACCTCTGTCCTCCAGTAAAGAGCCTAGGGCCACTGGAGGCTGTTTGGGGAAGAGACAGAGCTTTAATTTTTAGCTCAGGATGCAAGCTATATGCAATCTAAAATATTATGCCTTACACTTGGACAAGTATAAGAAACTATGCATCTACTTGGAAGTAGCTTTATTTGTTTTAATTTGTTTTGGAGTTAAGTTCTGTATGTAAAACTTTTGAACCCTGTTTTTGGACTGGTTAATTTTTATTTCAAATGAGAGTCATATTTTTTTTCACCCAACGGCTTCCATGTGTGCAGTATTCATAACCTCAATAACAGTAGCATCAAAAGGGGGAAGGTACAGGCATTCTCCCCGTTGCTGGGGCTTTAGAACAGTCTTTGTCAACTTTGAGATAAAGTCCAAAGAAAGAGATGGACAGGAGATGTATGGGGCAGGGGAAGAGGGTGGTCCCTCTGGGTCTCACCCACTTTTGGTGTGCAGCCCACAAAAGATTTCTCCCCAAGGGGATGTGGTTTTGGGGGGTAAAAGCCTTCCTTGCATTCTTTCCTTAGTCTATTCCCAAACTCTTTTTAACTCCTCTCATAAGCTCTGCCTCTCCCTCGGCTCCTCCAGCGTTTGCAGATGAAGATGCATGTCCCCTTACCTCGATATTCATCATAGTGTAAGGCGGTGAAACCTGTGAGTTTCAGCTCATTCAGTGACCACAAAAGGGTATGTTTGAGAGGAGCATTTGCTAGGACCATGGACAAATTGGATGAATAGATCAGACCTGGAAGAGGAGCAAGGTAGAGGCATCAGTCCCTCGGCAAGGCTGGGACCACCTACGTGAGGCAGCAGAGGCAGCAGGACGAACAATTTGTGCTCTTGTTCCCACAGGGTAAAGGTAAAGGGACCCCTGACCATTAGGTCCAGTCGTGGCCAACTCTGGGGTTGCGGCGCTCATCTCGCTTTACTGGCCGAGGGAGCCGGTGTACAGCTTCTGGGTCATGTGGCCAGCATGACTAAGCCGCTTCTGGCGAACCAGAGCAGTGCACGGAAACGCCGTTTACCTTCCCGCCGGAGTGGTACCCATTTATCTACTTGCACTGGTGTGCTTTCGAACTACAAGGTTGGCAAGAGCTGGGACAGAGCAACGGGAGCTCACCCCGTCACGGGGATTCGAACGACCAACCTTCTGATCGGCAAGTCCTAGGCTCTGTGGTTTAACCCACAGGGCCACCCGCGTCCCCTCATTTGTTCCCACAAACCAGGTGCTAAAAAGGGCAGCGGTCAACTGAACAGGGTCTGCCTCACCCTGCTGAATAGTAGGGAATGCAGACTAGCAAGCAAAGCCTAAATATGGATTTCTCAGAGTCTCCAATAAGAAGTGCCTGCTGGGTCAGGCAAGTGGCCCATCTAGTCTGGCATCCTGTGTTTTCAGAGGTCAACCAGGGGTCCCCAAGGGAAACCCATAAGTGGGACCTGGTGCAACAACACTCCCCCTCCTGCCGTTTCCAGAAACTGGTATTCAGAAGCATGCTGCCTCTGACAGTGGAGGAAAGACATATCCATACAATTAGAAAAGGACTAAGGAGCTTTGTTAAATATGTCATTATGGCGGTGAGACTTTTATATGCACAAAGATGGAAGGACTCTTCGTTACCAACCATGGAGGAATGGTTGTTAAAATTAGTGGACTTAGCCGAGATGGCGAAACCGACCTGCTTAATTAGAGAAAAGTCATTGCTAACATTTACTGAAGATAGGAAACCTCTCGTAGACGCTTTGCGTGAAAAAGAAAATGAACTAATGACATTTGGGTTTGAGGACTGAAGATAATGTTGGTTTATAGAAAGTGGGTGGCGCTAGGCGCAAGCCTAGGACTTGCCGATCAGAAGGTCGGCAGTTCGAATCCCCATGACGGGGTGAGCTCCCGTTGCTCGGTCCCTGCTCCTGCCAACCTAGCAGTTCGAAAGCACCTCAAAGTGCAAGTAGATAAATAGGTACCGCTCCGGCGGGAAGGTAAACAGCATTTCTGTGCGCTGCTCTGGTTCGCCAGAAGCGGCTTAGTCATGCAGGCCACATGACCCGGAAGCTGTACGCTGGCTCCCTCAGCCTTTAAAGCAAGATGAGCGCCGCAACCCCAGAGTCGCCCACGACTGGACCTAACGGTCAGGGGTCCCTTTACCTTTACCTATGTTGGAGTGACTGAGTCGAATAACATTTATATGCAGTGAACAGATGAAGAATTGGAAGTTTTGTATTTTCTTTCTTTCTTTCTTTCTTTCTTTCCTCTCTCTTCCCTTCTCCCCTTTATCCCTTCTCTATCCCCTTTCTTTTTGCTTTGTTTTTATTTAAACGTTTTGATAAAAATATAATAGATAATAATCTTTCTATCCCTTTCCGCAAACTCTATGAAAATTTATTTAAAAAGAGGAAGAACATATCCATCAGGGATCGTAGCTACTGATAGCCTTAACTGGCCTCCCCATATTCCTGGAGCTCTCTCCCTCAGCAGTGGCAGAGAGCCTGTGGCACTACAGATGCTTCTGGATTTGAACTCCCATCAACCTCCAGCCAACATGGCCAAGGGTCAGGGAAGATGGGAGGTGTAGTCCAACAACATCTGGAGAGTCCTTTGTCTGCTGCGGGGAAGGGAAGGGAATGAAAGCACTTACCTCCAAAGTAATGTCCACCAGGAGCCCCAAGTAAAAGTCTCCCAGACTGTGGGGACAAGAGAGGAGGTCAGAGTCACAAAACGACAGCCACACAAGAGTAGAAGAAAGCCTGTGAACAGCTGCCCACCGCCCACGAGACCCAGAGGGTGGCATGCCAGCTCCACACATACATCTACAAAACAAGAGAAGCAAACATCTGCCTCTATATGCCAGGCGGAAAACAGTTTTTGCTTTGCTCTGCACACCCAAGGATGACTTCTGTGTGACACCGAAGCATGCGGCCAGCATTTTGGCAGCTGATTGCTTCACACAAAAAGGCACAGCCTAGATGTGTGTTGAGCAAACCACCTATTTGCGACTCAGAAGACATCAGCAATTACCCGCTAACCTAAAACAATAGGCACAGCCTCTTTACAGCTGGTTTTCCCCCACTGAGCTATGTTGGCAATTCCAGTGATGACTAAGGCCTCGTTCACACCATACATTTAAAGCACTATGGTACCACTTTAAAATGAGAGCTGGACCATAAAGAAGGCTGATCGCCAAAGAATTGACACTTTAGAATTATGGTGCTGGAGGAGACTCTTGAGAGTCCCATGGACTGCAAGAAGATCAAACCTATCCATTCTTAAAGAAATCAGCCCTGAGTGCTCACTGGAAGGACAGATCGTGAAGCAGAGGCTCCAATACTTTGGCCACCTCATGAGAAGAGAAGACTCCCTGGAAAAGACCCTGATGTTGGGAAAGATGGAGGGCACAAGGAGAAGGGGACGACAGAGGATAAGATGGTTGGACAGTGTTCTCAAAGCTACAAACATGAGTTTGACCAAACTGTGGGAGGCAGTGGAAGACAGGAGTGCCTGGCGTGCTCTGGTCCATGGGGTCATGAAGAGTCGGACACGACTAAACAACTAAACAACAACAACAACCACCACTTTAAAAAGTCATGGTTTCCCCCAAATAATTCTGGGACTTTGTGTTTGTTAAGGGTGCTGGGAGTTTTTGGGAGACCCCTATTCCCTTCACAGAGCTCTGGTTCCCAGAATTCTCTGTGAAGAGGGATTGATTGTTAAATCACTCTGGAAATTGTGTCTCAGGTGTGGGGAGCCATGCTTCTTGGGGCCATGCCCCTTTCCCTCCCAAAACTCACATCAGAGATGGCAGAGCTGAATCCAACCTCACAGTAGCGGTGGTCGTTTGCTGATTGAAGGCAAAGAAACAGAAAAGCAATGTAAATCAACTGGGTGTAAATCAACAGTGTGGGGAAGACCCCTCACATCAAGGATGGGGAGCCTGCGGCCCTCTGGACTTCAACTCCCATCAGCCCCTGCAAGCATTTCCAGAGGTCAAGGATGATGGGAATTGTAGTCCAGCGGTCTTTGGAGCCCCACAAGTCCCCCAACCCTGATTGGCGCACATACCAGGACACCATACCCAAACCCACCGTTCCTCCTTCAACTTCGGACTGGGCTGCCTAAACATGGTCTTCTTACCACATTTATTTTCTTATCACTGGTATTGGTTATGTACATGTATATTTAACTTACCAAAACATGAAATGTAATCAGAAAATCTAAGTTAAATATACATTCACATCACCAATTACTTATCAATATTTCATATCAAAATAATTTCATATTATTAATTTAGTACAAATAATCTGGCCTTTTCCATAACATTTTCCCCTCTGCTGATAAAAATTGACATGTTAAGTTGGGCCTATACGCTTTATTATTAAAATTTGCACAAACGATTTGTAAAACAGTTTTTAACGGATTATATTCCTACTGCCCCCGAGGACAAATTGTGCTGGTTGTAGGTAGGTATCCCTAACGGAATAGCTCCTACTGCCCCCGAGGACAAATTGTGCTGGTTGTAGGTAGGTATCCCTAACGGAATAGCCTCCATTTGACATTGCAAGGCTCTGGTTTTTCAGAAGGACCCAAACAACTTTCTTCTAGAATGGGGAGGGATTGTTGTGACCATTGTGGCTTGAGTGAATCCACACATGCTGTTTGTTTGCAATTGAGCGTGTAGGAGCATGGGGCAAACCACTCAGCAGCCATTTACACGAGGCCAGACATGGAATCTGAGCAGACTAGAGTGGTCTGAAAAGCAAAACAAGGGTGCCATTCATTCAAAGGCAAAGTTTCTGGGCAAAAATTCTGCACACCCTCTCCTTAAGGCCTGGAGCTTCGGCTATTGCAAATTCCCTGCCACCTGCATATTGCACTCACCATATCTTGTCAACTTGTAAAATGATTCCATTTGGATATTGCGGCATGGCGAGAATTCAACAAAGCGCTGCAGGCCACTTGTGGCTAAGAAACAGCTGCCCGTGGGGGTCTTTGTGGCCTCCTCTTGGCCAGAAATGGCATTCCAGTGCTGGAGAGGAGCGCAAGCCTGGTAGGGTGAAAAAATGGGGTGAGCAGGATGTTGTATCAATGACAATCACACCCCTCCAGGAGGGACAACCTCATAATTGCAGAGGATTGTTGGCTGTTCACCCTACTTATATTTATATTTAAAAGGCTATCAAAGGACTCTCTGACTTTTGAAGGTGTCCTCTGAAGGGCTGCTGTTTAAGGCTGAAAAATATTAAGGAGGGAGAGCAGGGGCCTTTAAGCTGCCCATCAACACTTAACATCTGGGCAGCAGACTGAACAAAGCAGACAGGTTTTTCTGGTCACAAGTCTTCCTCATTATAGTGAGATGTATTGCGTCTGTTGAAATTATTGTTAGCAGAGTCGCTTAAATAATGCGTCCAGAGATAAAAAGTCTTGTTAACACCATACTAAGCAAAACTGAATTAAAGAATGGTGCATAATTTGAGGAGAAAGGAACAGAGACGATTTGGCTTTCTTACGTCAGGCCAAATTGCCTCAGAACTAACCAGCCAATCAGAGCATGTGCTCCCTCAGTGATCATGCCACTCTGCCTGGTTGCTAAGCAACACCTCCTCCCACCCCTTGGCTAGTTGACTAACTCTTAACATAATTAGCCAGCTTTAACCCATAGTTTATTAATAGGAAGAGCCCTGCTGTTGCTCTTCCAACAATTATAAGCTGATTCCAGGCGACCCGTTTATTGAGTATTCGTCCCGATTTGCCTGCACAAAGTTTGTGGGGATTCTGTACAACATCTAAAGTTTATTGAGCGTCCCTTCTGGTTTGTTTGCAGAGAGGCTCGATTTAATTCCACCCCTTTCTGCTTCTGAAGCTTCTCTAAGACGGTCTGTTTATTGTACCCACCACGATGGTGTCTTTCCAGGTGCTCACAGAAGCTCCGAACCATTGTTTAGTCTTGAAGGTTTTCACAACCACTCCGTGCAGCTGTTCAACCTCATCACCTGGCCAGCAGCGGCATAGGAGAAGGAAGAGAGGAGTCAGATTTGAAGGCAGAAGCTACTGACCCACCATATCACCCCCCTCAGCCACATGCCATCCATGAGTAGTCAGTCTGACTGCAGGTTTGTACATGCAGGCAAGATGCCATTAGCTCTTTCCTCACATCTCATCAGATGCCCACCTCCAAGTAGCTCCGATTTCTCCCCGGCCCACCTCAAGTTCATGACTCAGCCGGGATCTCATCCTTGGCCCCCAATTTTCTCACCCCCAAATCTCACATGGCTCCCCACCACAAGCATCATTTTCCATCTCCTTTTGGGATAATAATAATAATAATAATAATAATTTTTATTTATACCCCGCCCTCCCCAGCCAAGGCTGGGCTCAGGGCGGCTAACTAGCAATAATAAAAACAAGTTGAATTAATACAAATTAAAAACAAGATTAAAATACAACATTAAAATACTGAAACATTAAAATATTAAAATGCAGCCTCATCACAGGAGGAGAAAGGAAAAAGAAAAAAGAAAGAGGAGAAGGGAATCAAATTGGCTCCAAGCCAAAGGCCAGGCGGAACAACTCTGTCTTACAGGCCCTGCGGAAAGAAATCAGATCCCACAGGGTCCTGGTCTCATGAGGCAGAGCGTTCCACCAGGCCGGAGCCAGAGCTGAAAAGGCCCTGGCTCTGGTTGAAGCCAATCTAACTTCCTTAGGGCCCGGGACCACTAGGGGGTTGCTATTTATGGCGCTTGAGGCTCTCTGTGGGGCATACTGGGAGAGGTGGTCGCGTAGGTACGAGGGTCCTAGGCCATGAAGGTTTGTAGGGGATGGATCTTGCAGGGCAAGTTCAGAGTGGTGGCAGTAGCCACACATGTGTAAGACAGGCATGCATGATGCACTGTCACTGGGGTTGCTCGCTGATCTCACGAAAGCTGCGTGAACCATCCCTGTACATGACAACATTGCCTTTATCTGTGATCACAACTCCTACCTGCCTCAGTTTAAACTGAGGTTGCAGTTGCAGATGTTAGCCACATCCACACATACAGTGATTCCATGAAGAGTTTCCTCCTCATATTGGGACTGGCTCACACATGCGCATGCCCTACAAGTGCTACTGATGCTGGCAGTGAGACCAGTGCTTGGAATGTTCAGTTGAACATCACTGAAATGCAAGACATCTCTGAAAATGGTTGCCAGGTGAATTAAGTTCATTTGGGGTAATGACTCCTAGTCCATATTTATCTTCATTCCTGTTCGGCCACCCCCATACATAAAAGGGGGCCTGGACTCTTAGCTTTCATGTAAAAAAGTAAATCATTCAGAAATCTATTAAGAAAGTTGGATAGCCGAAGCATGGAGGCAACATTCTAAGGCTTATTAGGCACATAAAGAGGCACTGCTCTTGTTAAGGATGCTTAGGCAGGAAATTTAAGGACTATTTGAATAAATATTGTAATATACAAAATTAGAAATTACTTGAAAGAAACAAATAGGCCTAGGATTAAACTAAGTTATAATTAAATAAATGGGATTTAGAATATTAAGAAATGTGAACAAGATGGACTATAATTAGAAATTGTTTTAGTTCAATAATGATATTGGAAAGCTGTTACTTTCAACTACAAGGAAACTCAGAAGGGAGGGACTAGAGGAAGTCAACCAAGATGTTTCAAAGGTTGGATTTGTAAAGAATTAAGTTTGTTGTTATTTTTTATCTGTTTATTGTTCCTTTTTTTGTTCATTGATGTATTTTTATTTTTTCTGTTTTTGTGTGTTATTCTGCTTTGTGGTTTTTGTTATTATCCAATAAATTTAAATAAATAACAAAATAAATGTTGTTATTATCCAATAATTATTTTTTTTTAAAAAAAGGATGCTTCGGCATTTAACACTGCTGCTAAGTAATCAGAAGGAAGGAATGTGAGGCATTTCCTGCATCTTCCCAGTCCCTGCTGAACAGATAAGTTCTTTTTTTGACAGGAGCAGCTTGCAACAAGAAATACAGGTAAAGAAACAAAGTGAATGATGCCTCGCACCATTGTGGATGGCACAAATTAAACAAGGTCACCTTTTCTACTATGGATACACAATTATGGGCAAATCTTCACCTGCTGACATTTTGAGTGAGACTGCCCTTTCCTGCTTGTATAGACCCTATAATGACCCCAAAATCATGGGGGATCACTCACCTTTGGTATCAAACTGAATGGGGGCGCAGGCACTGCCACCAGGCGCCCAGGGACACAGATAGACAGCACCCGCCTCCGTCACACCAGTTTGCGAGCTGTTGGCCTGTGGGGCACCAACCACCACATTCATGCTAGGGTGGAAAAAAAGGTCAGTCTGGGACTGGTAGGATACAAGGCAGGGAGCCAACAGCGGGTGGAGCCAGTAACTGGCAGAGCCAACTACAGGTACACCTCATCCCTGCTGTCAGTTTCCTATCTCTGACCCTCTTCACCTTCCCTACTAGGGACAGAATCACAAATGTTTGTGCACAGCGGCCTCATGTGGCAAACCACCAGTTGGAAGAATCTCCCTGCTAGGAATGTTTTACAAGCCTCTGCAGTAGCCTGGGCTGCTCAGCCCAGCTGGACCACAAGGGTCTTGCACTAGTCCTTTGCTTGGGCACGTACACTTACGGAACCACAAATCTAGCTCCAACCCGCCAATTTTTTTAAGTAACTGGATGTGTGAATTTCTGATCGAAAAATAACCTGGTTCAACCTCCTGAAACTGAACTTACATCTCACTTAGGAAAGGCTTTTATTTTGCAAGTACCAGATATGCTGTACAGTGGTACCTCGCAAGACGAATGCCTCGCAAGACGGAAAACTCGCAAAACGAAAGGGTTTTTGGTTTTTTGAGTTGCTTCGCAAGACGATTTTCCCTATGGGCTTGCTTCGCAAGACGGAAACGTCTTGCAAGTTTGTTTCCTTTTCTTAAAACCGTTAATACAGTTGCGACTTGACTTCGAGGAGCAACTCATAGCACGCGGTGTGGTAGCCTTTTTTGAGGTTTTTGAAGACTTTGGTGATTTTTGAAGCTTTTCCAAAACTTTTCCGACACCATGCTTCGCAAGACGAAAAAAACCGCAAGACGAAAAAACTCGCAGAACGAATTAATTTCGTCTTGCAAGGCACCACTGTATTTAAAAAGCCACACATACCAGCAGCCGTTATTAACATTCTGTGGCAGAGATGAAGAACCTATGGCTCTTCAGTTGTTCTGGGACTACAACTCCCATCATCCCTGATCAATGGTCATGCCAGGTTGCAAATTATGATTGAACAAATGCTGTTCCTATTGCCTCATCTTGGGCAAACTGCTAAATTCCCCCCATCCAATTACTGAATTTTAAGAATGACCAGCCCTTCCCTTTTCACCCTTTCCATGCTGCTCCTGATGCATCTGTTTGAAGACGGGATATCTCTGGCTGCCAGATGTTAATATTAGGATGAGTATTGTGCTGCATCTGGGAATAGTGAATTTATTGCACCCTCTCCCGCCGTCCAGCAGTGACACAGCCTTGGCACTCTTGAACTAGTACAACCCCTGCCCCAGGCCTTTGTTTAGACTCCTGCTGTAGAGCTCTGTAAAGGGACCCCTGACCATTAGGTCCAGTTGTGGCCGACGTACAGCTTCTGGGTCATGTGGCCAGCATGACTAAGCCGCTTCTGGCGAACTAGAGAAGCACACGGAAACACCGTTTACCTTCCCAGCGGAGTGGTACCTATTTATCTACTTGCACTTTGATGTGCTTTCGAACTGCTAGGTTGGCAGGAGCAGGGACCGAGCAACAGGAGCTCACCCCGTTGCGGGGATTTGAACGGCCGACCTTCTGATTGGCAAGCCCTAGGCTCTGTGGTTTAACCCACAGCGCCACCCATGTCCCTGTAGAGCTCTGTAGACCTTGTCTAATATACCATTTAAGTATGAACATCTTATAGTGCCTGCACCCAGTCAAGGTTCAATGGATAATAGCCTCATGCACTGCTGTCGTGCATCTTGCCAGCCAAACAGGCTGTTGGCCTTTCCCAAGACATCTGTTGTCATCTTCCAAGTCCCCGTTGTCCACCTCCTGAGGTCCTGTTAGTGCACCACTCCCTCACGGCATGCCCAGTGCTGTCCTACCTGCCTTTGCTGTCCCGGTAGAAATCCAAGGCAAACCCAAAATAGCTTCCGTTGGGCCCAGAGTACACTGTTGGTGAACTTGCATCCAAGTTCAGGGTCCATACTGGGGAACAGAGGAGCAAGAAACCCACCAGACAGCGCAAGAGGGGGGCAAGCAGACCCAAGGAATGACCTCCTCCTGCCATCACCAGCATCTCCCTCCTCTTCCCACTCCAAATGCTGGGTGCTTACCCATTAACGCTGTCTCTTCTGTGCTCATAATAGTGACCACGGTCATGACACATTTCCTCAAGCTTTTCCTCCCCTGCTGAAGCCTCTACAGCTGAAGATGATAACATTTATCAGAAGTCTCTCAGGAACTTCCCAACAGGAACTCCCTGGGTGTGTAGAGCGATGACTATTTGGAACAGTGATGTTTGGCAGGATCAACCATTGACAAGACGGCTCTGGGGAACCACCACTGCCATTTCCAGGCTAGTGTGCACAAGTATGAGCTGTGGTCTTCCATACACGACTCCCAACCCCACCTGTCCTTGGGGCATAGAGATCAGAAACACGTGAGACGAGACAGACCCTCAGGAAGTGCTCTGAAAGCTCCTGTTCCTAGTCTGGAATGCTCTGAGATTAGCTACAGTCACACAGTGGTAAGGGCAAACATTTTTACTGGATCCTGCAGGGTTCTTAAAGTGCAGTTATGAGTCAGAGCCGTTTTCAAGCACCAGGGCTCAATGCGTTGCAACGTATGATTAAAAACGTATGTGGAGCTTTGAGAGTTGGGTTCTAGCAAGTGTTTTCAAAGAGTGGGTGCAATCCAGAAACTTGCAAGATACCAGTTCAGAATGTACAGCAAACCCTCCAACTACCATTAAACATCCTGAAATGATTTAAGTTTACAGGGCAGGAAGGCTACAAAGACCCAGCTGCAAAGCCTTTTTCCCACCGGATACACTGGAGCAGGGGTCAGCAACCTTTTTCAGCCATGGGCCGGTCCACCATCCCTCAGACCATATGGTGGGCTGGACTATATTTGGGGCGGGGGGAATGAACGAATTCCTATGCCCCACAAATAACCAAGATGCCTTTTAAATAAAAGCACACATTCTACTCATGTAAAAACACCAGGCAGGCCCCGCAAATAACCCAGAGATGCATTTTAAATAAAAGGACACATTCTACTCATGTAAAATCACGCTGATTCCCGAACCGTCTGTGGGCCAGCTTGAGAAGGTGATTGGGCCAAATCCGGCCCATGCGCCTTAGGTTGCCTACCCCTGCACTGGAGCATTCAGGACATCCCATTTTCTATCCCACTCACATGTAGGAATGTTTCATCAGCCAAGCACAGTTGCCCCCTCCCTGACCGCAGGGGAAACCAGCACAGGCCTTATCAGGAAACATAAGCAAAAGAAACCGCATGGTGATTGTTTAGAGGGAAAAGTGAGAATGGGTGACATGTTGAGTTCACCCTTTGAACCAATTTCTTAATTCGCCAGCGAAACTAGGCTCCGTTTGTAATGTTCTCCAATGCACACACTTCCTGGCTTTGCTTCCTGCACTGTGCTACCAGCTATGATGGCATACAGCTCCTATTTCTCCTATACAGCAAATTCAGTTGAGGCAATGGAAGTGCTGAACCATTAGCTGGGCTCCATAAGGCCAGTGAATTAAGGCTGGATCCAGACAAGGCAGAAGTGCTACGTGTGGTACTTTTATTCCCAGTGGTGTCCACCTGCTACAGATGGAGTAATCAGATTTGCAGCCCAGGAGCGCTCAATGATTCTGCTTTGCCGTAGAAGGCTCAGGTGGCTTCCATGGAATGGACTGCCTTCTACTAGCTGGCAGGCAATTTCAAGCCCTTCTAGGAAGACAGCTTTGCTGCAGTTATCCACTCCTCAAACCTGGGCAGAGCATGTAGTTAGTTCGGGGTAACTTGCTAGTTTGTGAAATTGGACTTGTTGCTGGTGGAATCTCTCACTTGTCCTTAAGCAGCTGCCACGGCTCCTTACCAGTTTCCAGGCTGAATTCAAAGTGCAGCTGATGCCCTTCATGCTTGGGATTTGAACAAGTTTGGAAAGTGCTTGAAAAACTGCCTGGTTCTTGTCTCTGCTTCCCTGCCCTGAGCTCAACTTCACAGGCTCTTCTCAAACTGCTACTCCGGTGAAGCAGCAGGCAGCACTCAAGGAAGAGGGCCTTCTTCGTGGTGGCACTCCCATCTGTGGAACACTCCCCAGGGAAGCTTGCCTGATGCCTGCTACATAATGTCCTTCCAATGGCAAGCAAAAGGCCTCATTTTCCTAAGTTTAAGAAGAATAAATCCTGAAATATAAATTGAGGCATACGGCATTATTTTGTATTTTATTAAATATTTTTGATATATGTATTTTTAATTCTTATATTGAAGGGCAAGTGTGTAAGTGTATTTAATAAAACATTTGAGCTGGTGAGCAACAGGGACCATGCGGACAGGAAGATCTTACCCCATTGCTGGGATACGATTCATCTTGAATACCAATGTGCAAATCAGGATTATGTTCTCTGCGACTTAACTCTTTTCCTGCTTCCGAGACTACCTCAGCTAACACACACAGGGCCACCCCAATGTTCCTGAATGTGCCCTGCAAGCATTCAGTGAGGATCAGGAGATGAGGGTTCCAGAATCTCAGAAATGTGGATTTGGGCTGCATCAATTCAATGAGCTAATTGCTCGCTAGAACATGGTCCAATCTTGGGAGTGGCAAATTGAGGGAAGATGGATCATAGCAACAAGGGAATCTTAAAACGGTTGAAGACAGATAGGGATGTTTTTTCCCCAGCAAAAGAAACATAATACAGTAGTACCTTGGTTTACGAACTTAATCTGTACCGGAAGTCCGTTCTTAAACCAAAGCGTTCTTAAACCAAGGTGTGCTTTCCCATAGCAGTGGGGGACTCAATTTACAAATGGAACATACTCAACAGGAAGCGGACCATGTTCTGTTTCCAAGGCAAAGTTCACAAACCAAACTTCCGGGTCTGCAGCATTCTTAATCCAAGTTGTTCATAAACTAAGCTGTTCTTAAACCAAGGTACCACTGTACATGGCATGAAGCTAGGAGGACCAAAGAGAACAAAGGGGATGAGAAGATCAGTCGGTGCCCTGTGCAAACAGCGAATAAATGCAGGGCCATAAATAGGGGTGACGGCAGTGGGAAGAGTCACAACATGAGGACTAACAAATTGACTCTGACCCTTTGGGAAACAAGTACACACACGCTTTCCCCCAAATTACTAGTTTATTAGAAAGTTTATTTTCCTCATTTTTACAGCATGTATATATATTTATATATATACTTTTTATGTGACAAAAGTTAAATATAGCCTGCCGATACTGAAGTAATAGTGCGTTCTCTTTTGTGGTAAGCACTCTTGTGGAAGTCCAGTCTCCTCCTCCCTGCTGGGGCGCTGCGCCTCCCGTCTGAACCTCAAGGGAATGAAGCACTGAGAAATTAATACTGTTACTTCTTGAATTATCTACAGCCACTACCAAGAACCGAGTCCCTTTGTCACAGCAGCAGTTTCCAGTGCTTGTCTTGTTGTAGCCAAGGGTAAGGAAGCTTAAAAGCAGTCCATAGTCTTGCCATTTCAGGGCAGCAGCCAGCAGTGGTTATTTCTGAAAATGGAGGCCGCACCTCAGGATATACCAGCAAGTAGCGCGCCCTTTGGGTCTGGACACGTGTCCCAAAACAGCCGCTGCTTTGCAGGATCTCGGCCTCCTTTTGCACTCAGCAAAAGAACCTTGAGATTCCGGGAGCCCCCGCTTCCTAGTTCACTTTGGGGCTGCAACCTGGGGAGCGGCAACTGGGTGATGACTTTGCAAGGGGCAGCTGTGAGGAAAGGGCATCCCATAAAAGAAAACCCGGGGGGGGGGGGGAGGGATTCGGAACGAAAAAACACCACTCAAAACCTCTCCAAAACATAAAAAAGGCACATATTTGAAAACAAGGAGCCTTAACACACGCACACACACCCATCCACACCTAGAAGCTATGTTGTTGTTGCAATGACTCAAAACAAGTGGTTGAATCCCAGGGAAAATAGCTGGGCTCTCAGGTGTTGTTGTTTTTTGTGGGTCCCGTCTATTTCTGTGACCAGAAAGCGACTGTTTGCTTTGCCAAACGAATGGACTGTTCCTCTCAAACTTAAGGGGCCTGGCTACCGACTGAAGCACACAGTGAATGACACCTCAGCTGCCTCACAAACCTGCCTTTTCACAGAAATTACCAGGGATGTCATTACACAGGATGGACTTTGATAGCTATGGGACAAAGGAGTCCAGATCACTGCTCCTTTGCTTATTTCCGAACCCTGTGACATTTTCTCCTATAAAATGAAAGTCTTTTTTTATGGTACATTTAAAAAAAATGAGCTCAATTAAAATATACATGCTTGAAATCATTTTGTGCCCTAGCCATAACTAGAAGCATTGAACCTTTGACAAGAATTTCCTTTCCAACTACGTTAAAATGTATAGATAACTAAAGCCACCTGAACGAGTACCACTCAAAGAACGGGCTGTAAAAAATGTTATTGCGGTATACTATCAATATGGAACATTTGTCAGAGGAGCTACAAAAAGCAGCATTGACATGTACAGAGTTCAGTGCAATTTCTTAAATTCTTTTTTTTTCTTCTTCTGAAAAAAAAAATCATAAGTTAATAAGGAACCATCAATATTACAGAGGAAAAGAGTACAAGTTACAGAGTCATGTTCAGGATGTTCACAGGACTCCAGTACAACATATTGCTTCAAGGACTGATCAAGGAATTGCTCTCTGCTCTCTCAGCAGCGCCGTAAAGGGTGTGTAGAAAGGAGAGCACTGCCAAGCTGGTCTGGGGGTGGAAACTGGTCATTGAAAAGCAACTTCCCAGTTTGTGGTGCTCAGTGGGGGCTGCTGAACATGGTTCCCCGAATAGGAGCTGGAGAGAGGGGAGAGGGCAACAGCGGAGATGGATCAAGTGCTGAGTATTTCTTGGTTCTGTTGCTCGGCTTAAGCTTTAAGGTGGATTCAAATCACTAACTTTCACGCTTTATACTTGATATCAATGCCCAAATAAGATAGATGTGTGTACCCACTTTAGGTCTTCAGAGTGGGTAGTAAATGATTTATAATACGTGAACTGGAAATTAAAAAGGGCTGCATTTGCTAAAGGACTGCACATCCCTGAAGAAGCCATCTCCCTGGGAGCACGAGCCCTTGAATATCCTTACAAGCAAACCACCAGCAGCACAGCTCTCCCATCTTTCACAGGCCTGTTCCCTCGAGCCTCCCTGCCTCTGCCCAATCCTCCCCCTTCTTGGGCTGTTCTCAGGTCCAGAGACAGCCGCCACTGCCTTCCCGAGAACGAGAGACTGATGCACACGCACAGAGACAGACAGACATGCCCCTGTCCTCTCTTTCCCCTAACCCTCCCCTCCCCAATAGAGGCTGCCTCTCTCGTTCTTTCATGTGCCGTGGCTGGGAGGGTGCTGCAAATCCTGTCCTGAGAAAATGGGGTGCAGGAGAGGGTGGAGGTGCAACGCCGTGGCAGCCGCTGTCGCTGGCCGGGGTGCCAGGAGGGTCGGGTAGAGGGCAGCGTGGTGGACGGGGTGGAAAGTGAAAGGACCCGGGTGGATGGCAGAAGCGGGGATGATATGGATGGGGTGGCTGGCCAGGAAGGTGGCGGGGTGCCCAGGGATGATGGAGTGGGTCAGGTGGGACAAGGAGATGGGGGTCAAGTGGGGCTGAGGGATATGGTGCACTTGAGCAAGAGGTTGGGGGTGAGGGTGGGGGTGGATGCCAATGGCTGCGGCCGCGGCGGCAGCGTGATGCTGCAGAATGGCGTGCTGCACGGTGGTGATGGAGGTGGCTGCGGCTGCGGCTGGCTGCTGGATGTGGATGGGCTGCAAGGCAGGAGCCGTGGCTGGAGCCAGGGCGGCCGAGGCTGGGAATGCCTTGACCTGCTTGGCCAGGAGCTGCTGCTGAATGTGCTGCTGGGCGGCCTGCTGGAGCTTGCTGTACTTCTCCATCTCCTCCGGGGTGAAGGTGATGGGCTGGCTTTCCAGGGGCGCCAGGGAAGAGTCTTCGCTGCCTTCCGGCTCCCCGCTGATGCTCGGCTCCGCGCTGTGTGGGACGTAGCTGGGGAAGGGCTCCACTTCGGGGGCCAGGGGCACCATCCTGCCTTCGAGGGAGACGGGCTGGGCGCTGCCGTCCAGAGGCTCGGCAGCTTCGCTTTCCGCGGGGGCAGGGAACGGGTGCGGCACGGGCAGGTCGCCGGATCCAAAGTGTTCCGGGAGGGCTGGCGGCTCCAGGGGCAAGGGAGCCATCTCCACGCCCGCTTCTTCTGGCTTCTGATCTCCCAGAAGGCTCTCCTGGGTCTCTATCACCAGGGTTTCGTCCACTGTGGGTTGGCTTGCTGCAGCTGCCTCCCCGCCATCGTGGGGGGTTTCGTCGAGCTCAGACAGCTCCAGCTCCTCCCCAGTCCCCAATCCTAACCCAGACTCCTCACACTGCTTGGCGTTTGGCTTTCGGACTGTGGGCAGCTTCCCGATCAAGGGAAGGACTGGCTTGTTGCCTAGGGAGGGAGGGAGCTTAGGGCCAAAGTAGCCTTGCGGAGGATCTTTCAGCTTGATCCCAACCTTGTGAGGCCCTGAGGGGGAGTCCTCGCTGCCGCTGGGCTTCTTCTCCACCTTCCTGGACTGAACTTTTTCCAGGAGGAGCTTAGCTGTGGCGGAGTTCTTCTCCTCAGAGCTGCAGTTGCTCCCCAGGCTGGAGTTGCCGCTGTTTTGGGAGAGGCTGGTGGTGGTCCCTGTCGCTTCATCGCCTCTCGCTTCCTCCTTCCTCGCGGGCCCTTCCCCTGGTCTGCCTCTGAAGTAGTGGGGGGACTGGGAGCGGTAGATCTTTGAGCGGATAAAGTCTCGCCGTGCAGATCTCCTCTCCCCAGGGCTTTCGTGGCCACGGGACCCCTTCCTGGAGAGAGACCGCTGGGACAGGCTCCTGGCACTCCGGCTGCGCTCCCGGCTGTAGCTCCTGCTCCGTTTCCAGCTGTGCCCGGTCCGGCTGCGGCTCCGCCGCTTACCCCGGCTGTGGCTACAGCTGCTGCTGCGCGTCCTGCCCCGGCTTCTCGTCCTCGACCTCCCCCTGGTGTGGGTTCGGCTGCGGCTCCGGGATCTGCTCCTGCTCAGGCTGTAGTCGTCTTCCGAAGAAGAGTATTTGTGCCGTTTCGACCTGCGCTTGGAACTGGCGTAGTCAGAATCGTCCTCCGAGTCGTGGGAGCGCTTGGTGCGGCTCCGGGAGCGGTCGCTGTAGTCACTGTAGCTGTCTTCCGAGTAGCTGCGCCGCCGGCTGTACCGGCTGTTGTCCGAGGAGGCATACGAACTCGTTGAGTAGGACCTCTGGGATGACCTTCGGGAGGAATGCCGACGCCCTGACCGGGAGCGGCTTCGGGAACAGTTGCTGCCAGAGTCGTAATCGTCGCTGTATTGCGAAGCAGACTTCTGCCGGAAGTGCTTGTGGCAGGAGTCCTCGTCGCTCTCGTAGCCACCGCTGCTCTGCCGGCCTCTATGGCCCGAGTGGGCGGAGGTGGAGGCCCGCCTCTTGGCGGTGGATGAAGCCTGCTGCGGGTCCCCTTTGGGTTTTTTGCCACCGTGATCTTGGGAAGAGGTGCCACCGTCCTCTTTCTTGTTGCCGCTTTCTTCGGTGGAAAGAGACTTCCGCTGAGAGTCTTGAGCGCACCACTTTCTTTTCTTGAGGTGGCCAGTTTCGTCGGCCCCTTGTGTCCGCTCCAGCTCCGTGGCAAAGGACGGCTTGCTCTTTTTGTGTTTGTGTTTCTTCCGCTTCTTGGATTTCTCTTCTGCCAGGTCCCCATCCCTGCTTTTGTCTTCTGCCTCGCCTTTGCGCCTGCGTTTGTGTTTCGTGGACTTCTTGTGCTTCTTCTTCTTCTTGTGCTTGTGGGATTTCCCCACTTTGTCCTTGCGGCCAACAAGGCCGCCTTTGCTGCTGTCTTCTGGCCCCTCGCCCTTGCCAGCTGACACAGGATTGGACTCCTGCTTGCTGCAGACAGACAGGGACTTGCTCTCCGGCACTGCTGTGGAGGTGCCTGCAGGAGTGCCCACCTCTTTGCTCTTGCTCATGCTGCCCTCTTCAGCAGATGGTGCTTTCTCCTTGGGAAGGCTGCTTGCAGCTTTCTGTTTCTCTGCCCCTTTCGCTTTAATGTCTTTGTTGCGAGACAGCTTAAAGTCAAAATACAAGGGATTGCAGCTGTACGACACAGAGGGCTCTGCTTTGGTGAAGATCAGCAGTTCTGAAGGCCACTGGAGGGTGGTGCTCTCGTCTTTACTGAGCACTGGGAAGAAAGGTCCTGTCAAATGCTTAGGCCCGTCTGTGCCTTCTTTACTGGTTGACGCAAGCTGAGGAAGCTCTTTGGCGACCTCGGACTCCGCAGAACCGCTTCCCTTAAGTGGCTTGCCTTCCTGCCCGCCTGCCTCTTCTGGAGGGTCTTTAACTTCAGTTTTGCTGCCTTTGCTGGAAGGACTCGGTTCCTTCTGGTGGGTGGCACACTCTACTGCCGTCACCTTCTCACCATTCTTTGCTGCTTTGGGTTTTGGGGAGTTGCTCCGCTTCCTTTCGCGAGCCATTTTCTTGCTCATGGCTTCTGCTTCGACTTGCTCTGTGGCCTTCATAAACAGCAGGAACTGGAAGTTCGGCTTCACCTTGCAGTGAGCAGGCGGGATGTAGTGGTAATACTCTGGCTCTAGTGCCATTGGGCCGTCGTCTCGCTTCATCTTTTTCAGCTTCGACAGGGTGGTGTTTAGACCTTCCTTCTCATGCGCTTGCTCCTCTTCGTCGCCTTTGCTGTCAGGGCTGTTTGTCCCCTCGACCTCCCCAAATTTCCCCAAGGCTCCAGGATCGGGCTGGGCTTTCTCATCCGCTTTGACTTCTTCATCGGGAGAACTGGACTCATCAACGTGGTCTTTGAAGACGGAGGCAATTGACTCTAGTTTCACTGGGGCTTTTTTGGCAAATGAGAAAGACACGCCTATCTTCAGAGGGTTAACCCCTGAGCTGATGGCTTGCGGTACCTGGACAGGCACCTGCCCAAGCCCGATGTTGCTACTAGTTTGCCCAGTGGCACAAACAAGACCCTTGTCTGTGGTCATACTGGCAACTGGCCCAGGAGCTGGTGAAAAAGAGCAGCAACTGCTGGGAGCTGCTGAATCGACGTCATCCTCTCCTCCTTCCTCATCTACTGCCACAGTAGTGGTTCTAAACATCGGCCCGCTTCCTGGAGCACTGGGGGATTGAAATGGGACAGGGGTAAAGGGGAGGGAGAAACAATAGTTAGATACTGCTTAACATTAACATCTTCACCTTTATCTCTTACCCATGCCTATTCAACCTCTCACTAATTTCCTGGAATTGCTTTGAAAGCTAACGGTATGTCCAGGAACAAAGTTTTAATCTACACTTCCACTGTATTGTATGCGGAATAATTCATGTGCTCCAACCAGCACACCCTTGACAGAATTCAATTATTTGTGATTTTTTTTTTTAAAAAAGGTGCCTTAAGATTCAAGCCTTCCTGGTTATATAGAAGAATCAAGACAAAGCATCGCAAGGTTCTGATGCACACAAGTAAGGGCTGCCTCATCCATTTCAGGCCTGATGCTTTTCCCAACTCAGATCCTGTTCATTAGAGCAGTTAGTTCAATTAAATCTGTCTCCCTCCACTCACATGACACATACACTGCCCTTCCAAAATCTGTTCCTGGTGAAGACGGGGAATGAGGAATTGAATTTGCAGACTGGCCACTGATGAGCTAAGCATTCCTCATTTGGGGGGGGGGGAGAGAGAATAAATTATGTTTTACAAAAATCTGAAGAACAACTTCTTGCTATCCAGTCCATTTAAAACAGCCTGAATAAAAGGGGAAGTCAACTGTATGTTTAACTTAACTAACTTGCTGGCACAAGGAGCCCATTCACTTACCATTCAGGTTGCTTCCTCTGCTCAGCCAACTCGTGGAGACGACGGAGGGCTTTCTCCTGCTTCCTCTCATCTTTCCGGGATCTCGAGGAAACATTGCGAGCAAACTCCCTTTGCTTGAGATCCTTCAACCTCTGTAGCAAAGCAAGAGAAAAGGAAAATAGAAGGGAGTAAGATGGAAGGGTGAACCTTTTCAAGTTTTGCTAAAGAGTTTCCCAGCTGGCCATCCTTAACCCATTCCGCGTCATTTGACCAGGGGTGGGTAACCAGCAGCTCTCCTAATCTTGTTGGAATTCAGCTCATAGCAGCCCCAGCCAGCATGGCCATTGGGGATGATGGGAGCTGTAATCCAGCAGCACCTGGAGAGCCATAGGTTTCCCACCTGTGCACTAGAGAATTTAGAGGTGCTCCCTGAACTCACTGATATAGAGCACATCCTTTCCATGTAGAAGGTCCCAGATGCAGTCCCTGGCATCTCCGGATAAGAGGGCTTGGAAAGATCTCTGCCCAAGACCCTGAACACTCTAAGTAGACAATACTGAGCTAGATAGTTCAGTGGCCTGACTTAATAGCAGACCATATAGTCACAGGGTGGGCTCACTAAAAGTCTCCAAAGAGTAGCCATTTTAGAGTGTAAGCAAGAAGCATTGAAGCACTTCTGAGAAAGGATTAAGAGAGGAAGAAGATACTATATTTAAGTATACAAGAGCAGTAGGGAGGAACAGTTGTATTTCCCTATACAATCCAGGATGCTTAGAATTGCAGGTTCCTTTTCAGAGCAAAACTGGCGGAAAAGGCTTAAGAGCTGAATTTGTTAACCAACCTGGCTGCGAAATCCCAGTGACTGAGCAAAGACTGGGAGCCGGGTGCTCTTGCTACAGCAAGCATTGAAACCCATCTGATTGTGTCTGGTGACACAGCAATTGTTTAAATACTGCAATTGTTTTTAGACTTAGCATATCTCAAATTGTGCTCTTTGCAGCCACAGCTACCCGCCCCCTCCCACACGTATCCATCCACAGCAGAAAGCAGGAAGAAATTAACACAAAGTTTTGCCCCAGCAACTAAATGCATCAGGTGAAGAATACGCCCTTAGAATCGGCTTATATGGACTTGTCCCCAGCCACAATATGGAAGCTGCGGCTTTGGCACAGAACTCTCGGGTTTTTGCCCCTAGCCCAGAGCAGACTTGAGTGTAGCATTACTCCGCTGAAAATGGACACCACTTTGAATGAGATGAGATGATGCAGGGAGGGGAAGTGATGGGTTCTCCAAAACTAGTAAGACATCATTGAATGGGGTTATGGTTTCACCGAACTGAGAGTGGAAGAAGAGGAGCGGAATGCATAGCTACGTTCTCAGACATGCACACAGAAAGACAGAGCTACAGACACTAGTAGGAAAAAAAACTCACTCTTATGATCTGGCCTCCATAATATGCTTTCATTATATCAGTTGACAATATCATATCATGAGTTGGGGGGGGAGGTAAAAAAAAATACATGAGAGCAGAAGAGAGAGAGAAAGAAAAAAAGGGCAACCATTACTAACATCAATGCTCAGAATATCTGCAAGCTTATTCTATTGGATATGGAACTGGTTCACAGCTAAGAAGGCACAGAGGAACAGGACTCTCATCAAGTAGGATAATACTAATAACTTTGCCAGGACAAATAAGCTGGGGTGGGTCACTACATAGTCAAACACTGGTTCTACGAGGCTGCCTTGAGCGGAGGAGAGAAAACACAAAACAAGTAAGCATCCCTGGAAAGTGAAAGGAGCAACATTTATAGCTGGGACATGGAATCTGGGGCCCTCCAGATGTTGCTATTAATGGTATTTATGTTAGAGCACAATTTCTATAGTTGCTGGCCATGCGGGCTGGGACTGATGGAGCTTGGTAGTCCAACAACATCTGACAGGCCATAGGTTCCCAGCCCTGATTTACAGGAAAGGTGAAGCTGGAGGAGAAGCCTTGAGAGAACCAAATGGCTTTCAAGTACGTACATCTATGAAAGTCTGAAATTTCATAAATCGGATCCCTCCATAAAGAACCATTTCCAAGGTTCTTTGGAAGCATTCATGGAACCAGTTTCATTTTGGAATGAATCCTGCATGAAACACTGGTCTCCTTCAACCCCTTGGATGAACCACTCTTGTAATGTTCAGTTGAAAATGTTCAACATAAGGGTGGTATATAAATAGCATATGCAAAAACCTCTAAATGAGTGAGTATGCAAAAGACCTCTAGATTTACCTTCCCCTGTTGCAGCCACAGGATCCACAGATGGGTCAAATCCTGTTCATGCCCATCTTAAGAATACACACAGCTGGGAAAACCAAGTCTTCACAAGAATGAACAAAAGCACCAGCAGCGTGGGAAGACAGCACCAAAATTCACAGATTCCCCCAGCAGCGGGAAGGCTCTTGCAGCAAGCCCCGTGTGCATGATAGAGCTCTGCTATTAAAGAAAATTATAGCCCACTTTAATGATGGGCCGTAAGGATGCCTCTTGCTTAGCACTTTGACAAGTGTGGGGAACAAAGAGTGCGACAAGTTGGGCTCATCTGTAGCGGTTTGGCATGAGCTGCGATATGATTATAGCGCTTCATTTATTAGACTGGATGACAGGAAAGGTGGGGTTTTTGCTCGTTTGTTTTGTTTTTGCAGAGGCTTGCTTTGTGTTTCGAATTTGCAGGAGCAGAGTACCGTAAGACACAAATTTATATCCCTTGGCATAGTGCACTTTTAATACATGCAAGAGGGTAGTAGAGTTAGCAGAGGCATGCACATTCTCAGTGAACGCCTTGCAATTTGCACCAAGAAAGCCGATTTTAGAAACCTGCATTTATTATGTCCTGCTAGTCAGTGAAAAGGGCAGGTACTCAGCCATGGAGGTTCTGCCACCTGATCCCCTGAATTCTGGCTCAGACACCATTGCTTCTGCTGCCAAGGCACCCTGCAGCAGAAACATCTATACTCTTAAATTTTTACATCTGCACTCCACTTTAATCTGGAATTATGCATTTTACTTGCGTTCATTAACCCAGGTAAAGAATTGCCGCCAGCCATTAAATGTGAGGGAAGTCACCCATGGTGGTTAAAAGCTGTTGCACTTTACAATAATCCACAAATGGAACAGCCATGTGGGCTCTAGCCTGCCCAGTTAGAGGGGCAGGAGGCATGCACATCCACTAATCTGGCATGTTTCTTTGGTCTTCACCACTACTTTTATTTCCCTTGCTGCCCTCGGCCAATAAAGCAAGATGAGCACTGCAACCCCAGAGTCGGCCATGACTGGACCTAATGGTCAGGGGTCCCTTTACCTTTAAAACAAATTGCAGAAAGCAAAACCAACAATAGGCATGCAATATAAGTATACTTGGAGGCAGGTTGAGTAAGGCATCCAGGTCTTTTTGCTTCAGCTGAATATAAACTGCACTGGCACATTGACAGAGGGAGCTTGTGTTCCCCTTTGCTCTGGCAAGTTCCCTCTACCACCCCAGCTTCCGGTGAAGCATGCAAAGGTAGGGGTGGGCGTCTTCCCTCCCCTTCACAAAATGTCCTGTTCAGGAGGCCTCTAAAGTGCTTTAGCAGCAAATGCACAGGAATAGCTGAGTCCCAGTAGAGGGAGTAGAGGACTGCAGGGAGATTTGCCTGCCAATTCAGTCTGCACCTAAGGGCTTTTCTGAGACTTGCCAGATAAGCAAAACAAGCAGACCTAGGGCAAGAGGATTCCTTTCAAGCAGGCCTAATGGCCTGTTTAGCTTGTTAAATTGTTTGTTCGAGGATCAGATCAGAAAATGGAGCTATCATCATCCCCTGGCTCCAGGGAATCTCATGAAGCCGGGAATAACAAATTACAAAAATCATACTTGGCTCTCAATTTTTAAAAAGCTCACTCAATTCCCACAGAAGCCGACCTTCTAGAAAGAAGGGGCAGAGAAAGTAGAAATATGTGTGAGGCACGATTCTCCCAACCTTCAGGGAGTTGGGTGTTGCTGATGTGTAGCGATTCTCTCCCTGCCCCCCTAACCCACCACTAAGCTTTCTCTTTCTTAGCATTTTGATGGAATTTAAAAATGGAGTTTTCAGCATCCACTTTATAAGTGATTTGTAATGTTTTCTACTATCTTCTTTTTAATGCTTTTGTGTTTCACTCTTTAGTCTTCTTATTTATTGCTATATTCATGGTTTTCTTTTACAGTGGACGCTCAGGTTGTGAATGTGATCCGTGCGGGATGCACATCCGCAACCCACTGCCTCCGCAACCCGCAGCGGCACACCTGCGCGGGTTGCAATTTGGTGCATCTGCTCATGCACAAAGCGCAATTTAGCGCTTCTGCGCATGCACGACTGCTGAAACCCAGAAGTAACCCGTTCTGGTACTTCTGGGTTTCGGTGGTCTGCAACTAAAAACAAAAACAAAAGGCAACCTGAAGGGTCTATACCCCGAGGTATGACTGTATAAGCTACCTGGGGGAGGAAATTAAGTGTGGTAATTACTGTATAAACAATTTGCTGCCTGAAACTAAGAGAAAGGACTGCTTTTGCAAACTCCCAAGAGCAGTGAATGCGCTCTCTCTCTCTCTCTCTCTCTCTCTCTCTCTCTCACACACACACACACACACACACACACAGCTTAAAAATATGGTGCTCCAAGGCTGCTCAGGACAAAGCTTTGCAGATGTAACCATAGCTGCTAATTTGGATGTCTAGGCTGCGGCAGCATGCAAGCTTGCTGAAGAGGAAGCTCCACTGAACTCGGGAGGACATGCTGTTGAGTAAAGAAGCATAGATTCAGGCAGTAAATGGGCAGACAGAGATTTGCTGGCAAGCAAAGGGGCCTGCTGGACCCATTAGACAAAGACACAAGTGACATGCAAAGCATACTGTGCTGCCTTTTCTTCCCCTGCAGAGCAAGCCAGAGGCTTAGCAGTGAATGCTCTCTGCAGCCAAGACGGGAGTTTGCTTTTCATCCCCATCCCAGATTTTCGTGAACTGGGCAGACACATCTCTCCCCCCCCCCCCAATTTGCTGAAGTAGAGGAAGAGCCACTTCACACGCCATTTATGGCTCCTGTTTGCCTCAGCCCATGCAGATGCCAAACTGAGCTCCTCAAAGCCATACATATCCAACTGGTCGTTGCAAGAGCTTTTTAGAGAAACTTCACAACCATGTCAGCTGCTGTGCGCTCTTAAAACCATAATGTGTTTTCTGGAGGTTTAATTAAACTAAGAGACCATGTGCTTTATAGGAAACCAAACAAATGAAAAAGTGTTTTTAACTTCTGCTTGGTAAAAACTGTAAAATGGCTTAGTTTGCACACAAAAGGAAAGTCATTTACTTGGGTACTTGGACTACTAGTCTACGTACACTTACTGGAGAATAAACCCTACCCAGCTCAGTGCTACTAAATTTCAAATAAACCTGGATTTATTATGCATCTCAATACAACTCACAAACCATTTAAGGTGTAATCCTATTTCTGCCAAAGGAAAACCCACTAAAATTATGGTAAGATTGGGCTTTGGAGCTAACCTCAGGACAACGATTATCCAGGAAGTTTAGCCACAATTTGCAGAAACCTGATTTCATATGCAGAAGATAACACCCAAATTAAGAACACATGCTCTCATTCTGATTAAACTGGTATCTGCTGTGAAAATGTTGAGTTCTGCCAGAGTTGGCTGGCAGAAAACAGTAGGATGACTGCTGGACCCAAGCTGAAATTGTGAAACCCTGACGGTAGCTAGCTCATTATTAACCACAAGTGAGTTATCTGAAGTCATCTGAAGAAGTATGCATGCACTCAGAAGCTTTTACCAAAAACAAACTTAGTTGGTCTCTAAGGTGCTACCAGACATTTTTTAAAATATATTTCCACAAGTCAGTTGTGCGTCTCAAGTGAAATATAGGGCGCTCCTACACATTAGGAAGCAGAGTCCTTAAATAGTTGTCTCATTTATACCCAAACTTCCTCCAAGGTATGCAAGTTCCCTCATCTGCTCTTCACAACAGCCCACTAATATAAGGCATGCAAACTAGGGAGTTTCATTGCTAAGTAGGCATTATAAACTTCGTTCTACACATTATCTAGCAGCATCAACAGCCTGGCTCCCACTAAGCACTGTACATCACATGTTGGGTAAGCCAAGGGGGGGGGCACCACCTCATCACTCTTGGCACATTTGGCTAAAGATCACGCCCCGCCCCACCCTGCTCGCCCTCAATACTGGCACAAAGGGACTACAGATAATCTTTAGCTTCTCAACAGTGACCAAAGCAGCCTTGGCATTTCTTCACAGAATCTTCCCAATTGTTTGATCCAGCAATGTTGTTGACATTCCCTGCCTCGTGCAGTGGCCTCAGCATATTTGAAGGCTGACATGATGCATGCTGAGACGCATTTCTTCCTCCTTCTTACTCGAGGGAGTTCCATGGTTTGGCTCTGTATGTGGGAGTGCCTGGCGGAGCATGCCTAAGTCACATGAATGCACACACTTGTTGTGATGTGAGCACAGAATCGGAAAGCCTGCGGATGAAGGGGCTCTTTCAGAGGTCGGCTAGCTTCCATTTCCTTCCTCTGGCAGTGCTGCTCTTTGTGGGCAATGCATTGCGTGGGCACTTAAGCAATTTCTGAATCAATTGCTGTAAGAAGTGACCCCGAACAACACCAAAGGTGACACCGGGTAGCATTTTATGTCTAGGGAAGAGCTATCAAAGCAACAGAGGAGCAAAACCACGAACACAAAATGTGTTGGAGGTGTCAAGAGTTCTGCTCAAAAGCAAGCCTGTATGCGCAGCCATATGATGCGGGGGACAACTTCCACTTGCAAAAATATTTCTGCTCATTATAGCATGCTAGCAAGGACGATCTGGCCCACAAAATCTAATGGAGCATCGGAAACAAGTGGAATGCAGTTTCTAATCTTCTCAGACTGCTCTGCTTTCAAGTTTAGGGTGTTATTTGAGGACTAGAGAGGAAAATCTGGGGAAGCTACATTCCCATCTTTGCTCTCTTACTGAGCCTTGTTTCAAATGGAAGTGAGAATCAGAGCCTGCAGACACTTGACAAGAAATTCTCCTACAATAAAAGCTAAAGGTAAAGGGACCCCTGACCATTAGGTCCAGTCGTGACCGACTCTGGGGTTGTGGCACTCATCTCGCTTTACTGGCCGAGGGAGCCGGCGTACAGCTTCTGGGTCATGTGGCCAGCATGACTAAGCCACTTCTGGCGAACCAGAGCAGCGCATGGTAACGCTGTTTACCTTCCCGCCGGAGTGGTACCTATTTGCACTTTGACGTGCTTTCAAACTGCTAGGTTGGCAGGAGCAACAGGAGCTCACCCCATCGTGGGGATTCGAACCACAAACCTTCTGATCAGCAAGTCCTAGGCTCTGTGGTTTAACCCACAGTGCCACCCGCGTCCCTTAAAAAGCTAAAGGTAGCTACTGTATTATGTATTATGAAACCTGACCCCCATGCTAACACACAAAACTTTGATGACCGAGCAAATATATGTGCTTTATTTTTTATAATAAACTTCATTTGATTAATAAACAAACCTGTTTCAGCAGGTTTAAAGCAGCATAAGGTTTCAGGGCCAGCTACGAGGTCTGCAATTCACCTATTGCTGGTCTGACACAATACATAAGGCTCAGTCTCAATGTAGAGTGATCCTGCCGAGAAAGGTGCTGAGGACTAAACTGATGAAAAGTTATTTGTTTTGTTCTCTGCTGCTGAAATGTGTGTCTGTTGATGCTTAGGCAGAGATCATCTAAAAGGTTGAGATTGGTGCTTGAATCATAGAGCAGAACAGGCCTGGCTTTCGTAGCATGTTTTAAGAAGACTACAGTGGAGCCACAATTTGGTTAAAATTGTAGGGAGTAGGAGGTGGGACCTTTGCATTAAATTAAGGGCCTCTATACCTTCTCCTCCTCACTCTTCCTATTTGAACACTGATTTGGAGTGACACTGAGCCCTTGGTTCGTGACTGATTTAGTTTCCCTAATATGAATCAGTCACCCAAATGTACTGAGGGAGAAATTAGAAACCTTTACGGCACCAACGGAGCAGCAATAATTGTCATGCAATTTGTAAAAACCCTTGGCACCAAGAAAATATCAAAGGGCAACATTCAGTAGTGATAGCAGTGAGGTCTGATGGTGAACTGAAGGAACTAGCAGCAAAGTGGGTGGACTGAGATATGAAAGCAAGCAAACTACATGGTGGTGTGGAGAAGGAGGAGGATTCTGGCATGGGAGGCTACCCAAAACTTACAGGAATGAATGAAGGTGTTGACAGTCCAGAACTGGTACCAAGCCAGCATCCCTTTTTGGTACTGTAGAGTCCTCTTATCAATATGGTTTAAAAATGGGTGAATGAAAGATTCTTTGAGCAGGATTGCTCCTATTTCCTTCCCACACACCCCACTCCCTCGAGCAAGAGGTCTGGATGCTCTGGACACTGACCTGAATGAGTAAAATGAAGCAGTTTCTTTTCCCGGTGGTAACATGCAGTGTTTTCCCATTATAGGGGTGCGACACAGAAAGAGGAACCCCAGTCGCTACTCAACTTTCTGCTCAACTTCAGATCATTCTTACAGTCCCAGCACCCAGGACTCTCCTAAAACTGTCCTATGCTCCTCCAAAAGGAAGGATCCCACAGCTTGAGTTAATTTTAAATAACAGCAATTCAGTGGCCAATAAGTAGGTGCAAAGTGTAGCTCTTTTTATGCCCCATTATTTTGAGAGACCACAGGAAAAAATGCACCACAAGCTGGTTCCCAGCCTGTCACCATGAGAACAGCAAACTGGGACCAGGTGGTTCCAATACACAATCCTCATCACTAGAGGGTCCTGTCTTTAACCACCTTTTACCACAGTCATTCCTTTCTTTAAACTTCAAATAAAGAAAATTCCAAGGTCTCCTTGGGCAGCTTGTACTAGTGCTGAACAGCTCAAATAGCTGAAGATGCCATTCCTGAAGTTTAATTCCTTCCTGAAGAGTAACAACCATGTCTTCTCTACCTGGTCATGACTTTTCGGGGGTGTGTGTGACAGTGACATGGATAACGATGCCACGTTTAGGGGAAGGAACACTATCAGTGAAGGAGCAATGAAGTAGGGTGGTGCGGATTCAAGAGACATGGGAAGAATAGTGGGGTGGGAATGAAGAGGAAAGCTGAGGGTGAAAATTCAAATGAGCTGGCAGGAATGCAGTTAGAGCAAGTAAATTGACAATTTTTCGAAAGCCCTGATCTAATAAAAATTATTCTGAAGAAAGAATCTCAAGAGCCACAGGGGACTAGGGAAGGAAAAGCAGCTAAGGGAAGTAGAAGGAGGAAATACATCAAGAGGGAAGCTTTCTAACATGTTATAAGCTTCCCCAATCAAGGTATATTAATGTAGATTCCTTTCCTTTTTTCTTTTTTTAAGTGTTGTTGTGAAGGCAAGCTAGCAAGCCACATAGGACCGACATCTAAATTGCCTGTGCCTGATTTATTTCAAACACAAGGTCAGCTTAACTCACTAATAACCAAAGTCATTTCTTCATGTTCCAAGAGCGGATTTGCTCAGGTGCTCGACTTGGCTTCCTTGACAGATTCATCAACAATGAATCCCAAAGTTAAGTGTGTATATATAAGTGACCATGCATTCCTTCCACAGGCGAAGGTGAAGCTAAGAGGTTGTTGGCTGACATCCACCGCTGAAGTGGACTACTTGCAGGGTCATGAAAAAAAGGTTCTGCTGCAGCAGATCTCCAACCGAACGCTGGTGAAATGCTGCAGTTCAAATTAAATCTTGGCACAGATCATGGCGGGGGGAGAGGGGGAGGATGCACATGGCTGGAGGAAGAGATGAAAAATGTAAGCCATGAGCAACTTAGAGATGGAGTGAAATAACAAATCCTCTCACTGACCTGAATTTACCTTTTGACCCAGCATGCTTTCAAACCGATCTTCAGCTCAGCTAACTAAAGGACAAGTGAAGCTGCTTCTCTCTATTTCAGGGGTGGGGACTGGATCAGGCAGGAGGGCCAAATCAGTAGCTTCCACCTTCCTCACAGTCCATGTCTGACCAGTGGGTTGAGTCACCCACTTGCCTATCAACTGACATCACTATTATATTAGGTGACTTCAATTCACAAGGGCCTTCAGAAACTTATTTCAAAGCATGATCTTGAGCCAATGATTTGAAAGGGGCTTTGAAAGGCACCACTGATTAGCCCCTTTTGGCTGAGCCAGGTATTTCCCTGCTCCACACCTGACGTTTTATATGACATCAGGTGAATGACAGGTACAGCCTGGCAGTCCTCATTAAGCCTATGGGCTTGAGGTTTCTCATCCCTGCTCTATTTTAAGAAAGGTGTGAAGCAAAAATGCCTTGAAGCACAAATGCTTTCCTTCTTGAACTGTGAAAAAAAGCAAAAGGTAGACACTGAGTTTCCTGATTTCCAGACACAATCTCCCTAATGAACAGCCCCTAGTTGGAACACTTTCTGGTGCTCTAAAGATTAGGCTTATATTAGCATACATAACCACCATGATCTTATTTTTTTAATGGTTATGCTCTGTACTCCTAAGCTTCAAGAATTCTGATACAACTCAAAGTGTGCTTTCAGCAGTTAGCATATTTGTTGGCAAAATAGGTTTACAATCTCATTTCCTGTTTTCTTTTCATTGTGACATCTGTATAATTTTGCCCCAGATGACTTGAGGGGCTTCTCTCTCACTCCACAAGAGAAGGGTGATGCTGCCACCAGAACCAATATGGGGTGATTAAGCAGGACTGTGTCCTACTCTCACTTTACAAGGTTTCTTAGCTGTTTCCTCCAATGCTCATCTATTCCCAAGAACTATTTTTTTTAAAAAAAATCTAAATTTTCAAACCTGAAGCACCCATTTTATGAATATTATCCCCCTCCTTTATTGAAATTCAAAGCAGCTAACAGAAGTTAAAGCCTACACAAAATCAATATTGAATTAAAGCTATAACACTTCAAAACCACAGAAAACAACAAAACAATAAAAGCAACGAGGTCAGATTGATTGAAGTATCACCCCACCCCAAAGCCTCAGTTTTGGGACCTGATTACATTGACATAAGTAGGGGTTGCCAACCTTTTTGGGCCCATGTGAGAGAGTGTTGTGAGCACCACCCTGCCACCTCTCCATACCTTTCCCTGTGCTAGACAAAACAGAAAGAGCAAAGGTACATGCATGTGGGTCTCTCTACTATTCCAGGGTGTCCGGGTAAATATGAGATCTAACAGAATTAAAAACAGATCCACTTGAGTATGTCTGATTTTACACAGTGTCCCCTTAAACCCCACTAAATTAAAGCTTCCACCAGTAGCAAACTGCACCGTAGCAAACTGCACAGTAAAAAGAACTGAATGTATGATTTTCACAGTTAAGTCAATGGAGGCAGGTATGACCTGCAATTTGATGATTGTTGGGGGAAGAGGAAACATGAAGAAAACATGCAATTCTAAGAAGACCAATTTTTCTGAATCTGACACAGGCATGTGTGAATCCCTGCACATGCCTTCTCTCGCACAAATTTATTCTCCCCCCCTCATCCACCCCCCTTGGCACCACACCTTATCTTTCCTTGCACCTCTGTTTTCTTCCTCCTTTCCCTTCTAACATCTCTGTTGCTCTGCTCTCGGCTGCTCAAATGCCAAACTCAACTTTGGAAAACACAAGGCGTTGAAAGAGGAAATAGGAAAGACTCTCAGAGGCCTCATGGGCACCAGGTCAAGCTCTCAAGGGTGTCAGTGATCTCATGGGCCTCATGTTGATAATCCTAGCCTTAGAACATGAATGCTTCTGAGCATGCCCAGAATTCAGATCACTCCACAAAGTGAGATCACAGTCTTCCACAGTCTCACATTTAGGTTTACACAGGTCAGAGGAGCTTCAAAGGAAACTTGAGCCCCTTCTCCTGCTTTTTACACTTTATATCTACTGCAAAAATCAGGCAAACATGATTTAAAAGACCTGGCCAGTAAATGAGGATCATTCTGCCCGTTACAGTTTGCCAAAAATATCAAAATGACACTAATGATCTAATGAGCTTTCTTTCTATTGTGTAATGTTGTCCATTCTACATTATCAAAAGCTTCCAACTGTTTACCTCCTACATTAGATGTGAAAGCCTTCGAGCCTGACATATTTACACAAAATCTATAACTATATCAATTTCCATAACTCTAAATCCTGCCCCCCCCACACTTTAAGCTATAACCTACTACCAAAGTCCAAAACAGGTGCTGCCTTAATTTCCTTCCAAGCCAGGACAAAAAATTAACACTTGATGCTAGGATTAAGTTCAGCTGCAATCATTCACTAAACCATGGGGCATCAAGGCAGACTGTGGGGAAGATGACGGCAAAGCAGACAACAGAAAATAAAGTCACTGTATGGATAAAACTACTGCCTCTCCCCACAGGAAGATGATCAAACCACATAAGACAATAGGCTGCCCATTTACCTGTTTGTGAGCATGGTCATAGGAATTGATGTGGTTGTCAAACTCTTGATGCTTCTGATACTGCTTATCACAGAGCTCACAGTAAAAATTTGCTCGAAGGTCCTCAAGGGCCTTGGCAATCGCCTTTTCTTTGTCCACATAATCCTGTAACAGCAGACAGAGTCTATTACACTCTGTTTAACTAGCGCAGCAACAACAAAATGGTCAGGAAAGGTCTAGAAAGCATTAAAAAGGCCTACTGGCAACAGTCTATTTAGCCGCTACTTTTCAACTCACTGCTTAGGCTATACAGTAGTACTTCTGGTTACGTAACCCTCTGGATGCGTAAACTTTGGGATGTGAAAGCAGCAAACCCAGAAGTATTTTACAGGGTTTTGCTGCGTGTGCATGCACAGAAGCGGTCCTCAGGTTGCGGAAACCTCTGGATCAGACCGGACTTTCGGAACGGATCCCGTCCGCAACCGGAGGTACCACTGTACTGGTTTTTTAAGCCGCTAGTTGCCATAGGAATGCAGAATCCAAGAGGCCTCTACCACTGGCCAGGCACAAAGGGTCCCTGAGGCTACACCTCCTGCTACCAGGAAAGATCATCATGGCAAGGGGGAGACCAACCCGGCCCCATTTATCGGCCAGAGAAGGAGCAGCTGCAGGGAGTTTGTTCCCTTCCCAAGTACAGGAAAATGTGTCAGTTACCTGCGACTGAAGAACTGAAGGGAAGCACAGGCTCTGGCCTCTGCCATCAGCCATGTGATCTAGGGCCACTAGAAGGCTTCCCAGAAGGAATTGGCTATTAAGTTTAATAGTTGAAACTGGGTGGACCTGAAACGCATTCTGCTAGTACAGTGCCTTCGGAAGAATTCCAGCAACCAGTCAATGGTCCACTAATGGATCTTGTCCCTTGACTGGTTTATAAAGTTCATGTCTTGTGCATGTGTGACCAAATGAATCTGCACAAAGACGTTTCATCCACAGCAGAGGGAATTCATTTGGGTACCTTGTACTTCTGTCTCAGTTCTTCGGTGTCTTCCTTCTCCACTTCCAAGACCCGCCTCCGTTCTGTGGCGTCTTCGGCATAATCAAGCTAATCAACAAAAGCAGAGAGAGATCAGTCAGCCATGCATGCACAGTGAGCATTACCCAACCAGAGAAAACGTCACATGTAGCAAACATGCAACTGATTCCTCTCCAATGTGAGTCTGCTCGTCCCCACAGTGAGAACAAAATACAAAACAATTAGCTAATTCTTTCCATGCTGGCGAACCCCCAGTAGGGACACCAGATGCTAAGCAATAGATTTTTGTTTCAAGGAAATTAGTTTTATTTATTTGATTAAGCAAGATTTATACACCATTTAAGAAAAAAAATCTCTAAGCATGAAGGTGCACAAAACTAGGAGCCCGACATTAAGGTTTCAATAGGATAAAAAAAGAAAAAGAAGAGGGCAGTTCCCCCCACAATACTGCCAAGCTTAATCCCTAAAAAAGAAAGCAACATTCAAAATTTATGCCAACCCAGTCTAAGAAATAACTGCATTGTTTTATTCAGAGCCTATTCTGTCTACTCTGGCTGACAGAGACTCTCCGAGGTCTCAAGCAGAAATTTTTCCTAGTCCTGGAGAGCCTTTTAACTGGAGGTGCCAAGAAGAGATCCTGGAAACCTCAGCACACAAAGCTAGAGTCCCTTCCTGACTATACTGACTCTGAACTTTTGGAAATCCCAAATTTAATTATTATAACTGATAGCTACTAACAATAGCAGCATGAAACCACCATCCATCTGTCTGGTCCCTTTTAAAGCCTTCTAAATGAACAGGATTCACCACATCTAGCAGAAACTGACGCCACGTACTTCTGAATTTCCATGAATCTGCCGGCAATTCCAATGGATGGCCCCGGCTCATGTTTTGAGAAGACAACTGTAGCAATTGTAAGGCACTGCGCTAGAGACTGTATGATTTTTAATTATAGTTTTACACACATGTCATGGACTACCAGAGTGAAGCTTGCGGGCCACAGTTTGGGAACTTCTGGTAGGATGTTTGGCATCAGCTACAAAGCAGAGAAGTCACCACTGCTTCTCCAGTGTGCTCAGCAATCAAAATATGCTGCATTCTTCCGACATTGATTATAGTTCATCAGTTCATTAGGTTACTTTCTTAAATTTGGCGAGTTTTGCTCACATCATCAACAGCATCAACTGAGTAACCTTTCCCATGGCACAGGTGTGGGGCAGTTTTGTATTTTTTAGGGGATAAGCAAACTTTTGTGCACAAGAATAGTAACAGACCCAATTAATATGTTTGTTAAATGTTCAATTACTATTTTAATCAGCTGATTGAAGGCTAATATACAACTTTCTTTCCAGGAAAAGAAAAGTGGAGGAGGAGGAGTCTGTGTTCTCAATGTCAAGTCATTGAAGATATTCAAAATCTTCCAAAAGCACCCCCTCCCCCAAGGAGCTCCATATGTACAGAGGCACTGCATTTTTATTATTGTATAAAGCATCTCTATAGCCCTCCTTGCCGACAAAGGTCAGTTTAGTTAAAGCTATGGTTTTCCCAGTAGTGATGTATGGAAGTGAGAGTTGGACTAGAAGAAGGCTGATTGCCGAAGAATTGATGCTTTTGAATTATGGTGCTGGAGGAGACTCTTGAGAGTCCCATGGACTGCAAGAAGATCAAACCTCTCTGTTCTTAAGGAAATCAGTGCTGAGTGCTCACTGGAAGGACAGATCCTGAAGCTGAGGATCCAATACTTTGGCCACCTCATGAGAAGACTCCCTGGAAAAGACCCTGATGTTGGGAAAGGTGGAGGGCACAAGGAGAAGGGGGCGACAGAGGACGAGATGGTTGGACAGTGTTCTCAAAGCTACCAGCATGAGTTTGACCAAGCTACGGGAGGCAGGGAAGACAGGAGTGCCTGGCGTGCTCTGGTCCATGGGGTCACGAAGAGTCAGACACGACTAAACAACAACAACACATACTGTACACTGAATGGTAGATCACTTACCTCCATTTCCATCCGTCCCATGCCCATGACATCATATTTGACGACAATCGGGATGGGATCCGTCCTTCCTGCAAGAGAAGAAAACCGGTTAGGGGTGTGTTGGGTGGGGTGGGGAGAATGATCAGCCTCTGGTGAGTCGCTTTGTACACATTGGGTTTGGGTTGGTTAGAGATCTTGCCTTGGAGTGCAGAGACCAGAAAGCTACAGAGAACCAAACACAAGCCATTCTCACAGCTTACAATCACAAGCCCGCACATTTCGGGCGCCAGACCTGTTCTGCTTTTAGCCCTTGCTGCCGGCAGCTCTCAGCCCAGATATTCTAGCAACTTTACAGTGAGATCAAACACCCTCACACTGGAAGATAAAATAATTCAGGGCATGGAGGAAGAACACAAAAGAGAGATTCAGGTGATGAAACAGAATACTAGGTATTCTTGAATGATCTTGGCTGAAGATCAGAAATGTTCTAGTTAATAAAAATGCATTAATGCCCAGCAAGTCTAGCTTTACAAACAAAATACTGAAGTGATGTCATAGGAATATAGAATTCTTCCCTCTGCAATGTTAAGCTTTAAGACTTTCAACCAAAAAATGGGCCTCCTGGATTCTGCCACTCTGGGTGTCCTATCCTTTACTTGTAAGCTGTGAAAAGGACTAGTTGCGAAGAAAACTGACTTTGAAACTAATCAAACTATGCTGAAGATTCCGTACGTATTTTTAATTCACTCATAACCAGCCAAACAAAGCAAAATGGGGCAGACGAGCACTTTGACTATCACAGCCTTTGGGGGGGTGTTTATTTTTACATCACAACATGCGCTGTGAGTTGTGATGTAAGGCCACTGGAAAAAAGGAGTTACTTACCTTATCCGGTGCATACCTTGAGTGAAAAAACAGAACGTTTACTTCCCTTATTATCTGTCTTGGGGGGATCGGTGTCAATAATATACTCTCTTTGTTATACACACAAATACACATATTATTATACCCTTGGGCCAAAAGATGTCCAAGCTTGAGTTGTGCCAAAATAAGGAGACCAGATTGTCAAAACCAATCCACATGGCACAAGAGGTATTGCTTTAGAGAACCCATGTCTCAAAAAGTTGGCTATCAACACCTTTTGACTTTTTAGAGCTAGTGTAGTCCATCTGACAGAGGGCTGCACTTAAGAGACCTGGGTTCACATCTCACCTCTGTCAAAGGACTCGGGTGGCCTTGCCTCTGCTCCTTATCTCTGCAGTATGAATTGTGGCCTTCCTCACAAGATCATTGTGAGGGGTTTTTTATTGAAGAGTTCTTTGCACTTGAAGTGCCATCAAAACAAAGACAAACCAATTCCAGACTCTCCCAGACATAAATTTAACTTGGGAATGAATATCAGCATGGTTCCAAACCAAACAAGTGTCTTACACAGAAGAACCATTTTCAATATATTTATAATTTGGAATGTGGGGCTGAAAGATTCAAATCTAGAAAAACTGGTCTCTCCAATAGCATTTTCCACCAATGTAGCTTTTATATAGGGATATGCACATTTTCAGTAAAAAGGGAGGTGGGGAGGGGATTTTATGCCCAATGGTATAAGAAGCAGTGACTGCAATTTTGAGCAAAAGGACCAAATTCATGATAGCTTATTAAAAACTATACACATTTCCCTACCCCCCAAAAATGTTTGTTTTGTTTTCTTCAAGAGTTGTGATTGTTGTATCCAAGTTTGTGATTGTGGCGGGCTCCTTCATAATATGAAGAATGCATCAGTACTTTTGCTTTCTAAGGCAGTCAAAGTTTTTAGTTTTTCAATTAGCTAGAAAATTGCCGTAGCAACTGCTAACAACACCCACCACATGTTGGGAGAAGGGAGGCGGGAAATCAAGTTTGGACAATATTAGAAATTTGATATTTGAAGTGATTCTCCACAAATTTTTGGCAGCTCTAACACAAACATCCCTTCTGAGCATTAACCCCTCAATGAACAAGGATCAGACACGAAAGAGTGCATGAAGAAATGGAAAGGAAAAAAAGGGAAATGAAAAGACCAAGCAGAAAAGATGAAGGCTACAACAGAGAAAAGTAAGCCTAACATATTTGGTGCTCTGATGACAAAAAAAGAAGTAAATTCAGTCTGAAAATTAAAAATTACCACTAAGTTTACCATCACCACAACAAGTCCCGGATCATTATGCTGTAAAAAAGAAACACCATTTGTTAGGCAGGAAACTGTCAGGGACAGAAAACAGGCCTATGGGGCAGGGGGGATGTGTAGGGGGAAGGAATGAACGTGGCGCCTAAGACTTCCTGCCCACCCGCCCCACCCTTCTTGAAACTGGGAACAAGCTGCAACTCTGGTTTACAAAGTTTTTTTTTTGTAAATTGACAACGAGAACATGTCCCCTGATGTTGTTCGACTACAATTCCCATCATCCCTGAGCACTGGTCCTGCTGGCTAGGGATGATAGGAGCTGTAGTCCACAATCATCTGGGCATCAAAGGTTGAGAAAGGCTAATCTAGTTCCCCCATGAGCTTGAGGGTGAAGGTCTGAAACATGGAGCCTCTTAATCTATGGGATGGCGCCATTTAGTATCTAGACTGGTGCTGGAAGAAGAGGGGCCTGGCTTTGTGCCCCCCTGCATGAAGTCTCATAGAATGGGGGGCAGACTATTACTTCACAAAAGGAAAAACTAGTATGTCAGTGAAAATATTATATGTTTCAACTTATTTCCCCTGATATATTAGTTTTCTATGGTGAGGGCATGTTGGGGGTGTGTTATGAAGCATTCAATCACATGTTTCCACCTGGATGACATTTGCCACTTAAGGGGCAAGTTAAATGAGAGGTGGAAGATCTAATTTTCCAACTTGTTAAGTTGTTCAGCCAGGGGAGTGTGGGACACTTCATAAGAATGATGAACGATGGACAGAGTGGGGGGGGGGAGAGTTAAATTTTCCCGCCACCCACACCAATATCACAATCGATTGTATGCATTTCCCAGCAGGACCAGCAGGCCAGAGGTGGCTGATTTATACTGGGAAAACAATGCATGAGAGAAGAAATTAAACTGATCCAATTCTCTAGTTAGCCGCTATGGCAACTTGAGAATCTGGATAGACTCGGAACATGTGTCACAAAACAAGAACGCAGCTAGCTGTAGCAGTTTCCTTGTAAGAACGTTTGACAACTTCCTGGAAATACATCCACCATGGCCCCTGCTCCATACCCCAATGTAAAGTCATCCTTTCCTTTCCAGAATTCAAATATAAGGGCAAAGGCCGTCAACTCTGCACACCTGTCACTAAATGTATTAATTACACTGCCAAACTGAAGCTCAATTTATTCAATTACATTAAAATTTATGTGCTGTTTTGGGGGCAAAAAAAAAAAAAGTCCCCCAAGAGCTGCTTACATCATTATTATTTTAAGTTATTTTAAGACAAGAAACTGAATGAAATAAGCTGCAAAAAATAAATAGAAATAAATTACAGAAGAGACATCAAGCATCTGCAACAAAAAGCCAGATAATAAGGGAGTATGTCCTTCAATACACCCTGGACCCAAACCATTTATGGCTTTGAAGGTGATAACCAGCACTTTAAAAATGGGGCTCAGAAATAAACCAGGAACCAGTATAGATCAAAGAGTGCTAAAATATCATGCTCTGGATGGGAGGCCTCATCAGCAGCTTAGGAGCAACATTCTGCATCAGCTGCCAGTTCTGAGACAAACTGCAGTTGTCTAAGCTGAACATGAGCAAATGTGTGACAGTGGCTGTATCTGCCTTCTCCAGGAAAAGGCCAAGGATGGTACACTGTCTTAAGCTATGCAGAAGCACTTCTGACTATTGCCAAATGGAGCCAACGAGAAAAGCTGGGCTCAGAAGCACTTTCAGACTGCAAACCTGAGCCCTTCGAAGGGAGTGCTTCCCCTCCAAAAACAGGTCAAACACACCATCTTTCTCGCTGACCAAGATAACTTTGTCTTGTTTGGGTTTTCAGGTTGTTAGACTACACTCTGCTCCCAGGCACCAGTTTAGGATTTCAACTGCCTTCATAGACGATCCCAGTATTTGAGTTACATGTTATCCACATACAAACAACCCCACGCTCTAATTCTCTGGACAATCCCCCTCCCCGCTGTTTCATTCCAATGACAATCAGGATGGAAGACGGGGAACATGACAACCCAATGGCCAAGGACCACCTTCTGAAACCTGCACTCCAAGAAGGACCAGAAACAGCACAAATCACTGCCCTCCCCAGGACCTGACTGGCCAGGTAATCCTGAAAAATACCATGGCTGATGGCCTGAAAGGTCCAAGAGAACATAGATGTACTCCCTAGTCCAGCACAGGCTGTCCACCAATGCAGTCTCAGTCTCTGGGCCCAGAAACCAGAATGAGATGTCTCGACGTGATCTGTATCATCCAATAACTTTTATCTGCCTTTGCCTAATTAGCACACAGTTGAATGGTTTGTTTCCCCCTGGTTCCAGAATCACCTTTCTGAAAAAGCAGAATCTATACTTCTTGGTATAGTGAGGCAAAGTATTTCCAGGGCTGCAGTGTTAAGAAACAGAGTGATGCTTCATGTCCTAAGGATAGCTGAGTTGGTTGGAGTGTGGTGCTGATAACACTAAGCTTGCAGTTTCGAAACCTGTATGGTACAGCTGCATATTCGGGTTGGACTGGGTGATCCTCAGAATCCAATCCAACTTCTATGAAAGGGAGCACCTGACTCTAACAGGTACCACTTGGAAGGAGATTCGTATTGCTTCATTAGGAGGGATGCTGCAGACTGATCCCATCACTAACAGCAAGCTCTCCAATAGAGCATGTTAATTGATTGATTCAGGCAAAGCAATTAATAGTTAAAAGCTGTTAACAACTTCTTCCATTTATGTGTGAAAGAGACCATTTCAGTCTTATTTGTAAGAAGAATAAGTTGTTCTTAAAAACGCTTAACTTCTAAGATGTGAGCAATGCTTGGCGAGATCTCACTTAGCAAAATGGAAGGGGGGAGGAAAGCTGATGGTGTGTTCATGCCTTCTTTGGGGAGACATTTTTCCAAGGAGCTCAGAGCTGCATATAATGAAATACCCAGGCTGTCTTCCTTTCCCCTCAAGGTGCTGGCCAGACAATAAGTTGCCTTTAGGCTAGAGATGTTAAATTTCAGATGAGCCAGAAGGTCAAAACGCTCACTTAATAAATATGTCCAGAGGCAACACACATATTTTTGCATCACCAATAGCAGAGAGCGTGTTTAGAAATATCCCAGCCCTCATCATCCAAGCAATATTTCCACGTACTGCCTGCCAAAATCCTTTCAACAGCACTAGCACCAATCTTCCCTTGTCAACTCCCCCTTTATCGTCTAAGCCCCTTCCCCATTTGCCATTGCTTAAGCCTCAAAATCCCTTCAAGTATCTTGCCAACAAATTTCCACATCATCCAAGCTCTATAAATAAAATTCATCTGAATAAGTATGTGTCACTTTGGGGGCCTTAAAAAGGGTCCCCAAAGCAGCTGAAATAAAAATACATTTAATTTTATTTTCTACTAACTAAATAGGCTACTACCATCTATATTGCATTCCTCTCCCTCCCTCTCTTCCTTATTTCTCTTCTGGGGTGGAGGAAAATCAAAGACTATAGAAGATTCTGTCATGTTCGCCTCTCTTTAGTCAAGTTGTTTGGAAGTTCTGACATAGCAGAGCTTGGGAGAAGGGAAGGGGCTTACTGATTCTTACGGCAAGAAGGGAAACTACTAGCCTGCAGAAGAAGTTGCTCCTGTCCAAATACCAACCCCTTTTAAAATGAAAACCAAGATAGCTTTTTAAACAATGTACATGGTATCTTTACGGCTTGATATTCTACAGCTTAAATACTCCACATACACCCCATGCCATCTGCAGACCCGTGACAGAAACACATGCTTAACCTTTTTTTTTTTAAAGGAGGAACTCCAAGTTGCATTCCTCATACAGCACCTGCCTTAAGCTTTGCAAATATCTGAAAGATAATCTAGCAAGACATGTGGAGGTGGAGAAAGAAAGCAGGCTGTGTGAAGGCTCTGGGTCAGTCCCAGCAGGTGTCCGTTCTCCGAGTTCTCACATTTCCTTGGGATTTAAAGAAACAGAAGTGCTTTTTGAACATTAAAACTTTGCATTAGAAAAAAAGAGCAGGGCTATTATTTACTTATTCATTCAACTTATACACTGCCCGATACCTGGAGGTCTCAGGGCGGTTCACAACAAGACCACAACCTATAAAATCAAACCAAAAGCAATACCCCCCCCCCAAAAAGCCACATTCTAAAAGGGTGTTGGATGTCAATAAGATCAACCAAAGGCCTATGTTTTCAGTTGCTGTGCAGTAAGGACCAATGCACTGTATGCTGCGTAGCAAAGCCCTGAGTTGCAGAAATCCCTCTCTCTCTTTGTTCCAGGCAAGACCAGTGACATCATGCAAACACCTAAGGTCCAGGGACACTATGATTTGCCCAGCACTGGCCTGAGCACTAAGTGTAGGAATCTAAGGCACTGATACTGCAGGATAAAGTGGTACCTCAGGTTAAGTACTTAATTCGTTCCGGAGGTCCGTACTTAACCTGAAACTGTTCTTAACCTGAAGCACCACTTTAGCTAACGGGGCCTCCTGCTGCCGCCGTGCCGCCGGAGCACAATTTCCGTTCTCATCCTGAAGCAAAGTTCTTAACCTGAAGCACTATTTCTGGGTTAGCAGAGTCTGTAACCTGAAGCGTATGTAACCTGAAGCGTATGTAACCCGAGGTACCACTGTACTATAATTCTTAGGCAATAAAGAGCTGGGAATGGATGTCTGAGCCTGACAAAAGCCCCTTCCTGCTGCAGGTTGTTGGAGGGGGGTGGGTGCTAATATAGAAAATACATGCATATAACCAGATATGCATCTTGGCTTACAAATAATAAAAAGGCATTTTTGCTAGCAGCATTGAGTGTTGGAAGGAGCTCTGAAATGAGATAGCCAGTGGGGGTGGGGTGGGATTTGCAATTAAAAAAAAAATATGGTGTGTGTATTGTACTGGATCCAACATGTGTGTGCACCTTAGTTTCTCTGTTTTCCTCCGCACAGTCTCCCAGACTTCTTTCCTTTCCTTTCTATCCTCTTGGCTTCTCCACTTTCTGTTCAAGAGCTCTGAGACTTACACAGAGCTGTAAAAGGAGCAGAAAGGAGCAGTTTGTTTGGTTTCCTGCTTCAGCTGTTAGGTACTTTTCAGGGAGAAGGGCAGTGCTCCCCCCCCAAAAAAAATGTTTAGGGGGTACTCTCATTTTGACGCAAGAAAATCACGATTTTATAGTTCAAATCGGGGGAAATAAATACAGTAAATGGACAAAAGTACAAAGATTCAGAAAATGTTTAGGGGGTATGCATATCCATGCGTACGCCCCCCCCCAAAAAAGGAGCACTGGAGAAGGGTAACATTTGTGATCTCATGATTAATGGGAGGGAGATCTCAGAGGCTTAATGGCCCAAGTTTAGTGTTACAAGGATGAGCCAATGTATGCTCCAAGCTCACATGCTCTGCCCTCCCTCTCTTGCTCTGGCTCTGTCATGGCCATGAGAAAGGGAGGGAAGCATGTGCTAATAGTATTGATTAATCACAGTTTAGCATTATGTGCAGGGACGTGGGTGGCGCTGTGGTCTAAACCACTGAGCCTAGGGCTTGCCGATCAGAAGGTCGGCAATTTGAATCCCCGTGACGGGGTGAGCTCCCATTGTTCAGTCCCAGCTCCTGCCCACCTAGCAGTTCGAAAGCACACCAGTGCAAATAGATAAATAGGTACCACTCCGGCGGGAAGACAAACGGCGTTTCCATGCGCTGCTCTGGTTTCGGTGTTCCGTTGTGCCAGAAGCGGCTTAGTCATACTGGTCACATGACCCAGAAAAACTGTCTGCGGACAAATGTCGGCTCCCTTGGCCAGTAAAGTGAGATGGGCACCGCAAACCCAGAGTCATCTGCGACTGGACTTAACGGTCAGGGTCCCTTTACCTTTTTTAGCATTATGTGCAAACCCAAACTATGTTGTTGTTTAGTCGTTTAGTCGTGTCTGACTCTTCGTGACTTCTGTTTCTTTAAATCCCAAGGAAATGTGAGAACTCAGAGAACGGACACCTGCTGGGACTGACCCAGAGGCTTCACACAGCCTGCTTTCTTTCTGCACCTCCACATGTCTTGCTAGATGGTCCTTCAACAGCAGCTAAGCCGGATGTTCAGCCATGAGCATGCACAGAAAGATGTGTGCAGACAGACCGTTTCAGAACTGCTTCAGTGACGTATGAGCATATCGCAGATTTAAAATACTTTATTTAAAAAACAAACAAGCCATATGAGCAAAAGAGCCTCTTATGGGAATATTTGGGAACCGGTTATCCAGAGTCTGTGAATATGTGCATCCTGCTGAACTGATTCTAAAGCATGCCCTGTTAGCGTCTGCCAACTTTTTACGGAACCAAGGAAACTTGCTCCAACTGCTAGAACCCTAGTTACAAAGTTTCACTAAATCTACCCAAAAGTCACATTCCGCATTTCTACAATGCTTTTAGTTGCAGGGATAGCTATCCTGGTTTCCTCCAGATATTGTTGGGCTTCAACTTCTATCAGCCCCGGATAGCATGGCCAATGGTCAGTGACAATAGGAGATCTAGTCCAGCAATATCAGGATGGCACCCATGCTTTGAATAGAGAGTTGTAGAAATAATTATAATTACTAATATTATTAATTAAATTTCTATACCGCTCTTCATCCAAGGATCACAGGGTGGTTTACAACATGGAAACACAAAAATACATAACATACTAACACACACAAAATACACCCTCGCACTTCAAAAGGTCATAAATTGTTTAATTAGCCAAAGGTCTGGGAGAAGATATTTTTACTTGGTGCTTAAAATTATGCAACAAAGGAGCCAAAGTGAATTAGGGCTAAGTCACACCCACACTGCTGAGTCAGAGTTATGGAAGATTACAGATGGCAGTCGGGTGAGCTTATGGTCAAGGTGATTCAGGGAATCCTCAGCTCATACCCTTTAGCTATCATGCTACACCAGCTCCATCTTGCCTTAGCTGAACCCACTACTTGTAGACCTATCTTCAACAAAAGGGCGTTAACAGTGTCCTCTTGGGGTTCTTTCAAACTTCTGAAAAGGGTGACTTTCCTTGCAGTGTAGCAAAGTCTTTTCAAGGGAGAGGTTCGATCTCCAGGGGTTGTAACTAGATAATAATAATAATAATAATAATAATAATATACCCCACCCATCTGGCTGAGTTTCCCCAGCCACTCTGGGCGGCTCGCAATCAAGTTTTAAAAACAATATAGCATTAAATATTAAAAACTTCCCTAAACAGGGCTGTCTTCAGATGTCTTTTAAAAATAAGATAGCTGCTTATTTCCTTGACATCTGATGGGAGGGCGTTTCACAGGGCGGGCGCCACTACCGACAAGTCCCTCTGTCTGGTTCCCTGTAACCTCACTTCTCGCAATGAGGGAACTGCCAGAAGGCCCTTGGTGCTGGATCTCAGGAAAAAAAGCGAGACATTGTCCTTGGATGCTTCACATATACAGTGGTACCTCTGGTTATGAACTTAATTTGTTCCGGAGGTCCATTCTTAACCTGAAACCGTTCTTAACCTGAGATACCACTTTAGCTAATGGGGCCTCCCGCTGTCGCCGCGCCACCGGCACACGATTTCTGTTTTCATCCTGAGGTAAAGTTCTTAACCCGAGGTACTACTTCTGGGTTAGCGGAGTCTGTAACCCGAGGTGTTTGTAACCCAAGGTACCACTGTACTTTCCAGGTTATATAGCTCAGCCCGAATATGGCCTGTCACCTCTTTTCCCATGCACACAGACACAAAAGTGTATGAGCAAAAGTGTAATTTTTCGAAAACATTGCCCCCATGTTAACAATGGCCCATACCAATGCAGACACAGCTTTTCCAGAAGCAGCAGAGAATCAATATTCATAAGGACAATGGGCCAGATAAAAACAGGGATTGGGGTGGCCAAAGTTCCTCAACCCTGAACAATTATGATGAAAGCTGTAATTTGACTTCCAGTGTGGCAATCTCTGCCTTCTCTTGCTGGCAATAAAATGCTACAAGTACTTGGTCATACTGGAATCCTCATTTACACAGCTAGCTTCATTTTTAGTTTGTTTCTTTCTGCTTTGTTCTCCTGTTGAATATATTCATGTGATCTTTTGCTTTCATTGTCTATTCCTGCCACCTTCCTTTCCTGTACCAGTACAACTATTATTGCATGCATTGGTTTCACTATGAATAATTTACCTCCTCCTTGCTGTCTTCCAACATCTGGTCCCAGATATGAAAGCATATGCCAGTCACGCTCCTTTCTGCACAACTGGTTTTATAAGCCAAGAGGTACAACAAAATATCAGGCTGATTTATAGCAGGCTCCTCACAAGTAGCTCTCTGCTCTTCAGGAATGGAATACTTCTCCTTTTTCACAAAGGATTTTCACCTTGAGGTGTATACATCTCAAACAATACCTAGCCAAAAACATCTAGATTTCTTTCTGTATTTAAAATATGGCAGCATATACATTGTTCTTGGCTGTGCCACATTCATCTTGACAGGAAGGAAAGTTCCATCTATATTACTGATATATGATATGATATGATATGATATGATATGATATGATATGATATGATATATTATATATGATATAATAATTTTCAACTTGTCAGTTGCCTAACACTGTAACCTCTAGGTGACGTACAATAAAAAGTTAACACAAGTAAATGTAATATTGATTATACGGTAGGTGATTATAATACAACTAATAATCAGTAAACACAAATGAAAGCCAACTGTCCATTTATAGGGAACAAGATAATAACATATATTGAAACAGATTGATTATTATTGTTATTGTTATTAGCCTGGGAGAAAATAAAGATCTTCACCAGGTGTCAGAATGGCATTAATGCAGGAGCCAGATGAGTTGGGGAACGCATTCTACAAAGCAGTGGGTCACCACTGAAAACCCTCTCACTGCCACCCTTTGCACCTCAGAAGGAGGAGGGCTTCTGTACATGCTCTTAAGACCTGGGTAGTACCTAGTGCAAAGAAGTGTTACATCAGGTAACAGGGCCCTAAGCTGTGTAAGCTTTAGTTTATAACAGGGAGGCCCAAATTTTCACATCAAGTGGGCCGCAAGAGTACTTTAATACAGAACTCACGGGCCACACACTGCCTTGTCGACTGGGGGCGAGGAGTGAAGCCAAAATTTGAAGACCCTCCAGCCCCCCCACTGGCTTCCCAAAGCCGGCTAAACAAGGTGTTGGACTTTGGGAAGGAGGCATGAAGATCTGAAAGAATCCTAGACCCTCCCACCTCCTTCCCAAAGCTGGGAAAGTGCTAGGTAGGCTTTGGGAAGGAGGTAGGAGGACTCTGGGTCCCTCTCAGAGCCCTCATGCCTCCTTCCCAAAGCCCAACACTATACTTTCCTCGGGCCAGTATACCTGAAGGAGCGTCTCCAACCCCATCGTTCTGCCCGGACGCTGAGGTCCAGCGCCGAGGGCCTTCTGGCGGTTCCCTCATTGCGAGAAGCAAAGCTACAGGGAACCAGGCAGAGGGCCTTCTCGGTAGTGGCGCCCGCCCTGTGGAACGCCCTCCCATCAGATGTCAAAGAGATAAACAACTATCTGACATTCAGAAGACATCTTAAGTCAGCCCTGTTCAGGGAAGTTTTTAATGTGTGACATCTTAGTGTATTTTTGGTTTTTGTGGAAGCCGCCCAGAGTGGCTGGGGAAACCCAGCCAGATGGGCGGGGTACAACTAATAAATTATTATTATTATTATTATTATTATTATTATTATTATTTGGGAAGGTAGTGTGAGGGCTCAGGGAGAATGTCAAATGTTCCTGAAGACTGCCCAAAAAAGATATTGAGGGCCGCACATTGGACCACCCTGGTTTAGAGGTTAAAACCAGCACTCAGACTGGGCCTGGAAACAAATTGGAAGCCAGCACAAGCAGGCAAGGATTGGCATAATATGGTCAGAATGCCCTGCCCCTGTTAATAACCTCATCACTACATTCTGCAGCAACTGAAGTTTCTAAACTGTGTTCAAAAGCAGCTCCACACAAAACAACACATTGCCCGAATTCCAGGCAGACGTTTACTAGACCACAGACCACAAAAGCCAGGTTATCTACATCAAGATAGGCTAGTCACCCAGATATGTCTTAAAGCTCGTAAAAGACACATAGCACCAAGGCCATTTGTAGCTTCTGTGATATAATGGACCCAGGAGAGCCCCCAAGCTATGAACCAGGTCCTTTAGCAGAAGTGCAACCGTCTCCAGAACAGGTTGGATACCTCTCATACATGAGTTAATTGGTAATAAACTATATCACTGGAGGTTGGAAGGTAGTAGAGAGCAGGTTTGGGCTGATCTTATCTGGCCTATCTGTAGCACTATCAATAGGTAGACCAACCAGATTATCTAAGTGGACATTCATGCTGTAGACACAAGTCAAGCATAGACAAGGGACATTTTAGGGAAATAATGAAAGCCACAGTAGTAGGATGGGAAGAAGAAGACTGGGTAGCAGCTCAAAGACAATGATTTCAGAAGAGACCTCACTTGTACCTCCCAACCAACCAGCTGAAAATAAGGATTAATTTATCTGCCCCTTCTAAAGAAACCAAATGCCTTCCTTGTGGGAAGACTCTGAAGGGGTCATGTGATCCCCAAGCAAACCTAGGTCAGTAGCCCAGAGGTAGCCAAGCAATGGAACATGACCTGACTTAACCATACTTTATGGAGCCAAGAAGCCTGACCCCTCTAATGGGTCTAGTGTTGAAGGGCCACGTCACTTCAATTGTGGTCCTTGGCAGAGGACGACCCTAAGCAGGGTCTGTGTACAGTGGTACCTCAGGTTAAGAACTTAGTTCGTTCCGGAGGTCCGTTCTTAACCTGAAACTGTTCTTAACCTGAGGTACCACTTTAGCTAATAGGGCCACCCACTACCGCCGCGCTGCTGCCATGCAATTTCTGTTCTCATCCTGAAACAAAGTTCTTAACCCGAGGTACTATTTCTGGATTAGCGGAGTCTGTAACCTGAAGCGTCTGTAACCCGAGGTACCATTGTACAGCCTTTTGCAAAGGCCTGCTCTTTAGGAATGCAACTTCAGCCACCCACAGCACATTCTCAATCACAAGCAACACTTCTGGTTGAGCCATGCCCTTATAGCGTTCAAATAATCAACACTTTCTGCTTTGGGGGTGGGAATCAGCTGCCTATTAAACTTGTACAAAATCAAGATACTATGCTCTCTAGATAACCATTTTGCTACATCTTCAGTAACAAGGACAAAGTGTTGCTAAGCAGCTGAAGGGGCTCCATTCTGCTTTTCAGAAAAGGTTGAATCACTGTTCTTGTACAGAACACTATAACACAAGAGGACAAAGAAGCCACTCTGAAATATGCTTGGAGGGAAAATGTACCCATCCTCTTACAATGCCTACCCAAGCTGCCCACCATCATCGGAAACGGTGGAGTGATCTGGGGAAAGTGGTCTGGAAACAATGCTTGCTTAGCACTGTCTCACCCACTCTAATGCAACTCAATAACTTTTTAAGCACAGTATTGTACTTGCCATTACACTGTTACAGGAGCAGAACTGAGTATTTTAGCTTAACACTGACCCAAATCAGTGGCTGCAGTTGAATATAATGATCACAGTTTATTATCTAAACCCAGAAAAAGCATTTACTGAAACAAGCCAATTTTAAGCCATGGTTTATTAAATTGGTTTGTTTCAGTAATCCATAGTTAAGACTAGTCACAGTTTGCCCAGGTTCAGATAAAACACTAAACCATGGTTAACTGCAGCAAAAGCTTGTTCTCTCCTCCATGTGGCTATGCCTATGGCTTGTTCACATAACAATAAAACAAACTTTGTTATTATCAGATGCAGCCATTAACTGGGATAGGATGAAGAACAAACATTTTCTCAAGAGGCAGTTCAACAGTGGTCCTTTTCCTCACCAGACCATGCGTGAAAACACTGATGAAATCCCTCTTGACCTAACTCATTGAGCCTTTTAAAATGACCCATGTTTAAAAGTCCATCCTATAAACATTGTTGCTGTTAAAATTTATATCCTGCATTTCAGCATCTAGGTCTCAAAGCAGCTTACAACGATAAAAATATGCAAAATTTAGAAGAAATTAAACCCCATAAATTTAAACAAAGAACATCAGAAAATTGAACAACATCGGAGAAGCGTTCATGATGCAAAGGCTTCCTGAAATAAAGTGATTTTAACCAGTCATCTGAAACTCAGCAGGGACGGTGCCTGTCTGAGTTCTGGTGGGAGTTCCAGAGTTGGGCCCACAACACTAAAGTCATAACCTCGTTCATATGAGTTGCACTTCTGGTCCATGGATGACCACCAAGCTCCATCAGATGATCTCAATGATCAATTTGGTATATACAGGGAAAGGCATTCTGGGCCTAAGTTATTCAGGGCTCTGTACACTAGCAGAAAAACCTTGAACCTGGCCTGGTTGCAGATGGGAAGCCAGTGCAAGTCTTTTAACACCAGTGTCATGTGTTGGCAGTAGCCTGCTCCCAGCACCGGTCTAGCCACAATGTTCTGCACTAGCTGAAGCTCCCAGATCAGACTCCAGGGCATCCCCAAATAGAGTGCACCACACTAATACAGAAAAAGCTACTATGGCTATTTCCTGAAGCAAGTGAGCCAAAATTAAGATTGCATTACATATAACCAAACTTGAAAAGAGAAAAGGGGACTTTCCATTTAAAGGAAGGAAAATGCATCTGGAGTACCATCCTTAAGAAAAACACACAGGAATGTGAAGCATTCTTTCTGTTGGTACACTCAGTAGACAACAGCAGCTTAGTTCTCCAGGCTACCATCACCATTTCAAATGCACACACTCAGGCTGCTAAAAAGGAATGTAGGGTAACACCATGATGTGTACTACACCTGCTTTAGATATGGGGGATGTACAGATGCTACCAGAAACCTGGGCATTCCCAAGCACGTCTGCAAAACATAAAGCATTTCACCACCATTAATGGTAGGAAGGCTTCCTGTCTCTAACTAGTGGGAGCCTTCAGACCAATAATTACTGAGTATCACTGGCAATTTACCTTCAGTTTATTGTACAAGTTTATATACTTGACTAGTAGCAGCTGAATCCAGCAATCATTTTGAGCTTTCCAGAAGCAACTGGTAAAGAAGCAAGCATGGACAGCCTTGGAGTTTAAAGTTTGGTCCTCTAGAACAGATACGGGTGGTCAAAACGCACTTTTCAACTGGGGACATTTCCCATTCAATGCAGAGGAATATGGGATAGTAATTCATTGTCTGCTCAACATGGAGCAGAGAGGAACATTAATTTAATCTTCACTCAAGTGACAACCTACACACAGTGAACAGGAGGAGTATTTAATTGCTAAAATGAAGGTGGAAGCAGAATACTGGTATTTGAATAGGAAGTGCAGATTCACCCCAAATTGAAGTGCTTGGGTATCTCTCCCTCTGCTCCTGATTGATAGGTGATTTTGTTTCAGCCTCAACACTCAGAAAAGATACAGAATCTTAACAAGAATAGAGGTGTACGAGAATTAAATTTTAATTTGGGAGAGGGAGAAATGGAGATATCATGGATGTCCTTTGCTGCCAATGTTACATTTTTACCTCCTAGCTCTCCGCACAGGACTGAATACATTTAAATTCCTCTGGCATCAGTATCAAAATGCCTTGATATTCTGACAACCAGATGTGCAGATAGGAGAATCAAAGTCAGTGGAGTGCATCTAAGTAGAGTATATACTGTGTTAGCAGAGAATTGGTAGCTGCTGCTAAATCCCAATGAGAGTTGCAAGACCGCCATACCCATGGCAACCTCTGAATAGTCATCCATCTCAGCTCTCTGCCTTTAACTAGGAGATTGTGTAAAGCCAGCAAACATGCACAGGTTTTTTGGGGGGTGGGGGGAGCGGGGATTCAAGCTACCCTGAACTGCAGCCTGCCTCTCTTGTTCATTTCAAAACCCAAACCATGCACTGGATTTCAAGAACTACACCAACATTTCTAATGTGGGGCTTTGGTGCAATTGGCAATGTACCGCCCATGCCAATCCTGCAAGTGTGCTCTGGAATGTGCAGAGTGTTCCCTGGACACACTTATTCAGCACAATCCCACACTCTCAAATACCTGCACCCAGGAAGGCCTAGCTATACGGGTGAGCTGGAAGGAGGAAGTTGACAAGAGACAGTCCAGCTGCATCTATGACAGCACTTCTCTGCCAACCACTCTAGGTGAGGACAGTGGGGGCCGCAATAATTACGATTAAACCAGTTTGTTTCCCCTCACCCTCTGTATTTACATAAGACACCAGTGTGGCGATGTTTGGTTTTACAAACGGAATTTAGAAAAGCTATTTGATTCTTCAGTCAGAGCTGTCTCTCTCTAGGCATCTTGATAAAATGGCTCTGCTGTATACATTGTACCGTAGGAAGCTGACACAGAATGTAATTATTTCAAGAGGATGTCTATAGATTATTCAAACCAGTATTTCAAACCAATATTAACAATCATTCCACTCAACTAGCTCCCATTTGCTAGGGGTTGTGGTGCTGCAGCTACGCTGCAGTCCAAAGATGATGCAGTGTGCTGTTTACTGACCATTATAAAGCCTCTCTACACACAGGCCTTTGAGACAGACTGGGCTGAACAGGCCGACTGAATGAACAAGCAGGCAGCAAGAGTATTCTTCTCATACAAGTGGCCATTCAAAAAACACACAAGGAGATTGTTCAAAGCCTTGTAGGAAATGGCAGAAAGTTCCCAGAATGCACCGGTCGGTGGAGGGGAAAAAAAAGTCTGCGGGCAGCAGCCCCCTTCCCCTCATCTCTTGAACGGCCAGGACACTATTCCTTGGCCCTACAACAACTGGAATTTATGGGAGTGCTCTTCACTCTTTCAACATTCCACAAGAGGCTGGGTGTGGTGATAAGAGGACTAAGTTCAATTGATCCTCATTATGCCAGAATTTTAAATATGCCTTCTAGGCACAGCTCCAGCGCAGGAGCTCAGAATATTCTTTTCATGACAAAGGGAGCTGCAGTTCACACCTCCAATGATGTATAAATAGTGGAAGTTAATAGAATAGCTTTGAACTGGAGCTTTCAATAGTAGGGGGAAAGGCACAAAACTGAAATCTGGAAAAAAAAATCATTTGTTTTATGATGTAGAGGTAAAGGTAAAGGGACCCCTGACCATTAGGTCCAGTCGAGGATGACTCTGGGGTTGCAGCGCTCATCTCGCTTTATTGGCTGAGGGAGCCGGTGTACAGCTTCCAGGTCATGTGGCCAGCATGACTAAGCCGCTTCTGGTGAACCAGAGCAGTGCACGGAAATGCCGTTTACCTTCCTGCCAGAGCGGTACCTATTTATCTACTTGCACTTCGTGCTTTCGAACTGCTAGGTTGGCAGGAGCAGGGACCGAGCAACGGGAGCTCACCCTGTTGCAGGGATTCGAACTGCCGACCTTCTAATCGGCAAGCCCTAGACTCTGTGGTTTAACCCACAGCACCACCCGCGTCCCTTGATGATGTAGAGAGAATGGTGCAAACCAGCAGTTCTCACACTGTGGGGTGCCTGCCATGACACATGTTTATATGTGTGTGTGTGTTTGTGCGTGTGCATGCACAGAAGGAGATCCTATACAAAAAAATACCAGAGGGACATCTCTCCTAGCTTAGCATTTATAAACATGGAAGGCGCAGAGAGACTGAACACGTGACAGCTTTTGATCACAACAGTCTTCTGCCTCTTCCCTTCTTCCCTGGAGGTTTCAGAATGAAATCTGGAATACCCTATTTTGGTTCTCTTGCAATACCAACACAGGATTATTGTTATTATTTATTAAATTTGTATACCACCCTCCACCCAAAGATCACAGGGCGGTTCACAACAGAAAAATAAGAATAAAAAATATGTAACAAAACAAACAACAAACCAATAACGCTCCTCCTAAAGACACATTTAAAAAGGCACATAATGTTAGTTAATCAGCCAAAGATCTGTTTCACCTGGCACATAAAAATATGCAATGAAGGCGCCAGGCAAGATTCCACAAATGGGGAGCCCCACAGAAAAGGCCTCAGATGATGGTTGCAGGGTCTAGGTAGGTTCAAATGGAGAGAGGCGGCCCTTGAGGTATTTTGCAGTCCTGAGCTGTTCAGGGCTTTATAGGTCAAAACCAGCACTTTGAAATGGACCCAGAAACTATTTGGAAGCCTGTGCAGTTGGTCCAGGATCAACGTAATAACGCTCAAACCATCTTACTCTGGTGAGCAACCTGACTGCTGAATCCTGCACCAGCTAAAGTTTCTGATCCATCTTCAGAGGCAGCCCTACGTATGTGTTGCGGTAATCTAATTAGAGGTTACTGAAGCATAGACAACCACTATCTCTGTCCAGGTGGGCACAGCTGGGCCACCGGCCAATGCTGCGGGAAGGTGCTCTGCACCACTGAGGCCACTTGAGCCTCAAGCAACAACAAGGGATCCAGGCGTACCCCCAAGCGATGTCCCTGCTCCTTCAGAGGGAGTGTAACCCCATCAAGAGCAGGCAACCTCCCATCCAGTCCACGCACGTCACAGCTGGTTGCAGTATAGTTAGCGTGTATGTGAAGATTCTGCACCTTAGCATGCAGCAGTCCAGAAAGAGGCCATGCTGAAAATGTTTGATGGGAAAATAGCTTAAATCAGGGGTCCCCAGTCTTTCTGGGCCTGGGGGCACATTAGGACATCATGTCACCATACAAATACCCATTTCACAAAAGAAAAACTGGTCATGCTTAGAACAGGGGTCAGCAAACTTTTTCTGCAGGGGGCCGATCCACTGTCCCTCAGACTTTGTGGGGGGCCAGACTATATTTTTTGGGAGGAAATAATGAACAAATTCCTGTGCCCCACAAATAACCCAGAGATGCGTTTTAAATAAAAGGACACATTCTACTCATGTAAAAACACGCTGATACCTGGACCGCCCGCGGGCCAGATTGAGAAGGCAATTGGGCCACATCCGGACCCCGGGCCTTAGTTTGCCTACCCATGGCTTAGAATCTGCTCCCATCCCCGCACCCCCAGCAAAGAAACCAAGCAGAATATCTATACCAAAAAAACACCCAACTAAAACAAAAGACAAAAAGAAACCACAGCCAACATCCCTGCCAACCAACTGTTATGAAAAAGACTGGGAGAGACACAAGAGTTTGCCGGGCAGCAGGGAGTGGGGGTCTGATGGTGCCCTGGGAACCATATTGAGGAACACAAGGTTAAATCAAACTGTAGCTCTGCAGATGAAAGTCAAACATATTTTGAAACTGGAGCCAGTCTCCCCAGAACTCAAGAAAATTAGCACGTACATCCCTCTCAAATCATATTATGTCCTTCACACCCCATTTAACATCTTACACAATTTAAACTTTACTTGTAAACTGGACTACAAGAAGAACTGCACCCCCGCCCCCGTTTTTATCTGAATAGGGGCCCTTTCGTGGTGTCATCAAATGAATATTGAAAGTTCTCGTGGCTTGGCTTGCAGAAAACAGTATAAAGGACAGCACTGAATACTTTGTTTGGACTGTTCATGTACTCGACCTGGAGTATCAGCTTGCATAGAAGGATCAATTAAATGAATACAAGTGTATTCCTGCATTACCCTCTGTGGTGCATTCCACATAGTGATTCCTCATAAAATGAACAAACAAACAAACACACATACACACACGCCAGCCAGGCAGTGAGCATCAGGAGTTTGATGGCAATACTCCCATCATGCAACTTTCCAAAAGAGAACTCCTAACAGTGAGCTAAACCAAATAACTAGTATGACAATGCAGTAATTCTTAGGTTCCAACAGCTGCCTGAATTCTGCTTCCAGGAAGAAAACAAAACTTGTCTCTTTATTCCTCTGGCTGCCTACATCACACTCTGCAAATGACTCACTGAGTCTCCAATTTGGAATTGAAAAGTTGGTTACCCAACACAGCACCCCAGAGCTCAAATGCGGTAAAACTCTCATATCAGTTATTCTCTCATATGAATTTTTTTTAAGTCCAAATTAAAAGGTTACAACAGGAAAAGGAAGGAATTAGAAACTGTCAAACACTAGTCAAATCAAGACATTTAACCTCTCAACAAGCAACCTGACTAAATTAAAGCGAACGTCTTTTACATCCTCTTTGTCTCAAGTTTCAAATCACATTGTTCTGGGACACACACACACATACCATCTCAGCAAAAGAACCATTTTCTGGCTAGCTGAGACAGTTCATATCTTCTTCTTTCTTTGTTTTTTGGTTGTGCCTTTATCTGCAAACCAAAATCATGGTGGTACTATGGTCAGCTATCAAGAGGACAGCGTACAAATTTCTCTAAGTTGACTCCAACTGTACTGTCTTCCTTGCTTTCAGTCTGCGTTAAATAAAAACTACATTTCACAGAACAAACCCAATACTAGACCTGTGAGTATTAAGAGAAACTGAGTGCAATATGAGAAACATAAAACTCAATGGGTACAATCAGAGGGCTGAGGGAAGGGGAGGAATCTAGAAATGTAAGCAGAAGTAAAATGAGCATTTTAAACAAATCAGATTTCTTACTTACCCTGGAGAGTTTTCCCCAAGCCCTGGCCCAGCTTCCAGCCATGCTTCTGTAGCAAGCGGTGTCCAATATTATCCTGACAGACAGAACAGAGAAACAAACCAAAAATATTCCAATAATATATTCTTCTCTTCCACAGAAACACATTATGAACAAGACATTTTTCTACATATATGCATGCAAAAGAAATAAAATAAAAACTACTTACGAGCAATATATGCCCAGTAAAAGGGAAAAGATATTTACATAATAAAAAATAATTAACAAAAAAAACAAAAACAAAAACAAAAAACACCTGCTGGCAAGATTTTTCCACAGGAACAGGGTTTCAGGGAGGGTCATCACACTTTCTGATGGTGTGCTGGGCAACTTTTGTGCATAACAAGGGGAGGGGAAGCAATGGGGGAGAAAATAAAAAAATGACATTTAAAAAGCATAAAATCAGCTACTTTATACAATCATATCCATCACCTAGAGAGCACCACTTGATTTGTGCAAAGAAAAACTAACGGATGTGCTTAGTCTGCTTTTTTTCTTTTTTTTAACTTGTTTGTGTGTCAGACTTTAAAGAGACCAAGTTAAGTTGTTAAGTGTCAGACTTGCCCCCACCACTAGAAACCAAAACACAATCAGAGCAAAATCCAGGCTAGACTTGATTGGGTTTTCTTTAAAAATAAAAATAAATCAATTATAATATATATATTATATAACAAGAGATATATAATATACATATATGTGTATATATATATATATATATTAGCATGCAGCCAATTGTTAAACTGAAAATATACAGTGAGGTTAGTAAAAAAAATACAAAACAAATTGAAAATATTAACCGATTAAAAGGAATTTAAAATATAAAATAAAATGAGCTCAAGCACAAACTGGGTGATGCATTTCACATGTAAGCTAACAGAAGTACTAAGATGTTAGAATGGAACAGGCCTAGCAACAGGTTAAAACAGCAAGGAACCATTAGTGCATGTAGGGAGAAAACACAACAAGCATAATGTCTCATCTTTTGAAAATAAAATCAAAATGGTCAAAAATTAATGTAGGCGGAGGGGAAAGTACTGCAGCAATTCAGTGTCAGCTATTTGCACAACAGTTAAAGAAAATAAAAAGGTTTTCTCCTATAGTTAAGTGCTGCATTTATAACAAGGAAAGCCCTGGGGCTCAGGCGTATCTAAGGAGTTTGCTTGGATACCTGGGGGATTACTTTAGAAGCAAAGTTGAGAGGAAGCTGCATTCATCATATGTCCAGAGCTATTCCAACAGCAGTAGAATTAAAATCACACAAATCCCACATAATCTAGGGCAGGGGTGGGAACCCTCTCGTCATTGGGCCAATCCTGGCTGACCAGGGTGTCCAATATGGCCTGCGAAGCCATTTCCCTCAAGCCATGCCCACCCGCTATCAGCAGGGAGCAGCCGAGGCAGCAGGACTGAATCCCCACTCAGCCGATGAGCAGGAATTAAAGCTCTTTGCAGAAGTGCTGTTTGAAACAGTTCACAGTTCTCCTTTAAGCAAGCAGGGTGGGTGGCAGCATCTCATCCACTGCTGCAGCCCACAGCAAAGAAGCAGCACGAGCTGTTTCAAACAGCACTTTTACAAAGCGCTTTAATGAAGTCGTCACATTTAAAGGCAGGCCCCCCCCCCAATGAATCTGGGGACACTTTTCAACTTTAATGGATTTTGTATGGGGATTGATATTTAAATCCAGGGACTGTCCCCGGGAAACGGGGACATCTGGTAACCTTAGCTTGAGGAAGGCTCACATTTCAGCCTTGAGAGTTCAGAATGAGAGCATAGGGATGTCTTGAAGCCTCTGTTAAGTCTCCTCACACTCCCCTTTCAGGCGCTTATGGGGGGAGAGTGGGGAGACCCTTTCAAAGTCTTTGCATGCTCCTCTTTAAAACTCCTAATCGAGTGTTTAAATGGGTGGGAGGAGGCTTGCAGAACTGCACAAGGGGTTTTTTTTACAGGTGGGCAATGCTGTCTCCCTGTCCATCACATGTCATCATAATGACATCACAGGACTGACAGGTGGACAGCGTTGCCCATCTGTCAAATATGGTCACTGAGAATGATCCTGATGAGGATCTGATCCATGAAGCCAGAAAGGTTCCTCACCCCTGATCTAGGATATACACAATTAAGGGGGCTAGATGTTCCAAGGGAAACACAGGATTGCCAATCCTACGTAATGTCAATATGAGGGAGAGGGGCTTGAAGAGAACAATTTGTGGGTGTTTAACCCTTCCAAAGCAAGACTCCTTTGCTAGTCCCTCCCACAATTATATTTTATTTTAATTACCGAGTTTCCCCCAGCTAGGCTCCAAAACTAGAAGCAAACCCAGCTAAGAGAAAAATGGCTATATGAAGGAACAGAGAGGGGAGGGCACAGACCAAGCATTCCTCTTCACCCTCACCATCATCTCCTGACACAGATTTGGGAATATCCACATGCTGAGGTAACATTTAGCTCCACCTTCAAAGTTTCAGCTCAAACTTAGGCAACGAAATTTGCCTCTTTTTCCAGAAGAAACTTTCCAGATAACCTGCTTCATTCATTATGGAGCTGAGCCAATTGTTCAAATTCAGCGCTCAGGACTTACAAAATTCTTACAGGAAAAATAGGGCACATCGATGAAGTGATTTTCAGAGCACTTTAGAAAATGGCTCCTTTGTAGTCACCAAAAGTGTCTTGTGAAGTCTTGTGGAAGTTTACTGTTTCCCTGCAATTCTTAAAACAGATTTGAGCACAATGGCTCAAACCTTTTCTGAAAGGATGAGAAGCCCTCCTTTGTTTCATATTATGGAGCTACTGCCAAATTCTGGCAGAGGCAAAAACAAAAAGGGAAAAAAGTATTAACAAAATCCCACCAAAATTTTACTGTCTTATCTTTTACAATCCTCAAGCCATTTAAATTTACGCATAAGCCATGAAAACCCCTGGAATTGGGGCCATAACCAATAGCAGGCAGAATGATGCGGCAGTGGAACTCAGCTGACCTCCTGACAACTGAGTTGCTGCCTAGAGGGATGGGTGAGGCAGTGAGAAGGTCGGCACAGTAGAAAAAGTTGAGTGGAACCATTCTGGCCTGGTGTATTTGCATGACCCAACCTCCCTGCTTCTCTCCTTCCCAGTAAGCTGCAGCAACTCAGGAAGTCAGCTGAATGGTGCTGCCCCACCACAATGTCCATGGGTGGCCATAGCTCAATGATTGAACACATGATTTGCATATACAAGATCCCAGGGGTCTCAGACAGTAGGGCTGAGAAAGAGTTCTCTGCCTGAATCTTTGGCGAGCACATGCCCGTTAAGAGTGGACGATACTTAATTAGCTGGACCAATGATATGATCCAGCACAAGGCAGCTTCATACGTGAGCGTAGGGGGTATGTCCATGTGTAATTTAAGTGGCAATCCTATGCACACCCGAGTGAGAGTCCCACTAAACTGCATGGGGCTTACTTTTGCACAGACATGTACAGGACTCCGCTGTCAGTGTGGTGATAGTTAATGGGCACTTGGTTTTGTTCAATAACAGTGTGACTTGCAGCATATCCTCAGTCCCTAACAGGAGCGCTCCTGTTCAGGGTTCCAGCCAGCCACAACTTTCCTTGGATACACTATTAGGAGCCAGAGAAAACAAATTAAAACCCCTCTTTCCCTGGTTTTCCATTTGCTTTTCAACTGGCACTCATTTTTTGGTCAACTGGGCATGCTCAGTCCTAACTGGGCCTTACATGGCCGGGGGTTAGCCCGTTTGGAGTGTGTTTTAGATTTTTTGTGTGTGTTCCTGAAAACCTTGTGATTCCTTCAATATGCCCTTACCACTCTGCTTGGCTCTATTTCTGTCACCAAATGGATGCTGAGATTGTTCGGGGTGGGGTGGAATATGTAGCTGTGATAATATTTTTTTAAAAAAAAACCTTTTCCATGGCTTTTAATATAGAAAAATGCAGCAAAGATGGGGAAAGTTATTCAATAAAAAATGACAACATCAGGCTGGCAAGAAGTTCTGACAGAAAAACAGCTGTGCTCGTACTCCCACTCCTGCAAAAGGAAACAGCTACCGCCCAGATGAGACATTGTGCTCCATGTGTTGTGTTATGAATGCACTAAAAAGAAACAGACAAATGAAGCTGTTATGCTATTTCCAAAAGCGGTGCAGGTGGAGTGAAAGCATTTCCATACGAACCTGGCTTTAAAAACTGGGCTGTCAAAAGAACAGTTAAATGTAACACAAAGTAAGAAACTGTCCAACCAACTAATGGTAATTTGTTTTTGTTTTTAATTCGTTTGCTTTGTTTTCAATTCACTGCTTGCAAGTAATGTACTTATTAAAGAAGAATGAAAGCATAAAATAAATACAAGACCAGCTGGGAGTTTTAAGAGCGCTGTGACTGACACAGTGAAGGGCGGGAGGAGAAACAAACGTTAGAGGGGGACATGGGGAAGGAGGAAAAAACCTGAGGAGGGTTATACACATTAGCACCACACTTACCAAGCCACTCAAGAGGGTGAGCAATATATGAAAAGGTAAAGCTTTGAGCCTGTCATCAGCCCCATGCTCAACATGTAGTCCTCTTCTCTTCCAAATAATGTCAAATGCTCAACATATGAGGCACCAAAGCAGCAAAAGTGTGGCTAGCTGCTTTCTCAGCCGTCACCTTCCCCATTTTTTCTCCTTCAATGCCACTGCCAATGGGAGCGGTTTGAAGGCAACCTCCTCTTAAGATTTATGGAGGGGCTTCTGCCATGTGTGAGGTCAACCAACAGGAATGGTTGGGTAGCCTTCCAGAAGCCCATTATAGCAGAATGATCACCCTGGTTTGTTCAAGGAGTAAATCAGGGGCTAACCAATGAGCAGCAATGAAATATCAAACTGGACCAGCCAGTGATTTTGAGATGATCCACAAGCATTCGGGTGTCATACTCCTCCTCATTGGATATAATGATCATTCAGGAATGGTAACAACAGAGGCATAACGCTTTCCTAGGAAAAGGCTGTATGTATAGCTGCTTAATGAGGCTGTGATGAGTGGTGTGTCCATGAGTAGTTTGACATTTAAGGAAAGAAAGAAGAGAAGGTGAATAGAGTCCATGTCAAATTTGTCCCCAAAAGGCCCCTGTCCCACCCGACGAAGACTGACAGGTATCGCTATCTCTTGAGTGGCTCCATAAGGGATGCTGACTGTGTATCAAAGAACCCATAAGCAGGAAGACTAGGTGCTACAAAGGGTGATCCCATGCAAAACAGGAGATAAAGGAAAAGAAAAGGATCCCCAAAACAAAAACCTAGAGCTTACTGCATATGACACAATGAAGGCAAGAGAGAATAGTCCAAGAGTAGTGCTACACCATTCAGCTTCTCTAGAAAGCACAGTATTTATAGTGCTCAGCAACGTACAGGCTGCTGCTAAATGTCAAATTGGCAGCCGTGTCAAGTTACATACTTTGGAACCAGGGGAGTCCACAGATCGGTATAGATATGCAATGTGACAAAAACCAAGTCTCATCAGAGTGTGCTTGGAATAAGTTAACTTTGGCCAGCATCAACTCGCCTGCAGCTCTCAATGGTCCTAAGACACAGATTAATAATATGCACAGTGGCATCTTTGTTGGTGAGAGTAGAGAGGAAGAGGATAGAACTAGAAAGAAAGTAGGCCTTAAGGCAACCTTGCTTCCCATCCAAAATGGTGAGAAGCTGTTTTCCTTTTGTGACACATCAATGGGACAGAAAAGGTATGGTTTGTCTAATTATTCTGGGCCTCTTACTGCCTTCTCCCCCGTGTATGTATTGCTGTGATCGAATAAACACTAAGTGCACAGAAAATTGGAACTGTAGCCAAGAAAAGTATTTGGACAAGTCTTGACAATTCTAACAAGTTTTCTCCACTGTGTTGTTTTCTACATGACCACCTTTTGGCTGCAACTCCTATGGCACATCAGCAGGACAGCAGGTAAGCCAGGACAGGCTACACCTACCGGACTTAACAGGAGATTTTTAACTTTAAGGACAGGGATGGAAGGAAGGTTGGAGGCAGTCCCCTGCTTTCTGCAAGAAAGTGGGAGATGATAGGGACTGCTGTAGTAGTTCTTTCTAGATCTGAGGACACCATTGTGGTGCAGGCAAATTCAGCCTACTCTCCTAAGTGGCCATCTTCAAAAGGAACACTATGGATGTCTGCAAACTACTCCCAGGAAAACCATAGATGTCATGAGAGACGTTATGTGGGGTTGTACTCCAGCTCCAACTACAGGAGGAAACCTCAAGAAAATTAGCCAGACCAGATAAGCCAGAATAGTATGTAGTACTGTCTCACTCTTAAGAAATTTCCATGTCACACTTCCTTGACTTTGTTGCAGCAGATCACCATCTTGCTCCCATCTTCCAACCTGACAAGAACTGGCTCCAACACTCTTCCACCCACCTCAACTATCTCTCATTCATGATGGACATGTTCTAATGTTTCAATACCTGGTCCTTCAAAGCAATTTAAGTGTGCAATTAATTTTTCTGTTTTTGTCTAATTAATCATCGCCATCAAACTTCTGAGGTTACGACACCTGATACCGTACCAACAGAAGATGGAAATGACATGCCCAAAGATATTTAGAGATGAGTCAAGGTCCCATGAACCCTCAAAACTCTAATGAGAATGCCCCCAAAGAGGGATTCATTACACATGGCAATAACTGTTAAAGAAAAGACCTGAACTAGTTTATTTTTTGCCTGCTGGCTACATGATGGAGGCTATAGCAGTGTTGAAGTGTGTGGGGCTGAAACACTAGCCTGAGATAGAGCAGTTGGGGAGAAAAGCATCTCCAGTGAGGGAGAATGTTGACATTTTCTATTCTGGCCACCAGTTGCTGAAGAATTATGTAAACAGCATCATGTTCTTTACCAATGAAAAGATCTGTAGACTCCCAAACCAAGTTTATTCCAGTCACTATCAAGTTCCATGTTGTAGCAATACAGGTAAGGATCTCCTCAATAGATAATGCTGCAGAGCCACATGTGAATTCAGCTGTGTTCCCAAGCAAAGCCATTCCCCAGAGTTTTCCAGGAGTATCCCTTGGGCTTTATATAGCTTCCATAACCAAGAGATCTCAACAGCTCTTTAAATCCACTTATGTTTTAGAAGGCTTTACTTACTACCGTTAAGCCCTTATGGTAAATCCACTTTACGTTTCCAGCTGAAAATTGGGTTTTATTTGCTGCTGGAAAGAAAAAAAATCAGTTTTCAACATTGAATGGTAAAAGGAAATGTTCTGTGTTATATTGCTTCCCAAGGGTGAGCAGAAATGCTTTAAGCACTGTGTTTTTAAATGTTAGCAACAATGACTGCTATCAGAGCACATTCCGGCACTAAGCCTTTCAAAGTGTTTCACTTTTCCTGATATACACTCACAGCTGTTCTAGTCATGCTGGAAAATAAACTTCCCAAAACACGGTCCGTAGCTGTTGAGAGTCCATTGGACAAACATCTTCCCTAATCATGTACTTTGAGAGACTAAAACTTTCCGCTTTGTTGATCTAACCAGGAATTTTTTTAAAAAAACAACAACAGCAACCTGAATAAAGCCTGAGTGTTCAACAATCTAAGCCAGTGGTTCCCAAAATGGGAATCTCTCTAGTATCACTCTCTAGAGAGCAGAGAGATTATCCAGGGGGTCGCTAAGAGGCAAGAGGGCAGCTGAAGGCGCTGGAGGTATAAATGAAAAGCTGGTATCACTAGATCAAGTTGATGAATTAATTAAATAAAACAGCTTTGGGGGGCGTTTGAATAAATGTGTAATTGTTACTGTTTTGAATTTTACTGAGTTATAATCTTCCTTAGCGGGTCACGCAAACCACTATTCTGAATAAGGCTTTTTATGGGGTAGGGGGCACTGGGGGTGAGTTTATGAAACCAAGGGGGCAGTGGCCCACAATTGTTTGGGAACTATTGATCTAGGCTCTCTGGAAATTTTAAAGCTATTTTAGTTATTTGAATAAGTCTGTGAGTGGACAATACATTTAAAAAAATTAACTGCATATCTTATTGCCTCCTTTTGCAATTAGGGTTGCCACTCATGCTCAGATATTGCCAACTATTTGATGAAACTAAGAATGCCACTGCGTAGGTGACAGCTTACTATTTTCTTTCTTTATGGAAACATTTGCCAGAAAGGGCTAGCTGTCCCACTATTAGGGCAAACCTAACAGCACAGGAAGTCTTCTCCAACTGGCCACCTGCTATAACTGCTGTTGGCACCTCCAAGTCAGAACAAGAACACAAGCAGTCATAAGTGACAAAGGTTGCTACCTAGGACCGCCCACGACTCCATTTTGCTGGAAGTACCAAGAAGTATCACCTCCATGTGACTTGGCTGTCTGCTTTGCCACACTCTTGTGAGGGATAAGATTCGCGTATACAAAAACAGTTACTGCTGAAAGAGCCGAAGACACATTAGACTGCTGCAATGGCACATCAGCTTATGGAGATGGAGAGTTCGGGAAAACTAAAATCTTTCTTGCTGTTCTAATAAAGTTAATGCATTTGAGGTACTTGACTTATTTGACAATATACAGCCAGATGATGGACTAAATCTTTTCTCTCCAGTCAAACATTCAGTCCTATTTGAAATACAAGTTTGCCTTAAGACACCTCCCGCACTTGTGGGGGTTCCACCTGGTGGACATGGGAATTCTTTAAGATTCCATGGTGGCCCTGGCCCCCCCTTCCCAGCCAAACTGAGTCCACATCATGACACTGGACAAAAAGCTTTGCTCCAAGAGATAGGTGATACAACACCTAAAATGGAAATCTGGGTATTTAAACTGGGCAAAGAAAATAATAAGTTTGGATAGGAATTAAAACACCAGCATGATAATAACAAGTGGAGGTGGGCTGTGACTTCCATGACCTGGATCTAAACTGCTCTTCATCAGGTAACTCGCTTAAACTATTTATTGAGGTTTACTCCTGTAAATCTGATTTAAGTTTAATTAAAGATAACAAACTGAACCCAGGCTGAGTGAGCGGCACTTAGTTCCCTCTGAAATCAATAGGCCTTTAAGTCAACCCACAACTAGCATGCCCCGTTGATTTCTAAGAGCTACCTGAGTTCAACTAAACTAACATGGCTCTAACCGAGGTGGGGGGGGGGGAAGAATTACAGATTGTTGCACAAAAAACATCAAGGTGAAAGCATTTTGCACCTTGAAAGGACCACATGCTGATTTTAAACTCTCCACTAACATGGGCGGGAGGGTGTTCAACTCAGAACATTTTTTTAAAAAACAACAACTTTGGGGCATGTTGCTTAGAAAAATAAGACACTGGTTCATTCTGTAGATCTGTGGTCCAGAAGCAAACATTGAGGCACTGGAGATTTTTCTACAGCTGCTGTACACATTGCAATGCAATCAATGAGACAGGTCTCTGGTGATAACAGGAAAGCCCCAGTTTCTTAGCTATGAAAGGGGATGGGGTTTCATGGGCTCACAGTCCCTTTCTGGCATAGGCAGAGAAGGGAACCCTGTGAGCATGAATGACTATGGAACACAGCGTCATTTGTCTTATTACGAACATCGCCAGCATGGCACGCAATACTGTTCCATGACATTTGCAAAGAGGGAAGCTGGCTTCGCATTTCAATTGGGGTGTGCATGTACACACAAACAACGCTGAATAATTCAAGAGAATCAAATGCAGCTGCATCACCACTATCCTACCCACCCCCCTCTGCAGCATTATTTCATGTGTCATCAGTGACCGCCATGCCTAATTCTAGCATCATGCCAGCACAATAAGACAGTAGATACTGAATGCAGTGTTCACTGGACCAGAAGAACAGAAATAAGAAATGGGGGAGGGGGTAGAGGAGAAAGGAGGAGAGGAAACCCTAGAAAAGAAATTAAAAATGCAGACCGTGCAAATACAAACCAGGTCATGGCTGCTTAGCTAATTTGGGCCAACTGCTGTGGAAGAAAAAACGTCGAACACCCCAAGTTGTGTAAATTTCTGTGAACATCTCAACACGCACACAAATACTCACACACAAACACCAATCTACTACACAGGAAAGCAAATATATGTATATTGCTTCGTTCCTAACACTATTTTTTTATAAGGTTTTTAGTGCTCCTAAATTGGACTCCAGAGAGCCTACAGCCAGGAGTCTCTGTATACAAAGCATTAACAGGGCTGGATTAACTTCACAGGTGAGGTTCCTACTGATCAGGGTGAAAGCCGCGTGGGCTGATCAGCAAAGAGCAACACCGTGTAGAAAGAGAGCAAAATAAGAACATGTAGGAAAGGGCAAGGAGCAAGTGCTGTGTTCTGACAAGGGCCGACTGCAAGCACTAGAATGCTGATGGGGGTCAATTTGCTTTGTCACTCTTGACATTATTACCATACAAAGGTCAATATGCCCTTATTCCACACCTGCAAAGAACAGTTTTTAGACAAACTGCCTTTGCAACTTTGGAGAACACAAAAGAAGAGTAACATCCTGAGGATTCATAGGTTCCAAGGCTCTTAAGGAAGATTCCAGGACCCAATGATCTTACATGTGGGGTCGTAGGAATTGTTCAACCAATATGTTTCCCTTGTTTGTGTTTGGCACAGGAAACCTACTCAACTCATGCACAGCTTCTTGATGTGGGATTGGTTTAACATTACTCAAGTTACAGAGAGGGCTTCCTCACCTTCTGAACTGCTACTTTAGGGGTGGCCAGCAGGTGCGCAACAGTCTCAACTACCATGCTTGCTTACACTACAGCTCATCCCACAGGGTAAAACTGCAAGGGTGATTATGAATTGAGGTGGGGGAGAGAGGTGGAGCCTTGTCGTGCTCTGCACTGCCTTAGAGACTGCTCAAAAGAAGAGGTGATCAGAAGGCAAAAGGCATCTCAGGCTCCTCAAAGAGTAAACACCAAGGAAGGACGTGGCATAAAATTCAGAGGATGGAGCAGGACAGAAAGTTGTAAAGGGGTCAGACATAATTCTTTTAATCCAGCCCTGAAAATGCTGGGGAGTTGTTTTGTTTTCATTTCCACAGCCTTATCCATAATACTTTATATGTATCCATCACATCTTTTTTTAAACTGCAACTCCAATGACATTACAGCCCAACACAAATATTAAATAATGAAGCTCAAAGGGGCATTTAGGCAGCTGAACTACAGCTATTCCATGGTGCGGGGGGAGAACACACAAATGTGGTATGATTCAAAAACCTGACATGTTTAAAAGGAAAAGCAAGCCAAGTGGCTCTTCTCTTTCCTGTTTGTAGTCTCTCGCCAGGAAATTCAGGTTGAAGGAGATTTGCACCAACATTTTATTAATGCCATAGGCAGTTTTAAAAAGAATCCTATGCAACCTATTTATACTAAATTCTTCTTAATGCTGCCCTCTTTGCTCTACAGTCTTCTTCCTTGTGCCAAAGAAAATGTAAACTAAGGAAGAGAAAAATATATTTTACTCCTCAATAACCACTCGGGCCATAAAAGAGGTGTTTTAGCACAATATTGTTTAGCACAATCAGCTGCTATAAATTATTTCAATTTGAGGTGAGATAGCTTTTTCTTCTCATTTCAGATTAGATTGATTAGTGACTTGCCTCATTTTTAACGTTAACGTAAGACATGCAAATATACTAGAACACATCCCTGAGTTCCTTAATCTAAGTGTAAGATCTGAACTTGGCTAGTGGAGCTGCACTTGCTCGGGGCTTGAGAATGAAAACTGATTTCTTACCGATTCTATAGGCTTGTCTAAGGACGCCTGTTCAATCTCCAAGTGGCCTTCTTCATACTGATCAAAGTGATTACCCTGTAAGAGAAGAATAAAACGTTGTTTTCACCATAAAGCACAAACAGTTCTGCATGGTTTGGTGCTAAAAGTTTATAATCAATCAAGGCCCAGACATAGAGAACCTCCTTCCTTAGCTGATCATGCTATATTTCTGTATTTGCTCTATGTTATATATACCGTATTTTTCGCTCTATAAGATGCACCAGACCATAAGATGCACCTAGTTTTTGGAGGAGGAAAACAAGAAGAAAAAAAATCTGAATCTCAGAAGCCAGAACAACAAGAGGGATCGCTGCGCAGCGAAAGCAGCGATCCCTCTTGCTGTTCTGGCTTCTGGGATAGCTGCGCAGCCTGCATTCGCTCCATAAGACGCACAGACATTTCCCCTTACTTTTTAGGAGGGAAAAGTGAGTCTTATAGAGCAAAAAATACGCTGTTCTGTGGGATGCGGGTGGCGCTGTGGTCTAAACCAGTGTCTAGGGCTTGCCGGTTAGAAGGTCAGCGGTTCGAATCCTGCGACGGGGTGAGCTCCCGTTGTTGGGTTCCTGCTCCTGCCAACCTAGCAGTTCGAAAGCACATCAAAATGCAAGTAGATAAATAGGTACCGCTCTGGCGGGAAGGTAAACGGCGTTTCCGTGCCCTGCTCTGGTTCACCAGAAGCGGCTTAGTCATGCTGGCCACATGACCCGGAAGCTGTACTCTGGCTCCCTAGGCTAACAAAGTGAGATGAGCACCGCAATTCCAGAGTCATTCGTGACTGGACCTAATGGTCAGGGATCCCTTTACCTTTTACATATATTCCATATAGGGTATATATATCCTATATGGAATCAATGGAGATGGACAAGGAAGGGTTCATGGGCATCATTTTCAGTGGGGACTGGGGGTGATGACTTGATGGTAGAGCACCCAGACATTTTCAGAATTATTCTAGATCCTCAGAAAAAGCACAGCCATGGCTTCTAAACTAATTTGCCTTGATACTGACGTAATGAAGAGCCTGCAACATTTCAAGCCATTTCAACTGCAGCTTTTATTGGATATTCATAGAATCATACAGTTGGAAGAGACCACAAGGGCCATCGAGTCCAACCCCCTGCCAAGCAGGAAACACCATCAGAGCACTCCTGACATATGGTTGTCAAGCCTCTGCTTAAAGACCTCCAAAGAAGGAGACTCCACCACACTCCTTGGCAGCAAATTCCACTGTCGAACAGCTCTTACTGTCAGGAAGTTCTTCCTAATGTTTAGGTGGAATCTTCTTTCTTGTAGTTTGGATCCATTGCTCCGTGTCCGCTTCTCTGGAGCAGCAGAAAACAACCTTTCTCCCTCCTCTATGTGACATCCTTTTATATATTTGAACATGGCTATCATATCACCCCTTAACCTCCTCTTCTCCAGGCTAAACATGCCCAGCTCCCTTAGCCGTTCCTCATAAGGCATCGTTTCCAGGCCTTTGACCATTTTGGTTGCCCTCCTCTGGACATGTTCCAGTTTGTCAGTGTCCTTCTTGAACTGTGGTGCCCAGAACTGGACACAGTACTCCAGGTGAGGTCTGACCAGAGCAGAATACAGTGGCACTATTACTTCCCTTGATCTAGATGCTATACTCCTATTGATGCAGCCCAGAATTGCATTGGCTTTTTAGCTGCCACGTCACACTGTTGGCTCATGTCAAGTTTGTGGTCAACCAAGACTCCTAGATCCTTTTCACATGTACTGCTCTCAAGCCAGGTGTCACCCATCTTGTATTTGTGCCTCTCATTTTTTTGCCCAAGTGCAATACTTTACATTTCTCCTGTTAAAATTCATCTTGTTTGTTTTGGCCCAGTTCTCTAATCTGTCAAGGTCGTTTTGAAGTGTGATCCTGTCCTCTGGGGTGTTAGCCACCCCTCCCAGTTTGGTGTCATCTGCAAATCTGATCAGGATGCCCTTGAGTCCATCATCCAAGTCGTTGATAAAGATGTTGAATAAGACCGGGCCCAAGACAGAACCCTGTGGCACCCCACTAGTCACTCTTCTCCAGGATGAAGAGGAACCATTGACGAGCACCCTTTGGGTTCGGTCAGTCAGCCAGTTACAAATCCACTGAGTGGTAGCATAGTCAAGACCGCATTTTACCAGCTTCTTTGCAAGAATATCATGGGGCACCTTGTCAAATGCCTTGCTGAAATCAAGGTAGGCTACATCCACTGCGTTCCCTTCATCTACCAGGCTTGTAATTCTGTCAAAAACGAGATCAGGTTAGTCTGACATGACTTATTTTTCAGAAATCCATGCTGACTATTGGTGATCACAGCATTCCTTTCTAGGTGCTCACAGACTGTTTGCTTAATGATCTGCTCCAGAATCTTCCCTGGTATTGATGTCAGACTGACTGGGCGGTAATTATTTGGGTCCTCTCTTTCCCCTTTTTGAAAATAGGGACAACATTTGCCCTCCTCCGGTCTGCCGGGACTTCGCCTGTTCTCCAGGAATTCTCAAAGATGACTGCCAGTGGTTCTGAGATCACATCTGCCAGTTCTTTTAATACTCTTGGATGCAGTTCCTCTGGCCCTGGAGACTTGAATACATCTAAACTAGCCAAGTATTCTTGTACTATCTCCTTAGTTATTCTGGGCTGTGTTTCCTCTGCTGAATCATTTGCTCCAAATTCTTCAGGTCGGGCATTGTTTTCTTTATCGGAGAAGACTGAGGCAAAGAAGGCATTGAGGAGTTCAGCCCTTTCTGTGTCCCCTGTTTGCATTTCACCATCTTCTCCTCTGACTGACCCCATTGTTTCTTTGTTCTTCCTTTTGCTACGAACATACCCATAAAAGCCTTTTTTGTTGCTTTTAACCTCTCTAGCAAGCCTGAGTTCATTCTGTGCTTTAGCTTTTCTGACTTTGTGTCTACACGTGCTGGCTATTTGTTTGAATTCCTCTTTGGTGGTTTCCCCCCTTTTCTATTTTTTGTACACATCCTTTTTTAATCTTAACTCAGTTAAAAGTTCTTTAGATAGCCACCCTGGCTTCTTTAGGCACCTTCCATGTTCATTGGTATTGCCTGAAGTTGTGCTTTTACTATCTCCCTCTTAACAAACTCCCAGCCATCGTGAACTCCCTTTCCTTTTAGTATTACTGTCCATGGGATCTCACCCAGCACTTCCCTAAGTTTTATGAAGTCGGCTTTCTTAAAGTCAAGAAATTGAGTCCTAGTATGCTTGGCTGCTCCTTTCCGTTGTATAGTAAACTTCAGAAGAGCATGATCACTCGCGCCTAATGATCCTTCCACTTCTACCCCACTAACCAGGTCATCAACATTGGTTAGGACCAGATCTAAAATGGCTGTTCCTCTTGTTGCTTCTCCCACTTTCTGGACAATGAAGTTGTCTGCAAGGCCAGTGAGGAATCTGTTTGACCTTATGCTCTTGGCTGAGTTTGACATCCAACAAATATCCAGGTAATTGAAGTCCCCCATTACTACTATCTCCCTTCCTTTTGCATGCTTGGCCATCTGTTCCAGGAAGGCATCATCTATGTCCTCCATTTGGCTTGGGGATCTATAGTAAACTCCCACAATGAGGTCACTGTTATTCTTCTCTCCCTTAATTTTGACCCAAATGCTCTCACTTTGGCTTTGAGGTTCTAAATCTTGGATCTCTTCACAGGTATACACATCCCTGACATATAACACCACTCCTCCTCCTTTCTTGTCTGGTCTGTTTCTCTGAAATAGATTGTAATCCTCCATTATTACATTCCAATCGTGGGACTATTAAATGTCCTGAGATCACCTGACATTTCAATATTAGCTGCTCAAGAGCAAAACAGACAGCTCAATATCAGCTGAAGATGTAACATATGTTCAGAATAGTAAGGCTATATTATGCTTTTAGGAAATTTTTCTCCCAGAAAATAGGCAAACTGAGTGCTTTTAATGGGCAAGCTTCTTTTTGTTCAAGCTCCAAGATGGAGAGAGGTTTAAAAAAAAACCCCAAAAGCTTGCATGCACTTTTTTTAAAAAGCAGAGTTATTTCACCATCTGTGAACTTACAGTTCCAAGTTAAGAACAGAACCTTGCACCTTTTCTTTTTTTAAAAAAGGAACAAGGTTCCTAGTATTTTAGATCCACAGAAAAAGCTTTGGGGAAATGTGTGCACCATGACCATGGCAATCTCAAAAACTGGAAGAGGTTGGGGTGGAAAAGAATACAGTCATACCTCAGGTTACAGCTGCTTCAGGTTGCGTTTTTTCGGGTTACAGACCGCCAAAACCCGGAAGTACCGGAACGGGTTGCTTCCGGGTTTCAGTGATTGCGCATGCGCAGAAGCACCAAACTGCAACCCACGTGTGCACAGACGCGGGTTGCGAACGTTGCAGGCTGCGAACGTGCATCCCACACAGATCACGTTTGCAACCCGAGCGTCCACTGTATTGAGCAAGCCTGCTGGTATTTTCTGTGCGGCAGGGGGACACCATTTTCAGCAGTTTCCTATCAATAACTGAGTCCCTGTGATCCTTTCAGCCTTAAACTGCTGGTGGTTCTTTAAGATTAGGGGTCAAGGGTAGCTCCTTAGGCAACCACCACCAAGCAACTCTGTTTAACACATGCCTGTTTTCTTCCTCACAAAGGTGCTATCAGTGTTGTTCTATGGAAACACAGAATAATGCTACAGGCACTTTGCCCATCCCATCTCCATCCCTTCTTTTGAGCATGCATGGGAAAGAAGAGTAGCTGAAACCCAAGCCAAGGGAAAAGAGGTCTAAATACCCATTGAACCTTTATTTTACCAGACTTGTTTATTCGACATTGCAGCAGGTGGGTAGGCAGAGTAGAAAAAATATAGCACAGTAGCTTCTATGAGGTTTTGCCCCATACACGTTATCATGGTTGACAAATCTGTAAATATATAATCTTTAACATTAATCGAAATTTGAGGATGGAGTCAAGCACCTGAGTTTCTATTCAGGTAACACATAAGGCCATCTTCTGTCTCCACTAGTTCCCAAAAACCTCAAACAAGAGAACCAGCAGCCTATTACATGTATCTTAATGACCGTACCCAGAAAAGTAAGCAAGACCCTCATGATGCAGAAGAGTTTGGAGGTGTTTGCAGAAAAGTTCGATTATTCAAGAGCATTCATATTACAGTCTGATAACTGTGGATAAATGCTGCTCCCATGCAATTCTGGATCTTAGAACTAGGATTTGAGGGAAATTTAGGGCAAAATAACAGCACAGAAAACAGAATGTTGCACCACAGCTCCAAAAAGGCTTTCACTGGTAACCAAGCACACTGTGAGATTATCTTTGTCCACAAAGGGTCAGGCTAAATGGCTCAGTTGGCCTGTTTATCACGTTTAACTGCCAAAATCCCAGACAACAAAGGCAAGAATCAGCCTACGTGACAGGCCCCTCGAAGTTATTTCCAAAATAAATGAAGCACAACAGGCTTTTTGCTTTGTGGTGTAAATGCATTCTGCAAATTTAAGCAATGCAGCACACATGCTGAATGCAGGTTCAGCTCCAAAAGTAACAAGACCAGACCAACCCTCTAGCCATAAACATCTGGCTATTAAATCTACTCTGCTGCCAACCTATCAAGCACGCAAAAACGCTGAAATTTACAAATGGAATCATTCCTGCTTTTGACTGCTTTATACCAGAAAGGACAGGCACTTAAAATGTACAATACTTGACCACAACAAGCCTGCTCATTAGTACACGAAGTCTGTGTATGCACAGAAAAACAAAGGGTCAAGAGACCTGGAAAATGGAAATGGGCAGCTACCTAGAGAACTGGCACAAATGCCTTTACTAGCACCCTTCTCCTTCCTAGAAGCAGGCCTCATGCCAGTTATGTACTTTCAGCTCCTTTCTGACACGAAGCATTAGCAGAGGCTGGGGAGAAGCAGCAAACAGCAGTAGCATCACCCCTCTGCTTCTGTTCAAGGTTTCCACCTCCCTGCCAAGCCTAGAGCTGTGGTTTCATTAACAGGAAGACATGCAGAACATAAAAAAATGTAATGCATATCTTGAAGGAAAAGCCCCAGAAAGGGACTTTCAAATTCTTACAGACACCAGACTCAAACTTCCAAAAGTCTGAACAACATAGACACCTGGGATTATGCCAATACTGCTTCTCGCAGCATGCCATGCAATAAAATTGCAGGCATCTCTTTCCTCCATTTCTGTTTCTGTAGTTAAATGTGAGAAACCAGATGTGAGGACCATGTTGCTCTGCTCATATGTTGGTCCCTGGACTAGAGTATGCAGGCTAATAGGGAGCAGAAAGTCTTAAACTGCATTGCATTGATCTTCTAATCCAGGGGTCAGGTCAGCAAGCTTTTTCAACAGGGGGCTGGGTCCACTGTCCCTCAGACCTTGTGGGGGGCCGGACTATATTTTTTGGGGGGGGATGAACGAATTCCTTTGCCCCACAAATAACCCAGAGATGCATTTTAAATAAAAGGACACATTCTACTCATGTAAAAACATGATTCCCAGATCATCTGCGGGCCGGACTTAGAAGGCGATTGGGCCGGATCCAGCCCCCGGGCCTTAGTTTGCCTACCCATGTTCTAATCTTAGGGATCAGAAAACTGGTTGAAGAAAGCTCTACAATGAAGGCCAATGGATTTGCTCTGTTTCTGCATTAGCATTTGGAGAGCTCCCTTAGTGGGCATTTCGCTTTTCATGTAGCTTGTGAAGAATAATCAGAGTCAACCCAACAGATTCTGCTAGGACGTGGAAAAGGTCCTCTAAATAAAGTCTCTCTATGCAACAAAGCTCAACTCATTTTCCATTTATCTTCTAAAGTCGCAATGTGAAGGGCACATGACTTAAGAACACCCATCTCTAATCATGTACCTCTAATAATGTAGGGAGGAAGAAGTGCAGAAGAGGTCTTGCTTCCTTATCCTCCAGGTTCTTTAACCTTAGAGCAGGCATAGGCAAACTCAGCCCTCCAGATGCTTTGGGACTACAACTCCCATCATCCCTGACCACTGGTCCTGTTAGCTAGGGATGATGGGAGTTGTAGTCCCAAAAACATCTGGAGGACCAAGTTTGCCTATGCCTGCCTTAGAGTGCCACCCACTACCAGCACAGCATAGCACTACAGAAGGTCCTGCCTGGTCCCAAAGATCCATGAAACTTAGGCTCCACATATGTTCTTCTTGAACAGCAGCTACTCAAACAACCCCTGGAACTTCTGCATGGGTTTCTGATATGGTGTGAGGGTCAATTATTCAGAGAAATCAAGTTGGAAGCTCCACCATGCTAAAGCAAGCACTTGCCTGGGCTTGAGCTGCTCTGAGTGCTGACAGCACATGACCAACCAACCCCCCACCCCACCAGAGAACTGGTCTGTGAAATGGATGTTAGTCAGCCATTCTAAATGCCACTGCCAGCCTCCCTACTTTCAGACTGTAATTACATTTCTAGGGTACTTCAACATTTGAAGATGCTCACTTCAATTCAACAAAAACAACTCAGCGAATAGGTTGGGAGCCAAATGCAAACTTAAAAGGGCCCATTTTCATGTATATTTATTTAGGAGAAGCTAATAATTTACCTTTCAAATGCATTGACTGTTTAAATTAGAAAATGATCCAGAATGTTTTCAAAGGAAGAGATTCTCTCAAGGGCAGAATTCAGCATTGTAATTAAGCTGTTGTAAAAGCCAGGAGATTTTCTTTTGTCTGCTGGAACAGGGAAGCATGCTCAGCTGTTCCACCTCGGTCTAGATATTTATTTTTTTCTGGAGTGAGGCAAACGCAGGAGAGATGTCCACTGAACAAAGGAACACCCCTCATTTGAAGAAATTGTTCCTTCATTCATTACATTACAGTTTCCACAGAACTGAACATGTCTCTACATTATGCATGTTTGCACTGTACATCCACAATACAGACTCTTGCATGGAAAGATCTCTAAGGCAAAAAAAAATAGTTGCCACCAAATCATGAGAATCAAGCTGTGAATTCCCCCCAAGGCTCCAGCTCTACATGAAAATCCTCAAGGAGCAAGAAAAAAATGAAACCCTGGAAGATTCATGAACTCAACAGTGTTTTGATTCTGTTCAGAAAACTTCATTACATTCTAACATGAGAGTACTTGTAAATGATAGGAGAGAAATGCAATACTGTTTTAATTAGATACATCTAGTTTTGTACATCATATATCATATACAGTGACCATTTTCCCTCTCCTTTTGGGGGGGTGTCTGGATCACTCGTGCGGAGATCCTCTGTGGGCTGGACCGGTGCAGTGCTATGCCGGAAATCGCATCTACACATGTCCGCAGCGCGGGAAATCGCTTCTGCCCATGCCCAGACACCAAAAATTGCACCTGTGCAGAAGTGATTTTCGGTGTCTGGGCATGTGCAGAAGTGATTTCCGGCACCGCGGAAGAGAGTCCCCGCGCCGCGCTGGGCCGGTTTAGTGCAGTGCGCGGGGACTCGCCGAGTGGGTGGCTCAGTTTGGGTCGGGTTGTGGGCTGCTTAAACGGCCTCCATGGGTTGCTTCCAGCCCATGGGCCGCAGGTTGGGGACCCTTGGCCTAACTCCTGCAAACATCCATGCTCCATGCTAGCTGAAACGGATCCTAGGAATTCTGAATAAACAGTTCCTTAACACCTCCGCTAGAAGCTGTGGCATTGTGTTTGGACTGGATGTCATAGTCTTTGCCCTCAAGGTGGTTTTACAGTGCTTGGCACTGCCAAGTTTCCAGATGACCTCTTTGTGGTTTAAGAAGTCCTCTCACTGCTCCAAAACTTTCAGCCGGGTCGTTCAATGAGGATGCAGTGGAGCTGGAGAATTAAGTCGTCCCCCCCCCATTGCCAAGCTCCTCCCAGAAGATTAGCCTGCGTAACACTATTAATAAGCATGTTCTGTAAAAGCAGCTGTACCTTGTCTTAAGCCACAAACGGGCATGTGCTCTTTGCAAGTATGCTAAGTTCATGTTGCTCCCACTGCAGACAAGGCTCTCTTCTCCTGTAGCAATTCATGCTTTGTATGCCACTGTTTGAGTGGTGTATGCCATGGTAAACGTGGAGGGGAGATAGGCATTCCCAAATACCCAGGAACACAAGGCATATGTGTACTTGTCTGCCACAGTTGGCCATGAGTCTCTGGCAGCTTTCCACTGCTTGTTGGAGACACGTATCTCCTTTTTATACGATGTTCCTCACAGCAATCGCTGTGAAATTTCAAATGTGAGTTAGCTCTGGGGGTGCATTGTCTAGTCATAGCTCATTTGAACTTGCGGTTTGCTTCAAGCGTAAAGCTTTCTGCTTCTAAGGGGTACAAGACGGTTCCTGTAGGAAACAACTTCAACCTAATAGATTGATGTGATAGATAGGAAAGAGGCAGATACAGAGGGACCCACAGGGGCCTTCTCTAGTGCCCACAAACTCCAGGTTGGCTTTATGTGAAAACCTTTGATCACCCGGGCTTTTGGAAAGTAATTAATCGTTTTGCTCACATTGCTACTTTGTAAGTTATGATGCTGTTACATTATTATTTTTGAATTGTGCCATATATAAAATACTCTATTGTTCACTCCTCTGTACTCCAATTGTGAGGAAGGGTAAGAAACAAGTACAGTGAAACCTTGCCTTTTGAACGTAATCTGTTCTGGAAGTTTGTTTGACTTCTGAAACGTTCGAAAACTGAAAATCAAAGGGCTGTCAGCAAAGTGAATGGAGAAAATTGAGAAATGCACCTCGGAAGCTGTTCGGCTTCTGAGGCGTGTTTGAAAACAGAAGCATTCACTTCTGGGTTTTTGGCGTCCGGCTTCCGAAACGTTTGGCAGCCGAGATGTTCAAAAACTGAGGTTCCACTGTACAATAAAACAAATAAACAAACATATGCTTTGCGTGGAAAAGGCTGCAGGTTCAATACTGGGATCTCCAGGTAGCACTGGAAAAGATTCCTGTTTGAAATCCTGGAGAGCCTATGTTCCGAAGAGTAGACAATACTGAACCAGATGGTCCATATAAAGCCAGGGGAGGGCGGGACTGCCCACCCTCAAGTAATCTGGCATCACCATGAAATCAAACCATGTGGGGAAATGCTCAGGGATTTGAAGGCAAACAGCAGACTGGTAGAAGATGCAGGCACTACCTTCCTCTGCCCAGGCAGTTTAAACTTGATTAAAAACTTATTTAAAGCAACCTTTTCACTGGTTGTAAATCAAGCCATCCTGTTTGACAGGGCAAAGAAAAAGAAAAATCCAAAATATTCCAAGCATTAATTTAGTAGAACTGTAACAGAGACTTGCGTTCACAGCACAGCACAAACAAGGTTAATAAACTGCTCTGAACAATGGAGAGACTTAACCATCATTTTTGCTTTTATTTCAGAAGCCCAGGGATCATCAAACAATTACCATTTTTGTAGAAAACTAAACACTGCATACTTAGCAAACCAATAAACCGAACTTTAACTCTGGATCATCTTGTCTACAACATCCCTTTTCCACATCAAAGCATCCTGTATGTAAGCATAGCTGAAGGAAGCCAAGTGTATCTGATATATATCTGTGCAAACATCTCTTGAAAGCCTCCACCAAAATATTGCACTGCTTTCTTAGGCAGCTTTTGGAACAACAGCAACACACTGTTAACATGTTCAGTTTATCATCTACTAAAGCCTCAAAGCTGTTCCTGAAAGAGCAGGCAAGCTGCCGAACCATCTTGCTTAGAGCCTTTCAGCAGGAGTTATGCTTATCAAGGGCATTTTTAGGCAAGTCTCATTTCATATCCCAGGAAAGGGACCATGATACATGATCCACTGGGTCTCAGCAACCTGTCTCTTGACAATTTATACTTCTAACACCTAGTCTAGACCAGAATTTCCCAACCATTTTCTGATTGTGGCCCCCTCCCAACCTTGTTTCCTTCCTGTGCCCCCCTATGGGTGTAGCCGGGGGGGGGGTCAGGGGGCAGCTGCCCCCCCCAATAAGTAGAAATCAATAGAAATCAGAGGGTCTGTCCCCCACCAAAAAAACCTACCCCCCCAAAAAAAACCAACAATCCTGGCTACGCCATATTTCAAAAAGTGATTTTAAGCTTTTTTAGCTGTTTTCGCTGCTTTTTCTATCGCATTCCCATACATCCAGGTTTTCCCTGACCAGGCCAGTAAATCCCACACATGGTATAACTGTTAATCAACTATACTACTTCACACTGTGGGTGGAAGATTGCCTGTGATCAATATGCAAAAATACCTCTGTTTGGCCACTGACATCTGATACTCTGACTCTTGCATGCTTGCCCCAGTATTGGAGCCTAGTGCATCTCTCCTGTCATTTACACTTACCTATTATTTTCCTGACAGAACAGCCAAACAGTATTTGGACACTTCACAGAGTAGACAAGAGCCAGTGATTAAGTAGAATGAAACGAAAGTCAGATGAGAATCATCACATTCAAATTACATCTTTTTTATTTTAAAACGTCAGCTCTATTATGTGCTACTGACAATAAAATAACTTGGTTTAAGCGATATCTGTATGTAATATAAATATATTTAACTTTATACTCCGTGTTAAAAATATTTTCTAATACATTTGTGCATACTGCATTCAGGCATCGGTTAAATCAAATTCTTAAAATCTCACTTCCACAGCAAAAGTGAGAGATGTGAGGGAATGAACAATAGGCAAGAAAACATGGCTTTTTAAGTCTCAATTTTATAAATGGCAGTAGATCATGTATCATATTTCTTATGGTACAAATTTAGTACAAATACGTTACAATTTAGACTTGTCTAACAACTTGGACATAACTTTTCATGTCATGAAAGGACACTGTTCTGCTCTGTAGCTACCAGCCATTGCTTCCAGAGTGTTCTGGACACTTATGTCTTCAAGCAAGTGATCTTGCTTTGTGACACTGCATGAGCAGATAGATTTCTCTTTGGTGTGCTTCATTTTACAAACACTCCCCCCTAAGCAAATATGAGGCATGCAGGCTGCACAATCAAAGGCAGTGACATATGGTCCTGGGAAGTCCAAAGGCTCTGTTTAGTCGCAGGGATGGTTTTTTAAATTTAAAAAAATCTTACAAAATTATCCTACTGTTCCTCAACGGAGCCCAAGGCAGTGAGCATGATTCTCCCGTGTCTTTGGCAAATGACAAGGAAAGTACAACAACACCAGTGTTAGAAACTGGGACGGGAATGCTAGGAGCCATGTGGCTCCTGGGACCTAGGGTGTGGGTGCCAAAACGAAATGGCTAATAATTTCAGATGCCTTCCCTATAAACAACGAAGTGAAACTCTCTTTGATATATTCTTCTCCCTGGTGCTCAACTTAAGACAGTGTGTACATCCACTAAAGGAGCAACAAGATTCTGTTCAACCTGGCACGTCTCTACGCCAAGACAAAAGTGTAGTGGGCCGTTATCCGAGAGATGATGTTTGCAGATGACGCAGCCTTGACAGCACACTGAGGAAGCTCTACAGCAGGGGTAGGCAACCTAAGGCCCATGGGCCACAAGCGGCCCACAGGGGTTGTTTAACCGGCCCATGAGCCGCCTCAAACCGAGCTGCCTGCGCAGGGACTCGCTTCCGCGATGCCAGAAATCGTGACTGTGCATGCGCAGACACCGAGAAACATATTTGCACAGACACAGGTGCCGTAAATCACGGGCGCACATGCTCACGTGCACGCACAATCCGGCCCACGGAGGGATCTCCGCTGGAGTGAAGCAGCCCAGGTGAGGTAAACCTTGCTGACAGCTGCTCTACAGAGACTCAACTGTTTTGCCCAAGCATGCATGGAGTTTGGTCTTACCATCAGCCTGGGTCAGAACATTGCCATCACTCCACACATCAGCAATGGTGACCACATGCTTGAGGTGGTAGGCGTTTTTGTCTACCTGGGCTCCACCATAACCAGCAACCTCTCCAATAATGCTGACCTGGACAAGCATATGTGAAAGGCAGCTATGGCAACAGCTCACCTCTCCAAAAGGGTATGGGAAAATATGATACCAGTGACCAACACCAAAATGAAGGTTTACCAGGCTTGCGTGTTGAGCACGCTGCTTTATGGAAGTGACCCATTGGCAACTAACAATTGTCAGGCGCGACACCTCAACGCCTTCCACATGCGCTGCATCAGGAAGGTTTTTGCATCACATGGCAGGACAGAGTTTCAAACATATGTGTGCTCTCCCAAGCCCACATTCCCAGCATGAATGCACTCCTGTCTCAGCGACATCTATGCTGGCTTTGTCATGTCCACAGAATGGAAGATGGCAGGATTCTCAAGGACATGCGCTATTGGGAGCTGGCTTCAGGCACCAGTCCTGTTGGCAGACCAACTCTGCATTAGAAAGATATCTGTTAAACATGAAGGCTGGCAACATGAACACCGCCGTGTGGGAATCCTTTGCAGACGACCACAGTGCCTGGAGACTACCAGGTTGTGTATCCACAGAGGCCAGAGGAGGAATGACCACTAGGTGGAGCACAGAAAGAAGAAACGCCATGGTACACCTTCATCGGCACAACCGGACACCTTCATCTGCCCCAGCTGCAACAAAACATGTCTCTCCCATATCAGTCTCTACAGACACAGCAGTTGCTGTACCTCTCCAACAGTTTGACTTTACCCTTGAAGGTGCACTCTTCCACTGTCTCCCGAGACAGATGGGTGCCAACCAACTATTGGTAGGTAGTTTATTAGTCCATGGAGGCACCTACTTTAGAGAATTACATGGTGTAATTTGCCACATCAACCTGTCTGCACAGCAAGATCTTCCTCAGAGGCTCTTCTCTGGGTGCAGATCCAAAATAAGGTAGGCAACAATACAGAGATGTGGTTACCCCTTTGTGAAATTTTCACTCCAGGGAGCCTCACTGTTCATATATCCACTGGTGTACATGGTTCTCCCTCCCATTTAATCCTCAGAACAATCCTATGACGTATTTTAGGCTTACAGGCAGTGACTGGCCCAAGGTCATCCAGCACCATTTTTGGTCTGGAGGGATTAGAACCCAGGTCTCCTGAGGTCTAGTCTGAAACTCAAGCCAACATATTAGCTCCTTTAGAAATGTATTTTTAAAGTGTCTTTTAGGTACTAGTACCATTTTATCTTCCTAGGCTTCCCTTCAGTCAGTTTTAACCTTTGATTTGTGCTTTTATTTCTGTTGTGACTGTTCTTAGTACATTGGAACCTCTACTCATGTACGGAATCTGTTCCAGAGGTCCGTTTGTTAGTCGATCCGGGTCGCTGGGAGAAGCGCTGTTCTGCGCATGCACATTCGGCGGCGGCACTGTTCTGCACATGTGCAGACAGTGGCAGTCGCTTCTGTGCATATGCAGTCAGCAGAAGCTGCTTCTGCGCATGAGCAAATCGCGGCAAACCCAGTATTTACTTCCGGGTTTGCAGCGGTCGCGAGTCGAGGCGGTGGTAAGTCGAGGTTCTACTGTACTGCCTCTTTTACTGTTGCAAACTTTTGAAAATTAATTACCACTACTTTATTGCATTTATGAATTGTTGTAAACCACCCTAGAAATTTTTGAAAGGTGTTATGTGTTAAATTAGAAAACTCTTATATCCTCTTCAGTCATTAAGTTCTCTAGGAATAAATTCTATTGTTTCACCATTCCTTTTTTGCCCAAAACCACTGCGAAAAGCATCTAGAAATCTCTTTAGAAGCAGCCTGCTACACAGTGGCGAATAAACTCAGATTTTCATCTGAACCCCACCCTCTCCTGCCGCTGTCATCAGCCTTTCCTCCATTCTCAACCACTGTGGCTTTTGCCTACCTTCCTTTCCCACATCTAAGAAGCCAAAGCCAAAAACTTCCCTCCTTTTCAGAATATCCACAGCCTGATTTTTGCACTCTGAATCCCTCGTCAACAGACCATCACCTCCTGTTTAGTCTCTTCTTCCATGGGCATCTTGCCTTCTAGCTGTACTGTACCTCCCTGTTTTATTCTTGAGGTTCATCTTTAGCCTCTGTGCTCCTCACTTGGGTTTCTGATTTTGCTCTACAGCAGCTTCAATTCTTCATGAAGCTTTCCTGGCATTATCCACTCCCCTCAGCCTGTGCAAATTCAGCTTGTGTTGGCTCCCTTTGTTTCCTTCTCCCACGCCCACCTCTGTGTCTTTCTACTATCCTACACAGTGCCTATACACAATGCTGACACAGCCTCTCCAAGTCCCTCTTCCTTTGCAAAAGCCCTTCTTAAGCCACCCTCACCTCACTTCACTCTCCTAGCCCATCCTCACTGCTTAATAATCAAAGCCTGCCTCTGCCTCTCTTCCCTGCAAACGTTATTGCCTTGCCTATTAAACGGAGCTGAAAGCCCTTCAGTGGGAACTGGTTGTTTTTAAGTTCTATACAGCCCTTAAAACATGGCTTCACAAACGCAGCTACCAAGACATGGAAGAGGGGGTGGACAGCAAGAAAAGAGCTGGAACAAATGAGACAGTCATAAGATAGCAGAAGAAACATGGGAGCTACAGCAGGAGGTATCACTGATGGAGAGGCAATCTGCTTGCTCCGCACCTGTCCCCTTCAGTCAGTTTCTTTGTCTTTGCACACAATAAAGGTGGAGTGGGGAATGATTGCCCTACATTTCAAATCTGCACTACAGCAGCATTATGTGAGCTTCAAAGAGTTTTGCAGCTTGACCTAGTCAAAACGAGGCTTGGGTACCCTTAAAAGATGGGGTTATAGAGGAAAAATCATATCCAAGAAAGCAGCAAGATTCTCCTACAATCCTAAATCTGTCAAGATTTACCGTGCCGTGTGTGTGTGTGTGTGTGTCCCTCCCATTGTCTAACACCGCTGCATAAAAAAATAACTGTAGCCTCAGGAATATAATCTTCATTCCGTTACGTTATCTGGGTGGAAACAAATAATGAGCAATCAGGTTTCGGTTTAAGGCTGCAGCAGGAGGCAGCTTTCCTTTCTGCTGTTATTACACATTCTGTCTCTACAGTTTGATCAATGGAATAAGGCAGAATGAGGCCTGACACTGCAGTAAGAGGAATCCCTTGCAAGTCATTTGTGCATGAAACCTGCAAGCACAGAGAAAACTATGCAACCCAAGAGCTCAGTTTTGGGATGTTGCTCCCAACGCACAGCCTGAATGTAAAAGTGCAAACTGTTTTGATGTTTATAGTCAAAGGTATAGGACAACTGCGGCTTCCCCCAAAGCAGAAGGGGATCTGGAACCCAGCAAGAGACATAAAAGGCTGAGAGGAAGCATCATAGTCTAGGCAGGAAAAGCTCAGTAAGTCCAACTGAGCCACATACAGACAGAATCTGGATGGCAGGGGGAGTCAGCTTGCTGCTGAAGGTTCGATCCAGTTATTAGTGGAGATGAGATGCTGAAGGCTTGTCCGTATAAGAGCTTATGTTGAATCAATAACCCTGGAACTGTTTTTGGCTTCACGTTTCTTTAAACAATTCAGAGATCATCCCAAGGCTTCTGAAAGTTCAGAGCATGGAAATTAACTGAAAAAATCTTACTCTGCTTACTAAAGTGAACAGCTGTGGGGCTAGTACCTTTTGTAGGTGGAGCTCAGTGCCTCTTAGAGAAGCTACAGATCCTGAAAGAAAGCTAGCAAGGGTGTGTGTTTGAAGCACCCTGGAATATGTTGTTTGCTTACGCAAGAATTGTTCTGAAGATAGCAGGCCCTGGATCGGTAAACAGGCCCTGAGTATACAAATGATAGCAAGTGTGTACTTATGAACTACAATAAAAAATGGCCCTGAACTGAAGGTGAAAAAAGGACTTAGAATCATAGAATCTTAGAGTTGGAAGAGACCCCAAGGGTCATCTAGTCCAACCCCCTGCAATGCAGGAACCACAGCTAAAGCATCCATGACAGATGTCCATCCAAACTCTGTTTAAAAACTTCCAAGGAAGGAGGGTCCACCACTTCTCATGGGAGTCTGTTCCACTGCTGAACAGGTCTTACTGTCAGAAAGTTTTTCCAAATGTGTAGTTGGAATCTCCTTTCTTGCAACTTGAAGCCCTTGATTCGAGTCCTGCCCTCCAGAGCAGGAAAAAACAAGCTTGCTCCCTCCTCCATGTGACAGCCCTTAAGATATTTGAAGGTGGCTATCATATCTGCTGGGACGCGGGTGGCGCTGTGGGTAAAACCTCAGCGCCTAGGACTTGCTGATCGCATGGTCGGCGGTTTGAATCCCCGCGGCGGGGTGCGCTCCCGTCGTTCGGTCCCAGCACCTGCCAACCTAGCAGTTCGAAAGCACCTCCGGGTGCAAGTAGATAAATAGGGACCGCTTACCAGCGGGAAGGTAAACGGCGTTCCGTGTGCTGCTCGCCAGATGCAGCTTGTCACGCTGGCCACGTGACCCGGAAGTGTCTGCGGACAACGCTGGCTCCCGGCCTATGGAGTGAGATGAGCGCACAACCCTAGAGTCTGGCAAGACTGGCCCGTATGGGCGGGGGTACCTTTACCTTTACCTTTACCATATCTGCTCTCAGTCTCCTCTTTTCCAGGCTAAACATTCCCAGCTCCTTCAAGCGCTCCTCGTAAGGCTTAGTTTCCAGACCCTTGATCATCTTGGTTGCCCTCCTTTGCACACATTCCAGCTTGTCAACATCCTTCTTAAATTGTGGTGCCCAAAACTGGACACAGGATTCCAAGTGTGGTCTGACTAAGGCAGAATAGAGTGGTACTATTACTTCCCTTGATCTGGACACTATACTTCTGTTGATGAAGCCTAGAATAGCATTAGCTTTTTTTTGCTGCTGTATCACACTGTTGACTCATGTTAAGCTTGTGGTCCATCAAGACCCCTAAATGCTTTTCACATGTACTGCTAGTAAGCCAGGTGTCCCCCATCCTATATTTGTGCATCTGGTTCTTCCTGCCTAAGTGCAGAACCTTACATTTGTCCCTATTGAAATTCATTTTGTTAGCTTGCGCCCAGTTCTCCAATCTGTTAAGGTCATTTTGAATTCTAATTCTGTCTTCTGTGGCATTAACTACCCCTCCCAGTTTGGTGTCATCTGCAAATTTGATGAGCATCCCCTCAATTCTGTCATCCAATTCATTTATAAAGACATTAAACAACAACAGACCCAGGACAGAACCCTGCGACACCCCACTTGTCACTTTTTTCCAGGATGACGAGGAATCATTAATGAGTACTCTTTGGGTTCGGTCAGTCAACCAGCTACAAATCTACCCAACAGTTACCTCTTTCAACCCACATTTTACCAGCTTCCTCCTGAGAATATTATGGGGAACTTTGTCAAAAGCTTTACTGAAATCAGGATACACTATGTCCACAGCATTTCCCTGATCTACCACATTTGCAATTCCATCAAAAAAAGAAATCAGATTGGTCTGGCATGACTTATTTTTGAGAAACCCATGTTGGGTCATAGTAATCACAGCATCATTTTCTAAATACTCACAGACCGACTGCTGAATTATCTATTCTAGGACCTTCCCTGGTGTCGATGTCAAGCTCACCGGTCAGTACTGTAGTAACCTGGGTCTTCCTTTTTCTTCTTTTTGAAGACGGGGACAACATTTGCCCACCTTGTCTGTAGGGACCTCACTTGTTCTCCAAGACAGGGAGTCACCTATCACCACCACTCGTCTCCTCCTCCTGCTCCTCTGGGGAGTAGCAGGAATCATTCTATGGGCTGTGCCTTCCAAAGGCTGCTTGGAGTGTTCTGAGGTCTGCTTCTGTCATTCTCGAGTCTTCCCCTCTTGTTTACTGGAGCTTATTTTGATATTGTTGGGATAAATTACAAAGGCCGGAAACTTATGGTTTGAATACTTCCTACTTCTTCCTCCCAGCTTGTCATCTCTGGGCTGCAATTCCCTTTCTCTAATGTTGTCTCCATGGAAGGTAGCAAGTACGTTATCACCATACTCATCCACGATCAGTAGCCTTGGATCTGATGGGGTTAGATCAAGAATGGAAAAAGACTCCTCCAAATCCATCTCCTCCTGTCTCTTTCTCCTCTGGGGAGTGGCAATAATCGTCCTATGCACTGTACCTTTCACAGCCACCTTCGTGTCTTCTGAGGTTGGAACTGCTGTCCTAGCTCTGGCCCAGAATCCATGTCCAAGGTAAGAGCATGGAAGCGATTTTGCAACTCTAATGAAGTGTGTTTTGTGACTGTCCTACTTCTGTGCATCACATTTCTCCAAGAGTTAGACCATGGGTCAGCAAACTAAGGTCCATGGACCGGATCAGGCCCACTTGCGTTCTGGATCCAGCCTGCAGACGGTCCGGGAATCACCATGTGGATCGCCAGCACGCACATTCTTTCCCCTCTCCCTCCCACGGCGGCAGCGCCAGCACCTCCTCCCTCCATCCTCCTGGCTTCTCCCTGCCCTGCCTAGAGGAGGAAGGGGGCTGGGCTTTGTTGGTGCCAGCAGCAGCAGGTCGCCATTTTAAGCAGCCCCTCTCCAGAGCCATTTTGCACGCCGCTCATCGTCCCTCCGCTGCTGCCAGCCACTGCTGCTCGCAAGACACAGGTAAGCAGCCACCGGGGCTCATGGTGCTCTTGCATCAATTCCCCCCTCCCAAAAAAATATAGTCCAGCCTTCCACAAAGTCTGAGGGACAGGGGACCAGCCCCTGCTGAAAAAGTTTGCTGACCCCTGGGTTACTATTGCAATGGGCAATCTTTCTCCACCCTGGGGGCACCCCATCGCATCTTGGTGCTCAATCCCAGTCAACTCAGTTGTATCAAGTACCTCTGCATGTTGTCCTGTTGCTTGAGGTGTGGTTAGACGGGCCTCAAGTTGCTGCACCTTCTCTTCCAGCATGACAACCAGCTTGCACTTGCTACAAGCCTACTGTTGCTTGCTCTCTGGCAGAATGACAAACATGGAACAGGTGTTACAGGTCACTGCAGCAGCTCCCTTGCTCTCCATGTCTCTGGCCCTTTGCACACCAAGAGACAGAACTCTGGGCCTTCCCCTTAAACGCCCCCCACTAAACATCCTTGCAAACGCCCCTGTTTATGAGCTCTGCTTGCAAGATCCCAGGATCTGCAGTGAGATAAGCTTGACTGCTGCTGGTTGCTAACTCCTCCCTCAGCCTGGCTTCCTCTGAGCTGTAACTCCTCCCCATCAGATCCTGTGTTCCCACATAGCAATCAGCCACACATACCCTCAGGCTCCAAAAGACACAAGCTCACTCTCTTCAGTCTCCTCCAGCAATTCTTGTCCCTGTTTGCAAGGTCCCAGGATCAGCACTGAGCTGGGTTTGACTTGTGTGGAGGCAAGTTTGAGAATCCTTGAAAGAGGTAGGACGGATACAGCTTTTTTAACACAGAGATGCATTTAACTCTTTTAATCATCTGGTGTTATCCAGAACCACTCTTAAGCATTCACACAGGAGTGCCCAAACCAGTTCTTTAACAGATAGTCAATGGGGTCACATTCATCTTCTCCAGAGTTTGGCTCTCTTACAGAAGAAAAGAGAATGCAAGGCAAGGACCAACTTCCTTTGTGGGTAAAGCTTCCCTGTTGAAGGCAACTCACATTTGCCTGGTCACCTGCAGGATGTTTGCTAGCCTGCTTTTGACTCACTGACCCAGTTTATGTTGTGATTATATAGTTTCTGAAATCAAGGTTACATGATCTGTGGGTTGGGCCAGCATATTTCCAAACTTGGAGAGTTCTTGAGAGCCCCATGGACTGCAAGAAGATCAAACCTATCCATTCTTAAGGAAATCAGCCCTGAGTGCTCACTAGAAGGACAGATCCTGAAGCTGAGGCTCCAATACTTTGGCCATCTCATGAGAAGACTCCCTGGAAAAGACCCTGATGTTGGGAAAGATGGAGGGCACAAGGAGAAGGGGACGGCAGAGGACGAGATGGTTGGACAGTGTTCTCGAAGCTACCAGCATGAGTTTGACCAAACTGCGGGAGGCAGTGGAAGACAGGAGTGCCTGGCGTGCTCTGGTCCATGGGATCACGAAGAGTCGGACATGACTAAACGACTAAACAACAACAAATTTCCAAACTTGCTGGCCTAAAGGGATTTTTCACCCGCTATTTGCTCATGATATAAATGAAATACCCCATTCTCTTTTAGGCACTAATCATCGACTTGGTACATGAGGGCAGGTGGGCTAGTAAGTTTTGTTGCCTTCTTTTGTAAAGGTCACAAACATGTTTTTAAGAAGAGAAAGACTAGAAGTTAGTTTTTAGGTGGTAAACATTTTCAGACTAGGCAACAGACTTTGCAAGAGATTACAATGCTGTAACCCAGAAAGCTATTCAGAATTGATGGTAATGCCTCGCAGACTCTGCAGAAACATCTGGCATGCATGACAAAAACAGACAAATTAACCACATTATTTCCACGCTATCTATGTAGTTGCAGGGTGAATTTAAGGTAGGAATATAATGGGAGAAGGGCAGACTTTCTTCTGCAAGGTCCTAATACAAGCTGTTGCAATATTCTAGCAATATTCCTGGAATCTCACTACGATTTACATTTTGCTTTAGTGTTATTATATAGCACCATCAGTATAGTAGTGCTTGAAACAATAAAATAAGCAAAAGCAGTAGACCCCTCGAACAAGGAGCTTACCTCCTCAATTTTAACGCTGACGGACACAATATAAGGAAAAGCAAAATGATAAAGATGGGGGTAACAAGGCAGGAATATTAATAAATTTTGTTACATATACAATGCGTGAAGAATTTGCAGGAGAAAAACACAGAACCAACTAAGTTTCTGGTGATTATCCAGGCACAGTAAAAAGTAAAGAAGAAAGGACAGGTAGTAGGAGACCTTTGTGTATCTTAGGGTGGAAAAGTGAAGGTCAAGGACAGAACTATGAAGAGACACAGGCAGGCTATAGAAAAGTTTAAGCTTCCTATAAAGGCATACAAATAACTTTAAATAGTTTGAATCATTAATTTTTTTCTCTATGCATTAGCCTACCCTACAAACATATATTGCAAAACTTTATCAGAAACATAATTCACCATAATAAATGCAATGCTTAGAAGACCCAACACATATGACTGAAACAAGATCCTAAATCTTCTATTTCAAATACACTATACTCAGTTTTTCAATGCCTCATTCTTTATCCTGACAATATTTATTAAATTTGTTCATATACTGTATACCACATCCCAAATTCTGAACAACCAATTTGTCACTGAGGGTAGATTCTCTCCCCACCTGTTTACTTATAGTGAACAATTGTTCTAGTAACCACTAGAAGAAATTAACAGGAAACAGGGAGGGAGTAGTAGTAGTATTACTGAAAATTGCTCAACAGATAAAACCATATTACAATAGGTCACTGGCAGTTCTTATATAAAGATGATTCGGCGAATGCTTTGTGCACCTTAGACTATACAGTATCATTCTGGTGATGTGCCAACTTCAGCGGCTCCCTGTCCATTCGAGGCCGAATGCACGGTGATGTTGTTGACCTTTAAAGCCTTTTACGACTTAAGACCAGAGTACCTGAAAGATTAATGTGTGGAGACTAGCCAAGTCAGCTCTGCTCTGTCTCCATAGCCAGAGGCAGTAATGCTTCTGAATACCAGTGGCTGGAAGTCACAGGAAGGGAGTGTTCTTGTGCTGCTTACCAGTTTCCCACTGGCATTTAGTTGGCCTGATCCAGCAGGCTGTTCCTATGCACCAACCTAGGCCATAAAATCATCTTTTGAAGACCTTTTTAGGGTGCCCTGCCAAGAGATGAGGTATGACGGGGGGATACTGGGGGAAGGACCTTCTCAGTGGTGGCACCTCAGCTACAGAATGCCCTCATCAGGGAGGCTTGTCTGGTACTTATAATTGTTTATCTATATCTTTATATTTTTAATGATATAGTGGTATGTAAGTATTTTTATAAATAAATAAATTAAATAAACTAAATGTGTCATTTTAGTGCCAAGATACATTTTTATTTTTATAAGCCTTTTAATCTGCTCTAGTCAGTTTTATCTTTGCAACTTTGGGGGGGGCTGCTTTTAACTGTTATTGGTCTACCTTACAGTTTTGTTTTTTTTGTTTTTAATCTTGTTGTAATCCACACTGAAAATTTAGTTATAAGGGAGCCATGTATATGCCTTAAGTATATTACATTCCTAACCTTAACAACTGAGGATCATCATGAATTAAAAAACTTATATAAAATTATTGGTCTTTTTTTTTACAAGAGAGTCTTAGCTCAGTCATCCTCTGATGCCTCTTCCGTTATTATCACCACAACTTGTGTCCCTGTACCATCTCTCCATTAAGCATGAATTTGCACACACAGAGCTTCTGCTTAAAGATTTCGTGAGAACTGATTAACTAAAGATATTTAAATGCTTTAACACACCCACTCAAATTCTTGCCACATTAAGTACAATGGGATCTTCTATTAGAATAAGCGACATATCTTTTGCTATGTTTATACAGCTTGATAAACATAAATGGTCTTTCTTTTGCTTTCTCAAAACAAAAACACAATGCTGTGGTTCTCTTTTGAGAAAACACAGAGAAACCATCTAAGGGAACCTGTTAAAAAGCAGGCATGACTGGAAGTAAAAAGGCAAAGGTAAAGGGATCCCTGACCGTTAGGTCCAGTCACGGACGACTCTGGGGTTGCGGCGCTCATCTCGCTTTATTGGCCGAGGGAGCTGACGTACAGCTTCCAGGTCATGTGACCAGCATGACTAAGCCGCTTCTGGCGAACCAGAGCAGCACACGGAAACGCCTTTTACTTTCCCACCACAGCGGTACCTATTTATCTACTTGCACTTTGACATGCTTTTGAACTGCTAGGTTGGCAGGAGCAGGGACCGAGCAACGGGAGCTCACCCCGTCACGGGATTCGAACCGCCGACCTTCTGATCGGCAAGCCCTAGGCTCTGTGGTTTAGACCACAGCGTCACCCGCATCCCTATGACTGGAAGTAACCTGGGGTAAATAAGCTCCAACTAGAATGACGAGGACATTGCAGCCTCATCAAGTAGAGCATTTCAAGAGAGAATTTTTTTTTAGGGGACTTCCAAGACAATTTGACCATTACATCATACCACAGAAGTGGCAAAATAGCTACCTAAAAGATTAATATGAGGATGCAGTATACTCCAGTCCAGTATACAGCCCCTTAAGTATACTACTCCATCACTATACTATATTTCAAAGAGAGCAATCCCTCAGACTACTGGATCTACAAGACCAGAGTCAAATTTCTAATCAGCAGTTAATTATGTGGACCCTGTCAAGTCACGATCCTTCTGTTACTTTCCAAATTAAGTGCTTTATAAGTTCCTCTGTTTGCCTCTAGCAAGAACTAACCCTATACCTTGATGGTGTTTTCAAAAGTTAACTGTTTAATTGAAACTACTTCTTTAAAAAGCTTACCATCATCCTACAATCCTGTGCAGCATCTCCCCTATGGAGGACAGATAAGAGGGGTGGGGAGGGGGGTTAAAGAAATGACCATTCAACTTGAGGATAAACATGGCTTCTTCAGATCTAAAACAAGTTCAGAAGCTCCTACTGCTGCAGAAAGGACTTCAAAAATGACTTCTGCATAGGCAGACCTTGCATGCCAGCCCCCATCAGACATCTTATTTCACAATTATCTATCCTAAACTGTATTTTCCATGCACTGTCCCAGTTACCTTGAAGATCCCTAAATCCCTCTTAATCGGGTTGCTGGAATGACTGCTATTTTCATATGGCACTAAAAAAGGAGCTGAAATCTAACAAAGCAAAACAAAAACACACAGACACAAACAAACCAACAATATTGTGCATCAGTCAGAATCTATCCGCTGACCCAAATTTTCTGTTAACCAGGATATGCAGCTGTAATGCAGTACTTTTGAGGCTGCAAAAGGGTTTGTTTTCATCCAGATAACAGAAAGCCACCACCCCAATATTTATGCATTATTCAATGCTTTTCCACAGTGCTAGTATGCTATAGCAAAGATGCCCAAACTTAGCAAATGCCAACTAGTTTTAAGAGGCAGAAATCTGAACGGTGCAAATGGACAACGTAAGTTTGCATATGAATGTTTATTTCCAAAGGAACAGATTGTGTTTACTTTAAGCTTTTGCAGCCTATCAAGAAGTAATTTGCAAGGAAGGCCTCTGTCAAGACACCTGTCTAATATTATGCAACATGCATAATTATGATTTTCCTATCAAATTAGGCCATCACCATGAGACTCAGTGACCATAACCATCTGGAACACCCATCTAAAGATCAGCCACTACTACTAATGCATACCAAACGTAGTATCCTCAGTTAAGTCCAGTAACTGACAATCTAAGCTACCCCTCCGTCCCCACACTTTCCCCTTTGGGGCAGGCAGGAGAGCGACAAAAATCACAAGGAGAATCCTGAAGTTCTCACAGAACTTCACTCTCTCCAATTTCAGTGGATACAACAGGAAATTATACCTCAAAATTGCCTGTTCAATTATCGTCTAGCCAGAAAAAAAATAAACAACAGCCAAAATAAAAAGAGGTGCACGCAATCCTTCATCCAGATACCTGCAGGGCAGGGATGGTATTGAACAGAGCTCTGACAGCTGGGGCTTGCTTCCCCATCCTCATTGTTCCTCTGTGTCAAGAAAGCAAGAGTCAGGTAAAAAAAAAAAAAGGAGAGTTGTCCTCTTAATGTAAAGAGATATGACCTCCCCCACTTGACCAGTCAATATGGCCAGGGCCTTATTTTTCTATCATGTGTCGCACAATCTCAACGTTTCATTTTCTGTACTACCATTCTCACCTCCTCAAAATAAAAAAGGAGACCCTTAGACAAGACACCCAAAGCACCCACCAAAGACAAAAAACAGATGTTCATATTTACATGAAACTTATGTGTGAGCAGAAAGGTAGCAAAACTCCCATAGTTGAGCTAGGGCACCACACACACACAAACACACCATATCCCTATCTACAGGAGGGAGTTACACAATAAAGAGCAGTAACTGCCTGAAGACGCTCATTATTCTAGACACCCTTTTTTTTGTCCTCGGAGAGTGACAAGGAGGGGAAGGACGGGAGCATCGTAAACTCGGTAATCCTAGGGCTGGAGAGTGGGGGGCGGGGAACAAAATAGGTACTTTCAAATTAACCTCCGATATTAAAAGTCAGGGGAAGGCGGCGGAGTAAGACGTGGCTGATCCTCCCTCGAAGCCCCCCCAAAGACCTGTTTTCTTCCCCGGATCTCCTATGGCAACGGATAGGAACGGCAAAACAGGGAGTCGCCTCGCCTTCCTTGCTGCTGGTGGTGGAGCAGCAACACAAGGGAGCGCATCTCTCGCCATCCCACCCAAATCCTTGAAGGAGGCCCAGATCGGAGGAAAACCAGCCTGGGGAGAGGGGGAAACACCAGCCAGCCCCACCGCACCTGGCTGGGAGAATGGCGGGCGGGGGGCAGGGGAATACTCGGGAAGAGCCAAAGGGGCAGGATTCGCACACATATCTCAACATCCAAACAAGTTTTTTTGGGGGGGGGCAGATGAAGGACCCCCTATTAGGGCGAGGCCTCAGCAAACCTAAGCTGGGGGAGGGGGCAATAAGGGGGAAATTGGGGGGGGGGGCTTCGCCACTTCCCGAGGAGTCAAGGAAGAAGAGGGATTCAAAGAGGCCAAAGCCGGCTTCCCCTCTCTCTCTCTCTCGCCGCCGCCGCCGGACATCGGTTACCTGGAAGTCCCTGTCCTCGTTGAAGCGGGAGAACCTGTCCGCCATTTTGCCTCGGTTCGCCTCTACCTTAGTCAGGAGACTGCGACGAAGGAAACGGGGGCCGTACGCCGCTCGACGTGCGCGCGCCCGCCCGACGGCGGGTCTCGTTTCGCTTTGTGCGCGCGCGCGCGCAGAGAGAAAGAGCAAGAGACGCCTCAGAGAGTAAAAGGCTTAGCGGTGGCTCTCGACTTCCGGGTTCTCTTCGGCCGCCTATGGAGGCAAGCCGGGATTTGAGCGGAGGTGGAAGTGGCTGCAAAGGAGCTTCTTCTCGTTCTAACTCGGGTCTCGTTCCGAGTAAGGGAATTTAATTTAATTTTTTTAAGCGCAGCAGGCAACAAGTCAACAATGCGCCAGTTGTTTTTTTGCACGCGGCTGGATGCCGCGTTTGGACTGCGAGAAGGAGGATTTAAATTGCTGCAACCTCGGGGGTGTTTTGTGATTTCCGGCCGAAAGAGCTTCAGCCCCACATGGCTGACCTACAACAGAAGCGGTGGTCTGACTTGCAGGGCTGTGGTAACCCCCGCAGTCTGCAGCACTATAACGTCAGCAGAAAAAAAGAGCAGTTTCCTGGGGCTGGCAGGGTGTTTATATCTTTTTTAAAATTTACAATTTAGAATACTCATTTAAGCATCCTTAAAATATCAATGACTTCCCTTCTCTTTTCATGGTTCATTTTGCATATCATAAATCCCTGCATATTTTACAGAAACGAAACCATTCAGTATTCCATTATTACATCCATCAAAACATATGTACACTGTTGGATTTATCTTAATGCTGCCAACGGTTTCAAGTGTACACAATTTCCCCCCATGTATTCAATAAACATTTTCCAATCTTCTGTAAACATATGTTCTTCTCTTATTCTATATGTTAAGTCTGCAAGCTGCGCATATTCCATCAGCTTAAATTGCCATTCTTTTTTCAGCTGGGACCTCACGCGTCCATTGCAGGGTGTGTGTTTTTTAATATTTAAAATTCCATAAAACTGCTTTTTATCTTGAGCTGGAAAGGAAACTCATGTCCAGTTATGCTGCCTTTGTCGGGGGGTGGGGGTGGATGCAGGCAATCACCCAGTTGTAGTAGCTACGCTTAAATCCTGGGTTTTATCATTCGTTTAATTCATAATTGAGTACGGCTCAGGTCCAAGCTATCTGAAAGGCTCTGTTCCCTTCATACGAACCTGACCTGTTTTGAGAACCTCAGGGAGGAGGCCCTTCTCTCACTCCTGCCACCCTCACAGGGACACTTGGTGGGGACGCAGGAGAGGGCCTTCTTGGTGGTGGCTGCTCCCAGACAACATGGGAACTCCTTCCCTAGAGAACTTAGACTGGTTCCCTCCTTGTTGTTCTTCTGCCAGTGGGTGAAGATCTTGTTCCACCAGGCTTTTGGAAACTCACTGTTTTAATGAAACAGCCGGCACCGTGTGGTCTTTATTGTAACTTTCTGTATGTCTTAATTCCATTATGGTTAATAATAATAATAATAATTTATTATTTATACCCCGGCCACTCTGGGCGGCTTCCAACAGAACACCAAGATACAATAACCTATTCAATATTAAAAGCTTCCCTAAACAGGGCTGCCTTCAGATGTCCTCTAAAAGTCTGGTAGTTGTTTTTCTCTTTGACATCTGGTGGGAGGGCGTTCCACAGGGAGGGTGCCACTACCGAGAAGGCCCTCTGCCTGATTCCCTGTAACTTAGCTCCTCGCAGCGAGGGAACCGCCAGAAGGCCCTCGGCACTGGACCTCAGTGTCCGGGCGGAACGATGGAGGTGGTTTATATATGTTTTTAATTATTACCCCTCCCCTTATATTTCTAAGATGTTCTTATTTTATCTGAAAGCCACCTTGAGTCCCTGCCAGGGAAAATATAATATATATAGATCAATATCTAATAATAATTTTAATGAGCAGCTCATTGATCTGATTTCTTTTTCTTTTGTAAGACTTCAAAATACCCCTGGAGGTTCTGTTATTGTTGTTGTTGAAAAAAAGTTCTCTAATATACCCCTCTATGAATCAAACCCAACACCACAGGCTTCAGAAATCTAATCGGGCCTGAGAATCACAACAGCCAGGACTGTGTGTGTGGCTTTTCGCCCAGCTCCTAATTCCCAGTTTTCCCGCTAGTTGCTCGCAACACATTAAACCATGGGTAGGCAAACTAAGGCCCGGGGGCCGGATCCGGCCCAATCGCCTTCTAACTCCGGCCAGGAATCAGTGTGTTTTTACATGAGTAGAATGTGTCCTTTTATTTAAAATGCATCTCTGGGTTATTTGTGGGGCATAGGAATTTGTTCATATTTTTTTTCCAAAATATAGTCCAGCCCCCCACAAAGTCTGAGGGACAGTGGACTGCTGAAAAAGTTTGCTGACCCCTGCGATTAAACAGTTGGCTTCTCCTTCTCCATTGGGAATATATGTTTTTTAAATATAAAAGGGCGTCTCTGTTCTCCATTGTCCCTGTCACACCGCCATGCTTCATAAACATTTTCTGACTCCAGTCGAGTTCCTTCGGAACGCCTCAGTGTGTTCAGGTAACCAACGCCTGAGGTAACCCTCTTAACATGTCACCTGGCTGCTGCCAAGGATTGTGTACATGCCCCACCATCACCCATGTAGCCATTACAAACATTTGGATGGCTCCCCTTCTCTCTCTGCACTGCTCTTTCAAAGAAGGAGCCATAGGTATCAGACGACAGTGCGTTTGACTGGGGAATTTTATCAACATCTCCTCAGAAGTTCGTCCTGGGTCCAGCCCACCCATGAGGCCAGGTGAGGCAACTGCCTCAGGTAGCAGGATCCACAGAACCAGCACATCCCAATGTCAATCTTTATTCCCGCCCAAATTCCTGGTGAGAGAGGCACCATTTTGGGGTTCTCCTCAGGCGCCAAAATGTCTTGGGCTGGCCCTGGTAAGTCCTATAGCAGTGATGGTGAACCTTTTAGAGACCGAGCACCCAAACTGCAACTCAAAACCCACTTATTTATCGCAAAGTGCTAACACGGCAATTTAACCCGTATATCTCATTTTTTCTGTGCGTTTCATGTTTCTTCTTTATGACTGCTGTTGTAATAAATAATCCTTCATAAAAGTTACTGCGTTACATTCTTCATTAAATTATCTTTCCCTTGATATATAATTTTATGGTTATAACTCAGTGCTTTTTTTTCTTAAAAAATGTTTAGGGGTACTCTCATTTTGACTCAAGAAAATCACCACCGGGGGAAAATAAATACAGTTCAAATCGGGGGAAATAAATACAGTGAATTTCTTCTCCTGTTAAATTCACAAAATGTTTAGGGGTATGCGTCCCCCTGCGTCCCCACAGGAAAAAAAGCGCTGGTATTACTCCAAAACAAAGTGGTGTTATGAGCCATCAAACCTCGGAAATACCAAAAGGTTCCACAATTTTGGCCACTAGTGTACACTGGAGGGCTGCACTAAGAGCCACCCTCTCCCAGTTTTTAATATGAGATAATAATCACTGGTTGTGTGCGCACATACAAATATAAATAAATAAATAAATAAATAAACCCAGCCAGATGGGTGGGGCATAAATAATATATTATTATTACAGTGGTACCTCTGGATGCAAACAGGATCCATTCCGTAGCCCCGTTCGCATCCCAAAGCGAACGCAACCAGCGTCCGCGAGTCGCCGCTTCCACGCATGTGCGTGATGTCATTTTGACCGTCTGCGCATGCACAAGCGGTGAAACCCGGAAGTAACACACTCCGTTGCAGATGCAGCGCGCAACCTGAAAATACTCATCCCGAAGCTACTTCAACCTGAGGTATGACTGTATTATTATTATTATTATTATTAGCCGTTTTTTCGGCTGCCATTTGATCGCAGCCTCCACGGAATGAATTTCTCTGTTGGCTTCCGCGGGAAAGCCCAGCAAACATGTAAACCCAGCAGCCCCTTCTTAGGTTGCCAGCTTTATATGCTTACTGACCTGGGAGTTAAGCCCTGCTGAACTCAGGGTGGCTTACTCTCGAGTAGGAAAAACAGACTGGCTGGAGGCCCTGGCGCATCAAAAGTCAATGCCTGCTCAGCCCCTCGCTCGTTTGCCAGGCCCTGGTGTCACAGGCTTTGAATGGCAAGCTATGGCCCTGCTGGGGCAACGGTGTGCATGCCCACAGAGAGGGCTCTGAGTGCCCTCTCTGGCACGTGTGCCATAGGTTCGCCACCACTGTCTTATTTGATTCAGTGGGGCTTATTTCCAGCTAAGCAGGGCTAGGACTGCAGCCTGCACCGCACCGAACATAGCAGGGCTTGTGGGTAGAATGAAACATTTTCTATCCTGTCTTAAAATATTATTACATGTCCCTCGGTTCTCTGAGTGTGAGAATGACAGGGGCACAGTTGTACGCATGAGCCATACCTCATGTTACGTTTGCTTCAGGTTGAGCATTTTCAGGTTGCGTCCCGCGGCGACCCGGAAGTACCGGAAATGGTTACTTCCAGGTTTTGCCGCATGCGCAGACGCGCAAAATGACGTCATGTGCAGAAGCTGCAAATCGAGACACGCAGACGCGGATTGCATTCTGCTCATGTTGCGAATGGACCTCTGGAACGGATCCCATTTGCAGCCAGAGGTACCACTGTATAGTTTTATTAGGTTAGAGTGAGTTATTTAATTTCTATACTGCTTAATATATTAGAAATGTCTCTAAGCAGTGTACAAAGAACTGAAACAACCAACAACTTAAAATACCCAGTTACATATACTTTTTAAAAAAATATCCAGTTACATAGACAGTGGTACCTCAGGTTACATACACTTCAGGTTACATATGTTTCAGGTTACAGACTCTGCTAACCCAGAAACAGTGCTTCAGGTTAAGAATTTTGCTTCAGGATGAGAACAGAAATCGTGCTCTGGCGGTGTGGTGGCAGCAGGAGGCCCCATTAGCTAAAGTGGTGCTTCAGGTTAAGAACAGTTTCAGGTTAAGAACAGACCTCCGGAACGAATTAAGTACTTAACCCGAGGTACCACTGTAGACATGTTACCTTAATGCAAAGTGCCTAATATATATTAATAAATAATATCAATTCATTTTCTTTCTGACACATCCTCCCTCTCAGCCTCCAGGTTCTCACCCAGGGTCCAAACAAACTCTCGGCTCACCCACAAAAGTCTCACAACGAGAATGGTTTTTGGTTTCAGCGGACATCACCCTAATCTTTAGACTTGCTTTTTATGAGCAGGGCCAAGATGGATGCTACTTCCTTTAGGCTGCTCATAGCTGTGTCCCATTCAGTTGCGCTCTGCACACCCATTTCCAAGTACAGCTGGTTTGTTGAGTTTCCCTGGGGGTCCAAAGGATGGGGAAAGAGCCCCCCATGACTCACAGCTCTTTCTTCACCCTCTGTCCTCTCTTCCTCCTCTGGCTGCTTTTTTCACTTATTCTGAAGGTTCACACAGCTTAGACACAATGTGTGTAGAAGACAATAACAACAACATCATAAGTAACACTGTGGAAGCATCTGCCATGGTTCCTCATTGTTCAGTATTGACTTTGTGAAGAAAAAGAGCTTTGGTTATCTAGACTGTATGGGCTTTGCTTTTATAAACTGTACTGTATTGTGCTATGAAAAAATATAATACAGTATCTTGCATCTCTGCTGGGGTTATGGATGTGGATACACTGAAGACCAGGTGGAGCTGAGGATTAAAACCTTCCTTGAATGTGTTTTGCAAGCCAGTACCCAGAGGCTATATCTGCCAGTGACTTGCCTTTTGAGAGTTAGATCAAGGGGGACAAAGGAAGTACAGGAGAAGGGTGTCAGAGAACAGAGGATGGGTAGAAGTCTGTAGCCTATGGGAATGTGGAGAGAGAGGAAGAGAGTGTGAAGGGTTTAATTTTTCCTTTGATTTGTTTCCCCACCTGTTGGTGGGTTCAGGTGGTTTTTCTATCTATTCTATAACATAAAACCCTTTCCCTAAAAACTCTTTATTCTATCAATTTAGAAAACTCTTCTGTGTGTGTGTGTGTGTGTGTGTGTGTGTGTGTGTGTGTGTGTGTGTGTGTGTTGCTTTAAAAAATGTTTAGGGGTACTCTAATTTTGACTCAAGAAAATCACCAACTTATAGTTCAAATTGGGAAAAATCAATACAGTAAATGGACAAAAGTACAAAGATTCACAAAATGTTTAGGGGTATGCATCCCCTGCATCCCCCCAGAAAAATACACACACACACACATACACACCACCCATCTGTTGACTTGGTTGCCTCAGCCACTCTGGGTGGCTTCCAACATAATATATATTAACACAACAGCAGCAGCAGAACAGCTACAAATCAAAACATCCCAGTACAGGGCTGCCTTCATATGTCTACAGAAGATTGTAGAATTATTTATGTCCTTGACATCTGGCAGGAGGGCGTTCCACAGTGCACGCACGGCTACGGGAATCCAAGGTAGATCTTTTAGATCCCTTTCCCTAGAAACTCCTTAATTCTATCAATTTAGCAAACTTTTATCTATGTTCCACTAAAACCTTGCGGCCTCCATGTATATACCACCCATGTCTTAAGCCACATTCTACACTAAGGTAAAGGTAAAGGGACCCCTGACCATTAGGTCCAGTCGTGACCGACTCTGGGGTTGCGGCCCTCATCTCGCTTTATTGGCCGAGGGAGCCGGCGTACAGCTTCCAGGTCATGTGGCCAGCATGACTAAGCTGCTTCTGGCGAACCAGAGCAGCACATGGAAACACCATTTACCTTCCCGCCAGAGCGGTACCTATTTATCTACTTGCACTTTGACGTGCTTTCGAACTGCTACACTAGTTTAGTCCAAATAAGGCAGAGGTAATGTCAGGAAGCACAGCTGACTAGTGGCTGATGGGAGAAATATCCGTTCTTGACAGAGTCATGCCCCCTCCCTTGGGGATCAGGACCACCGCACTGCAGGGGCCAGGAGGGCTCACATTGCTCCTGGATGCCCAGGTAGCGGCTGTGGGTTTTCTCAACTTCAGTTTGCATGGCAACTGCTCCTGCTGCAGGAAGACAGGGATCAGCTACTGTCATTCATGCTTTGGTGACTTCTGGATTAGATTACTTTAATGAGCTTTATGTGCAGCTGCCCTTGAAGATGTTCTGGAAACTTCAGCTGGTTCAGAATATGGTTGCTCAGCTGCTGACAAGCCTAAGCTGTCACAAATGTATAATGCCTGTTCTAAACTTCCAGCTCAATTTAAGGTGTTGATCTTCTACTTTTAAAGCCCTAAACCAGGGGTGAGAAGTCTTTTTTTCGGGCCAAGAACTGCATTACCCTAGTGGAGAGCTGTGGGGGTTTGCATTCCAGTAGTCACAGAATTGTAGAGTTGGAAGTGACCCAAAAATAATTTAGTCCAACCCCTGCCAAGGCCAGAGCCTAAAGTGGACAGGGCCAGCTCCAGTCCCAATCACAACCTTAACAGATACACTGGCACACAACCACGCATGCACAGAAGCATACAGCCTTAGAAACAAGGTCATATGCTCAATTATTAGTAACGCCACTCAAATTTCGCCTTCCGTTTTCTCTCTAGACTTTTTTCTGTACAAAGTATGAAGCAGCAGCAGCTCAGAACCTATTATCTATCCTGACTGTGCAAAAAAATGAAACAAACTGAGTGATCCCAGCGGAAGAAAGCAAATAAGGTAAATGCACAACTGAACAAGCCCTGCCTTAAAGGTAAAGGGTAAAGGGACCCCTGACCATTAGGTCCAGTCGTGACCAACTCTGGGGTTGCGGTGCTCATCTCGCTTTATTGGCCGAGGGAGACGGCGTACAGCTTCTGGGTCATGTGACCAGCATGACTAAGCCGCTTCTGGCGAACCAGAGCAGCGCACGGAAACGCCATTTACCTTCCCCCCGGAGCGGTACCTATTTAGCTACTTGCACTTTGATGTGCTTTCGAACTGCTAGGTTGGCAGGAGCAGGGACCGAGCAACGGGAGCTCACCCCGTCACGGGGATTCAAACCGCCGACCTTCTGATCAGCAAGTCCTAGGCTCTGTGGTTTAACCCACAGCGCCACCTGTGTCCCCAAGCCCTGCCTTACATCTATTTAAAACCTCGCTTCAAAATGGAATTGCCTCCTGAAGATAGCATGAATGCAATTGTGAAATGCATGGATTGCTTTTTGTAGATTTGCAAGTGACACAAGTCTGCAGGGGCAGTTTCTGAGCACAATTCAGAGTCTTGGTACTGACCTTTAAAGCTCTAAATGGCCTAGTATAGTCTAGTATACCTGAAGGAGCGTCTCCACCTCCATCGTTCTGCCCGGACACTGAGGTCCAGTGCTGAGGGTCTTCTGGAGGTTCCCTCGCTGCGAGAAGCCAAGTTACAGGGAACAAGGCACAGGGCCTTCTCAGTAGTGGCACCCACCCTGTGGAATGCCCTCCCACCAGATGTCAAAGAGAAAAACAACTACCAGGCTTTTAGAAGACATCTGAAGGCAGCCCTGTTTAGGGAAACTTTTAATGTTTAATAGACTATTTTATTTTAATATTCTGTTGGAAGCTGCCTAGAGTGGCTGGGGAAACCCAGCCAGATGGGCGGGGTACAAATAATAAATTATTATTATTATTATTATTATTATTATTATTATTATTATTGTCTTTGTGTAGAGCAGAGATGCAGAACTGTGGCACTCCAGATATTATTGGCCTGCCACTTCTATCAGTCCTAGACAGAATGGCCGACGCTCAGGGGTGGTGGGATTTGTAGTCCAACAGCATACGGAAGAAGTTGAAATTGCACATTAGAGTCGTTCCCCTCTCAGCTGCTTCTTGCTGAACAGTTGAATGTTGAAAGGAGACCCAGAGGGCATGATGAAATCTGTCTATTGTCATGTCCACCCACCACAAGTCATAGGTTCTCCCCTGCCTGCCCCAGATTATCTGAGGGAACACCTTATCTGACATATACCTCTCCATTCTTTGAGGTCTAGTACTGAGACTTTGGGTGGATGCCTTCCTAAACAGAGGTTAGATTATCCTCAACAGTTAATGAAAAAGCACCCAATTTTTTGCCAAATCAAGCATATGTAAGCATAATTATATTCTTACATATTGCAGCCACAGTACCTCTCTGTCCTCTTTTCATATTTTAAAAGATAATGAGTTGGATCCAGACTATCTTAACTAGTACAGTGGGACACATTATTCACCACTAGCTTTTCACAGTGATTTCAGTGAGTCCTAATTGAGACTAACTGAGGCTATGTACACATTACTGGCTTAAAATGCAGAGAGGTTGTTAGTTGCGCCTCAAACTAAGAGATGCCAGGGATCAAAACTGGGGCCTCCACCACCGTCGCTCTACCACTGAGCTACATTTACACTGAGCCTCTTGGGCTTGCCGATCAGAAGGTTGGCGGTTCAAATCCGCTCAACGGTGGTGAGCTCCCATTGCTCTGTCCCAGCTCCTGCCAGCCTAGCAGTTCAAAAGCACACCAGTGCGAGTAAATAGGTACCGCTCTGGCGGGAAGGTAAACAGTGTTTCTGTGCACTCTGACACTCGTCACGGTGTCCTGTTGCGTCAGAAATGGTTTAGCCATGTTGGCCACATGACCCGGAAAGCTGTCTATGGACAAACGCCGGCTCCCTCGGCCTGAAAGCGAGATGAGCACTGCAACCCCATAGTTGCCTTTGACTGCATTTAACCATCCAGGGATCCTTTATCTTACCTTACACCTTACCTTACACAGTGTCCACACAAGATAGGGGCCAGGGGTGTCATCACCTGATGTGCATCATCTCCTGCCTGGTTTCCCCACACCTGAACCCCCCCCCCCCCAAATCCTTTGTTAATGAAGCTGTCTTACGTTTTCAAACTGGGTGGGTTTGAGAGAAAACACATCAGTATTTATTGAGGAAATACAGGATACATATGGATTGTAGCTGACGTCATGTGCATAAGACTTCAAACAGCAGCGGTGGGAATGCACTGGAGCCAGAGTAAATGGGAATATGTACACAGCCTTAGTCTGGATCCAGTTCAAAACTTTCATGAATGTGGGTTCTTGTATATTATGTGGTGAAACTCAACACATTGGAGCAACATGCCTGCTTTAAGAGTAAATTTGTGTGGGTGACTCTTCCACCTGCTGGCCTTGTACGGAACATATTTTCCTTACGCACAGCAGAGGACTCTCCATAGTCAGCCACACGAAGACAAAATCTGGAGGGCTTAATCTATAGCATTGCTTTGGCGCCCCCTGCAGCAGTGTGGCAGCTGGGGTCACGCCACCCTATAACCCAGGCTTCCTCAACCTCGGCCCTCCAGATGTTTTTGGCCTACAACTCTCATGATCCCTAGCTAGCAGGACCAGTGGTCAGGGATGCTGGGAATTGTAGTCCCAAAACATCTGGAGGACCGAGGTTGAGGAAGCCTGCTATAACCACTTCTGATAAATGTATGATTAGTTCTTTGTTGTGTAAATGTAGGTTACTGTCGTCAAAAATATATAGGAGCGCCAACTGGGATGTAGGAACAGCGCGATAGTGTAAGATTTTATCTCCCTAAATACCAGAGACCAAAATGGTTGCACTTGGTCACCTCCCCACCAAAGGCAATAACAGGACCATTTCTGAACAACCTCTCCAACATCTAGGGGATGTAAATGGGTCTATCCTTATAGAGGTCTAATAGACACCCTATTTCAAGCCAACCATTTCCAAATACTTGATTCCATCAAATGGGTACACTACCACCTCCCACTGGACGCGGGTGGCGCTGTGGGTTAAACCACAGAGCCTAGGACTTGCTGATCAGAAGGTTGGGGGTTCGAATCCCCGCAACGGGGTGAGCTCCCGTTGATCGGTCCCTGCTTCTGCCCACCTAGCAGATAGATAGAACAGGACTGGGTGCTTGTTGCTGAAGGCTGAAATATAGAAGTGACCTGAACTTTTTTTCCCTTTTAACCCTGTTACCCTTAACTCTTTTAAAGCACTCAAAAGCATAACGGACATTTCCCCCCTTCTTTTTCTTTAGTATCTGATGGCAAAGGAGGGAAACAGCCCTAGAGGAGTAGAATCTCTGCTGTGAGCACTACAGTCCTGTTCAGGGAAGTTTTTAATGGTTGATGTTCTACTGTATCTCTAATATTTTGTTGGGAGCCGCCCAGAGTGGCTGGGGCAACCTGGTCAGATGGGTGGCATATAAATAATAAACTTATTATTAATAATAATACGGTTAGTTGGCTGGTTGGCCAACTACATGGTAACTCAGGCCTAATTTCTGATCTTTTGAGTGTGTGCAGCTCAGCATGAGGTCTTTGCAAAGTTTTTTTCAGGTGGGGGAATAAATCTTTATTAAACAATCAACATTAACTTACACAACAACAATACAATATATTCATCACACAACACAAATCTTACTACATACACTTACTTTACAGAAGAGAAAAAAGAAAAAGATAAAAGATTAAAGTAAATAAAACAAACTTCCGATTATTCTCATTGTACTATTTCTTATTTTGTTATTATACACACATTGCCTTATTGTTGCTTTTTGCTTTCCCAAGTCTTATCCAGGATATTCTATTGCTTATCACCTTTATATTGCAAGAATCGTTCAAGGTCTGCCAGGAGATTTTTGTTATCACAATAATTTTTCAAATACTTTTTAAATGCTATCCATTCTTTATTAACCTTCTGCATCAGATATCCTCTAACTCTCCCTCTCATCTTTGCCTGTTGTATGTATTCTATCATTTTTACCTGCCATTTGGTTTTCATGGGGATCTTTTCACTTCTCCAGTTCTTTGATAGCAGAATCCTGTCTGATGTTGTTGCATACATGAAGAGAGGTCTGACATTTTTCTTAAATTCTGTTGATATTATTCCTAACAGGAAGGCCTCCGGTCTTTGCAGAGTTTATGGGCAGAAAAATAAACCCAGTAACCAGCAAAAAGAAAAGAAAAGAAAAAAAAGAATCCATTTGCTTTCCACCCACTTTTGTGTTGGGGTGATGTAACCCGAAGTACAGTGATGTATGGAAGTGAGAGCTGGACCATAAAGAAGGCTGATCGCCAAAGAATTGATGCTTTTGAATTCTGGTGCTGGAGGAGACTCTTGAGAGTCCCATGGACTGCAAGAAGATCAAACCGATCCATTCTGAAGGAAATCAGCCCTGAGTGCTCACTGGAAGGACAGATCCTGAAGCTGAGGCTCCAATACTTTGGCCACCTCACGAGAAGAGAAGACTCCCTGGAAAAGACCCTGATGTTGGGAAAGATGGAGGGCACAAGGAGAAGGGGACGACAGAGGATGAGATGGATGGATAGTGTTCTCGAAGCTACCAGCATGAGTTTGACCAAACTGCGGGAGGCAGTGGAAGACAGGAGTGCCTGGCGTGCTCTGGTCCATGGGGTCACGAAGAGTCGGACACGACTAAACGACTAAACAACAGCCCTAAGCATGCCTGAGTTCTAGTTTGCATTGCAATCTGCTTCAAGCTTCCTTCTCCTGCCTTTTCACCCTTTGGCATTAACCACCAGAGGGCTGTGTTCACCCATCTTGGAAAAAATGCATAAACCGACTCTTGATAGCCCACTGCCAATTTCAAACTGTATGAGGGCACACTGGTGTGCTCAAGAGAGCGGCCTGAACAAATCTCCCTCTCTTTGGAGAGTTTGCAGAGGCAAAGTTTGCTGGCTGGTTCAGTGCACAGATTCTAAGGATCAGTAAAAACAGCAAAGAAGGAGACAGACAGATGTGACTCATCGGGCACAATTCAGTGAGAAACTTCCTTGCTGAAATGAGCAGAGAGTTAGGTCATCTAATTTTAACCTTTTTTGTGCTGTGCAATCTCCTGGATTTTGGAATTATTTCTTTCCTTTTTTTTTTTTTGGTTATTGAATCTAATTTTTGCTATTTATTAAGAGTGTTACAGTTGTGGGTTTTTAAAGCACTGTAGTCCATCTGTAAGTAATGGACCAGTATTCTATGCCTTTTAGAGCTGCACAAGAATTAAAATTACAAAAACGTGGCAATAGGGAAAGCTTACTGATGTATGACTGTGTTAATGGCACAGAGCTGCTTCTTCTTCTTCTTCTTCTTCTTATTATTATTATTTGGCAACTCTAAGCTCCTTGTCCTAAGCCAGGATATCCTATCTCAAAGCATCTCCAAAAGATGTTTACATAACCATCAATGGATCCCATAAATCAGCTTGCAGACTTGAAGCAGAGCTCCCCCTCCTCCCCCCTTTTCCTTACACGGTATTACTCATTTGCTGTGGTAGATTCGTTTCAGATGTCTTAATACTGCTGGGAAAGCGAGATCCTTCCTCTGCTGTTACTGTCACTGCTAATGAAATTGTCATGTGGAAGATGGTTGCAAAGGGATGGGGAGGTGACAAGGGTTGGAGATAACACCCCCCCCCCCCAGGTTCTCAAGACACCATTGTCAGTGACACAATTACCCCACCTTCTGTGATACTTTATTTTCAAAGTCACTGTTAGAGAATCTCAGCAGAGTACAGCAGCCTCCCCCCCCATCTATCCTTAATGTGCTAATTAGCACCTGGTAATGATTGCCTCTGGGACACGGGTGGCGCTGTGGTCTAAACCACAGAGCCTACGGCTTGCCGATCAGAAGGTTGGCAGTTCGAATCCCCACAACGGGGTGAGCTCCCGTTGCTTGGTCCTTGCTCCTGCCCACCTAGCAGTTTGAAAGCACGTCAAAGTGCAAGTAGATAAGTAGGTACCGTTTCCATGTGCTGCTCTGGTTTGTCAGATGTGGCTGAGTCATGCTGGGCACATGACCTGGAAGCTATACACCGGCTCCCTCGGCCAGTAAAGTGAGATGAGCGCCGCAACCCCAGAGTCGTCCGTGACTGGACCTAACGGTCAGCGGTCCCTTTACCTTTTAATGATTGCCTCTAAACTTGAGAAGATCCATTTTTAGTTAACCCTGACTAATAGCTGTTCCTGGACTTGTCTTTTTGCAGATTTCAGAAGATCCGTTTTTTAGTTTGTTGTTGTTGTTTAGTCGTTTAGTTGTGTCCGACTCTTCGTGACCCCATGGACCAGAGCACACCAGGCACTCCTGTCTTTCACTGCCTCCTGCAGTTTGGTCAAACTCATGTTGGTAGCTTCAAGAACACTGTCCAACCATCTCGTCCTCTGTCGTCCCCTTCTCCTTGTGCCCTCCATCTTTCCCAACATCAGGGTCTTTTCCAGGATGTCTCTCTTCTCATGAGGTGACCAAAGTATTGGAGCTTCAGTTTCAGGATCTGTCCTTCCAGTGAGCACTCAGGGCTGATTTCCTTCAGAATGGATGGGTTTGATCTTCTTGCAGTCCATGGGACTCTCAAGAGTCTCCTCCAGCACCATAATTCAAAAGCATCAATTCTTCGGCGATCAGCCTTCTTTATAGTCCAGCTCTCACTTCCACACAACACTACTGGGAAAACCACAGCATTAACTATACGGACCTTTGTTGGCAAGGGGATGTCTCTGCTTTTTAAGATGCTGTCTAGGTTTGTCATCGCTTTTCTCCCAAGAAGCAGATGTCTTTTAATTTCGTGGCTGCTGTCACCATCTGCAAAGATCATGGAGCCCAAGAAAGTAAAATCCTAACTAATAGCTGTTCCTGGATTTGCTGTTCTTGGACTGGGAGTGCAGTCAAGGACACTTACTTTGCATCAGAAAAGATTATGCTCCACCAACCTCATTCTGCTCTCAGCCAATCCCCAGCTACCTGCCTCCTTCCTTCCTTCCTTCCTTCCTTTCTTGGATGTTGGCTTCCTCCTCCTTAAGTCTCAGTGCTGCCTTGTGGAACTCAGCAGAGAAGAGGATGGAGTCAAAACATCATGGATGCTTTAGTTGAGATTCCTGCATTGCAGGGGGTTGGACTAGATGACCCGGGGGGGGCACCTTCCAGCTCTACAATTCTATGATTCCGTGAAAAGTAGAATTGAGTTGGCTCTGCCTGCCATTGGCTCTGGCGCCACCTACTGTTGGGCTCCTTGCCTTCCACCCAAAGGGCACCAGCCACCAACACATTCAGCCTCTAGTGTGCTTGCCTTGTGTTTTGCTGTCATTTTTTTTTACCTCTCCTGCCCTTGGCCCCAACGGTGGGGCAGCTGTTGACAACAATGGCAATTGTTTTAATTTTTAAGGTGTAAAGTTGTCAACGAAGGTGCAGAGGACAGAAGATACAACAGATGTCTGCTCCTCCCTGGGCCGCCTACATTCTGCCCACTCCACCACAGTTTTGGTTGCTTTGCAGACTAGTAATGATAATGATAATGGTGGTGGTGATGATAATAATAATAATAATAATAATAATAATAATAAATTTATATGCCATCCATCTGATGACTGGATTGCCCCAGCCCATCTGGGTGGCTTCCAACAATTTATAAAACCACAGTAAAACATCGAACATTATAAGCTGCCCGTATACAAGGCTGCCTGAAGATGTCTTCTAAAAGTCCAGCCTAGGAGTGACAGTAGTGGCTGCTCCTTGCAGTGAGCAAGCAGTGCAAAGCAGCCAGCTGTGCTCTGCTTCTGTGGAGGCAGTGTGTGTGGGGGGGTCCCATCTACCCAAGAAGCAAGGGGTCAAATTCCTCACCCACCCAGAGCACAGGTAGATGGTGGCAGCTGCTGCCCTGAGCAGGTAGGCCCTTCTGGGATGTTGGCACCTGTCCAGAGACACCAAGCACCCTAACTATTTTCTCAGGGCTGAAACAGCAGATACAAGAGTGATCTGTGGCTTGATCTGCCTACATTTTAATCTACTTTAAAGCAGGCTATATGGGGGTTGGGGTTCTTATTTTATCTAAGCAAGCAGTACTGGCAGCAATCATCCCCATCATACATGTAAAGCATGTGGCACACTCCCAAAGAATCATGGGAACTGTAGCATGTTAAGGGTGCTGGGAACTGTAGCGCAGTGAGGGATAAATTCCCAGGATCCTTTGGGGGAAGCTATGTGCTTTAAATGTGTGTTTTGGCATGGTATGGGCGTGACCTAGATTGCTTTTCGAAGCTGCTGTTTGCCCAAAGGGACGACACAAAAGTTGTTGAGCTTCTTTGGGCCATGGTTCTCTAAAAATACGTTGTTTTTGAGCTATTTTTAAAGAAAATTCGCCAAAATATAGACTTACGACATGAGTTGCCATACGTCTGGATTTCCCTGGACATTTCAGCAATTTCCGCCCAGACACTGTTTCTGACTGCCATATTCCGGCTATGTCCGGGAAATTCCAGACATTTGGCAGACCTAGTTTAATGCTCCCCCAAGATGCTCCTATTAAATTTAAAGAAGAGATTCAAACATGGGTTTCTGTACCTCATCTGTGTGCCCCTAAACTTCAGCAACCGCCCTTTCTGCAATAACTGGCCTACTTGACAGGGCTGTCATAGCAGTCTCAAGATTATATAAGTTAAATGTTTTGAATGCTTTAAATTGCTCTAAAAACGATGGTGATTGCTGCAATATTAATATGAGAGTGAACTTTCTGGAACTGGCTGGCACTGGGATCTAGCATGAATATACACTATATGTAAACTGCAAGGCACCCCTTTCTTTGGCTGAAGAACAATTTATCAGGCAATTCAGCTCTGTCACCGGTGGTGGCTTGGCTCAAGATTGCAGACTTTTATCACACCGCATGTGTTAATTAGCTGACCATTTGGGGGATGTTTGTGTTATCACCAACACTGCCTTGTTAATTGGTCGCTGTAATTATTATTCCGCCTTTAGGTAATTGACAGAGTCTCTTCTTTTTTACATTTAATTTCCCTTTGACCTCATCCCCCTACCCTAACACCCCACAACTGTGTATATTATGGTGTATCCTGGCCTGAGATCTTGGGGAATGTCTCTGCTGGTGATACGCACTGCACAGAAGTACTACTAACTGTGCATTCAGTGTATGGGGCCCAATCCTTTGGCATTCCCTCCCCAGTAAGCTTAGATCGTCACCCTCCTTGCTGAACTTCAGGCACGAGTAAGAATTTTTTTGTTATAGCAGACATTTTTAGGTAGTGTTTGTATTATTGTCCCCCTCTTCTGTAGATTGTTTTTATGCCCAGCACTTAGAATAATTAATCAGCACCTAAATATCTTGAATAAAAACAAATATTGTATATGCTTGCCAATTTAGGTTTACATTTCATGTATCTGATGAAGGGATCTGTGGTCCACTGAAGCCGACACCATAATCAATTGTCGTCCCACTGCCACAAGACACTTTGGGAGGGAAGGTTCAGCTAGGTTTTGCCATAATGGATTAGGTGCCAGGTAATTAAGAAGGGAACATAGGTACACAGGAAGTTGATTTATGTACCACCGATCCACCTAGTTCAGTATTGTCTATCCTGATATGCAGCTGTTCGCCAGGGTTTCAGACAGGGGTTTCCACCCCAGCCTGATCTGGAGGCTCCTGACGGGACAGCTCACTCAGTAGAGCATGAGACACCGATTCTCAGGGTTGTGGGTTCAGGCCCCACATTGGGGGAAGAAAACAAAAGATTCTTGCATCGCAGGGGGTTGAACGATCCTTGGGATCCCTTCCAACTCTACGATTCTATGAACCTGGGGTCTCCTGCCTGCGAAACAGATGCTCTACCCCTGGGCTCCTGCCCTTTCCCCCTCAATCCTGCCAGGCAATTCTTGTCTGGTTTGTTTGGCTCTTTTTCTCCTAATTGCCCGTTTATTTTACAAGCTGCCTGGAGCTTTAGAAAAGCGACATAAAAAGGCTTCGCGCAAGCCAGCGCGTTTCCCAGGGTTTTTTTTTTCCTTTATCATTTACTCGCTGCTCCGAGAAAACACACCAATCTTTGCAGTTAAAGAGGATCGCCAGGATCCCCCCCAGCAAGGATCCCGTCCCTGGCCACAACATGGAGAAGCATGCTCTCGCTTCCTTCTCCCCAAATGGAGAGCCCGCCACCAACGGCCTGGGCCTCGAGCTTTTCCCTGCGAACAAAGGAGGGGCGAGAGAAGGGGGGCGTCCCGCCCGGAGGGCTC